ATGTTACAAGGCGGATTGAGGACACACTATGTTGGGAACACAGGGGCGTAGCAGCCAGTCCGGCCGGACCACTTTTCCTTTTTCGCCCAGAAGTGCCCAGAATGCAGGATTTTGCACCCTAATTTCAAAAATTTCTCGGGGACGCCCACAGACCCCCCCCCCAACCAGACCACATTCAACAGCGGTGCTACGCGCTTGGAACAGCGCTCCTGACTACAATCATAAACCGGTCGGCACAGACTTGCGAAAGACTGGCTGCGTTCTTATAGCACGTTCTTAGAAACAATCCGTACTGTATCATATGTATCCCACAAGCTGCCAGAAAACCAACACCGCCGTTCTTAGCTTTAGGCTGTGGCGTTATTAGAATTTCAGGCTGGACGTTCTTGGGCTCCACGTTCTTCAGCGCGCGACTCTACTGTAGTATACTATGCCTTGCTGTATTCGTCATCGTACTACAGTCAGACCTCGCATAACCGCCGGCACACATCCGTTTTCCACAAAACCTTCCGGATAGGTGAGGGAACTGGATAATCAAACAAACACACATACTGTATATATGGCATATGCGGTAAATCGGTAACCAACAATTTTCTTCCGGATGGCGAGGGATCCGGATAAAGGAGGACCGGATAAGCGAGGTCTCACTGTACAGTACAGTCAATGTTGCTTATAACGACACTCGGTGGGGCATCAAACAAGTGTCCTTAGACTTTTGATACAAAGTGACGGAATGGAAAAGTTGCCAAGGTGATTTGATCACGTGACGTTACTGGCACGTTACCGGCGGAAAACTTCTTTTTTTTTGTAAAGTTTTCCCGGCAGTACCAAAGTGCTCAGGCTGCATGTGCGCTGTGAAAAAGGGAAAATCCCTTCTCAGCGCCGCGGTGAGAGGTGCTAAACTTACGTACCGGTAACGTTAGTTTATCGGTAGTGTGAATGTCCTTCACGGTTTATCGGCATTCACGGTTTGACGGGATTCACGGTAGTCTGAACGCGCCCTAATTCGCGAAGTGTCGTTATACCCGAAGTCTCATTATATGTATTACAGTTGGAAGGGACTTTGCTCTGGGCATGGAAATGCTGTCGTTATCCGCGAATTGTCGTTATATCCGCAGTCGTTATTAGCGAAGTTGACTGTACACCATGCCGCTGTTGTGGACATTGAAATCCGTCGAGAAGTCACGTGACCACGCCGGGGCCGGGCCCTGGCCTTGCAGCCCGGCACGAGCACTGCTGCATGCTTGCTGCATGCTTGCTGCATGCTTGCTGCATGCTTGCTGCATGCTTGCTGCATGCTTTCTGCATGCTTGCTGCATGCTTGCTGCATGCTTGCTGCATGCTTGCTGCATGCTTTCTGCATGCTTGCTGCATGCTTGCTGCATGCTTGCTGCATGCTTGCTGCATGCTTGCTGCATGCGTGCTGCATGCTGATCCATTTTTTCACAGTGTGTACGTAAACTACAATGCCCAATAGCGAGAGTTCCCGGCAGATTGCCTAGAGTGCTCAACACCACAAGAATGGAGCATTACCACAAAGGCAGAAGAGGACAGGGACAACGAGTTGTCTGAGGATTGCCTTAGCTTTGCTATGTGCATGAAACGCAGCGTTACAACAATGACCTAGCCAGTTGTCTCTGTTCTCTTCTGCCTTCGTGAACTGTGATGCATGTACGCGCTAAGGCAGAAAGGGTGCCGGCCCCGGTCATCGACTGTCGGATTTCAATGATTTCCACAACAGTAGATCAGATCTGCACTGTACCGGTAGGTCATAGCTAGGGTCACCGGATTCTGTTGAGCAGACGCTCAGGGTCTTTGTTATGCCAACTATGCTTTCAGCTATGCACGTGGACTTGACTAGTGCATTTGTAGGGTTTCTGCTGCGCATAAGCTCTCATAGCTAGGGCTCAAGTCTACTAAGTACATGTACTATGTCTCCAATCACACAGCATAATAAATAACTGCAGGGGAGCGTACCGGTATGCTCAACAGAATCCGGTGACCCTAGCTATGACCTACCGGTACAGTGCAGATCTGATCTACTGTTGTGGAAATCATTACATTATTCGCTACGTAACGTCGTTGTAACAATAATAATAATTATTATGGATTACCGGTAGGGGTTTCACGGATTGGTTTCCGCGACAGCAGTCAGTACCTAGTACCTGTACATGGCCCTGGGAGAGTCTGGTGCTTTTTCATTATATCGGAGGCGGCCATCGCCGCAAAACGCAACTCAACGCAACCCAACTAGGATTCACCTGTGCTTCGTTTTCCTCGGACATCAAACTAATCTGCGTTTCTGCTTTGCGGTTGTGGTCCATAGCGAGCGATAGGCCCTATCAGCTAGCTCCAATCGGCAATGGGAGTAGTACCTCCACGACTCCGGGCCAGGATCTAGAGTTTTACTGGACCGAGGTAGTCTATGATGGACTCGGTATGGTTGCATGAACTACGGTACTGACGCCCTACTGCAACAACAAAAAACATGTTTTGGAACTTACTTGTTGAAATGAAAGCACGCGCGCAGGCAGCAAAACGATGCCACATTTTATCGAAACTATTACTTTACTTCCTCTATCAACATTAAACTACAATGCACACACACATGTACAATGATTGCACTGTACTGGTAACCGTATGCATATGATTATGGGAGGCGAAGATCTATATCGGATGTCAGGACTCAGGATCACTGTTTTTGTGTTTTCCACAGCTACAGCAGATCTCGGACAGACTCCCGGATCCCCCCCCTGCTAGTACTTTGTACTACGCATATTGTTAGATTGACAGCATGAAAGCCAGAGTTTATGGTAGATCTACTCTTGATAAAAGCAAGAGTATTATTCGCACTCTTGATGAAAGTACTCGTAGTTCTGTACCAAGAGTACATAAACCGGTTAGTGTACTCTTGCTAGTACAATCATGTAGTAGGTGAGAATCGCCAAGATCAGGCAATGGCCCTCTCCTCCCTCAGGGATACCCTGAGTGACGACCACAGGCGGACTCTGGATCTAGCCGCAGAGAAAGGTGCCTCCAGTTGGCTCACTAGTCGGCCATCTCGCCGGTTCCAGTTTACCATCCACAAGGCTGGCTTCCGGGATGCCCATGTCTGCGCTACGGCTGGACCCCTCCCCGGTTGCCGTCTCACTGCACCTGTGGAAAGCCCTTCGACACCACCCATGCCCTATCATGTGCCATCGGAGGATTCACTGGGATGCGCCACAACGAGCTCCGGGATCTAACCGCTAATCGGTTGCGTGAGGTTGCGCATGACGTCAGCGTGGAGCCAGAGTTGGAACCCCTCTCTGGTGAAACATTCCCTCTCCGGTCGGCCAACACGGAGGCTCATGCTCGTCTTGATGTGGCAGCACGTGGAGTGTATGGGAGTAGGTTAGAGAGGACAATGTTTGATGTTCGGGTGTTTAACCCTTTTGTCCCCTCCAACTGAAACCTTACTCTCCCGTCTGTCTGCAGAAAGCACGAGCAGGAGAAGAGGCGTAAGTATGAACGGCGAGTCCTGGAGGTGGAGCATTCCTCGTTCGTACCCGTGGTTTTTTGCAACCACTGGCGGCCAGGGCCCGGAAAGCTGCTTCGGCACTCTTTGCCAGGATTGCCAGCAAGGTGTAGCTGTGTGAAAAGCGCCGTGAGCCTTTCCCGGTTATGATGGCTTTTGTACGGGCGAAGATCTCCTTTTGCCTTGTTCGAGCAATGGTTGCCAGTCTACGTGGTCACCGTCGGAACCCGCCTCGACATCTGTCTGGTTCGGCTGTGCTGGCAGCTGCTGAATGTGCCCTGGTGCCATAAACGGTGTACATGATACAGTACAGTTTCTTTGGTAATGGTGCAAGTTTCGATCCCCCCTGACTTCATAGGTGCCAAACATTTTACGTTTTTCATTTCTATTTTGAGAGTAAATAAAAATTACCGCCTGCAGATTTAAAAAAAAAATGTAGTAGGTGAGATTGTGTGCTTCCAGGGAGTCGTCAAAAGTATTTTGACGACTCCCTGAATGCCTGATGTACACATAGTACTGTGCTTCACATTTTTCAAATTTTTTCTGATCCATCCTGTATTATCAGTGATAGTGCACTAGTGTTCATCAGGCCTGCTAGCTATGCAGGGAGTCGTCAATTATGGTATTTTGACGCCTCCCTGGTGTTCATGTAGATCTACATCATGATTGTGATGACTGTAGAAGTCTGTGTGTATGATCAAGAGTACATAACCTGGGTTATGTACTCTTGGTATGATCAAGAGCACATAACCCTAGGGGTTATGTACTCTTGGCATGATCGATTGTAGAGGCGACGGTTTCAAATAGGAAATAGGTTGCAAACCGGAACGGACTCAATAGTCACTTTCTCTCTTGGTATTTTGATTAGAAAACATATGTCACAGTGAGACTACGATGTGTTATACTCCGAGCCAAAATTTCATGGCTCTGCGATGACCAGAAGCGCCATATCAAGCAGGTGAGTTTTTGACGTGTTGCTTCGCACTGCGACTTGAGTTTTACGACTTTCGAAAAATCAACTTCTTGTCGCAGGTAAACAGCGGCTCGCCTCTCGACAATAAAGCACCGCATACCAATCAAAACTAATGGAAGCACACACAAGGCTTATTGTTACTCTGTACTGGCCGTCGTGGAGCGATAGCAATTACCTAATTTCAGACCCAGAGTGAATTTGACGGGCACTCTAAAACGTGTCCGGTTTGGAGCCACCTCTGATTTGAACTTTTTTGAAGCGAAAAATTGGGCAACTTGGAGGCAATGGGTCAACACAAAGGAGTGGCTCAGTTCGATTGACTCTGGCCCCAGAGCAAACTTCAACATGCCAGTTTCCTTCCACAAACATATTTCGAGTGAAAAATCAACGTTGATGATCGTTTTGGGTCTATACAAATTTGGCTGTCAAAACGTTCCGGTATCGAGCCGTCTCCTCTACATAAAATCATAATGTAGACCTACATCACATGAGATCGATGGTAGACTCAGTTCTAGGGCTTTTCCTTGCACACTGACAGTGTGCAGGCCAGGTATTTTTGGTATGATCAGATGGCCATGCGTCGACTGCCAGAAATGACAATGAAAGCAAAAACTACAAGTTTCGAGTTATCATAGTCCATCTGAATTGCTGCACATTGTATTACTTACAGTACGTGCATAGTCAGCTCAAGTCATGGACGAGGAGGATAGTCCCCGACATGCTGAAGAAGCGGCACCACCTGGAGCTGCAGCTCGGGAAAATTCAGTTTCCTCGAGTGATTCTGATGATGATTTGTTTGACAGAGATGAATTGGACAATTTGGACAATGATAACGCTCACGATGGTATTCGAGTGGAGATTGCTGAACAAGAGATACCGGTGCCAGAAGATGCTGATCCAGAGGCAAGGCGTCGTGGACCGCGCATTGAGCTGCAAATTCAAATCCAGCTGCAGACGCCAAATCGACCAAATCCAGCTGCAGTCGAGTTTGACCGTAGTTTGCCCACTCAGCATTCATATCTAGGAGAGAACTTCTCCCGTGTAACCGGCGGTAGAGTGTACGAACCAGGTCATGTGTGCAGTCTTCCATTGCATCAATGTAAAGCACAGCTAATGCCGGGACGTAAGCTGCCCTTCATGTGCGATTCTCCCCGCCAGCAGGCCATGGTCAGGCACCTGACGTCGGGCAACGACTCGATGTTCGCCGTGCTGTGTACGCAGAGCACGCGACGAGGTCAGAGTCGTGCCACGTCGGGTCTGGCCCACGGTGCTGCTGCTGCCGCCGCCACTGCTGCTGCTGCTGCTGGTGGTGAGCAGCCTCCGGGAGTGGGCGACATCGGCTGTACGGCCGAGCTGATGTCGTACAGTACGGACGAGTGCACAGACGACATACGTGTTATCTGCAAGGGCTTGCAGCGCTTCCAGGTGCGGAAGCTCATACCGCAGATCACCGGCCTGATGCTCGCCGAGGTGATGATCCTACCGGACGTGGAGCCACCAGCGTACCCGCATCACTTGCTGGCGGCGCGCCCGCAGGTCTTTGTCCGCTCACCGTTCAAGCCGGCGCCGTCGAAACACACGCCCAAGCCGCCGCCGCAGCCGGCACTGCCCGACCTCCCGCATCGCCGCTCTCCGCAGCGGTCGCGTAACATCACGGAGCGTGTTGCCGAGGCAATGTACCGGGCACTGGGCATGGCAGCCAGTCAGACAGCACGGAGGATTGCCGCAGAGGAGCGAGCAGCACGAGTATCAGATGCCGACAATTCCACTAGTACCGATGCCGCCGCTGCTCCTGGTGGCGAAGCCGGCGGTGATAGCCGTATGGATGCAGAAGAGAAACGGCACAGCTCGGTGCAATGCACGATGCCCAAGCACTGCGGGCTGCTGTGCTCCGTGCCGCTGCGCGCCTTCCACGAGTGCAGCTACGAGCGCGTGGTGGAGCGCGTCTTCAAGGAGCTGCTGCCCTGGCGCTCCCGTAGCCACCTGTCGCGTCACGAGCTGGTGCCGTTCTCCTACTATGTACTGGCTAGCATGCCGCTGGACGAGCACACACAGCGAGAGCTGCTGGCCGTGGACTCTGCGCTCATACGCCTGCAGCGTATCCTCACGCTGATGCTGAGCTGCAGGCACTATTGCTGCTCGCAGTGTGGCCGGCGTATCTGCCGACGCGACAAGGTGATGAGCATGTCGGACGATGGCCCGTCGGCACTCTACGTCAACCAGAGCAACATTGTGACGGAGATGTTCACGGTGCGAGACACCATTGCGTTTGCGTGCGCTCAGTTACGTCCGTCGTCCACCGACTTCTCCTGGTTTCCCGGCTACTCGTGGTGCTGCTCAATCTGCATAAGCTGCAGCAATCACTTGGGCTGGATCTTCGAGACCGACGATCCGCAGGTATCGCCGCAGCAGTTCTTTGGCCTGGTGCAGAGCAAGGTAGTGCCGGACTTTGCCACCGACCTGTATCGTTCGGCGGCGGCCAGACAGAGTGCGTCGTCTCGGCAACACGGCCAAGGGTTTGGTGCAGGTCCACCACCACCGCCACCGCTGGCCCAGCAGGACATGGCCATGGAACAGCAAGCTGTGGCCAACAACGACGACGATGATGATGAGTAGATCGCGGGTAGAACATGAACGAGTGATTCCCCGCACTCGTTGCTGTGTAGGGCGCTAGTAGGTTAGGGAGCAGAGGTAGTGGTAGGGATGGTGGTGCAGCTCGGTTGATGGCTTCAACTATCTTGCACGAGTGTGTGCTGTACGTTCTATGCCGTCTCATGTACGCTCCATGCTGTCTCATCATGTGTCCGTGTCCGCGCACGTCTGTGAAGCCACTGCACGCGCTGCGAAGGAGAAATCCCGCGCTCCTACTAACCTGAATGGTGCCTGCATGTGTAGCACACCAGTGTGCAGTTTCCTGGAAGTCTATAAGTATGCTGTTTCATCTGATGCACTGGCGGCCACTCCATTAGCATTGCTAGACTGAGCCGAGTACGGTGTGACCTCACCCCCGCCACCGTCCTCTTTGTTAAGGTTTGCGAGAGCAGCGTCATCGTCTTCGTGAATGTTGCATGATTCCACTCCGACTCCTGCCTGGACGGATTTTATTCCCGACATCAGGACCCAGTGCTGTGTTATCTAACCCAGCAACAAGGACCAGTCCATAGTTTTTTTTTGTTTTTTTATCAGCAGATCTATTCTCGTCTCTTCGTCATGATCATGTTGTTGCGTACCCATGCGTAAGCACGTGCAGTCTTATTCTCCTCTTGTTCCTCCTTTCCAGCGTCGGAAGGAGAGCGTCCACTCTCGCACTGCTGCTGCTCTTGCTGTGTGCATACACCTTGGCTTGGAGAAGGCCGACAGTCCTCGCACCAAGGTCCAATTTTAACCATCCCCCGGCCCCGTACCCCCCCCCCCCGACCCCCGTGTCTGCGTCGTCCCCTATTGTGCTTTATTATGCGGCAGCAACGTCGTGTTTTACCCATTTGTTGCCCATTAGCAACGCCAGGCTTGTCACTGTCTCACTCTCCAGGCTATGCCAGGCCATGGCAGGAGTCGTAACGACATTTTATTTTTTGTACATGCGTTCCCCATGCACGTAACCATGACGAATACTCCCGTACGCCACAAAAGTCCAATATTTTCTTCTTTACTCAAACGCAGCGCATGCCGCCAAGGCAGCAACTGTCATTGATTGTCCATTTTATGAGCCGATCATCCTAGAATAAAGCCCTCCGTAATGCTGATCATGTGTGCAGTGATACCTCACCATGGTTGGAAGAAGTGCATCCAGGACACACACACACAATCATGCAGTTTGATTGCGAGTGCAAGTATGGACTTTATTACTGGTATACTGTATCGAGAGTTTAGACACTCTTGCTGGTATGAACCTTTCCCCGGCGCGACTCCTTGCTGTTGTCCAAACTCTGTTGAGGGGCATAAAGCACTTTTTGGGTATGCTAGGACGACTTGATTCTAACGCTCTCTATGTGGGTACTAAAAGTAAACGCATAGCAATGAAAGTTGTACTCGGCCACGTGGGGAAACTTCATGAAGGATAGGCATTTTATATGTGTGCCTTGCAAGCCACACCACACCGGCAATATACTGTAAGCACTTGGACTAAAAAATGAAGGAAAACTTGTTCTAGAGCGAAGGAACTCGCTACGGTGCGGCCGCTAACACCCGGTAAACCCAGTGCCAGATGCAGCAAGAGCTTACGTACTTGTACATAATATTATTATATATAATTATGTGTCTATATTGGAAGAATAAAATAGAATGACATAGTAGAAGTGTTGAAATGAAGGCACCGCGTCGCTGATCAGCCTTGGATACCATAATAATAACATTATTATGGTAATACAGGCTACAGTCCCTTCATGAAAAGATGAGCTTCTTGCTTTGGCTATAGATATGGGTCATGTACTCTTGGTCAAACTTGTGGAGTTTTTTTGAGAATTGTTTGCAATCCCCAAGGAATGCTCTTCCGGTTACCAGTGAACACAGTCTATTTCTCCGAAAAGCAAGTCGAAACAAGAATAGGCTTTTGATCAAGTTTTGTCCCAAAAGCACTGAATTGGTAAAACCATGTAATTCCAGGCCGTTTCACTCCACTTGCAACGGTACATTGTACGGTTCGAAACCCAGTTGAGATTATAGATACCTTTTTGGACCCTTTCTCAAATTCCAATTTCGCGGCACTGCGCCATGTACCGGTAAGGTACGATAAAATCACCCCGATTTATTATTTTGAATTGCAGAACGGCTGCTCCGGTTCGATCGCGCGAACTCTAAAACCAGAAAAAAATTATTTTTCTGGTTTATTATTATTAATATGTAGCGCAAAATTTAATAAAGAATCAACCAAATCACAAACTGAACTACAATAACATGTACAATCAGGGAGCTCGCCCGAGCCAGAGCTCATCTTTCTACGAGAGGTCTGTACAGGTCTTCTACGAGAGGTCTGTACATGACTGTACGGTTAACCGGTTAGACCTCGCTTATCCGGTCCTCTTTTATCCGGATCCCTCGACATCCGGAAGAAAATAGCTGGTTACAGATATACAGCATACGTAATGCATCCAACAAAACCGGTGTTCGACTGTTCGGTTATTCGGCTCCCTCGCCTACCCGGATATTTTGGGGGGAAACGGATGTGTGCCGTTAAGCGAGGTCGGACTGTACCCACATCACTGCTGCAACTGAAATCCAGTTAAGACAAAATGTCATCTCATCAACCAAGAAGAAGAAAGCGAGACAAAATTAGGAAAATGCAAGAGATGCAAATGCCATGCCAGATGTGACACGAGTACGCAGGGGAGGGGACGGGGGTAAATAGCGCGAGTGCAAGCACGACAAGAGTAAAACGAAAGGGGTGGGGACAGACGCGCATGCATAAGCACACACACAGACGCACACCCACCCACACCACCCTCACTACAATCAACAGGCATGCACGGAATATTACGCAATGAGTCAAAGTTGGCCGGAGCAGGGCGAGAAATGGCAGCCATAAAGATACAGAAGGACACACTACAAAGGTGTATGCTCTAGGAGGCACTGCATAGCGGGTGTAGCAAGTAGCAAAATAGAATACGACAATGACGGCATGCAGAGACGCAGCAAATGCAGAGCAAAGCAGTAGGGGCAGTGCCCTAGGTGGCTTGACTTGGCAACACAGCAGCAGCCAGAGTATGACTACATACCACTGAGAAACAGGAGCACAAAAGCTGCGCGCCGCCAGCAGCTGTCGCCAGGGCATCAAATGACACTATTTTGTGATTGGACAAGAACAATGACATTGTCGCCCGGAGACCGAAAGCAGTGGCCGGCGACAGAGTGCAGTGGGTGAGGCATGGGGCAGTGGTGGTGGCGGCGGCGGCGGTGCTGCACATATGTAGCCTTCCAGCACTGTGGAGACAGGTGTGTGTGTGTGTGCATACCTGTCATGTGTTTGATGGGCAAGCTCCGCGTATATATTCTAATAGGGAAGCCGCACGTGGAAAGAGAAGCACCTACGCCCAGGCTTCTTAGCGCTAGAGGCAAGGCGGCAGCCACAACCACCACTGCCACCACCATAGGAACACACACATATACATATTCACGTCATCCCTATGTACATCATGGATTGTTGGTGTCCTGTACGCGGAAACACGGCCTGTAAAGCAGGCCACACAAGTCTTTCCCACAAGCAGAAGGAGCGAACCAACACTCTGCGCGTATTTACAGCGCTTGTAGCAGACAGGAAAGAGGTCAGAAAGGTTTCCGAGACACAGTCCAGCCTGCAGCCATTTACAAAAAAATACGATCCGGGAGAACTACTTGACAAGCCCGATGAGTTTCGCTTCAGTTTCGTAGATGAGGAGGCGCCACAACTTGACAACAAACACTTCGGCTTCATCATCAAGTACCTAAACGCAGAAAGGAGAAAAGGAGGAAGAGGAGGAGGACAAGAAGAAGCTTTGAGTGGGAGAATGTTTCATGCCCGGCATGGCACACACAAAATTGCAGCCAGGCGTACTGTGTACTACGTACAGTTTCCTTGAGGCTGTAAGCAACGAGTACTAAATGTGCCGATGAAAGTGCAATGAAGGGCAAGTGTTTTATTCCAATCGGGTGCAAGTCCTTCTATGCTAACATGAGCAGAAGCAGCAGGAAGCAGTTTTAGGTACTACTCACACTAAGCTATACATGTAGAGCTAGCAACGTGCGGCCCTGTACTAACCATTGCAACATCATCCAATACGGCCCGTGCACCAGTTCGGTCAAGAATCTACACACAACACAACACAGCACAACAGCAGCAGCAGCAGCAGCAGCAGAGACACAGAAACCATCACCGTTTAGTCCATTCGTACCATCACAAGGCCACCGGGATCGAGCTGGACTTGTGGAAGCAGTTACCACGATCGTGTAACCGCTTGCCAACCAGAAGTGAGCGTACACCAACACAAGAGCGTGTGCAGCCCGGATGGGTTGCCGCCACAGTGGAATCCATGGATTGGATCGTACTAGCCATGTACTGCATACACGCAGGTGTCCTGCTGCACAGCTGTAGCTCAGTTGTACGTACCACACCACACCACTGCCAGACACTCATCTGCATTAACCTTAATGCAATCCAGGAATTTCGTGGTGCGAGACACACCCATACAACACACTCTTGAGTCTTGTTGTCATGAAACTTGGTGGACGTAACAACCACGGTCATGAGCTGCAGGAAGTTAGTGTGCACAATGCACTGCGACTACAAGTTTACAACACAGTTGAACTTCACCACTGTCCACATCAGCAGATAGTATTCCGCTGCTACACCCGCAGTACATGCCATTCCGCTTGCTGCAAGGATCCTGAGCTCACAACCGTTGCTCGCACCTGGCAGACATGTCAGTGCAAAGAAGCACGTACTACGGTCGTGTCCAAAAATCCGACTCCCGAGTCAAAAGCAGTGCCGCATTTCCATTTCGATTACATCATGTACAGTGCGAAAAACCCATCCGAGGACCGCAGGAGAAGCATGCGCCTTGTCGCTACTTTCCGCTCACTAGTCGGCTTTCTCTGGCCACAATTGTACAAACTGCAAAGAACTATTCTAAAAACGGTTGCCGACTGCAGCCAAAACTGCCACCTCGGCCTTTTGTTGAGAGCAGCTGAGACGTTGCGTCAGTGGAAAGGTACACAGGTACAGCTAGGTCATTGTCAGGTGTACTTGTTCTAAAACCTATCAAATCTGAGATAGGTCTGCAGCGACCGTAGTGTCTTGTATTAAATGAGCCAGGGACTATAGAAACCGCCCTACGACGTTTGATATCAAAATCAAGTTATGACGTTTCAAAGTCACGCGACTCAAAGTTACGCGAAGCGCAGAACTCGTCACTTTTGTTTTGACAAGACTCAAGAGCTATCCTCTTGTTAGGTGTTCGGGGAAGGATTCCGAGCTCGAGCGATTGTCGAGTAACTCATGAGGCTCCAATTACTGTGATTGATTATGGCTACAACATCTAGTAGACGACGCAGCTCGATTCTGTGTGGAGTCGACTAGTCCCTGATGCGAAGGCGCTTGAATCGGACGACGAGAATTTTTACGGATTCAGCGCTGGCACCCGCGAGTCGTCCGCGAGCGATTCCGACACCGATGCTGAGAGCGACGGCGATGATATGCCACCTAAGAAGAAGACGTATGGAGTCACAGCAAGCTCGAGTGCTGCTAGTGTTGTGTCGAAAAATAAATGCCAAGCCCCGACAGCTCGGAAATTTCAAACGCGGAGAGTGACACCGACTACTTGGAACTGGATGACGAACCAGATGCCCCCCCCCCCCCCCCCCCCCCCGCACCTGAGCCACCGACGATGGAGCAGGTGAAGCGTGGTCTCCTGTCTTCAGACATAAGCGATGGGATTGAGAGAGGCTGTGGATGCAAGTCGAAGAATCATTGGAAAGTCATCCCAGAGCAGCAGCTCGAGGACTACATATTTGAAGCCTCTAAACTGCGAGAATCGAAAAAGCGCTTCAAGCAGTTTGTTCTGGGTGCACTGACTGGTGGTGGTGATCGACCTTTCTATTTCCACTATCATGTACGTGGTTACGAGTTGTGCAAAGACGTGTTCATGGCAGTTCATGCAGTGTTGGAAGTCATGTAATGAAGCGCCTTCAAAAAAAGGCAAACAAAGGAGTCGTTCAACTGGCACACCATGGCTTGACTGGGAGAACACCAGAGCACTTGGCCATTTCGGCAGACATAGAGCAGGATGTAGTGCAGTTTATTTAGTCATAATTATGCTAACATGTACGGTCTACCTCAACCTACAGCGGAGCGAGGTCGTGCTGAGGACCCTCCAGTATACTTACCAGCATCCGAGAACAAGAAGTCTGCATACAACATCTATACCAAGACCGTCACACAGTATTCGCCTGTTCATTACAGGTCATGTTGCCACATTTGGAGGAGATAGGCAGCACACATCAAAGTGATGAAGCCAAGGACAGACGTATGCGCACTGTGTGACAATCTGCGGGACAAAATTCGTGTCGCCCGTACAGAGGAAGAGACGGAATGTAGTGTCCAGGCCCTGCGTTTGCACATATCACTAGCACAAGAGGAGCGGCAGTACTACCGAGATTTAGTGGACGGCGCGCAGGCGTCACTGGATGAAGCTGAGGGCATAGTTCACTATACATTAGAACTGCCTAACTAGCAAGACTGAAGATATACAAAGAACATTACAAACTGTGTACATAAATTTGCTCTATATCGCTCAATTGACATGCCATTATTAAATAGGTGGTTATGCACATTTTACCACCGCAGATCAACTTGATATTTTGTTTGAGCACATAACCATACCATACCAACATTTTGAGAGAAAATTTTTTTCCGCCAAAAAGTGCCATAGGGTGGTGTCTGTAGTCCCTGGCTCAAATACTGTCTCATTATAGAAGCCTGTTTTGGATAGAAGCCTGATTTTAAAGATACACTGTCAGCACATAAAGCCTGGTTTTAGTGTTGACATACATAGAAATACCGGTCTTGTATAGAAGCCTGCAAAATGTCTCCAAATAAGTCACAATTGTATTATAAGCGGCGACTTTTATACACGACTTCTACAGAATATCGTATACGCAGCAGAGCGAGCGATGCCTCGGGGTGGTAGCCACATGGCCGATAACTTGAAGAAAGATGCACAAACACTCAGACGCACAGACACACTTACAGCCCATTATTACAGATAGTTCACCCACCTTTCCACAAATGAATTCAACGAGAGTGGGCTCCTCTTCACCGATGTACTCGATAATTTTCTTCGCAACCCAGGGCTTCACCCGTCTCTCCACCAGATCCTGGTTAGCAGCAGCAACACAGACACAGCAAAAGAACACAGAAAGCGCATGTTAGGCAACACTTACCACTGCAAGACAGGCTACTACATCTTGTGTCAGACTCACTCTCCTGCTTGTACACGCAACCATGCCACACGGGAATGAAGAGCATAGAAGATAACTGCATGCATTGTTCTAGCACTGATAGTTCAAACAAGGAGCGAAAACAGGTGGCGGAATGTTGCAAAACAGCAAAAGGCAGTGCATTCATGGCCTGTGACACCATCGGGATAACTCCTGTACAAGCTTTAACGTTGAGCACGTCCAAAGGCAGGCCATCTTGTGCTTGACTTGCCAAGGTGATGTTTCGAACAGTTTCATGATCATAACGATACGGAGTGGGTTCTGACAGTGGAGGTATACCACATACCGCCAAGAGTACATAACCCCCAAGAGTGTGCAACTGCCTGCACAACCTCTATGCTGTGCTGCAACGGCAGAACTTCACATCACGTGACATGGTTCAAAAGGGTATGCTGGGCCATTGCTGGCAAACAGTGCAAAGTGACCACAAGAGAGTTGTGCCCAAAGCTGGGTTGCGTACAACCCTGTATCTATCATGCACAGAGTGCAAATAATAGTGAGGTTCTGCCACACGGTAAAACGTGCCAAAGTACGTATGGAAACTTCGCCGCGGTACGAGATTTAGTTTGATACGGATTTTTTCATACCGTTTTCCGTGTGAAGCGCGCTTCACACGGACTGGACTCCGTGTGAAAAGTGAGCGTAGAGAGTACATGTGGCGGGGTGTTCGTGCATGCTTCGAGCATGCTACGTACAGCAGAACCAGTGCAACGTACGAAACTTCCGTGTCAAACTTCACTGCAGTTGACACGGAGTTTGGTACGTAGTTCCGTGTAGCAGAACCTCTCTAATGTGTACGGGTTCATCACGTGATGTGAAGTTCTGCCGTCGCAGACCCCATAGCTGGAGTTGCACACTCTTGGGGGTTATATACTCTTGATACCGCGCACAGCCTATTGCAAACTAGATCGGCCCAGGCACAGGTACAATGAACACATTCCAGCAATGGGCCTGCTGGCGTGGCGATTTGACTTCTTTACCACACTGGACATGCAGGGACTCACACGTTGTTCCAACAAAGCACATGATGAGTGATTCTCTCACCTTGTCGACTAAGAACCACTTCAGGTTGTAGGCGAATAGGTCCTCTTTGACGGTCGGAATGCGCTCGATCAATTGCTTGATAGCCGCTTTCTTCTGCTCCGGAGTCATGACATTGGTTCGGCCCACCGCCTGCTGTTCCTCCTCCGTGTAGTCAATCGGTACGAGCATCTTCTTCGGACCAGATGCTCCCTCGTCATTGTCGACGTCCGCAAAGGCTGACGCAATGCCTCGAGACTTCTTACCTGTGCTGCTGGTGCTGCTGCTGGGAGCGGCAGCAGGAGCAGCAGCAGCGGCGGGTTTGCTTGCAGGCGGTGCGACAGGTTTGGCCGGTGCTTTGGCTGCGGCTGTTGTTGTCACTGCAGGAGCGGCAGCAACCGGTTGAACTGGCTCGGGGGCAGCGGTCATTGCCGTGGGTGGCGTGCTCTGCGCTACACTGACTTGCTGTGTTGCCAAGGCGACAGCGGCTGGTGCGGCGGCGGCAACGTGATTCGAAGACGCGGCGGCGGCTTCTGCTGCGGGCGGTAGTTTGATCGAAGTTGCGGTGGCGACGGCGGGCGAAGAAGAGGACTGTGCTGCGGCAGTGGCAGTGCTGTTTTCGCGATGCTTTGCAGAGGATGTCACCTTGGTGGAGAGGTCGACGTGAGGTGCAGACTCGACCTGAGCAGAACGGCACAAACCACATAATACAAGTTGAGTGTGAAGGAAGCTTGACAGCAGCACATGTGGAGATGAGACATGAATAGATTGGTAGTCATTTGCCAGATTGAAACAGTCACCATATTCGATTGGCCAGGACTAAAGCCTGAATTTCCCCAAGGACTTGCTATGCAATTTGGGCAACAGATGTAAGTCGCAAAACTCAATCTGTTGTTACATGCAAGGCCGGTACAGTGGCATGGGCGTAGCTGGGGTCCAACTCTTAGGGGGGGGGGGGGGGGTATGATATGTGTACCCGAGCATGGCTGGTGCATGTCATCATGGTCATTATGTGCATGCTGAATCTACAAATATGTAGGTCGAACTTTTTAGGGTGGTGCACGTGCAACAATGTACAATATGCGCTTCGGGAACAACAGGGGATGAATGCAACGACCCATTGAGCAATAGTAGGCAAAGTAATGCATACCGTTGGCTTGAAGGAGGTCGACCCTTGTGTTTTGACGGCGGCAGAACCTCCAACACTGTTGCCTGAGGGTACCTTTGGACTGTGTCGGCTCTCCTCAGCATCCATGGGCTCGTCGTCCGAATGCTCAGAGTGTGACGGAGTACGCGGACGTCTCTTGCGCTTCTTGTCAGGCTTACTACCCCCAGACTACGGAAGTCAGAAAAGAACACACACATACACCCAGACACACAACACAATCAGTGACTTGGGCGAGTGATGGCCATGACGGCAACAACACAACAACAGCAGCAGCAGCACCACCACCACCAGTGCCACCACCACCACCACAGACAGTATCATCATCATCATCATCACCAGAACCACCATGACGGTACACAGACTCTCTTACAAGTGTCAAGCCTGAAAACAACACGCCTGCCCTACCTACCTTCCTGGGTGAGCGTGTTACTGATCGAGACCGGGACCGAGACAGCTCCCGCAGCTCCCGCCGTCTCTTTCTGGCTTCGCGCTCTTGCTGCCGATCTTTCTCATCTTCCTCCATTTCGGTCCGGCGCTGTCGAAGACGACGGTCAAACGCACTACCCCTGAAGCAACAAGGAAAACCCACGAATATAGAGTTACACTCCAGTACAACCCGCCCATAACAGAGAGAGAGAGAGAGAGAGAGAGAGAGAGAGAGAGAGAGAGAGAGAGAGAGAGAGAGAAGCCATGCAAACACAGCCCTCCATAACGCCATAAAGGCCGCACAGTGAGCACCACGGGAAAGGCATTTCCTCACCACCAGCAACACAAAACAGAAATAGAGAGACACCACTGCAAGATGCAGCTGCTGAGCCCGGTGACCTACTTGTAGTACTTGGCGTCGTCCTTTTCGTCCTCGTAGTCCTCCAGGAAGTCCATCAAGTGCTTGCGCTCGCGCACAATCTCCTCGTTCTTCGCGTTCTCCTCGTTCTGCTCACGCTCATACTCGCGCGCTCGCTTGCGTTCCCGGCTCTCCCATTCTCGCACACGCTGCACGAGTGTGTAATCAAATCACAAAAGAACAGATTAGCCCACAATAGATGCAACAAGTCTGAAATGTGACCCGACAAGTAGCCCATTTTCCAAATCGGAACTTTTAAAAGAAAAAGAAAAAAAGGACCAACCCTGTCTTGCGAGTTACGTGGACTTACGGGGGTCGCCATGGCAAATAATAATGACAAGGCCAAAACAAAAAATAGGCTTGTTTCCGGTCGGCAACCCCTCAAAAAGGAGACTCGGTCGGCCGGAATGAAACTTTTTTTGGATACTTTTTTTTGGTTCCTCAATCGTTGTGGCATTGATGGACAAGAGCACCTACAGATGTACATTGTACATTATATCATGGCAAGGATCAAAGTCAAAGTTGACTGACTCACTGTTCTTGTACAGCATGTGGTGTATTCCTGTTTTCGTACATCCTGAGAAATCAAGCAAACAGTTCGAGTCCTTCCAGCTCCGTTATTCTAGCTCGTATCGACCCCGGAGGTTTTCGAGCCGACAGCTGAGAATCTCTGCTACCTTGTAGGTGTTTCGCTTGTGGAATTCGGTTGAGATTTGACTGAGTTATGACTCGTTTAGTGCACTTGCACACATGGCATTGCCACCGTTTGCATACATTTGGGACCAAAAAAAGTTTCAGAATTTGGGAAAAAGTGGCCCGGTCGGGCGACCGGAAACAAGGTCATTATTTGTTTTGGCCCAAAGAAAAGAAAAAGGCCCAACCCTGCCCTGCCAGTTGTGTGGACTCCCCAGTTTCCATGCAAGTGCCAACTTTCAACAATGGCTGTCTGTGATCAACCTTGCGATAGCAAGCACAGTGCTCAACGCAATGGAGTGGTTCCGCATCCATCACATGACCGAATGGGACAGCCGTGTTGGTTCTAACTCTACTGAACTCCTGTATCTATGGGTCACGTCATGTCGGCCATTTTGGTTCCACTGTTAACATGCCTTGGCCGCTTTCTACACAAGTTTAGTCACACGACAAAGATGTGAAGCGACTCTATTACCAAGAGTACATAACCCCCCAGAGTGTGCAACTCGACTATGGGTGCTGTCCAGACAGAATTTCAAGTTCACGTCATTTTGATGATGCAATGCGCACTCTACACGGATTATCAGACGAATCCGGAACCTGTGGTTGACCGAAGCCGATCTGATGCTGTACAAATTATTGCAAGGAAAAACGTGACGCGTTGACACCCGTACACATGTTGTAAACCACTGGTGCAAGGAGCATTGCGTCATAAATAATGACGTCAACTTGAAATTCTGTCGGGACAGCAGGGTATGTGGGAGTTGCACACTCTGGGGGGTTATGTACTCTTGCTATTACACACGCTTCCTCCGACTCGATACAAATAGTCGCTTATCTTCAGAATGCATTCGGATCAACGGTCTGCAAGCGAGAGAGAGAGAGAAGCAAAATTGGAGCACACAAGTGTGAAATTCTGGAAACAAGGCTTGATAGCCACTCGTCGGCAGTTGCACACCCTGGTGAGCTGGGTAACCTTGCTACTAGCACTGTGCAGGTCGACCTGCATGCGTCTGTCTGCCAGCTCATATATACAGTAAAACCTGTGTTTGCCGGACCCTGTACCGAGCGGCGGAATCCTGTAGTCCCGGACAAATTTTCACGCACCAAAGCGCTGTGGATCGAAAGCGAATCCCCGGATCAAGCGGATCCCCGCCATACGAGGACAGTTTCTGCTGCACCAAAGGCGGCCGGTTAGGGCAGGTTTACTATACTAGTAGTAACCCAAGAAAGCAATCAGCCTGCTCTGCAGCATACTCAATCCCATGCTCCCACCATTGGCAATAGAGGGCTGTTGATACAACACTCGGGAGCAGGATTGCAGATGGCATTTGTATACAGCGCGCATGCGGTGACCAGGGCATGACAAGTTGCAATACAGGACTTAATCACAGCGGGTTGGTAGCCACGGACGGCAATGTGGTCAATGGCTACACAGTTGCGTGCGCTGAGCCTGAAGGATGTGAAGGGATGATTTACAGTTTTACACAGATAAAGACCGAGGTCTGACGCGCCATTCTCCACAAGCAGAGATTGCTGGCAAGTGACAGCATTACAGGCAGGCAAGTACAGTCTACTCGCGATAAGTCACGCACTTTTAGGTCACGCACTCGCGATAAGTCACGCACCTTTTCATCCAGGACACCCAGCTCAAGAATTTTTTTATTTTTCGGGATTTTGTGGATTTCGTGAATATTTGCGAATGATGTGGTTTTCAATGATGGAGCTTGAATACTGTAAAGGTAAGAATATAATTATTATCTGCATATTATTGTATGAGAGCCTTCTCCCTCCGGATCACCCACGACAATCCAAGTTTGTCAGTCACAAACTTCTCCCTTCGAAGCAAAATATACTTCACTAGCTGCTCCTCAATTTTCCCGAACTGGGAACTTCTGTTGCGGACTCCCTGTGGACCAGACGGATTAGCATCGGCGAGTTTGCCAGCTTCATCATCCCTCAGCCAGCCGCGGAACATCGCCTCCGGAACATTGTTCAACTTTGCAAATTTTCGAGCGGAGGTTTTCCACTCTCACGATAGAGACGAACCAAACGCAGTCGATCAGCCACTGTTCGCTGTTCTTTCGTTTTCTTATGAGAAGGCGTCGTCAAGCAAAGGGAAACGAAGTGTTTACACGACGGAAACAGAAGTGCGTCTTGTCAAATCCCTACCAAAACGGCAAAAGTAACGGAACGTCGTTACTTTTCTTTCTCGATCATGCCTTCATATCGATCAACGGATCATGGCTTCATGCTGTGGTAGATCTACGTCTCGTGTACAGCAGTGTACAGTGTCAGTCAGTGTAGACTACAGACAGTGGTCCGTGCGCATGCAGCTCAGTGCTTGTACGCGTGTTCAGCACACATGTCCATATGCAGAAGAAAAGATGACGGCTGTACATATGCATGACGTGGTGCATAATGTAAGTCGCGCACTCGCGGTAAGTCGCGCATTTTCTATTCCAGGACACTGTGCGTGACTTATCGCGAGTGCGCGACTTACATTATGCACGCACAGACACTAAACATATCTACTTACCTCAGTGTAGACCTCTTCTCGCTCGCGTCTCCGCCTGTCGCGCAGGCGCTTGAGCTGGCGTGACCGCTCGACCTCTGCCTCCTTACGACGCTCTGTTGATCCACTACGATCACCAGCACCGTTGTCGCGATCTCTGTCGTTGCGATCGCTGCGGTCGTTGCGGTCACTGCGATCGACACGCTCACGTTCAGCACGGTCCCGTCGCTTGGGCTCCGGTTGCATGGGCACTTCGTCCTCTTCCGACGAGGCATCAGCTACCGGCGTGGATTCGTGACGCCGCTTGCGGTCCTTCTCTTCCCGGTCCTTGTCGCGATGACGCTCGGAGCGGTGCTCTCGCCGAGACGACCGGTCGCTGCGATCCTTGTCGTGGTCTCGCTCGCTTCGTGAGGACCTGTCGTGATCCTTGTCGCCGCGCTCCTTTTCACGCTCCTTGTCACGATCTCCGCTTCGCTCCTTGTCACGATCTCCGCTTCGCTCCTTGTCACGATCTCCGCTTCTCTCCTTGTCACGATCTCCGCTTCGCTCCTTGTCACGATCTCCAGTACGATCCTTGTCACGATCTCCAGTACGCTCCTTGTCACGATCTCCAGTGCGATCCTTGTCGCGATCTCCACGTTCACGATCCCGATCGCCACCACGCTCGCGATCCTTGTCGTCTCTCTTGGAGCTGCGGTCTCTGTCCTTGTCCCTAGAGGACTTGTGCCGACTGCTGCTGTTAGAGTCGTCATCGCCACGATGACGGCTACGACTGCTGGACTCTCTCTCCCGGTCCTTCTCCTTCTCCTCCTGATCTCGCTCCTTCTCTTTCTCCTCTCGACGGGCTTGCTGACGCTCGCGCTCCAAATCAGCGCGTCGCTTGTTCTCTTTTTCCTAATAAGAAAAAGCAAGGTGCAGAGACAAAGCACAGGATGAAAAGAAGATAGTACAGGGTAGCTATGGAGTACACGGAGGAAGTGCGGTCAATTACGCTCGACAGAGAATTTGCACCCACAACCATGCTTGTTAGGTAACACAACATTGAAACGATGTGCGTACGTAGTTCACTTGCATGCATGGTAATAGGACCTGTGGGAAGAAAGCAAATGCGGTGACATATACCAGACCTACCTGGTGGATGCGGAACTTCTTGATCTCGTCGGTAACAATCATCTTCTTGTCCTCGTTCATATCCACATCTCCCAGCGAGTCCTGGACACACACGCACACATGCACACACACACACGCACAGATGCACACACCACACACACACACACACACAGGACAACATAGAGAATACATCATTCATCTAAGTTCACAAAATCTTGAGCGCATGCAGAGCTGGCTACGCAATGGATCTTGGCCAGGGCACTGCACCCCCATGTATAAACTGTCACGATAAGACACGATGCGCCACATACCAATACATTAATTATGTCAAAAGAATATAACTCCCATTGACATTGTGCAACAACTGATGGGTTGCCGTCATGACTTGTTCTCAGAATTCCGTCGGGCTTCACGATGTAGCTTGCTCTTACTGTACACATACATACTCATACATACTCATACATACTCATACATACATACATGCATACACCCACATACATGCATACACCCATCCATCTATCCATCCACCCATCCATCCATACATAGACAGTTGTCTAAAGTCCTCAGGCTGCTTACAGTGCTCAATGTCCAGTGGACAGAGCAAGTAATACAAATATTACACAGCAATGAATCAAACAAATCTCTTTCCGCTGTTACTGGAGTTTCGTGTGAAAACACTCATCAGACAGCATATGACCAAGACTAACAATCATTAGAATGTATACATACATATACAGAGAAAAGAGGGCAGAGGTGATGGAGGTACAACATTTCAATAGCGCAGGGAAAAGAAGGTGACAAAAATCAGCGTGATTATAAGAGGAAAAAGATGTTGGGAGTATAGAGCATAGGGTAGAGGAACAGTGCGATTCTCTGGCAACACACATCAGTAGAGATTTGTGACACATGACATTGTGACCTAGGGTGGTAACAATTGTGATGGGGATTGTGCGTAGTGGGAATCACTCACGCCAGGCAAGGGGGTGACTACCACACCCGCCAAGGCATCGAAAAACCGGTGACAGAAGCCAAGACCCGCCAAAGCGCGTGAGCCATGAGTCCTGGGGAGTGCTCACCATTCCCGCGCCCCGGGGAACCCAGCCCCGATCGCCACTTCGCCGACGGGCAAAACAGCCACCCCCAGCCTGGTGCAGCTCATGTATTTGTCGTCCATCATGTTACCCTGCTGAGTTGCAACTTGTTGGCATGACGACATTTGGGGATTAACTCGCTCCTCTTGTTCAGGCGCGCGCGCGCGCGGGAATGGTGATAATAAAGAACTTAAAGGCGGTTCACTTGCCAGCGCAGCAGAACAAGGGTACACAGCATTAGAAGAACACTAGCAGCACCACCGGCCAGCGTTGCCTGGCCGAATGTGGCATATGCGCATGCGGCCGCGCGGGTGATCATGTGAAGCAAGTACGTGAACAGCACACGTGCTCAGCACGTGGTGGTGGCCAGACCGCTGAAGTCCTGGTGAGGGAGGTTCTTCATCGTTGGAAGAAGAAGGAGGGACGTCTGTTACGCCTTCAGGAGGCTGGTCAGGGTTGTCCATCACCTGGTGGCGGATGAAGCGGCTCAAAAAATTCATAAACTGTTGTATCCTTTTTATTTGTTGCAGATGTTTCTATTTGCAGAGAACGGTTCACGTGGTCCGCAGCGCTTGTGCGGCTGCTAGTGCTACCTGAATAGTATGGCCTAGGCTAGGTGGCTACATGATTCGCACGCTTCGCGTGCTCAGTGCTTCTGCGCGCGGCTGCTACTGCATGCTACTCGTACTGATCGTGTCTGCTACCACCTACATGTACACTGTTCGCACACTTCGCGTGCTCAGCACGTGGTGGTGGCTACACGATTCGCACGCTTCGCGTGCTCAGTGCTTCTGTGGCTGCTTCCGCTAGCTACACGATTCGCACGCTTCGTTCGCACGCTTCGCGTGCTCAGTGCTTCTGCGGCCGCTAGCTACACTGTGCTACACTGTTCGCACGCTTCGCGTGCTCAGGGCATGGCAGCGCTGCTCCGCAGCGCTTCAGCGTGACACAAAAACAAACGTCACAGGTGCCTCTTCTTTATAAGGAGCGTGACACACACACAGACACACGTCACAGGTGCCTCTCTTTTATAAGTAAAGATGGCCAACATTACCTCCGGGCCAATCTTGCCAGCTTGCCGTGCCATGGAGATTATTGATTCCGTCACGACGTCGTCAATTTCATCATCAGCTTAAGGTATTGGCACAGGCGTGCGCGCACCCACCCACACACACACACATACACCCACACACGCGCGCGCACACGCGCACACACACGCGTGCGCGCGCACACACACACACACAAACAACAGAGTACAGATCAGCCACGGACTGAAAAGAATCATAGCATTCATGTGGAAGCACAGTCTACATGTCACGAAACTCAATGGAGCCCAAAATGCCCACGTACCAGTCCCGGAGCCAGCTCATGAGGGGTGGTACAGCCCCAGGTCGGATACAGGGCCTATCATTCCCTATGCCTAGAGTGGCATGGGAGGTTGCATCTCTAGCTCTCTACGCCGCATCATATCTGCTTGTTTCAGCTACACATGCCGCTAGCACAGTAGTCCTCACTGGACAAGAAGAACAGCTTAGTGAGGATAGCTTATCAGTGCTTCCACATAATCTATGATACACTGGACATTCCATGAAAAGCTGGAATTGGTAAAAAACTGGTGCAGCCATGGCCGTACCAGAGGCGCTGTCCCTGCACACACACACATACACACACACACACACACACACACACACACACACACACACACACACACACACACACACACACACACACACACACACACAGAGTATGGTACGCAGAGGAGCGGAAGCACAGACACAGACACAAACACAGGCATACATACATACACAGACACACACATGTGCACGAAACGACTGATAGCCTCGCTCACCAAGCTGATTAGTGTCGACCGAGTCCTTGAGAAGTCCCAAGAGCTTTCGAAGAGTACTGTCATCTTGCGCCTGCGAGAAAACAGGACACAATACTCGATCACGAGCCACGAAACCCACATGGCATTATGGAATACCACCTGATAACATAGAGAAATGTTAGTCTACGGCCTCGCTTACATGAAGACAGTTTGAAATGCTTTGTAGCGTTTTTACCTGCTTGCAGTCCATTTTTCGAGTGTCTACACAGAACAACAAAGGCGCCAGGCTAGTTCATTGCAACTCTGAGTTGCATGCAACCGTAGAGCAACATCAATATGCTGTTGACCACGGCAGTATTTATGCAAGGAGAAATGTGGAGGTGTTGGCGGTTCTGTGGTGTGGTGCTATGCTTTGGGTGTTGGATTCGTAGTACTAGCAAGCAGTGTGGAAAAAAATTGTGTGGATGCATGTGGGGCTGTGCTAGTTTCACGGATAGCAGTGTTATATTAAGGCGGAGTGTATGCCTGGTGCGGTAGGTTGTAAAGGCAGGGAGAATTAAGCCTAGTTCACATTCAACGGGGCGCGGGGGGACATAAGCAGGGACGGGACAGTCCGACGACGTCCAATGTGAACACCAGGAGCGGGAACGCAACCGTACTACCGGCTTCATCCAAGGAGAAATAATTGAAAAGAAGTCCCGAAAAACAAGAAATTAGGCCCGAAGGGCACCCCGTCACGGACCATGCCTTATGGCTCGCGCCGTTCGACGTTGAACATCTCCAACAACTGCAGCATGCCGGGTTGTACGAATAGTACAAGACTTTACAGCTCACCCCAGCCGTCCCCGATAGGCCCTTACGTTACGTACCGTTAGAATTGCGTCGAATGTGAACCAGGCTCTAGATGACTACACAATGAACAAAAACGACGAAAAGTTGAAAACGTTTCCAATCAACTGTTGTACTTGCCAGCTGCTGTAGTGTGTGCATGCTGCCTTGGCAAGCCTCACAGGGGTTTGATAGCTCGCTCAGTCGCAAGTCGTATGGTGCAAAAAAAGATCTGACACGATTCACTGGAATAGTGGTTTTACTCTTCTTCGAAAGATGATGCGAAACGATACAAAGCCGAAAGCGCATTTAAGGCACTGTTTCAAAAAAGTTTCCAATACGTTTCCAAAAGTGTTGGTGTATTGGACTACCTGTGACAGAGTTGGAAACGTTTCAAAATGCGGACGTGAAAACGGGGCCTAAATATTCCAAGCACCATGGAAAGCAAACTGCGGTTCTAGGACATTGCACATTTCCTCAACATTTAACTACGATATCCAGCAAACGCCAACTGCAAGAGTGCCAAAGAGAACCAGGTGGAAGAGACCCACCTTGACTTCCGGGTCGAGCTCTTCCTGTTCATCTCCCTCATCTTCGGATGATGATTTATTATCCTCATCCTGGATAATAAATAAATGTATGGAGAGAGAGAGAGAACACACAGCGTGCAGCTCATCAGATAAAATATGCCTAGCTGCTAAGCGTCTAGGTGTTTTCAGCTTCACACATACCGGGACGTAACTTTAGGGTTCACGGCTTGCCACTAAAAGCACCCGTCACGTGCGCCTCCATTTTGGATTATGGACGCGCGCTACACTCCGCGACAGCACCTGTCGAAGTAAAAAAATATCGACTCGAAGTCTAGCCGGAGAGCGTACTTTTCGAATTTTTCCTTGGCTTCACTTCACTCGGGCTTTGCATTTTTGCTTCGGTTTTTCTGACTGACCTGGACTTGATGATGGCGGCGGTGGCGGTCTTGGCGAAAGATCCAGTTCCATCTGAGGCACTCTGTCGACTTTTCTTGTCTACTGAGGTTCTGGCAAAGCGCAGCTGCATCGAACCTGGCTAGATGTAGCTGCACGCATCCTTTGTTTGCCCTGCAAATCTCGATCTGTTGCTCTTCTTGCTGTTTGGCCGAAATGGCTGATGCCAAGAAAGAAAATATTCTTCCTGTAAAGAGGCCGAAATTGAGCAAGGGCATGTAGGGTATACAAAGAAAAAGAAATGTCATGGTCGTTTCAGCAGCTCACGACAGCCAACACGCTCCATCGTGTCGGGATTGGAAGTATCCAGCACGGCTGTTCCGAGCGCTGCTGCTCTTGATATTCTTCTTCTTCAGAAATTCTGCACACCTTGTCGGCCAAAGTACGCGCGTGTGCACGGAAAATAGATGCGCTGAGCCGTTTCTTGTTCGATTTTGACAAATGAGCCAGAGCGCGCTAAAACATGACCACAGCTTTTTTGGAAAAAGTCGAGAAAATCGCGATTTGAATTCCGCAGCAAAGAATACGAAGTGCAGTGCAACGCGAGTCGCTGTTGTTGTTCTCCTCGGTCGACTGGACTGTTCTGGATGCATTTTCTTTGTTGCAAGTAAGTTTATTAGTTTGAGTTTGTATTCCATGTTGCGCTGAGTCGCCTAAAACTGATCAACATCGATGTATCGACGGAAGAGCCTAGTGGTAGTACTGTACTGCGGAGCGGAAGAAGACGACATCCTCGCACTCCATGCGCAGGATGAATTATTTTGAGGATTTGGGTCGGAAACAGAAGGAAGACGATGATGGCTACAGCGACGATTCATTTGAGGGCAACACTTTCATCGAGCGTTAAAGAATTGATGCTGGTAGTCCCGCAATCTGCAGTGACGAGGAATTCTACTCTGATGACAACCTGGCAAGCGATTGGCATCGACACTGACTTGGGAGGTGAGTCGGCCGATGAATTGACCAGAATGGACATCGCTGCACATATCCGGGACAATGCCAGTATTGATTGCAAGTGGAAAAACATCAATGAACTCTGCTGCTCCCTCAACTTGCTCAAGTCAATCATTTGAGCACCCTTATGTGGAACATCGCTAGCACGAGCAGTAGGCAGCGAAAGCAGTACTCTCTGGCGAGCGGAGAAAAACGTGTGCAGATGGGCTTTGGTGTGGGGAATATGAGTGCGACGTCGAGTATGTTGAGGAAGACTGTGTGCAGCAGTGTATACTGTATATCTGAAAGACAGGTGGAGTGTGATGGAGAGGACGTGGAGTGCAAACTTCTTCGGCCATCTACAGATATGGACCGTGTTTTCGCTGGCAGTTCTCCAGTGGTGGTCCAACCAGGAGGTATTTCGGACACCCAGCTCAGCTGCCTATAGATATTTTGGATGTGGCCGAGTACATGTCAGCTCGTGCTATTCGACCCTGGACAGAGGAACTGACCCGGAAAGGATGAACCAAGGGACATATCAACTGTGTGCAAAAATGACAATCCCTTTGTCGTCCATAGAATTTCACCATTTCAACAGTGCTTCATATAATACCATTGTAGCAACACTTAGACATGTCAGATCAATCCAAAACTTTCAGACAGAGAACATTAGGTGTTTTTGATCATTTTTGAACAAAAAACTGAAAATCGAATTTTTGGTCTGTGGTCATATTTTAGCGTGCTCTGGCTCAAATAATGGCTTGTTGTTTTGCTCTCGACCTTGGCTATCCTTCTACCGTTCAATACTTTACGGAAACGCAACGACCCCCCCCCCCCCTGTTTTTTTTAGCCGAACTTTGGCCAAAGTTACTGGAAAACCCGGAACTCGTTTGAAAAAATACGAACAGTGGAAGTCTTGGGACGTCTTTCGTGCGTGTGGATTCAAAAATTCAGGCAGTTTGAGCCAACCGTAATGAATCCCGTAAAGTTGATGGGAAAATGCGATTTGAGCACTGACCGATTGTGTGGTACAGTATATGCACGCGCCTGTCACGTGCATGATGTAGCTGGCGACGCTAGCATGCCTATCCGTGAACCCTAAACTTAGCAGCCACACATGGCTCTAACGCATACGTACATTATGCATGTGCGCGACGCAGACGAGCAAGAGAAATAATTTCACAAGGATTGCAACGGCATGGCACAACAATGAACAAGCACCACGTCAAAAGCGACAGCAATAGACTGTAATTTTGTCCATGCCTGGAACCACTGAGGCCCGGAGATGGAGCGCTGATTATCTAGATGAACTGTGGTGTAGTATTCACTGCAAGGGAGCAGGCATCACTGCTTTCTTAGACCATGCGCCTAGCTCCTACAAATGAGCACAATTGAGCCTTCGTGCGCCCATGGTGCCAGCACAGACCCACGCGTGGCCAACGTGATAAGTGGTCCAATAGCTGCGTCCAACATATGTTTGATTTACAAGACGCATAGACACTAATAACATGCTCCAGCTGCAAAAGCATGCACAAAAAAAATGATGATGCAATCAGCAACTTACTACAGTAAAACATGTCAAGGCCACCACTCGGAGAAGGCGACTACCTGTCCCAGAAGACAACTGGACCAAGGACCAAGGGATGCTTTTTCCAGTCAAACGACCCTGGAGAAGGAGACCACCTGGATACAAAGACCACGTTTTGAAGGTCCCTCGAGCGGTCGTCTTAGACAGGTTTCTGTTCACTGTACTTAGACAGACATCCTATCCGAAATTGGAAAAAAAAACCTGTCAAAATGACAAACATGCCATACCTCGCCATTGCCTGCTTCATCCTTGGATTCTCCGTTTGCGGCTGCGTCTCCGTCACCTGCTGCAGCCGCAGCAGCTGCCTTTGCCGCTGCCTTGCGCATCTTTTTCTTGTGCGCCCGGAGTTCTTTCTTGGTCTTAGCGTCGACCTTGACCTGCAGGTCGTACAGCACATAGGGAACACACGCACATACACGGGTGGACACACACACGCACACATGGGGACACACACACACGGGGACACACACACACACGGGGACACACACACACGGGGACACACACAGGGAACACATGAGGGGATGTACATGTACACTATTGGAAAAGGTGCAAAATGCCACATTCCAGCTTGTGTTTGTACACGTACAACAAAACAATGCTTGTGGCATGAGCTACACAGTATGTTGCCTGAGTGCAAGCATGGTACTGCAAAGACAGGGCTGAGCGTGGCACACCCACCTGGCAGTAGTCTAGCACACCTCATAGAGTACACTTGCCAACAAAGTCTGGCCACAACTCGTTGTATAATACAAGCGGAAGCTGCGAGCCTGCTGTCAGAATACGACGCCAAGAACACCCTGCACGCCTTTCACAACGACAGTGATCATACACTGCAGCCTATAGCTTAGAATACCTCAGTGACCTATGGGCTAATCGCACCAACAACTCACCACCAGCCTCTTGTCGCCAAGTCTCAGTTCATTGAGCAAGCGCAGTGCACGCATGGCTGCCTCTGGACGCTCGTACTCGCAGAAACCGAAACCTGTAGCAGCAGGCAGAACAATGGATTGCGTGCGAGTGTGTGGGTGCGTGTGCGTGATGAAAGGAGGACGAGAGAGAGAGACGAGAGAGAGACGAGAGAGAGAGAGAGAGAGAGAGAGAGAGAGAGAGAGAGAGAGAGAGACAGACGAGAGAGACGAGAGAGACGAGAGAGAGAGAGAGAGAGAGAGAGAGAGAGAGAGAGAGAGAGAGAGAGAGAGAGAGAGAGAGAGAGAGAGAGAGAGAGAGAGAGAGAGAGCGCAAATAGATAGGAGGTGGCAGACTTCATTTATGTCAGCCCTATGAATTATATCTGCACTGACATACTGCATGCAGGAATTAAAGATAAGACACAAGCAAGAATGTGAACACTGTGACATGATACCATGCAGTTCGTAGATATGTCAGTATCAATGATGGAATTCTCTCTAGCATTCCGCGGGGGAAATTCTCTGACTTGCTGCTTCACTGTGAAGTACGCCACCTTCTAAAAGAATCAAAATCTTCAAAAAATGAAAGGAGGACAGCGTGACCGCCATCGGCTTCATTGAATCGTTCGCGGCTTTGAGAGCGAAAGGTGGCCTCCAAAAAGTGTGGCCAGCCGCCTGTGGCTATAGATCAAATTGCACTTGCCCATGACATGTACATTCTGGCCCATCGCACAGCATAAAACCAAGACATCAAGACATCTAACCTTGCATCTTGCCGTTGGCACCCTGCACACGTTTCCAGCCTATGACGCGGCCGCAAAGCATCAACATCTGACGCACGGTTGTGTCAGTGGCCTTCTCCGAGATATTACCAACGAACACTGTTGTTGCCTTGGCCTTGTCAACATTGGAAGACTGGAGGACAAAAGAACAAGATCAACACCACCAGTGAATACCCGAGCTGAGGAAGAAACTTCCCAATTCCAAGGCGAACAGGCCAATGGCTAAGGGGCTGTCCGTAAATATCGAACTATTTTAGTTTAGACCCAACCCCTCCCCCTCAGAACGATTTTTTTTACATACATGCAACAACAGTTGCAAGTGTGTCACTGCCCTAATGGCCATGTACATGTTTTCTGAAATGAAAATGGTCAACCCCTCCCAACCCATAACGTAATTATTTCGTTTTGCGAAAAAAAAGTTCGATATTTACGGACGACCGCAAATTGTGAAATTGTGAAAACTACAAGTAGTGTAGACCAGCGGCAAATTTACCTGCTTGGACTACTACACAATACAGATATGCCAATTGTGAGGTACTAGGACATTGTCATCACCAGCTGATTATTGGCTTTTGTACCATACTCACCCGATTAGAAGCAGGGGGGCTTCTATTCGAGAAGGGCGTCTAGCCATCTACTCAAGAGATATTATTTCAGTCCATAGCAGTTTTCCAATCGAATCCCTAGAATTGTCATGTTCAAGGCAACTCGACCTCAAGGTATTTGAAGTAGTTCGAACACACTACGTCGACCCGGGCATGCATGTGCATGCACGTGATATTTTTTTGTACCCACATGACCTTACCACACTGATACATGGCATTACTTGTCCACCCCATGCCTCGCGAATAGTAGTCCGTGTTTTGTATTCAAAAAGGGCTGTATCATTTCAACCGGTCGTTGGAAGGGGAGTATTATTCAAGAAGGGCTTTTATTCTAGAGGGGTGTTTATTCGAGAGCGGCTTCTAATCGAGTGAGTACGGTATATGGTATACTGTGTTCTTACAATTTAACATGTACCATGCAGATTCACTGCTTTGGGTGAGACGAAATCATGTATTTCCCGTGTGTGTGTGTGTGTGTGTGTGTGTGTGTGTGTGTGTGTGTGTGTGTGTGTGTGATGCGGCCATACCTTGTTATAATTTCTGCCAGGGGTACCACTTGCGCGAGGCTGACTTGGTCGCGTTGATGTTGGAGTGCCCATGGGTGGACGCATACCAGCTGCCATCTAGAAATTAGCAAAAACAGATAGGGCGTAGACATATGCACCCATTGTCCCAACCACACACACACACCCACACACACACATCAGCATCATCATCATTATTATGCCGGGTAAGTCAACTGCCTGCTTGGAGACGAGACTGGAAACTGATTAGAAGAAGAAAGTGAATAGAGATTTTGTTTGAGGAAGGTAAAGCCACTGATAAATCCGACGAGGCCTCTCACACCAGTGTTCATCTTAATCGGTACATGGGTGATGATCAGCTGAAAAGGTCCCTCCATCATCACACAGCATAACGTCATACAACAATGGGGACTACTAGTACAGTTCTACAATGTCAAAATAGTGACAACTTTTGCACATACTTCTGCTGAACACACCGTCTATGTTCCAGCTTGACAATTTGCATAGAAATATACACAGGAAAATTCACTAAAAAGTTCAATCCCCTGGTTCTGCTTATTGCACCACAATTATCATCATCCCTGTCCGCAGCATACAATACAAAACACACACTTCGAAAATCTATATTCTCAAACTTTCCGAATGATCAACAAAATGAATTGTGAACTAAAAACCTTTTGAGAGTGGCAAAATATCGCTCAACAGAAGTGCACATAGGCCATGATTTATAGTGATGCCATGGACGTAATCATTCCAGAATTTTTTTTAAAATTGGATGGACAACATTATGTGCCTGTATTGTTGCTGAGTATGCTACTTTTCGGAAATAATAATTCGTGTCAATAAATGACAGAAAGAAACAAATAGCCAGTAACTGCTTACGGGTGGCATCATCGGTGGAGGCATTCCAGCATTCATAACTCCAGGCTGGACAGCCCCTGGATGCAGCATACAGCAGAAGAACAAAGTTCTTATTCACAAAATCGCTCAAACTGCTGAGTTATTGGTCACATAAATATTACATACCACTTGGCATACGAAATGGAGGGCCAGAAACTGGAAATGGGGCATGGACTCCCATTGGTGGGCCAGGCTGCATAAGACTACCACCACTACCACTCTGCATCAAAGGAGCTCCCTGTGGAGGGGGCTGAGCGCCCATTGGAGGTCGCTGCATCTTGACCAAATTCGAGAAGAAACCCTTCTCAGTACTTCGAACAGGTGACGCAAAATTCTTCCCACTTCTTCGCAAACTTGGTCGTCTCGCGCCATTGTGTTCAGTCATGCGCAAGCGCGTCACCTAAATCTGTGTGAAAACCATGGCCTTCGGCGCGAAATCTTACTGGGTGACGTAGTTTTCCCTTGTCCATTTCCAGTCAGTATCGATGCGGTGCCGCTTTATTGCTGAGTACTCAGCCAGGTTTGGGAATGTGCGATTCAAAACAATTGGATTTGAGAGCAAACGGTTTGGTTTACATGGAGGTTACTATGGTCACAACCGTACGATTCTATCGCGTCGGAACGCGCAGCTTGTTTTTTTCTGAGTGGTTCAAAAAGGAAAAGAAATGATTGATTCACAGAACCATCATTGAAATCGAGAAGCTGAGAGTGTGATCAGATCATGTCGAGTAGTAGTGTGTCGTTGTGAATATTTGGATTGAATATTTCAATCAATGGCATGATTGTCATGTACTTCGATATTTCAAGGGGAAGTTAGTTTTGATAGTACTTTGTTTCCCCTTTTTACCTCCCTCAAGTTCACAAAGAAGCGATCAGCTTCTCCTTCGCGTAATTGTATTTTATGGTACTGTAGTCTGATTTCAGCATGATCAACGAAGCGATATCTGCATCCGGACTCCGGGCTGAGCATGCCCTCTATGGCTTGATCATCTTTCAGATTTCTTCGTTCACCATCGCATTCTTCATCCTGGTGACTGGAGTCCTGGGTGCCGCACCATACGGTCGCTATGTGGAGCATCAGTGGTGGGCAGGTCCCAAGGTACCCGCTCGGCTGTCCTGGCTTGTTCAGGAGTGTCCTGCTGTCCTCATTCCAGTCATCTACGTCCTGGCTTCCGGACACTGGTACGATATGTACGTCACCAAGCCCACAGCCAACTCGTGGCTCCTTCTCGCCGTCTGCATTCACTACACATACCGGTAGGAATATGATAACATACGAAATTCAGAGCCCATTTGGAGCCCATGCATGCATAGGATTTCAACGGTATTCCATTTCCCCAGACGCAAAGGCCGCAACCACACTACGTAAAAATCACAGTACAAATTTTCATGCATATCTCAGTACGAGTACAAGTCGGTACGCAACCACACTATACTTTTCGGTCTGCATAGACAACGTTTTCGCGCAACCAGCACGTGACGTTGCCGTACCAAAGCGTGTGACATGCGCTGGAAAAGACCGGGAAATTCAAAAACAATGCTGATACTGACGTACGACCACCACTGACCAGGTACGAAAAAAGTTGTACACAGGAGATGGAGCGCGAAAACGACAAACGTGGCTTTCTACAGCGGTGCGCCAGTTGCTGAAAACCTACAAAGCGCATTTTGTATTTCAGGCGGGTCGCCATGACGATTTCTACTGTAATGCCGTTTGTACGTGATTTTGTACCTAGTGTGGTTGTAGTCTAAGGTTCAGTTGCTATACCCTGCGTTTCTATCGCGCTCAGTTGCTATACCCTGCGTTTCTATCGCACTCAGTTGCTTATGTAAGGGCCCATTTACATGTGGAAATATGCCCCGGGTTTCACTGTAAGCCTGTCTTGATCTGTCACCCTATCCTTTCTTCTGTTCTCATGGTTTCGTTTCACCTCCCCGACACGAGACTGACGGGGGGGGGGGGGGGGGGGGGTCGGAGCATGCACTCATGGGGCCTGGACGGCTTTGTCGCTGTCTTACTTGATATGTGAGGAGTTCCTAGGCATGGTATGGGATATGCTTGACACACCAGAGTACACGTAACTATGCTTGACTCTGCCAGGCGTTGGAGCCGCTCAGTTGACAGTGTACCCTTTTTTCTGTCAGATGTGTGACATCACTATGTGACATCACTATGTGACATCACTATGTGACATCACTATGTGACATCACTGTGTGACATCACTATGTGACATCACTGTGTGACATCACTATGTGACGCTTCACACCTTTTTGCTAAGCTTGGGTAGAGATACATAGTACTGAATTCACACAAAGGCACAATGGAGTTTTACAGAGTTGTCTCAACTCGGAGTTTCTTGTTCAATGCAATCATCAGACGACTATGAGCAAGAAACTCCGAGTTTCGACAACTCTGTAAAACTCCATTGTGCCTTTTGTGTGAAATAATGCTCCACATTATTGTGTCGAGCCCTCTCCGCTGGCGGAAGGAAGTTTTCCTCCTTGTGGTACCGAATTCATGTGTGTGGTGACAACAGCAAAACGGATGCCGACGTGCGCGAGCGTGGACACACACGCACACACCTTGAACGCCCATTGCCGTAGCAATGATAGCGATGGCTTCCTCGCGCTGAGGCTCTAAACCCGAAATCAAGAGTACATGAAAAGCAGAGTGTGCAGCTCGGATGGGTTGCTGTCACGGCGGAATTCCGTGATTACATCATTTTAGTGATGTAGTATGTACAAGCAGGATTCAAGCAGGTCTCTTTCTGCACAACTGCAGCTCAGTTGTACGCACTACGCCATTTCCCGCCTCAGATCTGCGCCAAATATGATGTAATCACGGAATTCCGCCGTGACAGACACCCATAGCAGAAAAAGCCCCAAGCTGCACACTCTGGTTTTCATGTACTCTTGCCGAAATCTGCAGCACGGCGAATGCCGATTGAGGTCACCAGGACGACGGAACACTCGGTCACGGCGGTAGTTGGGCCACAGGATGTCTGGGGCTGCCTTCTCGACCCTCCGTCGACACACACGCACGCCACCACACACACGCACACACACGCACGCGCACACACATGCACACACACATACACACACACACACACACACACACACACACCACCACCACCATTGACCACTGGAATAGAATAGAGTAGAAGTCTGTCTTTCGAGATACACTGACTGCACATAAGCCTGGTTATAGTGTTGACATACATAGAAATACCGGTCTTGTATGGAAGCCTGTCTCAAATAGAAGCCTGCAAAAATGTCCCCAAAAAGTCGTATAAGCCGAGGCCTTTATACACTACTTTACGGTGTATACTTCTACATGACATTGTGTGTTATTGAAGAACATGTACTTCGAAGTACATGTACATGTCATGTAGCGTAAACTCTGGAACCCGTTCTTACGGTTTTGCGTGTCATCTTGGCAGTTGTGTACAATCGCTTTCCTCTGGCCTTTGCTGGGTGCTGCGCCTTGATCGATAGAGGGTGGTGGCGTTCCTACGGATGCGGAAATTCCGAAAACCCGCCAAGTCTCATGTGAACCGTGAACCTGTTTTGCTGTATGTGTGTGTGCTCAGGTCATTTATATTTCCATTCCTGCTGCGCGGCAGCAAGCCGTCGTCTCTTCTCACCACGCACATTGCCATGGTCGTGTGCAGTGTGTCCGGTCTCATACACGCGCTGGCGTTCGTCCAAGTGCTCGCCTACCCGCCGACCTGGACGTCCAGTCCGCAGTTCATCATCGGGCTCGTGCTCTTCTTCGCCGGGCTCCTGCTCAACATACATGCGGACGGCGTGCTGAGGAACTTACGAAAGCCCGGCGAGACTGGGTATAAAATCCCCAGAGGTAAGTTCGGGTGGGAGAGGGTATTTCAGCCTTGTTGCAATGTTGGTTGCAGTAATGTTGTGTGTGAACATATAAACTTATTGGTTTTATAATACAGTATTATGTAGTGTATAAAAGATTCAAAAATTCGAAAAAGAAACATTCGAAAGGAATCTTGGAAAGATGACTCAATTGGCTATTGAATCACCCAACGGCCGACGCCCCCGGAAATCCCTAAACTCTGGGTGGACTTGGAAATGATCCCAATCACGGGCTCACCACACTTCGGTAAGTGGATGACGACAAGGTGCAGAAAAAGGATTGACGGCATCAGGGTATCCATTCCGGGATCCAACTGCAGTTAACCCTGCCCCCGGTGAAGGTAGTGCTTGCTACTAGCGTGGCGCACACACACTCTCACGCACAGTACTCCTGTTCACTGAATTCTCCCGTCCACTCACTATTTTCCCGTCTGTTTGCTGCATGTGTGTGTGTGTGTGTGTGTGTGTGTGTGTGTGTGTGTGTGTGTGTGTGTGTGTGTGTGTGTGTGTGTGTGTATGTGTGTGTGTGTACTGCAGGCGGCCTCTTCGAGTATGTATCCTGTGCCAACTACTTTGGTGAGATTGTGGAGTGGAGTGGCCTGGCACTAGCTGGCTGTTCAGTGCCATCGTCCGTCATGGTTGTTATCACTCTATTGAACCTGGTGCCACGTGCCACCACACACCATGCCTGGTACAAACAGAAGTTTGAAGATTACCCGTCGGAGCGCGCCGCCATCATTCCCTTCATCTTCTAACGTGACGGCAAGCATGTCGACCGACCGTGCCGAGATGCGTGCCCCTCTCGACTACATGTACTTGTGTGCCAGGCCTGCTCGTGTCCCTTGTGCGGTCACTGTGTTTTTTACAGTCACTGTGCTGTATGCAGTCACTGTGCTGTATGCAGTCACTGTGCTGTATGCAGTCACTGTGCTGTATGCAGTCACTGTGCTGTATGCAGTCACTGTGCTGTATGCAGTCACTGTGCCGTATGCAGTCACTGTGCCGTATGCTGTCACTGTGCTGTATGCAGTCCATACGTCATGTGCAGTCACTTTGTGGTATGCAGTCACTGCGGCCTATGGCATGCTCCTACTGCTCACAGTCCATACGTACAATCAGTGACGGAGTCTGAGTCTTGACACGAACCACTCGTGCGGGTTGTTTGAAGTACACACAGCTGCAAGCAGCGTGCGTGACAGTTCTGCAGCCTGCCTTTCGTTTACCCAACCACGGGTCGTAGTTTTACTCTATCTGCGCAGTTGCAGCAGGTCTCTCTCTCTCTCTCTCCCTCTCTCTCTCTCTCTCCCTCTCTCTATCTATCTATCCATCAATGTATGTATGTATCTATCCCTCTCCGACGTCTAGACTTTATCTATGGCTAGCATTAATGGCAGGGCCATCTCACAGTTACAGGCAATGTTTTAGCTACCGGTATCATTTTATTTTTCCAAACCAAAACTGTCCTTGACCCACCACACATAAATTATACTATTATTATCCGAAAATTGTTCGTCTCGTGAAAAACATTGATGATATTTTACAATTTAACCAGTATCATTATTAGCCCCTTTAGCCTGCTTTGATTACTCTCTGCACTGATGTTTGCAAACAGGCAGTGCTCTGGTCTGCCAGCTTGTACACGCCTCCCAGAACTCTTTAGCACGTGTCTTGGTGCTTTCGTCAGGAATTAGTGGGACGCTTTGCTTTTGTCAAGTGTTATTGCCTTTTTAGATTTGCTCCTGCAAAATGTATACCAATAATGTATCGACATTTGTGTATACTTTATTCGTGCACTGTCTATCTTTTAACTTACACAGACATGGACCGGGTGTCTGAGTGTTTTATCTTCTGCTCAATCTCCAGATCTTGTCATGTAAGCATGAAGTTGCAATAGCAATGTCTATCTGAGTGGTTTGGTCTTCCATGTGTGTGATGGTGCTGCGGCCAGCGCACACAGAGAGAGGGGGGGGGGGGGGGAGAGAGAGAGAGAGAGAGAGAGAGAGAGAGAGAGAGAGAGAGAGAGAGAGAGAGAGAGAGAGAGAGAGAGAGAGAGAGAGAGAGAGAGAGAGATCCCTCGACCACCCACCATCCTACAGACCGATATCCATGGTCGGATCTGGAAAAATTCCATTTGGTGGAGCTGAGCTAGCTTTATAAATTATAGTATCGCACAGCCTCGTTGAAGGTCTTAGCCCTCTTATCATAATTATTGTGTATGCTACACTTGCATGCATGTGAATGCCATATCGATCACATGGCCGGTGTATTGAGCTCACATGAAGAGAATGATGCCAATGTGGCATAACCACACTATGGTTATGGCTGCAACGTTTATAAATAGTCTATTTCCCATGGGGCTACAGATTGATGTGGCTGAGATGATGCACGCATGGCATGCACCTCTTGGGTTCTAACGTGCCCCGAGAAGAGCTCGAGCCAGGAGAGGTTCTGCGGCTTCCATACTTTTGGGTGCCCAGTCAGTACAGTATAGTCCAGGGAGTAGTAAAATGCCATAATATTTACTACTCCCTGGTAGAACCCTGATAAGACGTAACCATGGTAACCCCACGAGCAGCAAAACTGTACACGTACTACAGCGAAACCTGTCTAAGATCGTGTCCCTCTACGGCTCTGTACGACCTTACAAACGTGGTCTTTGTAACCAGGTGGTCTCCCTATCCAGGGTCCTTTGACTGGAAATATTACCGTATCCCTTGGTCCTGGTTTGAGTGGTCTTCCAGGACAGGTGGTCGCCTTGACAGGTTTTACTGTATTTGCGGTACGTCCTATTATACTTCAGCATGGATCAATACACAAGAGTTCTGGACACTCTACGTACTAAGCTAGGGTTTGTCTTATCACTGTATGTTCTGAGTTCCACTGTTCTTCGAATCACTTTTAGATCGTCAACATGTTATTCTGCCATGCATGGGATCTCGTCCCTCTACGGCTCTAGTACAACCACCATGATACAGACCAGGGAACACTACACATACCGGCATGTGTAGTGTTCCCTGGTAAAGGTTGCATACATGGCACAGTATGGGAATACATCATGCATGCATGAGGTCGGGTCCACTATACCCCGTGCTAAGTCCTTGCTGATTCCGGCATGGCTGGCGGCGATGCAAAAGTATATAATAGAGAGGTTCTGCAAAACGAAAATGTGTACGAACTTTCGCTCTACGTCACGAAGTGAGAAACTTCGCACGAACTTTCGCAACTTCAGTCGATGCGCCAAGCCAGCTGAGTGGGTCTTTTTATTTTTTTCGCGCGAAAGTTTATGTGGTGAACTGTGTTGGTAAAGATGAAGATGTCAGTCAATGAAATTTGCTATATTTCTTGTGTCTTACCAACCCTGTACGGATCGAACTGACGATTCCCGAGTGCGACAAATGTCCTGAAGTCTGCTCCTATTAGCTAGGTATCTAGAAATTTCAACTTGAGTGTCAAGTGAAGACTTTGCCAGTTGCAGACGAGGGAATTCTCGCTTCACGATTTTCCTGGTGTATGGAGATACGCCGGAATGCCGACCCACCACACCCGACATGATGCTTCGGCCGGAATGCAGGTTGGTGCAGATAATTGCCTAATAATATATGTCTAAGCGTGTATACCTTTCCTTTCGTTGCATGCTTGGTTAATCCGACGGCACGAAATTATAGACATTTCGAAATTAACTTGAATATTATTTGGTCGTTGTATGTCTTAGTATTCCCTGTCAGTTTGTGCCTTTTTGTCGCGCTCGCCGACTGTATATGATCTAGCGACATTGGTACATGGTGGACAGTTAGTCATAACTCGTAACATTTTGTCCTTATTCTTTTTATCCATGATTACATTGGCTCACCATCCGAGTTTATTTATATATTTTTGATAGGGCAATATGTAATGTACACACACACACACACACACACACACACACACACACACACACACACACACACACACACACACACACACACACACACACACACACACACACACACACACACACACACACACACACACACACACACACACACACACACACACACACACACACACACACACACACACACACACACACACACACACACACACACACACACACACACACACACACACACACACACACACACACACACACACACACACACACACACATACACACACACACACACACACACACCACACACACCACACACACACACGCACACACCATCACATTACGACAACATCAAGGCAATGCCGGCGAAGCTCTATAATTTTCTTGTGCCGCGTGCTAGGAGCATAATGGCATTGCCCGATAATAGCAATTGGTGTAAATGGGTTCCCATGTTCACACACACACACACCACACACACACACGCACACACCATCACATTACGACAAAATCAAGGCAATGCTGGCGAAGCTCTATAATTTTCTTGTGCCGCGTGCTAGGAGCATAATGGCATTGTCCGATAATAGCACTTGGTGTAAATGGGTTCCCATATTTGTGAAGTACATGTATTATTCGGTTGCTGGCTATCAATTGTGCTGTGAGCATGGCAGAGTGAGGTCTTCCAGCTTTGTTGGTGTTTGCTCTATCTTGTGTTTACGCTCTGCAGAAAGGATCATATGTAGTGCCTTCTCAGCATTACATTACATCCATTGCGTAGCAGCAATGTGCCATCCTTCCGCGACTTAGGTGGAATGATGTGCAAGTGGTACTCCAGGGTCAACTTCAATTTGCCGAGCACGTATGCCGCTGGCTTGGGGTCAGCAGCTGGGTGCAAAGTCTCTGTATACAAATCGTGCACTGTCGTCAACAATATGGCATCCTTGTCCAGCAATTCCCGTCCTGTAGCGGCAATGACTATAATATTGGGGAAATCACTCTCGGCACCTTCCGTGCTGTACTGAGAGATGATGCTTCGCAATTGGTGGTCTGTGCTTGGTGCATTGTCGGCAGGGAGCATGTCAATTTGCTTTTGGTAGCAGCGTCTACAAAATCGACTCTCGTCTGAAATCCTGACATGGTGCATGCTACGCAACACATGCTCTGTGTTATGTTTGAATCCATAGTCTGTCTGTACATGATCTGTACGCCATACGCTGCTCTGTGTGTACTGCACATTATACATGCATGCCTTGTACACTGTTGTCAACTGCTTTGCCATGTGTACGTTATGCGTAGTGTTTGAAGTAGAGCGCGTAGTCTACTCTGTCAGCTATGTCAGTTATTCGTTTCCTGATTTCGAATAGTTCCTTGCTTGTCGTTCTGAAGTATAGTTGTAATATATTGTGCTCTTGCTCCACGTAGTTCTCTGTCGATCATATTCTGGCGAATATAACACTGGCGACGAAGATAGTTTTTGTAATCCGCAATGGCAGAACGCCCAGTACCTCAGTTCGATCCTACTGGCCCTGCTCAAGATGTATCCATTCGCTGGGCGAAGTGGAAACGCAGTTTTCAATACTACCTTGCTGCAGAGGATATCACCGATTCGACACGGTCGAAAGCAAAGCTGTTACATCTTGTTGGTCCCGCTGTACAGGACGTGTTTGACACGCTCCCGGAACCTCCAGCTCCGACGGATGGTTCGGTCCAGAATTCTTACGACAAAGTAGTCACTATGTTGGATTCGTACTTTCAGTACACTCCGAATGTAATGTTCGAACGACATACTTTCCGCCGATTGGCGCAAATGGAGACAGAGACAGTAGCTCAGTTTGGCAACCGTTTGGTTCAACAAGCAAAGCTCTGTTTGTTTGCTGACCAGGACGAGCAAGTGTGTGACCAGCTTGTAGAGAAGTGCATCGATGATCGTCTACGCCGAAAGTTTCTGGAGAAACAAGGCACTCTCAAGCTCAAGGATGCTCTGGAGTTGTCCAGACAGTTCGAGGCAACTGAACTCAGCGCTCGAGGAATGTCACAATCGCGCAGTGCTCCAGCTCCTGTCCGTCTGGTATCCTCCACTACTGGCACTAGGACACCAACGTATTCAAGTGGTCCACCCGGAGCAGAGTGTAGCAACTGTGGCCTTTCGGATCACACAGCGGAGTCTGCTAACTGCCCTGCACGTGGCAAGGAGTGTCTGAATTGCCACAAGAAAGGTCACTACAAGCGCAAGTGTCGGAAACCAGTGACGTCCAGGTCGTCCAAGACTGGAAGGAGAGGAAGAGGAGGTGGTACGCATCAAGTCGTTAGTGCACCTTCAGCACACAGCGCACCAGCATCTCAGCAGAAGCCTGTCCAGCATGAGTCCTACGCTATTGGGAAAGTCACGTCTCCGCTGAACGAGTCAGACTCGCTGTTTGTGTCCGTGTTCGTCAACGAACGGCCGCTGAGAATGGAAGTGGACACAGGCGCGAAAGTCACTCTAGTACCTGAACACGTGTGGGAACAGTCCTGGAGTGATGTTCCGCTTGCGGCGTCCCAGCTGCAACTCACCACCTATGATGGCAGTTCGCTACCAGTGGTAGGAGAGACGGTTGTTGAAGTAGCGTACGGTGAGCAATCCATCACAGACACCATTGTGGTTGTGAAGGGCGGTAGCCATCCCCTACTCGGTCGTAACTGGTTGCACCGTCTTCGTCTCGACTGGCCATCATTGTTCCGCATCAACTCAGTGTCGAGCACAGAGGCTGACTTCAAGAATGAGTTTCCGGTGGTATTTGGAACTGGCCTCGGTACGGTCAAGGACCACCAAGCTGAGATCCACTTGAAGGAGGGAGCGACCCCTCGCTGTTGTTCAGCTCGTCCCGTTCCGTATGCTCTGCGTCCTGCCGTGGAGCGTGAGCTCGACCGTCTGGAGGGTGAAGGTATCATACGTCCAGTCAAGTCAGCTGAGTGGGCCTCGCCACTAGTGATAGTCAGCAAAAAGAACGGCGACATCCGCCTTTGTGCCGACTTCAAGGTCACGATCAACCGGCACATCGATCCACCGATCCACGTCAGCATCCAATACCTAATCCGAATGATCTGTTGTCACGTCTTGCCGGTGGGTCAATGTTCAGCACGCTTGATCTCAGCCAGGCATACGCACAGCTGCCGCTATCCGAAGCAAGCCAGAAGTATTGCGTCATTGCCACGCATCGCGGTCTCTATGCATTCAACCGTCTGCCGTTTGGTGTTGCAAGTGCCCCGGCAATCTGGCAACAAACCATGGATCAGATCCTGCAAGGCATCCCCGGTGTGGTTTGTTTCTATGACGACATCCTTATCACCGGAGCAACCCCAGCCGAGCACGATGAGCGCCTACGTCAAGTACTGGAGCGACTTGCCGAATTTGGTGTACGTCTACGTCTCGAGAAGTGTGTGCTCAGCGTTGACCAGGTCCGCTATCTCGGTTTCACTGTCTCAGGCGAAGGCATTCAAACCAATGGCGACAAGGTTGCTGCCATTGTCGACGCACCACCACCGAAAGACCAGACAGCTCTGCAGTCGTTCATCGGTTTAGTGATGTTCTACAGCCGTTTCGTGCCATCTATCTCAGATGTACTACAGCCGCTACGACAACTTCTCGTGAAAGACGCACCCTGGGACTGGTCGTCTGAATGTCAAGAGTCATTCGAGAAGGTCAAGAGTCTGATGGCCGATGCACCCATTCTTGCCCACTTCGACATCAACCGCAAAGTCATTGTCGAGTGTGACGCTTCTCCGTATGGCCTCGGTGCCTGTCTGCTGCAAGAAGATGATACTGGCAGCCGACGTCCTGTGTGCTTCGTGTCCCGAGCTTTGAGTTCTGCCGAATCGCACTACAGCCAGATCGAGCGTGAAGCTCTAGCAATTGTGTTCGCAGTGAAACGTCTTCACATGTATTTGTATGGTCGTCCGTTCGTACTCCGCACTGACCATAAGCCGCTGCTGCGTATCTTTGGACCGCACTCCGACATGCCAGCAACAGCCGTTTCCCGGTTACAGCGTTGGGCAGTAATTCTCAGTGAGTATGAGTACCAGATTGAGCATATCAGTGGCACCGCTAACGTCATCGCTGACTGCTTATCCCGCCTGCCATTGAAGCTGTCCGAGCAGCAAGAAGCAACCGTTGTGAACGCCGTTCTCCAGCATGCCCGTGATCCATGTGAGTCTCTACCTGTCTCTGCTGCTGATGTTGCCGCAGCCAGCAAAGACGATGCCGTTATCTCGCGCATCATGCAGTACCTTCAATTCGGTTGGCCCGCCGACACCCCCGACGATCTTCAAGCCTACCGCCGATGCCGCAACGAGCTGACGATCGAGTCTGGTTGTTTGGTGAGAGGCCATCGTACCGTAATCCCTGTGCAACTTCGCCGCGCGCTGCTGCAGGAGCTGCACAGTGTGCACCTTGGCATTGTGCGAATGAAGTCCGTCGCACGCAGTTTCTTCTGGTGGCCAGGCATTGATGATGACATCAAGCATCTAGCCACGTCATGCCGTCAGTGCCAAGACACCGCTAATGCTCCGCCCAAGGAAGCACCGCATCCCTGGATCTATCCCTCCGAGCCCTTTGAAAGAGTGCATGTCGACTTCGCCGAGCACGACGGCCAGCACTACTTTCTGCTTGTAGACGCCTATTCAAAATGGCTCAGCGTCTACAAGATGTCTTCTACGACAACCCACCAGACCCTGGAGTGCCTACTGTCGTTCTTATCTACGTACGGCATCCCGAAGACACTGGTCAGCGACAATGGTCCGCAGTTCACGTCGCACCTGTTCCGCCAATTCTGTTTGGAGAATGGAATCAGCCATAAGTGCACACCGCCATATCATCCAGCGTCCAATGGACAAGTAGAACGTTGTGTCCAAGAGTTAAAGAAGGCGCTACGTACTCGCCCGGACAACGTGTCAGCCGGCACCCAGCTCCACCGTTTTGTGTTCGCGTACCGCAACACACCACATTCAACAACACAAGTCACGCCTGCAAGCTTGGTGTTCAAGAAATCCCCAAACGTCAAGTTCTCCCTGCTGAAGCCCAATTTCAGTAGTTCCCAGCGTCAGCGTCAGACTACAGCGTCATCAACGAAGAGAGACTATACTCCCGGTGATGCTGTAGCAGTACTCAACACTCGTAATGGCAATGGTCCAAAGTGGATTCACGGAACTATCGCCGAGCGGCTTGGTCCACTATCGTACATCGTTCGTACCGGTGAACAGACGCGACATGTACATTCTGACCACCTTCGTATGGCAGAATCTGAGAGGGAAGAGGAGACTGAACAAATTGAACTGCAACCGCAACCGGCCGTTGAGTTCCGCCAGCCTTCTACCGTACCTGCACCAGTCAGTGCACCAGCAGAACACGCTCCCGCTGTACCAGCTGTCGAGCCAGCATTTGAGCCCGATGCAGACATCGAAGTAGCTCAACCCCTATCCACATCGTCTGAGGCTAAGCCAGCACAGTCGCCGCGCCGATCCTCCAGACAGCATCGTCCCCGTCAACGCTTGATTGAAGAATTGTGATGACACTAACAGTCCTGTCATGATTCTAGCACAGCTCATTCCGTTTTGTTAATTGTTCTGTGAGCTTTATCTTTACTGTGTTCCCTGTTGCAACGCAGTAGTTCTTTTTTGTTTTAGTATGAACAACATTCTATTCCTCACGGCGTTTCTTATCTAAAGGAGGAGGAGTGTTATGTTTGAATCCATAGTCTGTCTGTACATGATCTGTACGCCATACGCTGCTCTGTGTGTACTGCACATTATACATGCATGCCTTGTACACTGTTGTCAACTGCTTTGCCATGTGTACGTTATGCGTAGTGTTTGAAGTAGAGCGCGTAGTCTACTCTGTCAGCTATGTCAGTTATTCGTTTCCTGATTTCGAATAGTTCCTTGCTTGTCGTTCTGAAGTATAGTTGTAATATATTGTGCTCTTGCTCCACGTAGTTCTCTGTCGATCATATTCTGGCGAATATAACACTCTGCAAGCTGAAAGTTTGGTGACTTCCACCTGTGTTCTGGTGTGAGTCTCGACTTACACCAAGCACATGTTGCATGGCCCACACACTGCTGGTAATGGGTTGGGCACAGAAGCGGTTCGCACTGTTCTTTCAGACTGTGCACGCGCAGTTTGTCTGCAGGACAGTGTACGGATGCCGCTCCGCTGCAATCATGTACACTGCATGTGCTTTGGCTGACTGGTGGCTTATTTTCTTTCGCTGCTGTGCATACTTGGCGTCGTAGTGCTTTGACGCACTTGCAATAAATGCATTGGCCTGACGTGATGGATGTGCATGTGTGTAGCTTTTGCCAATTTTGCCAATCTGACAGCATTGAGTCATGTGTAAATCGCTTGTCAGATGGCACTTTGGAGCAAATGCTTCATTCTGAGCCACATGGTCGTCAAGTATGTATGCTTGTGCCAGTTGTGGCATTGCTGGGTCTTCCTGCCGCTGACATCTGTGCACACATGCATGGAAAATACACGTAAAAACACTAGTTAGAAATCACGTCACCAGAGGCATGCCCTTTTTTCGGCCAGAACATAACTTCCGCTCCAATGTCACAAAGACTTACTCTTTCGATACGTCCAGCATAGAAGCAGCGAAATGCCTGGTTAATTCGGTGGCACGAAATTATAGGTCGGGCGACGAAATTTCGACGAAAAAAGGAAAAGAGACAAACCGACGTGTAGCGACATCAAACTACAGAATTTCGTCGTTCTTGAAGAACTCATAACAGAAAAAGGTGAAAGGCGACTACTGAATCCTCGAGTGTGACGAATAACTCCGAGAAAGCGTGAGACTGGCCGGCACGTACATACATGAAAACGATCGTATGTTGAGAATGCCTTGAGAAAAGTGCCCAAAAAGGGTGCATCTGAAAAATAGAACTCTGTGTTCCGACGTGATTTTTCAAATCTGGCGCATCGACTGACTTTGGACGCGAAACTTGCAGGGAACGCGAAATGAACTTTCGTAGGAAGTTTCGTGAGATTGGGTCATGTCGTACGTGCACTTGGCGCGTGCAAACTACGAAAATGTGCAGAACACAAAGTTCGTGCGAAAATTCGTACACACTTTCGCAAGGCCTGTCGCGAAACTTCGTTCGAACTTTCGTTGTGCAGAACCTCTCTTATAACACATGGTACGGAGGGCATTATGGCTGATTTATGCCCTAGTGCGTAGCCCGAGGTCGTGCACCGTAGCCCAAGGGCCGCAGGCCCGCGGGCCCGGGCTACGGTGCACGACCGAGGGCTACGCACTAGGGCATACAATCAGCCATAATGCACGACGCACCATGTGTTTATTATAGTTCATACATGCCACGTGCCTAGTTGTAGACAAATAAGGTAAACATGGTCAAGGGAGGAGGAAGGTTCCAATCAGCTGTCATATGAATGAAGGGTCGAACAAGATCGGAAGGAGCTTTCTCCGTGGAATGATAGAACGTTTTGTGTCAGATTTACTTGCAGTTCCAGGAATATGTCTTTGCATTTTGGTGTTAGTGTTGCCTATTGGGCAGTACGGAAGTTAGCTGATTCGCTGCTGCTTTGGGGTTAACGTTGGCCGCAAACATCCTTGACCAAGGGGCACTAGTAATTAGACTAGTTTTGAGAGTACATTGTAAGTGTTCTTATTCGGAACAATGATACTTTTTCACTTACATCTGAGATTTTGTTCGCATTGCTTTCAGTTTACTTGAGGTCCATGTGTACACTGGACAATCATGTAGCTAGGTACATTTGAAGTACAATGTAGATGTAACTGTATATTTTGTAGTAGTTCGAGATACAATCTGATCTCTTCCAGATAGGTAACTTTGTGATGCATGTTCACCTGTTGACTTGTTCGTCTCAATTGACTTGAATTTAGTAATGCATGGTAATGACATGCTGTGTGCTATTGTCACGTTGTTATAAATTACTTCTCCTATGTCGACATTGCTAGTAAAATATAAATGTTTTGGACGGTGCACGTTAGTAGTTTCGTTTTGTGTGGTGTGTGCGAGTGCATGTGGTGTCCTTAGGAATGGTCCCATGTGTTCTATGTGCGCTGGAGTACTGCCAATTATGTACCAGGTCACTGCCCAAAAGGCATGGCTTGGTGCATATTTGGCAGTGCACCAGCGTACGTAGTACGCCTGGGGTCATTCCTAATGGGCATGGGTACGCCGTACCCGGGCATTATCGTCTGATAATGCCCTGGTACGGTGCTGCTCTGATTGGCCAAATGCTAGCAACGACCTGACAACAGGCACGTGACATGTATGAACAATGTATATGCCATGATAGTAGCAACCACACCTGAGTACTCGTACTTCAAGCACAGTGTACTGATATCTGATTCGCTACGCACTGTCCACGGCATGGGCACAGAATCAGCAGGTAGCGTAAAAGCAGAACATTTCAGTGGTGTAATATTTTCGGTACTCTCCAAAATCGGCGGTTCGGTGGAGGGAAGTTTTCGGTAAACCCGTTTTCCAGGTAAGTGTACTATCAAGAGTACATAACCAAGAGTGTGCAACTGCCTGCACAACCTCTATGCTGTGCTGCGACGGCAGAACTTCACATCACGTGACATGGTTCAAAAGGTTATGCTGGCAAACAGTGCAAAGTGACCACAAGAGAGTTGTACCCAAAGCTGGGCTGCGTACAACCCAGTATCTATCATGCACTAGAGTGCACGGGTTCATCACGTGATGTGAAGTTCTGCCGTCGCAGACCCCATAGCTGGAGTTGCACACTCTTGGGTTATGTACTCTTGGTACTATGAAGTTCGGCGCATTTCATTTTCGGTAACAATATCGGCACCGAAGTTACCGAAAATAAAACACCCCCGAAAATTTCTGCTTTTACAGTAACACCGAGCATAGGAACACACAGACACACAACACAGACACACAACACAGACACACAACACAGACACACAACACAGACACACAACACAGACACACAACACAGACACACAACACAGAGCATAGGAACACACAGACACACAACACCGAGCATAGGAACACACAGACACACAACACAGAGCCATGACTGGTCAAGCAGCTACATGTACATGTACGTCAGCCAGACACAGACACACAACTAGCGGTTGTCAAGGTCAACTTGTCGCTTCAGCATCAAGTGTTAGCTGTTGGCCTATGATACTGTCTGCGTCGAAGAGACATCCTCACACTATCATCACTGTGGAAAAGCGAGACATCTAAGTTTACAAAAAACGGCTAAAAACTCCTGGAAGAAACTATCAATGTTGAAAACAACCTACGGTGCTCCAAACGCTGACACGTTTCAAGCAGAGAGCAGTAAAATGCTAAGCCCAGGTTTCAAGTCTTCTACAAGTACAAGACTACATGAACATGCTGGTATTTGTGCTGATCAAAAAATAAAACTTCGCGAGGGAAAGTTTAAAAAAATGTGAATTCACTCAATTCTTCATGACTTCTCAAATGGTGAGTGTGAGCGATTACTATCAGAGAGTACTAACAAAACGTTTTTAAAGCACTCCTGATAACTACCCTAGTTCTACAATCATGTACATGTCATGTATGTCACAAACAATAGCTCAGTTGTCATGGTAACATTGGCCTGGCATCCAGTACATGTACTAGTAGTACGCGGTACTCACAGGGCCTAGGGCACAGGGCCTAGGGCCTAGGGCGTACTTGACAATCTCACACAGTGATGGGTGCTTAGCACAGGACTGGTGACCTGGGCACAGGGGGCAGGCGGTCTAGAGAGACTACGCACATGCACACACACACACACACACACACACACACACACACACACACACACACACACACACACACACACACACACACACACACACACACACACACACACACACACACACACACACACACACACACACACACACACACACACACACACACACACACACACACACACACACACACACACACACACACACACACACACACACACACACACACACACACACACACACACACACACACACACACACACACACACACACACACACACACACACACACACACACACACACACACACACACACACACACACACACACACACACACACACACACACACACACACACACACACACACACACACACACACACACACACACACACACACACACACACACACACACACACACACACACACACACACACACACACACACACACACACACACACACACACACACACACACACACACACACACACACACACACACACACACACACACACACACACACACACACACACACACACACACACACACACACACACACACACACACACACACACACACACACACACACACACACACACACACACACACACACACACACACACACACACACACACACACACACACACACACACACACACACACACACACACACACACACACACACACACACACACACACACACACACACACACACACACACACACACACACACACACACACACACACACACACACACACACACACACACACACACACACACACACACACACACACACACACACACACACACACACACACACACACACACACACACACACACACACACACACACACACACACACATACACACACACACACACACATAGCTCAGACGAGTTGCGTTTCCGAGTTATCGTCGTCATCTAGGATGGCAAACGAATCAGGTATGATGACTGGCGCATGCTGACGGCTTCTCAGCGTGTGAGTGTGTTGTGGCAGCTTGGTACACTGACGACCAATACCTGACGAGTTACTGCGACCATCGTGGAGATAAAGGTCAGAATCAACACGACGACTCAGCAGCCGACTAGTAGACGCATTGCTCCTGGTGGATGCCGTGCTCTTTGTGGCGAGAAGACGTCCGCGACTAAGCGGCTGTCGGTTCTTAGCTGCAAAGTACTCTGCACTCTCTTTCTCCTCGTCTTCGGAGCTGCCGTCTTGCAACGAATCGATGGCCGAATGGTGTCGTTTACGTGACGACGGTTGCTGGCCGAACAAGTCCACCAAATTATCGCCGGCCTGTTCATCGCCATCACTCTCTGCCAGTATAGTCTCCGGTACCAAGGTAACGGCCGTGTGGTGGTCAGTCGCCACGGCAACTTTCACCGGTGAAAGATCGGGAATGGCGGCGAAAAACTCATCCAGTGCATCACCACCGCCTCTGCCACCATTAGCAGTAGGTTCATAGTCTGCGTGACCGGGATGGTCATCAATATCTTGTACTTGTTGTGTTTCAGCTGTGACATGTACATCAGACGGTAGCGGCGTATCAAGCCGCTGTGCTTCCACTTCCGCCTCGCAGCTCAGTTCCTGCAGGAGAGTGTCGACGCAGAGGTTGTCCGTCGGAGGCGGAGGTGCAGCGGCATTGTCAACGGTTACGCAATCGTCGCTGCTGTCTTCACCAGTACAACTGCTGCTGCTGTCAAAGGTTACGGTGGTTGCTGCAGCGGCCGTCCGGTGTGGCTGCTGTCGTCGCTGACGTTGCACCCGTTGCTTCCACGCACGCTGAACGCGCGTTCTCGCTTGGCCGTGCTCGCGAATGATTAGCTTGGCCGCGGCGAGCAGCTCCGATTCGCTCAGGCGATACTCAGTGTCCGTGGCGCGCGTTGTGCTCGGTTTGGCCGCAGCTGCAGCTGCCGTGGCGGTGCGTTTCATAGTGCGCTTCGGACGTATTGGCGAGGCAAAGTCACCGCCACCACCGTTCCGCTTTGCAGTTCCCGCTGTGGTGCTCGTCGTCGTTGTGTCTTTAGCCACTTGCTCTGAGCTAAGGCTAGCCTGACGTTTCAGCTGAGACCCGACCATCCAGTCGGGCAGGCTGCGAGCACCACCAATCGTCTCCTGTCTGGTCATTGAACCAACACTGTGAGGAGTTGATAGTGGTTGCGGCGCGTCAGAGGGTGATTGCTTTGCAGGTGTGACGGCAGGCTTGTTCGCATCCTGTTGGCCGGGTGCTAGTGACTTCGCGGCATCTAGCTCTTCACGCTTGGGTTTAGCTGCCGACACGTTATGCTGCGGTGAGGGTCGTTCTTGTTGCTGCTGCTTCTTCTGCTGTAGAGCTTTCAGCTGTTGCTTGGCGTTGAATTCGAGTAACATGCCGATCACGTGTTTGCAGCAGCCGCTAGTACGTTCTCGGCGACTGTGAAAGGGACACGTGCAGGAGAAGAAAGCCACGTTACCATGGTGCTCTACGTTAGCCGACACCGTGTACGACTCGTGATTGCTACCCTCCACTGATGAGCTGACCGTCATCAGACTGTTGCCAACGTTGCTGTTCAAACTGCGCACACGCCCGCGCAGTGCCGCACCGCTGGAGTAGATCTTAGCGGCTGCAGCGAGTGTGTTCAGATTCGCTGCCTGTACAGTGTGCAGCTCTGACATCTCTAGCACTGATTCAGCTGTTGTTGCTGTCGATGTGGTTGTTGTTGTGAGAGGAGTGCATGTGGCCTGTGTGTCGACGAACAGGGAGTCCGGAGGTAGAAAGCCCGGTTCGAGACGCTGCGGTGTCTTGGTAGCCGGTCGCAATGCTGTGGTGTGTGCGGTCGCTGCTCTGCTTGTGCCGACGCCGCCATCAGGCTTTGCAGCAGCTTGGAAGGAGCTCTGTCGTCGCAGGCTGATACCCCTGCGCAGTGTAGGCGGTTTGCTGGCCGCTCCGGTGTCGACAAGCCATGCGCTCTCGTCAGCAGCCAGTGGCTGAACGGGCACGAGGCTGTCTTGCCAGCGCGACTGGTACTCGCCGAGGGCAGTGCTGGATGACCAGGCCATGCCGTGCCAGGTTGCCTTGCCGACTCGGCGCACCGCTGACTTTGCGCCGGCAACACCGCTGGCCTCGGACAGGAGTGGTATGGTGAGTGGCGTCTTGCCAGACTTAACCCTGCTACTACCAGCACTGCCACTGCCGCTACCGCTGCCGCCGCTGCTGCTATCTAGAGCATGGGCACTGACCGGATGTATCAAGCGCATGGATAGGAGAACTTGCGGCGTTTGCGGCCGGCTGAACTTCACGGCAACGATCGAGTGCGGCTTGCTGGCCAGTCGCTCCGCTTTGAAAGTGAACAGGCCGCACGTTTCCGCGGCAATGCGGTGCTCCGCCGTAGTCCAAATATAGAAGGTGTGAGTGTGCGTCACGGAGAGCATGTGTGTACACTGTAGCCAGGCCACCAGACCGGGTTGAGGGGGCAGGGCGGTGCCCGGGAAAGTCCCCCCGGTCGCTCCTGCCGCCACCAGTAGAAAGTAGACTGGATGTGAGGGCAGGCGCTGCGCCATGGACTCGGCCAGCTGTGAGAGGTGTTCACGTTGAGACTGTACATTTCCGTCATCAACATCATCGCACAGCAGTATGAGTCGACCGAGAGGCTGCTTGTCCGCCCAGAGTCGACATGCTTCAACCACATCATCCACAAGATGCACTCCATTCTCTGTGGTGCTGGGCCGGCCGACTGCCGTGTGTTCTATGAACAATGCCGGCGTGTTCCATTCGAATTCCGACTCGCATGACAACAGCGATGTTACGGTACCTGTCTGAACTCCATCGCCAGTGATGTCGCTTGTCGTCACACTGGGTATGTCTGGTGGAGCTATCGCCGTCTGCCGTAACACATGCCTCCTGCTTGCACCGCGATGCTGTCGCTGCTGCGCCTGCTGCTCATCGCTGAACCACAAGTTCAGGTAGATGTCGACCAAGTCGGGAGTGACGTCATGATGACTTAACGAACGTCCGCCGTCCACGTGCGGTGCCGTGCTCCAGTACCAGCTCCAGAGGCATTGGCGGAGTGAGAATCTTGGCCTGAACACCAGGCAGCGACACTGGCAACTCGGCAGCTTTGCTCTGACCTTGCTGAAGTAGGACGAGCGCAGGCCGGAGCTCCAGTTGAGGTCGTCCACGACTACGCTGCGGCCTCTCCTCAGAATATCCAGGACATACACGATGAGTTGGGCCAAGCTGCGGACATTCTTGCGATTGTCTGCATAGATTTGCTGTGGGCACACGCGTTCGTGCGTGCTCTGCAAATTATACACGTAGTACAGCGTCTTTCCGGAGAACGGTGGCCCCACGAATAGCACCAGTTCTACTGCCTTGCTGCATGTATCAACCATTGGTGATTCGTAACATTGGCACGCCGACAGACGTGACAGTTACACACAGAATCCACACGCGCGCAGGCTACATCGTTCTGCAAGGTGGTGGGATACTTCGCCAGTGCACTAAATCAACTCCAACGTCCGACCATCATTCATGCCATCACTACCATTCCAAGCATAAGTTTCACTTCCAAACATTACCTTTGCAACAACTGGGCATTTTTCACGTCTTCGCTTTCAAACTCAAATCAAACTCTTCGGCCAAGGAGGCTGCACCACTCACGGCGCGGCCACGTGCCTTTGGCGATAGCTAGCTATAGAATAAAGCTGGAAAGTCAGTAAAAATCAGGGAGTCATCAAATAAAAAAATACTTCCAAGCCTTCTTGCATGGCAGCGCTAGCGCTGCAGCATGTATGCCAGTAATACTGGCAGTGAGTAGCTACAAAATATAGGCTGTCTTGCACAATGTAGAGTCCGTAAAACAACTGACAACCCCAACGACGTGATGCCCTCTCGTTTTTCCAGGGAGTACAGTATGATACTATTCCCTGGATGTAGCTGGGGAAGTTCAGCACGCCGCAAGCGCGCACAGACACAGACACAGACACACACACACACACAAGCACACAAGCACACAAACACACCCAGCAGGCACACCGTCACGATAGGTCACCGCACTGGCCAAAGCAGGCACACTCATCAAAAGACGACCATAACAGTTATCATACAATGCACTCAGAATTCTCACTTTCTCAGTCAAAGAAAGTATAGAAAAAGGCCGATCAAAATGCCCGGCAAGCAATAACAGAGTGTGTATGGCATAACACACGTACACTCGCTAAAAAACACGGGGAGCAAACTTTGAACATGAGAAATCAGTAGTATAGTTGTGCAGTCACAACAAACAGTATACTGAGTTGTGCAGTCACAACAAACAACCAGGCAAGCAAGTGGCAGATGACATGGAGTATAACGATGCATGGCGAAAAAGACAATCGCAACAAAAAAAAAGAAGAAGAACAACAACACCAAGGTCTAATGTTAGTATAGGAATAGTGAGCACAGAGCACTGAGCACTGAGCATAATGTGCATGGCGCTTGCCTGCCATGTCGCGCCGTGCGCGCGTGCTACGTGCCGTCGATAGTGATATAGAGAATCTCTGAGCGAATGCATGTGCAGTACCAGTATGGGCAGGCAGGCATAGTGTGGGGTGACGTCATCACCACTCGCCGCATCACACTGCAACGCAGACACGAGCAACTCGGTATATATTGCAAGGAAATGAAGAAACTAATGGAAAAGATACAAATCATGCTAGCACACATAGGCTATGGGCAAGGGGGAGGAGGCAGACCATGGGTTTGTATCATGATAGCACACAAACGTTTTGCTAACAACAAAGGTAAATACTGTTTCATGAACGGGTCAATTATTATTATCATTATAGTAGTCAAAAATAAATGAAAACAACAACAACCAGCGAGGTAAACTAGACGAAGGCATATGGACAGACAGCGGTGGCGATGAAGAGCAGTAAAAAAGGTTTCACGACCAGACGACTAGACAAAAACAGGCAGAGAGGAAGTCACAGCCACTTGAACGACGAGTAGCACATGCAGCTAGTGTCGTGCGTCTAGATCAGGGTGCGTACCTCGTCCAGCAGATTAGATGCCAGCGTTGAGTCGGAGCACTTGACGTTGACAGTCAATGTATTGCCCTGTACATAACACACAATGTTGCGCAAGCAGCAGCAGCAGCAGCAACAGTGGCGGCGGCAGCAGTAGCAGCAGCAGCAACAGAGGCAGCAGCAGCAGCAGCAACAGTGGCAGCAGCAGCGGCCATGGTAGGAAAGGCACAGCACAATGAAACAAGAACATGAACGACAACATATGACAAAAAGACGCTTCTACGACTCAAACTGCCACACCATGGGCTAGGTAGAGCAATATCAGACCAAGAAAAAGTTAAACTTTTGAAAAACACACATGCACCCACACATACACACACACACACACACACACACCCACCCACCCACACACCACACGCGCACGCATGTACACACGTACACACGTACACACCCACCCACACACCCACACACCCACACACCCACACACACACACACACATGAACATACTTCGAAGTACACCAGTGGACAGAGATACTTACCGTATGTTTGATGAGCATGCAGATATGATGTTGTTGCAGTGAGTTGCCATGTAGCGATGCACTGCCATCCATTTGTTCCACAACTGCAGAGTGTATGTGGTGAGTGCACGTGTGTGGACAGGCAGACACAACACCAGACACAACACATATACAGAGCTGGTTTAGAAATGCTTTCTTGTTCATTAGCCTTCATTGCCATAGAAAGTATATGAACCCTGAAACCAAAAAAAGGTGGCAGATACAATCATACAACATTACACCTTCAAACAGCAGAGCCCTTTGGCAACATACCCAACACTATCTGGCGTAAGTGTCCCCACCAACCAAACTAGCTGGCACACAGGCACACAGAGACACACAGAGACACACTAGCACCAACTAGCCATCACTCACCAGCAAGATGGATACTGCCACAGACCGCAGCCAGAGCTGAGTTGAAATCCGGCGTTGCCTTGTAGGGAAACTGCACACCCAACACAGCACACAGAGAATAGAGCAACACGAGTGTGAGTGCAAGAAAACAGTCACGGTCATCTGTCACTGTGACCAGAGGACTGGAGAAAGTCCAGGATATCGTTCTTCACAAAGTGTATGTATGTGTAGCTGTGTACGAGACGAGACAGAGATAGAGAGAGAGAGAGACATACAGGACCACCATACCTTGGAAGACTTGGCATCACAAAGATCTCCACTAGCAAGCAGTGTTGCGAACATCTTGCTTGTCATTGGCATGGCCATGATGAACGACGAGCACGGCATCGGTAGCTTGAAGTCAATCTTGTTACTCGTAGCACCATCCTCGCCCTTCACCATGTACGTCAGTGTGCCACGGAGTTTCTGTGGCACAACTATACTCTCCACCACAAAGGCAAACTGGGCTTCATTTGACGAGCCTGTGAGCATAAAGAATTCGACAAAATTTGTAAGAAGACCACAAGTGGTGATGTGCTGAAAAAGAGAACGGGATTTTTTTGGACTGTAATTTCATCAACAACTTGCATGAATGTGTGTGCGTGTTTGTGTGTGCGCGTGTGTGTGTGTATGTATGGGTGTGTTTGTTTGCGCACGCATGGGTGCACAAGCGCACGTATAATTAATTTACGCTTGAGAGAGTGCACCCATGGGTGCACTGCCACTTGCAAGCAACTCACCGGCTGGAAGCTGGAATGGGACACGAATGCCTTCATGAGTTGGTGTGCCCATCTACAAATCAACAGAACACATATACACACGCACACACACACACGCACACATACACACACGCACACCAACACGCCACGTTACCAACACAGAGTGTGACCAAAAACCACACCCTGACAAGCCATCATTCGGACTGCAGTCCCCCCCCCCCCCCCCGCCCATACATAGCTGAGCAATACATGTACATACCGGTCTGATCATCTTGACATTGAGTGAGTCCAGGACATTGAACTCGAGGTTGATCATCTGCTGCGCTGTCAGGTTACTGTGTGCACACAACACACAAGAGCAGAGATCACGACAACAATACAGTATTACGCACACAAAGAAACAGGCAAAACAACATGCCCATTAGCCTGATAGCCTGGACGATTGTCAATCGACAGCCACACATGCATACGATACGAAAACCGAGAAATCAGTGTACATGCAACGTTACAAGGGAAGAAATCAATAGACCAGCAGCTAGAGTGGATGCTTGTCTACTCTGATTGTCTTGCTAGACTAATCACCAAGCAGGTCAACATCATAAGAATTCCTTCTTTACCGGAAAATGACTGATGCCAAGGCCTGGTTGTTTCCGACTCGCATTTGACACGTCTGTACATGTACATGGGAGATGAACACACAGCGACACACCGCATGAACAAACAAACACACGTGCACACACACACACGCACACGCATCGGCACACAAGAAGACAATCATGCACAAACATACAAACTCAGAGCAAATGCAAAGGTTAAACAGCTAGCCAGGACCTCCGGCCACCCGTGTTGTTGATTACATGCACCGTGGGAGGAACAAACTCAAGGCTGCACTTGACAACCTCCAACAACCTCCATCACATATTCTGTTATTCTACAGTGCTGCTCAATGAAATGTGATTGCGTAAGCACTGGTCTAGGACTGCACAATGTCCGGCATGGCATCAACAAGAACGGGGGGTTGGCCTCCTAGCCTAGACCGTTCTTATTTTCACGTATTACAGTCTATGCACAGTTGAGTCACCGTGTATACATTGACATGCTATGCTTGGTGAAATTCTAGCCTGGTGGTTCTTCCCCGCTCGGCAGTACTCTACCCTTTCAACTCCCATGTACCAGCATTCACATACATGTCTAGCTAACGTTCTCTCTTACCAGCTCAATGTTCTTGTCCTTAGCTAGGTCATTGTAAGGAACGGTGGGTGGTAGGGCAGGTGATGCCGCAGTCGCTACCAGCTCCTCATCTCCATTTACAGCTACATCAGCTGTGACTGCTGCAGCCGCTGCCTTAGACTTCTTCTTCTTTTTGCCCTTCTCCTCCTTCTCTGCAGCTTTCTTCGATTTCTGGACAGGGGAAGGGGGAGAGAGAGAGAGAGAGAGAGAGTGAGCAAGAGAGAGAGAGAGAGAGAGAGAGAGAGAGAGAGAGAGAGAGAGAGAGAGAGAGGGGGGGAGAGAGAGAGAGAGAGAGAGAGAGAGAGGAGAGAGAGAGAGAGAGGGGGGGGGGGGAGAGAGAGAGAGAGAGAGAGACACACACACACACACACACACACACACACACACACACACACACACACAGAAAGACGGAGAGAGAAAGAGAGAGACAGAGATGTTGAGCTGAAGAAAAGTAAGCAAACACAAATGGACAGTCCTGGAAAATTGATCTAACAGAACATATCCATGCAGGGCACAGCCTCTCCACAGAACATAAGCTAACACACCTGCACTGGGAGCAGCTAGTAGTATGGACAACGGATCTAAGCATTACACTGAACACAAGCTACGCTACACTTTACCGTACAGGCTACAGTACACTATAGCACTGTACACACTCTGCTCCGTACCTTCTTCTTCTCGGGCTCTGCTGCTGCTGCTGCTGCTGCAACTGGAGCTGCGGCAGCGGGTGCAGGTGCTGCTACAGCCTGGAAGGAGAAGACAATGGAGAGCAGGATAAGAAAGCAGAGGATGAGAAAACGTTGGTAACCAACACAAACACACAAACACATGCACATAAACACAATGTAAAATATGACTGCTTGCTTGCCCAAGAGAGTTAGCAGCAGCAGCAGGAAAAGGTGGAGAAGCCGCAGTAGCAGCAGCAGCAGGAGGAGGAGTGGCAGCATCAATTGCCACATCGTATCTACCAGAGCAAGAATGCCAGCAGCAACTCTGGCCGCCCAGCGCATAGTAACATCGGCACTAACCGGTGCTGGGGCATCACTTGATGTCAGCCAGAAGTCCAGGTCATCCACCGTAGGTTCCTATGACAGAACAACAGAACACAAACACACATTCCATGTTATCTAAGGTGTGGGTGAGCAATACAACATGCAAGCACAACCAGTCAATTGGCAAAAATTCATAAAAGGTCAAATACCGGTACTCCACAAATGGACACAAATTCAAAGAGATTAGAATAAACAGGGGAAAAGAACAGTCATGTCAGAGTTGTATTTTCCGGTAGCTATTGTTGGTGAACAAATTCCTTCCATGTTGACAGTGTTACCCTGCCATGAGAGGTTCTTACTGTTTGAGTTCTCGTACAAATTCAAAAATGGAAGAGAGTGGATGACATAGAACTGGCTGATAACATCCACACTGATCGGCATGGAAATAGTGCTCGAATAACACAAGCAAATCAGATTTTCAAACTTTTCGCGTTTCGAAATTTTAGCTGCAAAGCTCTACACTGTAGCCAGTGTACCTTTGGAGCTGCGGCCGCTGCAGACGCTGCTGCTACTGCTTCAGCACCTATATACACATGTATACAAACACACACATGCATACACACACATGCATACACACACATGCATACACACACATGCATACACACACACACACACACACACACACACACATACACACACACACACATGCATACACAGACAGACAGACAGACAGACACACACCAACACATGTACACAAGAACAATTCTTTGTCACACGAGAGCCAGTGAAGATAGGGACGAACCTCAGCACATGCAACCAGAAATAAGAGAACCCTGAACATGCCACAGAACTCATACATGCACAACTGACAGGACATTCGTGAAAGTGAGCAGCTCCGACCTGGCCGACATCCTGAAAAGGACATTCACAGTACATTGAAACCTGTCGAAGCTGACCGCTCAAGGGACCTTCAAAATGTGGTCCCCATGTACAGGTTGTCCCCATATCCAGGGTCATTTGACTGGAAATAACACCGCTTGGTCCTAAATGTAGTGGTCCTCTAGGACAGGTGGTCATCTTATCAGAGTGGTCGCCTTCACAGGTTTTACTGTATTTAGACTTGACTGGGTGTAAACGTCAGGTAGGAACTCCCGTCAACGTAAGTAATTTCAAGCACCTTGGGCGCTTGCTGAAGAGAGGTTAGACTGTCATTTCATGAATGGATCAGCTGTCATACCACACACACCCTGCACTATGCTATAGGTGCTGTATCTATCTTGTATGCATGTGGATCTTGCCTCCCAGTACTCCACACTATACACAGCATGATACCACAGAAGCCTGGCTTAGGCTAGGGTTTACAGCAAGCAAATGGCACCCTACCTTTCGTTTTCTTGCCCTTCTTCTTCTTTTTGCCTTCTGCTGCTGGTGGATCGGCCACTGCTGCTGCTGGCGCTGCGGTAGCACCTTCTGAGAAACCAGGGATCTACGAGATATGGCCAGACAGATGGAGAAACACACACACACACACACACACGCACACGCATGCAGTTGCACGCACACACGCACGCACACACATATACCAGTGTGTATGCCATCAGCAGGTTGTTGATACACAATGAGTTATAGGCTTAGACAAGCTCTGCTTGAAGCTGATGTAGAAGAAAGACCGTCTGACGCATAGGTGTTCAAGATGGAAAACAAAGATGAAAACAGTTGCCAAAACGGTTTTCACCGAGCGGACGGGCTTAATCCATGCACAGACAAGCTGAGGATCGAAGCACCAATGTCTGTCATCCTTGGTTGATGTGGATAAAGGTACGTTCTCCAATGCACGAGCATGTTACGTAGAGTGTGGAGAGTCTCCTCTTGGTGCAGAGAGATAGACAATTACACATACACCCACCGGGCTTATCCTGAGGAGAGAGAGACACACACACACAGACAAATACGCATGCACACACAGAACATATCCCAGAGAGAGAGAGAGAGAGAGAGAGAGAGAGAGAGAGAGAGAGAGAGAGAGAGAGAGAGAGAGAGAGAGAGAGAGAGAGAGAGAGAGAGAGAGAGAGAGAGAAAGAGAAAGAGAGAAATACACATGCACACACAGAACATATCCCGGAAGGAGAGGGAGAGACAGGCACGGAGCATATACTCACCAATTCCATTGGTTCCTCCACAGCTGCGGCAGCAGCAGGCTCATCCTCTTCGTCGTCGTCAGCATGCTTCTTCTTTTTCTTTTTCTTCCCATCCTTCTCTGACTTGCCCTTCTTCTTTTTCTGCAGCACAAACACACATCCATGAACAGTGAGTAATGGGTTGATATTGTTCACAAGTATACCAACACTTGAAGGGCTCCTATCCAAAACGAGATGAATCCATTTTGTGGAAATTTCAGGCATTACATTTTTTCATTTGTTCTTCGGTCTGCACTGCAGCATCAGTGGCTGTTATCGCGTTTTGCAGAAGAACACAAACTCCTTCAGGCATCATTTCGACTGGGATGTATCGCGTTTTGACCCGCAAAACCAAGAGTACACAACCCCCCCCCCCCCCCCCCCCCAGAGTGTGCAACTCGACTATGGGTGCTGTCCCGACAGAATTTCAAGTTGATGTCATTTTGATGATGCAATGCGCACTGTACACGGATTATCAGACGAATCCGGAACCTGTGGTTGACCGAAGCCGATCTGATCCTGTACAACTTATTGCAAAGAAATACGTGTGATGCGTTGACACCAGTACACATGTTGTAAATCACTGGTGTAAGGAACATTGCGTCAACTTGAAATTCTGTCGGGACAGCAGGGTATGTGGGAGTTGCACACTCTGGGGGATTATGTACTCTTGGTAAAACTGACACCCAGATGTCCGTGGGGTGAAAACGAATTATGTCGTGACAAAAAAAAAAACGCAAGCAAAAGCTCCGGCTTGGTCTTTATCGCGTTTTGAATTGGAGCCCTTCACTTGTTCACAACACACATTGATCTCTAGAGAACCTAAGGGTGGGTTTGGTTGGTACGATCTAGAACAGGATCGAACAGCTGGTGCACATGGAGCAGCCTCATGCCAACCAAACGGTACTCCAGAAACAGAGCACATTTTTGTGAGAAAATGTGCCAAACTTGGTGCATTCTTCAAAATGTGTATGGGTCACCATGGTCACTTTGTACGGTACGGCGAATCCAACCCAAAAGCGTATGCACGTGATCATCTGGGACCAAAATCGATGTTCCCGCCAGGTTTCACTGTGAAAAAGTGAAACTGCTCGGTCTGCTCCGGCCTCGAGGCCGGAGCAAGCAGAACATGTTCTGGCCGACCCAGAACAGGTGCAGCCCCAACCAAACGCGCTGTTCTGGTGAATCCTGTTCTAGTTCGTACCAACCAAACGCGCCCTTACTGTCCCTGCATGTAGCTCATGCGTAGTGAAAAAAAACAACTGAAAATGCTGCACATGAACATAAAAATGACAGCCTTCACTTCATTCCACCCACCTTCTCCGCTTTCTCCTCGGGATGCTCAAGAACCACCCTGTGTTGACGGACTGGCAGCACTTCGTCATCGCGAAGTGGCCTGTGTAAAGCAGATAGACACACACACACACACACACCTCAGACCTCAGACATGCCCATCGCGGAAGCGATGATAGCGAACAGCTATGATAGACATAGCAACTTGTGCTGGGATTACACCATTCAACAGCTTGCAAGGCTGATGAATTGACCGCCACTATTTTTAGCCTGGTATCCACCACACAGCTGTTTGAAGTGACTTTTTCTGGTCAGTGAATCCCTATTTTTCGTTTTTCCATTTTTTTCCTACACACACCACACCACATACTCCGGCATACACTGGCTGTTGGTAACCACCCAGGAGAATGAAAGAAAAGCCAGGAAGAGTCTGAGAAAGAGAAGAAAGACGTGTGCGACCATAATCGTCGGGAATTGAACCCGCAACCTCTCGATTGGAAATCGACTGCACATACCACTGCACCATATGGGACACACACACACACACACACACACACACACGTACACACACACACACACGTACACACACACTCATCAGTATCCAAGAATCCACACGCCAACTCACTACTAGAAGCAACAGACACATACACACAAATGATCACATTATGCACCCCATCGATGCGTTATTTTCTTCCTTCTTTCTTTTTCCTTCTCTTGCCATGGCTGGCTAACGTCCCCTCCTTTGCATTGGTTTCTGCCATTGAACGGCGAAATAAGAAATAAGAAATAAAAAAGTAAAAGGGGTAGATGTATACAGATAGCTGGACTTACTCGTCTAGACTGATTTCAGCCAGTGCACGATGGGGGTCATCCACAGCTAATGAGCCATCATCCTTGTCACTGTCCGCTGCATTCTATATACACGAAGACAAACAGACAGATAAACACGAATAAACAGATTGAGTGATAAACAGACAGATAAACACACGTATGCGCCCGCACACAAGAACCCACAGGCACAGCCACAAGGACATGAAACATCCAGTCTAAGCTACAGCAGGCCACGTATTCAAACGCAGTTACCCTCTTTCACTTGCTCCCTCAACCCCCCACTGTCCTGCCATGCACTAACAACTGGCATACGATGTACGTACCTCTGGCATGTCCTCCTCCACCACAATGTCAGCACGACGAACAACTTCCTCCTCATCATCATCACCACGTCCTGAACAACCAGCAACATACACAACATGTAAGAAGAGAATACTGATTGAAAGCAGCAGAAGCAGCAGCAGCAGCAGCAGTAGCAAGGGGGACACCAGACTTCCTTGTACTTGAAAGTACCAGTAACCAGCACAGCAGCAATGCCGAGACAAGATCAAGCATTGCCGGGACAAGATCAAGAGAGGCATCTTGCAGCCCCATAGCCGCTAACCATCCAGGTGAATTTGAAGTAGACAATCGTGCACAGCCAAGAAGCCTCAATTCTTCCCACAACAAATACTCTTGCTGTCTTGTTACAATGGTGTACAGCCAGGCAGTAGACAAGTTGCACCTGTCTGCTCAACACATCTACATAGTAGAATATTACTATGAGTAGTCAGTCAGTACACAGGTTCCTCATGTCTGCTTTCCCCACAAGCCACCTACACAGAATACAAGTAGCATGAGAGCAGCAAGTGAGTTCTGTGAGGGGAAACCCCCAAGGCCGGGGGGATATTCTCAACCATGATTTAGCGATGAGCTATGCCCTGTCGCAGCCCACGCAGGCGTAGCGCAGGGTGTGAAAAAAACCCTGTGCACCAACACGGGATACATTGAGTTTCTTTTACTTCATGTATGCTAACAACAAAGCCTGTCACAAGCTGCTTAACAATGCCAGTTCCAAGCACAGCTATATACACCATCAACTACTGCTTCGAAGTCAATACTTCGAAGTGCATGTTTGCTGCTGTGGGCTGTAAGCCTATATTTCTGAGCTATGACCAATTGTCTCTTGTCTGAAAACTTTAGAGCTCCATTTTTTGGCTGCACGCAGCAACATTTTAGCACAGATAACAAAACGGCGGCAGACACCATCCTGCCTGGTTCCGTGAAGTCTGTCTGCCTCTCACCTCGTCCTTTCTTGCCTTTCTTTCCCTTCTTTCCCTTTTTGCCTTTCTTGCCGGTGACGGGTTCTGAAACTGGACAGGACAGAACGAATACAGAGAGAGAGAGAGAGAGAGAGAGAGAGAGAGAGAGAGAGAGAGAGAGAGAGAGAGAGAGAGAGGGAGAGTCAACAGTAACTCCACGTTTCAGACATTCACGAATCAGGAGGCTAATGAAATGTCCTGAGCAGTCGTATAGCGAGATGCATGCGAAAGGTTGTCAATGCTGGTACTCTCTCGCCCACACAATATTACGGACCAGTAACTTACTTTCTAGTGTGAGTGGCACATCCAGTTGCAACGTTGTGACGGGTATACCTTCTACAATCAGACCGGCACCGGAATCCTATTGCACAGAGAGAGAGAGAGAGAGAGAGAGAGAGAGAGAGAGAGAGAGAGAGAGAGAGAGAGAGAGAGAGAGAGAGAGAGAGAGAGAGAGAGAGAGAGAGAGAGAGCACACAACAGCACACCACAGCACACCACAGCACACAAAAGTACAACATAAGTTAACACACCACAGCACAGGCAATTCTCCTGACAGAATATACACGCTTGGTGTACAGTCACTTGACGCCATGTGTGTCTACTTCATCTATACGTATGGATGGTACCATGAGTATGAGGGCTATACGGCCATATGTTTTCACGAGTGCATAGCACGAGGGACACACTACACACAGAGCACGGATGGTACAATCCATAGAACGGCCGCTGATTGGCTGAAATTGCCCAGATCGTACCGTACCATGGGATAACACTATTCTATACAAAGAGTTGTATACGTGATCTCTTTCCACAGTTTTATGAAGAGGATCTTGAGTGCAGCTGGGTCCAGTGGTTCGTTTACAAGGCTGTAATCCGTTCATTCTGGTCATTCAAGACTTTTCAAATCGGTGTCCAAAAGTGTAATCGAACACGTACATTGTGTCCACCGTCATGCCCAGAAACTCAATCAAGTCTAGCAGTTAGTACGGCACAGGAAAACTCACTCTCTTTGATGCTGGTGATGCTATTGGTGCAGACATTGGCAGATAGTGAGGGTTGGAGAGTTTAGCCTGGCGACGTGCCTCACGTCTCTGCAGGATAGTACAATGCAGGGGAGAAACGTGAGTCAGTGATGGTTGAGAGATATAGAGGGTGAGATAGAGAGCGAGGGTGAGATAGAGAGTGAGGGAGAGAGAGAGAGTGAGTGAGAAGCGAATTACAGAGGGGAGTACATGAAGGACAGAAAGAGAGTGAGTGAGAAGCGAATTACAGAGGGGAGTACATGAAGGACACAAGGGAGGACGCAGACAGCCCGTATGACACTAGCAAGTCACACAAACACATTGCACGGCCCATCAGCAACACTTCAAGAACATGACAATATCCACCCCACTAACCTTTTCATCCTCTTCCGCTTCTTCCCTCTCTTCCTTCTTGGACTTCTTCGGCCTAACGACACATCATGCACAAAGCAACACAATCACATCACAGCAGAAGTGGCTACTTTCCAACAGCTGCAGGTAGCGGAGATCCCAGAATTCAGCCATTTCATGGAAACACAAGCTTTTCCCCGACTGAGCTGCCCCAGTGTGACTATTAATTTCAGGAAAAATATTTCAACTTTTCGGTCACACTAATTATAACCATCATCAGGAATGAAGTGGGATACAGGATTCTAAGAAAGAGCAGAACTATTATTAGTAAATTTGGCCACCCGCCTACTGCTCTTTCGCTCTCCGAAACTCAACACTTGCAAAGCAGATACCTTCATAGTACAAAAAAAATCCCATCAGCCACACCACCAGGACTCCAAGCAGGGACCTTGCCGGAGCGGAAATAGAAACAAGCTTGCCAGTGTTGACAACGTCCTTACTTGACTTCCTCCTTGACGTCTACGGCTGCTGCCGCCGAAGCACTACTGCCGCCGCCGAAGAAAGCTGCGCCGGCATCTACTTCCTCCTCACTCTCCGATGGCGGATCATTGATCCATTTATCCAGGTCCAAGCTGTGGGCAAGAAGGACAACAACAACAACAACAACAACAACAACAAACACAGTCACAATGTTGTTAGCACAATATTACTACATGTACTAGTACCATCTCCCAACACAACAGAAAAACAGGTTACAGGTACACGCAGAGCACCACCAGTGCTAATGACCGCAACAGCAGCAGCAGCAGCAGCAGCAGCAGCAGCAGCAGCAGCAGCAACAGCAACAACAACAACAATAACAACAGCAGCAGCAGCAGCAACAGCAGCTGGAACCGGCTGATTTGTTCACCCAGAGCTTCGGCAATGCGGGCATGCAGCTGGTGCATGTTCCCTTTTCTGCACGTGCACCTATTGGCATCGCTTGTTCCCATCATTCCAGTCGGCTTATGCGAAGGCTAGCCAAGCTTGCATGGTAATTCCAACGCAGAAGAGCGTAACATTATAAAACTAGCAATGGCAAGACAGGCACCAGCACCATCACTCATAGCAGCAACAAACCAGAAACCACAGCCAAGCACCACAGCTTTTGTTGTACTGTACCGCTCGTCCACTGGTACGCATGCATTATGCATAACTTGAGTATTTTATGACTTGGACGATGCGATCATCACGGCAAGTAATGTTAGTTAGTTACGAGATATGAAAGTACTGATGAAAATCGTTACTTTAGGGCCTGGTCAGACTGCGGCAAATTTTGGTTGCCTGACGAAAACAGAACAGCGTCCAGAATTTGAATCGCGATCACACTACACATGTGGGGAGAATGAAAATTCAAACTTCATTTCGAGCGTCAAGTGGTAATCCCCACGAACGACGTCAAATTCCTTCTCCTTGGGGATCGCCAACACCTTCAGGGCAATCCTTGCAACCATCCTTATGAGTTTTGTTGCTGTCCGTGGCCAATTAGCTCCTCGATATCGAGATGAAAAAATCAGTGATTATCAGCGTCAATGGCGTATCAGCGTCAAATCCTGTTTGGAGCGGAAAAGCGTGGTCCGTTCTTGCATTTTTTTGGAGCGTCAACTCCCGCTTTTGCCGCTCTGGCGGCAAGTTACTATGGAGATTCGGATTATAATCCTAGGATTATTTCGATTTTGCCGCAGTCTGACCAGGCCCTTACACTCTGTACAAGATGTTGGCGACTTTTGTTCTATGTTCACAGATAATTTTTTCCGAATTGGTCGAGAACTCACAAATCTAGCACTTTTGAATTTTGATAAAATACTCGAGATAATCGAATACTCGATCGAATATTATGAATGAGTGATCGATTGGTCAAGATAGATACTCGTTTCACCCCTAACCGCAGGACATCGACAGACGGTAAATGGCACACACATACCCCCCCCCCCCCCCACACACACACACGACAGAAACGCAATCCCTGACCTCAATCATGTACGACAACCAAGGAGTACAGCTGGAAAGCCTCACCCCGTGACAGCACTGAGCAGCAACAGGCTCCAGACTAGAACCACTTTGTTTTCCACAGCACGAGACAATTCTTTTTAAAAGTGAGCAATAGAATAAAAGACAACGGTCACAGTGCATACGCAAAGCACACGCATACTCGCATAGCCCTGCCAAGTAAACTCAACGTACCCCTCTGGCACTGGGACCTTCTTCTGAGCTTTCGGAGCAACGGGGTTCATCTCACCGTCAAACAGAGCAAAGAACTCTTCTGTCACATCAGTGTCTGCAGAGCAGTAGAGAAGAAATACACACATTCTCAGTATTCTAATCAGGATAGAATATTTAGTCTCCGGATTACAGCAAAGCAAAGGCTGAAAATACACGAACACAAGCCATGCGAGGAATATTCGGACATTCAAAATAAAAAAATACTAGAATATTGGCACCAGAAATAATATCCGAAAGGAAGCAGCAAACTTGAAAATTCGTACTGTATGGTGGTATTAGAGAGGTTAAGATGCACGTTATTTTTGACGTGACGTGCAATTATTTCACGTCAAATTTGGCGTAAAACACCAATTTTAAACGTGAGCTCCAGGTCACTCGCGTTGTTTTCCAACGCGCGAGCCCAATAACGCGAGCTGAACTTTTGTTTCTCGTCAGAGATATCGTGCATCTTAACCTCTCTATTATCCAGTCTGAACCTTGATCTCCTGAGCAGTATCCGATAAGAATGTTGAGTCTTATTGAGTGAAGTGAGTGAGCCACATTAGAAGAATATAATATTCGCTCGGTTGCCAAAGCAGTAGTTTGAGAGAATATTAGTTCGAAGAAAACACCATTCATTGCATCACTAACACACACACACACGGTACACACACACACACGGTACACACACACGGTACACACACGGTACACACACACGCACACAAGGAGAGGCCAGCTCCTCACCTTTCTCTTCCAAGCGGCGGATGTACTTCAGGAGCTGCACTGCTGCACAGCCTCTCTCCTGCACTTCCAGGTCACTGGCTTGTACGTACATGGGCAGTGCATCGTCCAATAACTGCAGCACTTCTTCCGCATCATCGTTGTCATCCTATGCATAACGAACACACACAAGCACGCAGAGCAGCAAGCACCATGAAGCACCATGAAGCAACATGGTTTCGCGATTCTCCATTCGATGGATTTCCGAAAGAAAAAGACAACCGTGGGAAAGAGCAGAGTCGGGAAACCGGTCTCAGGCCTGCAATGTTCACCTTACATGCTGGCTCCAGGGTTTGTAATGCAGATCGAAATGTGGATATACTGCAAAGCTGTGCCCAAGTGCCAGGCGTATTCTTGCACGAGCCGACAAGAGTACTGTACCATGCTTTTATTTAAATCAGGCATGCATCCACACCCACACACACCCACCCACACTATTTCCATGTATTCGGGCACGAAGACCAAGCTGATGTGTCAAATGCCCATCTTCAAGACCCGGGTACATACAATGTACATGTAACTCATCAGTCTAACAACGTACAGCAAAACCTGGTTTAAGTGACCATCCCACGGTGCAAGCAAATGCGGTCGTTAAAGCCAGGTGGTCTTTAGAACCAGGTCCCACAGTGTCTGTGTAGAACTGTCGGTGCATGGAAAAACGGTCGTTATGAGCAGGTGGTCGCTAAACACAGAGGTCGCTTACACCAGGTTTTACTGTACATCATCACCGGAAAAGAAGGCATATCCTAAAGCAGTACGATGATAAGCATTGGGAAAGAAGGTCTCTGCAGCTTCCAATGAGTATTCTACACATCAGAACATACCTCCTCAGCACCCTTCTTGCGAATGAATGCGTAGAGCTTGAGAATGTTCTGCACGAACACCGCCTGGATGTGACCTGGCAATGCGCTACAGTGTGGCTTCAGCATCGTTTCCAACGCAGTACGGGCATTGGGCAACAAACTGCACACACAGACACACAACATTCCATGTCAACTCAGGAAGTCAGTGGGTGCTACGATGCACGCACATACATGCAAGTACCATATACCATTATACACACACGCGCACATGATGTACGCATACGTTATCGCCAAAAATGAATAGATGACCACTGCCAACCGCGCCATGAAACGACTAAATCGGCATATGATACTGACGGATAAAAAGATGGGATAGAAAATAGCTCTTGGTCAATTCCAGGGATACAAAACAGTGCAGTATAGTTTCTTCCTTGCACATCACAAGGTAATTTTCCACAGTACATGGAATGGCTGCACACGTGTTTGCTGAGTGCCTAACCTGGCATATTCTCCGCAGATCCAGCCTGCTGCATAGAGCACTTCACAGATACCATTGCGCAGACCTGAGCCCTTCAGAATGTGAGAGTTCTCCAGCAGTACCGCCTGATACACAGCAGCAGCAGCCACATAGACACACAAACACACACCACAAACGAGAGAGAGAGAGAGAGAGAGAGAGAGAGAGAGAGAGAGAGAGTGAAGGAGAGAGGCAGACAGAGAGAGAGAGAGAGAGAGTGAAGGAGAGAGGCAGACAGAGAAAGAGGGAGAGGCCAACACACGTGCACACACACAGACACAGACACACAGATACACACACACACAGAAAAGTCACCAACCAACCCAGTAGCTCTAAGCTTACTGCACTAGCATGGGAGTGAGACAAGTATCAAAAACAACTTACAATTAGGAGAAGACAAAATTCCTTACTGGAAGATTCACTGGCTGAATCATTCAACAGTCAACACACCGCTAAAGGCAATAACAACGTGCTGGGCAATTAACATCCGCTTGCACGTACCATTTGACGCACGGCAAACGGCCGTACAGACTTGACGCGAATGGCCACGTCCATCATGCTGTTGGCAATGAGGCGTCCCTTGCGTGTGCCCTCCATCCTTGTCAGCTCCACTAACACAGTTATGTACCTTGTAGAGTGAGCAAAGGAGAACACAAAGACACAACATTGGTACGCTGTTCGTCAGTTTGATGGAACGGAAAGGGAAACAGCCTGGAAACATCGACGATTGCCACCAGGGGTGTTCGCTATAGGTCAACGATACTCTTTCGCCCAGCTATGGTGTACACGTCATCCCAGGAGAGGCTGTTCAGCATTTTCTTCAGACTCGACACTCACGCTTTCCTGTGAATCAACAGAAACTGGTGATACGCAGCCCTTACTGTGAGAGTGGAGATACAACCTCACATACACGGCGGGTCATAGAACTAATTTCTGTTGCCGTGCATACACAACCACTGCCTGTCACCGACGTCCTTTCCAAAGATCAGGTTCAGTAACAGATTGAATGTAGTGACCGCTCTCTATCTCAGGAAGGAGTTGTATCCAATCGCCACTGTATAACGATTTCTTTCTCCTCAACTCACACTATGAAAAAGCTCCAATGTCCAAACGCTTGGAGGAATGAAGCAGACCCATTCACAGTGTCCAAGACCAAGTGATGGTGGCGTCATTGATTGATTCCATTCAGAGGACTTTGATAACCCATTCCCGTAACACACTACCAGTGCAACAAGACACCATAGAATTCTCGAGAACTCTGCTATCCAAGGCACCTATCCATGCATTATTCATTAATCAACAGACAACCGTATTAGGCAACTCCCATCAACATGTTTGGGAGAGAGAGTGAGAGAGAGAGAGAGAGAGAGAGAGAGAGAGAGATAGAGAGAGAGAACCAGCAAATGCGAGCACACATCTTACCACTCAAAGTTGGTGACAAACTGGTAGTTGGATTGAGTGCAGAGATCAACAACCTTGCTAAGAACCTCATCACGATAGACTGAGCGCACAGACACAGACACATACACACATACACACAGGCAGACAGACACACATAAGTTATACAAATAGTGAATACACAGGCAGACAAACACCCACACACGCGAGCACTACACTGTATGGCAGCCACACTGCAAGTTTGAACTGCAGGACAGTCCAATCAGTGAGGAAGTGGTACAGGTACTAGCACAGCAAGCTTGGGGGCAGCAATCCAAACCTTCGGACACAAGTTCAGTATCGATAGCAGTGCAGGATGAGAGCTACTCTAGCCTGGGGACTGGACTCTGGACCATTCTCTACAGGATCATCTCCCACATCCCTACTCAATAATATTGTAGGTTTAGGTTATAATGTATTAGTTTCTGGTGTACGCGTAGCGACCTCGCTTCTTTTCGCTGAATGCACATATGATCTCCTTTGTTCTTCATCAGTTCTCAAGAGTGTGATCAGATGATGTTGATATCATGTGGTGTATACAGGTAGTAAAAGTAGACACAGATGAAGATGAAGCTTTCCCCCTGCTACCTCACTGCCGCCCACGTTCCATGCAGTTACACATGCAAACACCATTCATCGTGATCCGTACCTTGGCCCTCGGCTTTGTCCATATGCGCCATAAGCTTCTTGACAATGTCAACAATGTTCTTCTTGGAAACCTGAAATTCACAATGACAGAAGCAGCAGCAGCATCAACAGAAACAAGAACGATGATGATGATGGCGGCAACGACAACAAGAAGTCACAAACTGATAGTGTCAGTAGGGATGGTGGTGGTACGATGCAATGTAACAATAGAGTACAATACAGTAAAAGCAGACATTTTCGGTGGTGTTTTATTTCGGTAACTTCGGTGCCGAAATGTTTGCCGAAAATAAAACGCACCGAAAATGTCGGTACTAGTACAAGTACACTTACCTGGAAAACGGGTTTTACCGAAAATTTCCCCCCACCGAACCGCCGATTTTGGAGAATACCGAAAATATTACACCACCGAAAATTTCTGCTTTTACAATACTAATAATTATTCTTTGGCTGAACCAGCATATGGATAGAGTAGAAGCTCTCACCACCAGCCCACCGATGGCCCTGCTAAATGAAGCTGACCCTGCACGGAAGTATCCTGATTTTGAGTAAACAAATTAACTGGACGTTTGAACCAACACAGTCAAACCTGAACAAAACAAATCCTGGAGAATTTGAAGTCACACTGGCCACAGAGAGACAAGGCCGATGTATACCACAGTGCTGGCAACTGAAGTCCGACCCTGAAGCGGTGCGCTCACACATTGCAAAGACCCAGCAACGGATTGTAACACAACGAAGTGGAGACCGCTAGAATCGGTGCTGAACTCGGGCACGGAAAATCAGTGGGGTTGGATTTCAGCCGCCACCAGTGTAGTAGCCCAGAAGGACATGTCAATGACTGAGGTCCAATACTACTACTCACCATGCCGGAGAGAAGATCGAGGGCACGAAGTCGAATGGACTCGTCACGTCCGTCCAAGCACTCCAAAATCAAATCCCTACAAAAAAGAAGAAGCACACAGACACGCGTACAGTGAAGGAAAGAAAGAGAGTGAGCGAAAAGAGAGAGTACTCGAGAGTTCGAGAGAGACAGATGGAGAGAGAGAGAGAAAGAGAGATGATCTAGACTAAGTTGTAGGGTCAACGGTTGGGAACCACCAGGCCACGGACGCAATCATCTATTCTCCGAAGACTTGAATCACAGAGATTCAACAGTAGATTTCAAAGGACACAGGAAGGTTGAGTCACAGGAAGATGGATGAAGCATGTACAGAAATCCCCCCCCCCCCCCTCCCCCCAAAAAACTTCCAAGCCTGGTCAGTTTACTTGTAACTCCAGGCACAGCTAGGAAAGGGTTTGCTCCCCACACTGGAGCCCAAACATTCCTAACAAATCATTGCCAAAGTCGCTACCACTTATTTCAGGCACAGTGCATCAATAATACGCTGAGCCAGCACAATGACTTACTTGTGAGCTTGTACGACTTTAGGATGGTGTTTGAGAATCTGACCAAGGGCGCGCAGACCGAGGTATCTCACTGTTATACACCGCAACAGCACAACAGCACAAGACACAAGGAAATGGAACTACGCATCAACAAAGGAAGCAACAATGCAGCAAGGCTTCTTTCTACAGATGGCTACACATTCAGCATGAAGCACAGAGAAGGTATTGGAGGCGAGTTCAAAATCAGCATGAAAACAATAACAGCAATGAAAGTGGCAATGGCGTACGTCTTGCCCACTCCCCCCCCCCCCCCCCCCCACACACACCACCACCACTATTAATTTCTCTTCCTCTGCTTACAGTTGGGGTCAGCGTCGTTCTCGATCATCTCACGAAGTTTCCCAGAGCAGAGCTGCATAACACGCACACACAGCAAAGCAGCGATAGAACGTAAACAACAGTGCATAACGCCTTCAACACACATGCCGATAGGACAATACTGACAAGCAACTACTAACAAACACAATATTGTTTCTACAAACAGCATTCTATTCGATAATAGCAGGTATGCAGCAGCTTTCGGCCTGTCCATCAATGAATTAGTCCTTGCATTCATGCACTTTTCGCAATATACCAATCACAAGTGAAGGAACCATGTCGGTGTGAAAGTCATCGCTGACTTGAACATTTTCATTAGATTGATGGAATCGGAGATGGGAAAAAGTAAAAAAACTTGAATTTCACATCGCAGGACTTGCTGTGGTCTGTTTACCTGTATTGAAGGCAGATGATTGGGAAGACCTGAGATGACTGTGTTCACACACTCAAATGAGAGTGATGTGGCCGATGTGCTCTGAATCAGGCTGGTGAGTGGGTCTACCAGCTTCTTGGCAAGACGTGGCTCCAATGGCGTCAGCGCACCAAACTAACAGACAGACAGACAGACAGAAGAAAACATCACAAATACACACAATGAACCAAGACAACAGGAACACACGACGTGCATGCGAGATGTTACAACAAACCATAAATGTATTTTTCGGAGTATAAGCCGCACTGGAGTATAAGCCCCCCCCCCCCCCCCCCCCCCCCTACCCTCTCTCTCTCTCTTTGCCACGAAATACAGAGATCTACCCTCTTTATGACAGTTTGATCTTCGGAGTATAAGCTGCATCCCCCCCCCCCCTTTTTGGGAGAAATTTTGAGTGTTCAAAGTGCGGCTTATGCTCGGGAAAGTACGGTAAGTGTTCTGAACATCAGCATTTCGTACACAGCAAGAAATCTCACACGAGCACAAAGCACCAACAACGCACTGCCTGTTGGAGAAAATGCAAACTCTCGGACACATAGGCGTACGTGCATTGATCCATACTGAATTATCGGTTGGGGTAAGATTAGAAGTATGTCGGATACAAACTACTACTACACATCCCTGCTGCCCATGCGGGTACGTCTTATCAGGGGTCCTATGCCGTACATGTTCTCTGTCAGGTCGTAACAAACTGTCGCACCATTTGATTGTGAGTTCGAGTTAGGGTTATTGCTCACAACAGCCGTATTATCTTACAAGCTTGATGATCTTGATGAGCATCCAGTTGTTGCCAGAGCTAGTCATCAGCTTGAAGAACACCGGCGCCAGTGACAAGTAGTTCTTTGGATTCTTACGTGCCAGCTCACAGATAACATTGACTGCAGCACACTGGACAGCTACACACACAAGCATTCGAGTCGTCAGATGTACATACCCACCCACCCTCACGTATGTCTCTCCCCCCCCCCCCCCCCCCCCGATATGCACAACCCTCACATGCCTCCATGACTGAAAATCCCCTAACGAGAGCAGACACCCATTCACATTGTCAAATGCATTATTTGTCAATGCACACAAGAGAGCACAGACGGACATCCCCCCACCCCCCACCCCAACATAACATGCAACCCCTTTCGCATGCCAATCACAGAAAAAGACCCCATCTGAATACAGGCATCCATCACAGCAGAAAAGGGAGGTATTGATCGGATCACTAACAACATAGTAGAGTGGACTTAAAGTAGTTGAAGTAGTTGGGAGGCACGTAAATCAGAGGAACCAGTGGTCCAAACAACCGAAAGGAGTACTTCAAATACATGTACAGTTGTGGCCAAAGAAATCCGACCCACGTGCCGAAAGCAGCACCAATGCTCATGCGGTCTCTGCGGCCCTCAGGTCGGTTTTCGGAGAGTGCATGACGTAATTGAAATGGAAACGCGGCGCTGCTTTTGACTCGCGAGTCGGATTTCTTTGGCCACCAGTGTAGTTACACTATCACCCAGACACTAGGTAACATACCAGGCTCAGCATCCTCAAGCTTGTCTTTCAGACGGGGAAACGCTGGACGAAGTGAGTCGGGAAACTGCACAGCAAAATATACCAGAGAGAGGGAGAGGGACAGAGAGAGAGAGAGAGAGAGAGAGAGAGAGAGAGAGAGAGAGAGAGAGAGAGAGAGAGAGAGAGAGAGAGAGAGAGAGAGAGAGAAAGAGAGAGAGAGAGAGAGAGAGAGAGAGAGAGAGAGAGAAAGAGAGAGCGAGAGAGAGAGAAAGAGAGAGAGAGAGAGAGAAAGAGAGAGAGAGAGAAAAAGAGAGAGAGAAAAAGAGAGAGAGAAAGAGAGAGAGAGAGAGAGAGAGAGAGAATGAGAATGAGAAAACACGGCAGGAGAAAGCCAACGGCTTTTCTGATAAGTTACAATTGCAACGCCTGGATGGACCAGTTTGTGCAGCAGCGAGGGAGAAAAGTAATGCCACCGCCACCAGAGAGACAAACAAACACAGTTCAGACATGGGGACAGCCTCACAGCTACCCACCTTCAAAAAGATCTTGTACATGAGAAGAATGGCCTTCTTGCGCAAATACGGCTTAGTCGAGGACATCTGTACCAAAAGAAGAAGAAAATCACAAAAACAACAAGACGACGCTGGCCAATTGCTACTTTCTTTTGAGGACTAGCGTGGAGACGCTATGACTAGCAGTGTCTACTTTGTGGAAACAGTTTTACCGTATTTCCACAAATAGTAGGCCGGTCTACTATTTTTTCAACCTCGTCCTAACCCGGCCTTATAATCGAGGACGGTCTTGTATTCGAGGACGGTCTTTTATTCTTTCAACCCAGTTTGACCCCCGGTCTTCTATTTCTCGCCACACAGTTTTACCCCCGTTCTTCAATTTTCTTCTACACAGTTTGAGCACGGTCTTCTATTTTTTCCCACAGTTTGAGCACGGTCTTCTATTTTTAACACAAGAACAAAGACTCATTTAGTAGGCCCGGTCTTCAAATCGGAGACGGTCTTTTATTTTTTCAATCGCCCCCTGCCCCGGCCTTGTATACGAAGAAGGCGTTGTATACGAGGACGGCCTTTTATTTGCGGAAATACGGTACTAGCTGAACATACACACAATTATACAGTACACCCACGACTCTCTTATCCGGGCACCCTGAGACAGATAGGTGTTCGTAACTCAGAAAATACCGATAAACAAGGCATGATGGATGTGGCCAGCAACTCTGGGACACGCGTACACCTTGTGATACCTCGTAGCACAGTAGCAGTCACTGCGCAAAGAATAATGTGGTGCTAACGCATTGAGCATACGCGCGGCAGAAACACTACGACTCGGAGTACTCCACAAACTCAGAAGGGTACCGGGCTGACAGAGGTATCGGGATAGGGGGTCTAAGGCACAAGTAGGTGAATATGGTTTTAATACATTCAGACATTATCAGAGGATGTACATGGACATGCACTAACACACGAAGATGGTCTTCATGAAAATCAGATAGCACTAGAGAGGATGTAGAGGGGACGGTTTCAAATAGGACACAGGTTGCAAACCGGAACGGACTCAATATTCACCTTCTCTCTTGGTATTTTGATTAGAAAACATATGTCACAGTGAGACTACGATGTGTTATACTCCGAGCTAAAATTTCATGGCTCTGCGATGACCAGAAGCGCCATATCAAGCAGGTGAGTTTTTGACGTGTTGCTTCGCACTGCGACTTGAGTTTTACGACTTTCGAAAAATCAACTTCTTGTCGCAGGTAAACAGCGGCTCGCCTCTCGCCAATAAAGCACCGCATACCAATCAAAACTAATGGAAGCACACACAAGGCGTATTGTTACTCTGTACTGGCCGTCGTGGAGCGATAGCAATTTCCTAATTTCAGAGCCAGAGTGAATTTGACGTGCACTCTAAAACGTGTCCGGTTTGGAGCCACCTCTGATTTGAACTTTTTTGAAGCGAACAATTGGGCAACTTGGAGGCAATGGGTCAACACAAAGGAGTGGCTCAGTTCGATTGACTCTGGCCCCAGAGCAAACTTCAACATGCCAGTTTCCTTCCACAAACATATTTCGAGTGAAAAATCAACGCTGATGATCGGTTTGGGTCTATACAAATTTGGCTGTCAAAGCGTCCCGGTATCGAGCCGTCCCCTCTACATGCACTACTACACTGATAAACACCATGGGCAATTCTGGCCCATTGACGTGTCATTGCCTGCTGGCAACTCCACTGTTAGTCTGCTGTACATACCAGTGCCATCACGTCGTTGGCCAAGTCACGTGCAAGGTCTGTGCTGACAAAACATGACAAGCCAGTGAGTGCGACGCCCGCATCGTACATATTCTGACTTGATAAGTCCTGTATATGATAACACAGAGACAATGCAAACGCGCACATACACACACATTCAAGTGCAGGGACGCACATACACGCAAATAAAACCGCATGGTAGAAGTTCGTGAAGAAGGAGATTGAGACATGATTAACTGGCTGCGGTGGAGCCTCCGCATATTGAAGATGGTAGAAGTTCATTATCAAAACTCAGTTTTCACACTCTGTAATAAGCACATGTGGAAACACAGTGTGCACAGATGCGCATACAAGCGACACTGCACTCTGTGTGTTCAAATGCACATACACACGACACTGGATTCATAGGCATACACACAAACACACACACACACACACACGCACACTGTGTTCGGACGCGCACAGCAAAATGGTACATTAAAGAGCATGACATGACAGAGTGTGTACATACCTTTCGGATCATGTTGGTGGTCAGCATAAGAACATCCGTGTCTTCGTGAAACGATTGTGAAGCCGCCAAGTACCCCATTCTCTGTGATACGAATATACATACACACAGACACAGACACAGACACACACAAATACACACATGAGAATAACAGCATTACACAACGGAGACCATAACTATCAGCGTCACAGAGGATCGAAATCGAAACACTGAAGATTACAGTGAAAGAAGCAAGTGAGTTTCAATGCAGCCAAGCGAGAATGAGTACAACTTCTGTGATAAAGCTGTGCGAAGAACTACAGTCCATTCGCCAAACCAGGGCCCCTGATACGCTAAAACTACCAGCATATGTCTGAAAAAAAATGCCGAACTGTGGAGGAGTTCCTGCCTGGAAGATTTCCTGGCACACACTGAGTACCATGATCAAGTTTCACCGTATTTCTTGAATGAGAATGAAGTGAGACTGAAAAACCTATGGGCCCAGGTTTGGTGAATGGACTGTAGACTTCAGTCAGACTCATAATTACCTTGTACATGAACTTGGAAGAGCTCATGACCTCGATGATGTTGAACGCTGCCCAGCTAATGTCATAGCCCAACATTTGTAACTGAACAGAGGACACACACAGCATGGAAAGAGAGAGAGAGAGAGAGAGAGAGAGAGAGAGAGAGAGAGAGAGAGAGAGAGAGAGAGAGAGAGAGAGAGAGAGAGAGAGAGAGAGAGAGAGGCCATGGAAAGCACGGGAGAGGAAGTCAAGTTCTCCACAACACAAAATAGAGGTTCACAGCATAATTGAACCAGTGCTTTTGGACAAAATCTGAGCGTTTCTGAAGCAGCAGTTACTGTTCATACAGTATAACAATACAGCACTGTGGGATGCTCAAGAATGGTGAACTGAAGAACAGGCTAGGATTTCACCAAGCAATGTATAGCAATTTAGACTGGGTACATGGTGACCAGGCAATGTATAGCAATTTAGACAGGGTACATGGTGACCAAGCAATGTATAGTAATTTAGACTGGGTACATGGTGACCAAGCAATGTATACCGACACTGGGTACATGGTGACTCAACTGTCAACTGTGCATAGACTATATAGCAGGGACTAATTTACTTCAAAAAAATTGCATAGCAATAATTGCTACACACCTCGATGTTTGCATAGCAACGCAACAATTTTGCATAGCAGTTTTTTTCTGTCGACAATGCAGTCTTCAGTGCACTTCCACTTATACCGTCAACAAACGCCATGCTGCCTCAAACCACGAAGCGAGGACGCCTTCTCCCTGCACATCTTGCAAAATATCTTGGTCACAGCTCCACCACTCGACTCTGCGCGAATCCATTCTTTTTTGGGATCAAATTCAGCAATCCACTTGTCCACAGTACCTTGCTTCACAGACATGCCAGCAGTGAAGAGGCTTCATCAATAAGGCTAGCAGAATTTTACAAAGATAAGTCCTGAACGGTCGAGACGCCTACTGCTAGTGAAGCAACGCGGTCTAAATCTCAAAAGCAGGTGAAGTCCTTGTCGACACTCGCCTCGTGCTTCCTGGGCCATGGGCTGCACTTCAAGTAAGTGTTAGTTAGTTAGTTTCCAAGTGCACGTGCTGCGGTGCGCGTGCGGAGATAGACTATTAGTGTGACATATGGCCATGGTCCCGCGGCCCGCGCGTGCGTATGGTGTAAAATCTACCTGCAGTGCAGGCTGGACAACCACACACACACAGTCTAATCTAGTCACAGTGCATGGCGCGCCATCTCGTGGCGCCAAACCAGCCACACACACTGTAAAGCTACACAATCATGTGCATGCGCTACGCGTGCACTACAAGTCTATGTCCAGGGCCATACTTAGCTGTATGTTGTGTCGCAGTTTACCGCGACTCACTACGAACTTCGAATCGCAGACACTGTGTTTTGCGTCGCAAATTGCGATGCGATACCGGTTAAATTAGTCCCTGTATAGTAGAGTAAAACAACGTGCCCTAACCGGACACCCTTGGTGCAGTGGAAACTGTCCTGGTATGACTGGGATTCCGCTTGCTACAGGGTCCGGCAAACACAGGTTTTACTGTACATGAAAGATAAGACAGGTCTAGGCTAGGATGCTGACCCCCCCCCCCCCCCCCCCCCCCCCCCCTCCACACCTAGTGTTCAGCACCTGACAGTACTGTGTACACAAATGAAAGGTGGCGGACAAACTTACATATATTAACTTTGCTACGGCATTAGCCTTCATGGTCATGTTATCTTGCCGTAACTCGCCCTTGATCTCCTCAATACAACTGGAGATATAACGGCTCTGCAACACAACACAGCAAGTAAACACTAAGTTTTGTAATGATCAGAAAGAAAACAATTTCAGGGTTTGGGCGAGACTCGGCTAGAGGACGAGTTTTCCGCAACCGCAGGAACGCCACCACCCTCAAGGATCAAGGCGTAGATGCAGCTCCTAAAGCGGTGGTCAGAACAATGCCGTTAAAAACAGCGCGTGCATACAAGAGGGTTCTGTGCAGGTGCAGAATCCACTAGCATGCCGTGCAGGTATCGATTGATTGGTCTTCCCTGCAATGTGCAGTAGTCTGTCAATACACACTGCACTGCACTGTGGCTACAGAGCTATGTCTCTTGAGCAGTTCAAGACCGTGCGTGTACGCTAGCTACATGTGTGTGTGTGTGTGCTTGTGGGCGCGCGTGTGTGTGTGCGTGTGCATGTGAAGTGGTGTCAGCAAGGTGGTGCATGGTTCAGGAGCGTTGCTTGCTGGGCTCAAGGTGCACACAGCCATGCTTTCCCACCGCATCTTCCCAACGGCCATCAGACTCTGCCAACCCAATACCTTACTCACAACTACAAAACAAACATTATCCAGCACTCTGTGACTGCTACTTCCAGTCCGGTAGTGGATTCAATGCCAGATTGCGAGCGAGACAAGCGAACAACAGCAAGTGGCTGTCGATAGTCCCGTGTCTATACAATAAAACCTATCAAGGCGACCACCTCTCCCCGAAGACAACTGCAGCAAGGACCAAGGGATGCTATTTCCAGTCAAATGGCACGGGATAAGAGGACCATCTGGTTACAGAGACCACACTTTGAAAGTCCCTTGAGCAGTCGTCTTAGACAGGTTTCACTCTAGTTCAATATCTGGGTGCATGCAGCGAGAAACTTCAGGACGGCTGCAACAACATGACACTGAATGCGTGTGCGTGAAGCGGTGATGCTCCCCCCCCCCCCCCCCCCCCATGATCCCTGTTACTAGTGTTAGTAACGGCAGGTAAGCCACTCTACAACAGCCGTATGGTCAAGGTGTGTGCATGCGTGTGTCTGTGTGCATGCGCGCGCTTGCGTCTGTGCGCGTATGTGTGTGCACGCGCATGCATACTCTTGCCTACAGCGTCATCGCAATTGGCTGATTAGAGGACAGAGTGATGGGACTTCAACAACGGACATTGAGCTAGGTGCATGAAGGGCATAAAGCCGATACACTGCATTGATGCGGATAACCACTTTTCCAAGGTGCCCCATAACCCCATAATTGCGTCTCGGCTTGCAGTGTGTCAGCCAAGGTGCATTGCATTCTCCGGAAGCATCACCTATCAAGCATGACACTTCACTAATTACATGATGCACGTAACACACATGTGCAGGAACCAGGAAATTTTGAATCTGGAATTTTTTTGTCACGATGGTACAGGAAACTCCACATGCCTCACACTTTCCACCAGTCCACGAAAGTGCGACGAGGATCTATTCTCTATCGTTGCACCCTGACTGATACACGAGGATGATGCATTTCCTGCGAATATCTCGAGTCCCAAAAGTGGAAGTTGACATACGTGTACAATGCAGAGTACATTCTTTTCAAACCACTTGAAAATTTCGGAGACTATAGCAAGTACGACAATACTAAAACCAATAACAAAGATTCATCGTGGAAATAATTACCTCATTGTGGCGATTATTCCTGATTCCACGAACCAAATCACTCAAGGATTTCTCAAACATGATCAAATTCTATTCTTCTCCGGGACGCGAGGTCCCGGGACGCCTAATCCACGCTGCGAGTAGTCTATGCAGTGTACCAAGCCACAGATAGGAGAGTTGATCAACACTAAATCCTCCAAGGCACGTCTAAACCTCGACGCATTCTGTTTTGGAGAACTGCTTTCCAAACAACCTCTCAAACAAACTGCATTTCAGACTGCACAAAACGATGCCAGCCTGCAGCCTTGATACACAAACGGTGCAAGACTCGTCATTGTTTTCTGCGAAAAATATCTCGATTTGCTGCCATGATAACCAGGATGCAACGCTAGCCGCGATCTGCCCTTTTGGAGCCGCACAGTCACAGACTCCGAAACAGCCCGCTAGAAGTGGGGATTGTCTACCAGTGCGCATGCGTACGTGAGTCATTGCCCAAGAGGATGACGTAGGTAGGGAGCATGGTTGTCACGTGCATGTACCCTCGTGCTGTCAGTTTTCTTTGTTGGTGTCAAACGGCCTTGCATGCCTTTCTGCTTGATTTTTTTGGTTTATTCTTGTATGCAGTACGCAGTCTGTCTTGTTCGTTATGCGGAGCATGTAGGCTGAAGTGATATTTCCTCCTGACTGTTTCCATCACTATTGACGTTTCACAGACCCCGTTACGCGTTGCTCACTAAAACCAAACGTGGATGTTCGCCGGCGTACTGAAATGCGGCACAGTAAATTTGCCTGAGCAGGTAATCGCAGCTCTGAAATTAACACAAACGGGCCTTCACTAATCATCGCAACCACCAGGAGGCAGGAGGACTACTATACAGTGCTGCACCAACGCCTGGCTGTAGCATGGCGCAGCCTTAGTTATGACCAAGGACTTGGGTCTATGCAGTTTTCTGGCCGGTCTTCGCAGGTAGGGTACATGTACACTGACTGTAGGGCTGGTTCGAGTTCAAGTCATCCTGTGTACAAAAATGCGCACTCTTCTGTTCACTAGTAGTAGTACTAAATCCAGTGACTGCAGTCTGCAGTGACAGTCAGTGACAGTCAGTCATTTATCTCCGAACTCACTGCATGCAAGTCATCTATGCGCTCTGTCCTAGATAGCATTCCATGTGTACTTCGCCACGTGACAAGCCACATTCGGAGGTAGATATTGTCAAATTGTGACGCCTGCAGCTGCTCTTGCTGTCTGCTGTCTGCCGGCTTTGGTGCGAAGTACTGCAAACCTCTGGGGGTATTCTGCAAGACGTAGTGGTCTTGGCGGACCAGTCATGCACAATGCACAAATAAGGACAAACTGAGAGAGTGAGTGGGTCTTCTCTGTACTGCACATTGACACCGCTGTACAATCGGAAAAAGTATAATTATGGCAACGTTTTAGAGACGCCATACTGTGCCTGGTTTTAGCGTGCACAGCGTCACTGAATACAGAGACCCGGCTAGATGTAGTCAACTCGTTCCCATGATGCGCACATTTCAAAGCAGGCGTTCACATCACTACACACGCACACACACACACACGGAGGTCAGCTGACGAAGTGAGGCTTGCATACATTATCGTTTTTGAAAACGGGCAATCTGAAACGGAACGGCTCGCAGCGAAAACACAACCACACATGCTGAGGAAATATCAGCGTTTGCTCTCGCGGGAGCAAGAAAAAGAAAACATTCTGTGCGGAAGATAAAAGAAGCTGTATTGAGGGAGGAGATAGTGTCTGAATAAAGCGAGCAGTATCAAAACCGTGATAAAGTTAGCTTGCTGTTATGTGTGACGAAATGCAAAAAATATCAATGTTATTGTGAAAAATATCAATGTTACAGTGAATGTCGCCATTGGCAACAGTACCAAGCACTAACACAGCTGCATGGCAATTTTGCCGGTCAACTAGTGTGCATTGGATTCGAGCACGTTGATCAATGTCAGTGCTTCTCTAAATCATTCGATCAGTAGGCCAGCTACATGCGTATAAACAGGTGACACAAAAAAATAATACCAGAACACAGCGTTTCTTTTGGCTGTTATGTCCTTAAAAGGACACCAGGCGAAGCATTGCCAGGCATGCAAACAAAGAGCCAGCTCATACAGACAACGTAGGCAATACAATACATGTCCTACAGATGAGGGAGGAATACAAGTAGATCACTAGATTCGGATGGAGAAAAGCCAGCAAACAATGCACAATGGACCCTGCTCTCTAGTGACCGGCCGGTCCAGAGTTGCACAGCAAAACAGCAGAAATCGCGAAGACGAGAAAGAGAAAAATGAGCAAGCAGGATCCATACTGCTGCATGGGTGCAGTCGGGCGTACACTTTCTAGTATGGCAATGCATGTGCTGGAACAGTCCGCACGAGTTTACAACATACATGATGATACAAAGTCACATTCAACACAAACAGATGCTTGAAGTGCACACATTGGTTTGCTGAAATGCAGAGCACATTGAAAAAGGGTGGAGTCAAGTAAGAAACGGATATAGGAATAAAGATGCTTATAGAAATTCAGTGACTGACAATGATTACATGCAAGACGACCATCAACGGGCACATGTATTTGTATCGTATGCCAGCATCGCTACGTGTTGCAGAGTAGCATACATTCTCGATACAGTGGCAGCGTTACAGAACGTCATAACGGCATAGTGCCCAGGACAATCTTTTCGTATGGCCAATGGCCCATGGGGGCAACTTGAAGCAACATGCAGGTACATTACCATCATTGTACTGAAGTACATGAACCATAGCATCACATGTCTTAACATGACATCGTACTGCTGGGGCAAGCCAGCGTGCATGCAGGGGTACGAGCGAACGGCTCAAACAGGACACAATACAGACATGCCACGCAACAAGAATAGACCACATGCACACACACACACACATGCACACATACATACACATGCCTCTATGCACATAAGGCTGAATGCATTGGCATGGGGCAGTGGCAGAAATAAACCAGGCTGCACAAACACACATTGGCATCAAAACTCAAGTGGCCAGCAGAACACTACACAGCGAATCGCAGTGCAGTCCTACACTAGTCATGGTATCCAGCCATATCGACTTGCACTTCATCACAACACCCCGTCGGCGGAGCTTCAATACGCACCTCCATCACCCACGACACACACTCAAGCCTCTTCTCGTCTGACACCGGCAGGTCACGTTCCGGTAACTCTAGCGGATGTCAATGCGGCCGCAGTCTGCTGGTGTGAATGGTTGCTGTTGGCGGAAGCAGCGTGAGCGTGTTCCTCTGCTGACAATCTGAACGCTGCACCGACGGGGAAGAAGTCTAGCTTTCCCACCTTGACGTTCTCCAGTATGTAGCTCTCCTGTCCGGTGTGCTCTGTCGTGTCCTTGGTGAACAGGTACATGAACAAGAACCTGTGGCGGCACGGTGTGTACGCATGGGCACGTGAACAAACACACACATACATACACGTATACACACACACATATCGATATTGATGGAAATAGAAGAGGAGTGGGTTGCGGGCACAATACAAGTGCAAGCATACAGACAGACACTCACATAGGAAGCAAGCACGAGGGACATGGATGTGCATGCAGAGTGGATACAGGCATTGTGATCCTTTTCGGAACAGAACATCAGGCCATATTCCAATCGCATGCCATTCAAAGGTGAGGGAGCGGTCACCCAAACATTACACGGATAGCTTTCTGCGTATGTTCGCCCTGATGATGGGCTAGGCCTGAAGATTTAGCGGAGCATTGGTTTATTCGCAGTGAAGAGACCGTTATTGAAGTGTTGGAGTGAGGTTAAAAAGATAAGTGTAAGTGGCTGCGTTGGAGTTTGCGGACACTGATAAGAAAAGTCTCTCGGCAATGCATCATTCCACTCACAGGTAATTGGAGATGTTGTGCTCCTTCTCGACATGCAGCTGAAAGCCGTGCGGTGTCACGTCGAATCGCTCCTTGCCAATACCGCACACAAAGCACTTGGTCTGAGAATGATCAGGAAAGGTAACAGAGAGAGAGAGAGAGAGAGAGAGAGAGAGAGAGAGAGAGAGAGAGAGAGAGAGAGAGAGAGAGAGAGAGAGCAAATATTCAGTAATTTAAAGGCAGCCAGCGTTGCTGATACAATACCCAATGTCATGCAGAGGCTTCACAGACACTTGTGTGCGCATACATACATGCATACATACAGACACACACAGACACACACGCATACGCTGAGCAAGCTCTGCCAGGCAGCAGAGGACCTGCATCGACCAATGTTCTAGAAACACTCTATTTTTGTCAGAGGAAAATCTCCTATTCTGGTATTCATCTCGAGCCAAGATATCCCTGGATCATCTGTCCTTAGAGGACTGGTTCGGCTGCATGGGATCCAACAATAAATACCTGCGGATTATAACAACACGTTTGCTGCTGGTGTCACCAACATACCTCGTCATCGGACTTGACCTCCTCTTCGCGATCGCGCAGTTCTCCAAACGAGTCAATGATCAGACCTGACAGGATGGGAAAGGCATGCACAAACAACAGTAGCATATTTCCTGTCACACATGATGAGACATGTTCTGCTTGTTGCGTTGAGTACTATTTTAAGAGTATTCAAACTTCTACACGGGAGAAATTCCTGACCCACCAGCATCATTTTCCTGAAAGGAGTCGATATTACTGGACCTGGACCTTACCTTGGATAATGGCCAGCAAGATGATGATGACGAAGAAGAAGAAAGTGATGTCAAACACCATACGTGGTAGCTCGTACTCATCACCGTCTGGGTCCTTGATGGAATCACCTATTGACAGTGGCACACACACAGCGATGTATAAAGAGAACACATGATGTCACACACACAACATCTAAAGAGAGAGCATCAAGTCATACGTTACACAGCATAGTTATAAAGAGAAAGCACGATGCGGCATCAGGCCATATAATGCCATGTGACCATGTCATGTGACCGGGTTATCAGGTCACATGGCCACGGAATACTATAGTAGTCCTGTGTTCACCATGTACATGTACATGTGCCACTCACCGATTCCTCCGCCAGATCGCAGGCCAGCGTACATGTGGAAAGCAAAGCACTGCAGATGGAAAAAGACCGAGAATGCATGAGAGAAAGCGAGCAAGCATAAGAGAAGAGAGTGAGTGTGTGTACGAGAGAGAGAGAGAGAGAGAGAGAGAGAGAGAGAGAGAGAGAGAGAGAGAGAGAGAGAGAGAGAGAGAGAGAGAGAGAGAGAGAGAGAGAGAGAGAGAGAGAGAGAGAGAGAGAGAGAGAGAGAGAGAGAGAGAAAGAAGGAAAGAAAGCAAGAGAGAAAGAGAGAGAGAGAGAGAGAGAGAGAGAGAGAGAGAGGAGGGGGGGGGGGGGAGAGAGAGAGGAAGAGAGAGCCGACCTTAGACCAGACTGCTGTTGAGTATTTCGACCCAGTAAATTACGAATCCCTCCTTCCGCAATTGCTGTTGATACCCGGTAGGACTGCAATGTACATTACACAGCACATGAACCTACAACCACACATGCCCGTGCGATCCCGGGCCAATGTCCGGCTACGATTGAACTCAGCTGAGGGTGTGTTCAGACATCTCTTACCGTCAGCATGTTGTTGCACTTGGGGTCATGTCCCCCGTCCACCTCTTTCTCATAGAACTTGCGGAAGAAGTTGAATGCCAGTACAGTGTAGATGTACACGACCACACAGGTCATCAAGAACGTCATCATCAGCTACATTGTATACACACACAACACACACAGGTCATCAAGAACGTCATCATCAGCTACATTGTATCCACACACAAACACACATAATTGTAAACACAGGCCAACGTCTCACACAATGTCATGTGTATTCGTACACAAATGCATACACCCATATACGTGTACATGCACATGTGCGTCCTTAAAGGGGAAGTGTACCCTAAAATCAAATTTTCACCAGTTGTAGTCTTCTGGGTGCTGAGTCGAATGGCCTTGGTCCGAGGAAGCTGCGACGCTCCCTTCCTTCTTTTTTCCCAATCGAACCCGCGCACTTCCACCGAAACTGGGTGACTGCGCCCTACTAGATGGGGATTTGTATGCAAAATCTCACTAAAAGTGCTGTGTCGTTCTTATTAAAGCACGGATGACCGCGATTGGCCCATATGTTGTAGTCTTTTGGACGCTGAGTCCACTGGTTTTGGTCCGAAAAGGCTGCGATGCAGCGTTCCTCCTTTATTCCCAATCGAACATGGTTGAACAAGCGGTCACGTGCTCCTGGGTGCCCAAATCACCTGGTCACCGCGCCAGCAGGCGACAACTTTCACACTAAGGTTCAACTCGAGTTCAACTCGAGTGACAGGACTGCACCCAAAAAAGGTCAAACAGGCTAGTAAGTTGTACCCTGCAGGCACGGTGACCAGGTGACTGGTGTACGCAGGAGCACGTGACCACTTGTTAAACCATGTTCGATTGGGAATAAAGGAGGAACGCTGCATCGCAGCCTTTTCGGACCAAAACCAGTCGACTCAGCGTCCAAAAGACTACAACATATGGGCCAATGGCGGTCATCCGTGCTTTTATAAGAACGAAATGGCGCTTTTAGTGACATTTTGCATACAAATCCCCATCTAGTAGGGCGCAGTCACCCAGGCGCAGTCACCCAGTTTCGGTGGAAGTGCGCGAGTTCGATTGGGAATAAAGGAGGAAGGGAGCGTATCAGCTTCCTCGGACCAAGACCATTCGACTCAGCACCCCGAAGACTACAACTGGTGAAAATTTGATTTTAGGGTATACTTCCCCTTTAATGACTATGACTCCTTATGGGGATAGCTCACACCACATGGTAAAAAAGATGCTGAAAGCATGTTTCGTACTGCACGCATGTTTCGTACTGCACGCATGTTTCGTACTGCATGCATGTTTCGTACTGCATGCATGTTTCGTACTGCATGCATGTTTCGTACTGCATGCATGTTTCGTACTGCATGCATGTTTCGTACTGCATGCATGTTTCGTACTGCATGCATGTTTCGTACTGCATGCATGTTTCGTACTGCATGCATGTTTCGTACTTCATGCATGTTTCGTACTGCATGCATGTTTCGTACTGCATGCATGTTTCGTACTGCATGCATGTTTCGTACTGCATGCATGTTTCGTACTGCATGCATGTTTCGTACTGCATGCATGTTTCGTACTGCATGCATGTTTCGTACTGCATGCATGTTTCGTACTACATGCATGTTTCGTACTGCATGCATGTTTCGTACTGCATGCATGTTTCGTACTACATGCATGTTTCGTACTGCATGCATGTTTCGTACTGCATGCAGCAAACATACTTCAAATCACTACAGTGCGTCTAAACGTAGTCTGCGTGATTTGCCGTATACACCTGTTTCTTGAAGAGCCAACTGTTTACTATTTTTTCGCTCGCGGACATGTCCTGGCTTACGACAACGAGAAAATTGCATCACACAAGATGTTTCAAGGCTTTCGCAGTCGGCTGGGCTCACAGCAAGCCTGGTCCGTGCAAAGTTGCACACTTCTGGGAGCCTCTGTGCTCTTGTTGCGTCCTTTGGGGGTATCACTGAAGCAATTCCACATCCCGGCACATGCGCTCTCTGGCCGACCTTGCTCTGTAGATAAACAGGCCAAATGCTGCTGCTTACCCTTTGAGTACTTTGGGCTACTGTAATTTCACAAATTTTCGGTTTTATTTTCGGTACTTTGGGTGCATCTGTTTCATACATAAAATTTCAATACACCGAACAAACACTAACACACATAACCCAATAGGGAACTGCTTCTCTGTACCGAAAATTTCTGTTCACCTAGCCTAGCTTTTTGCTCTCATACCGAAAATATTGAGCACCGAAAATTTCTGAAATTAGAGTATCCCTTACCAGGCGTATAGCACAGACGGTTGGAGGTGGTCCTGCCGGAGAGGGGTGGGGGTTGTCCCCCTGGGAAAATTTTGAAATAGGGTGCAAAATAATCCTGCATTCTGGGCATACAAATACAACGTCAATTGAATTGTGTTCGTACCTGTCTTCCGTTGTGTGTGACGGACTTGAGCACAGTGCGCAGTGTGGAGATACTGCCCACCACGTCCAGCAAGTGAAGACTGAAGAAGAAATAGCTATTGCAGTTGCCTAGGAAACTGAACACCACCCACAGTAGGTTGTAGAGGAACATCTGCATGAGAGAGAAAGCCACCCGCACAGCAGCAATGTACACATGGTAGATTTACAGATACAGTGAAACCTGTCTAAGACGACCGCTCAAGGGACCTTCAAAGCGTGGTCTCTGTTACCAGGTGGTCTCCTCATCCAGGGATATTTGACTGGAAATAGCAGCCCTTGGTCCCGGTTTCAGTGGTCTTTTAGGAAGGGTGGTCGCCTTATCTGAGTGGCCGCCTTGGCAGGTTTTGCTGTAATGGAACAGTACTGCATTTTCCGGAGTATCATCCGCACAGGAGTACAAGCCGCACATAGATTTTTTTGTCACGAAATGCAGTCATCTACCCTGTTTATTACTGTGAATGTGACCATCACGGTGTAAGCCGCACCGACTTTTTGGGGTTTTTGGGTGCCTCGGAATTACTGGTCTTTAAAGTGTGGTTTCTACTCCGTAAATTACGGTATCTGTTTCAGCAAACAGCAAACGGTAAGTTAGCGCTTTCTATTGGCATACAGTGTAACGTCATAGGCCCTGTACAGCGGCATCTCTCCGTGTGTTGCTCATCTCAAAAAGACACTGCACTAGGTATAACGCATCACATAGGCATGTCAGATCAGTCCACGTAAAGCAGCATTCTAACCAGGTCAAAACAGTAGGGGAGGGGACGGGTATCTCGCACCCCGGGAAGGGGACGGCTACCTCGCACCCCGGGGAGGGGCACATTTTCACAGGAAGGTGCTCAATCAGAATGAGGGTAGGGGGGGGGGGGGCTCCCCCCCCCCTACCCTCACTTGGCTAGAACCCTGCGTAAAGTACTTAGAGTATGAAGAACCAAGCACGTACCTTGTCCATTGCCAGTACACCAGCCGCCCACAGAAGGTAGCGATAATCAACCTTACTGAAATGGAGAAATCAGGAACAGCAGCAGCCGTAGGAACCGCAGCCACAACAACAGCAGCAGCAGCAGCGAGACAAGGTTGGACACGCGGTAGTAAAGCAAATCACCACTTTAGCCTTCTGGTTCAAGTATGTCACTATTACAGCAACAGAGAGGCCTGGTACTTGTACATAATGACATGCCAAGGTTATCTAGCACGGACTCGCTATTGCTGTGGTGATCGATATGTCTGCTCTTCTCAACTGCATGGGGTATTAGAACCTACAAATGCGACTGGCCTTTAATGAAGGTTTTACACTCACGTGTAAGCCACCTTTCCTCTGGAGATTCTTTCTCTCCTTACCCCCCCCCCCCCCATCTCTACCCAAAGGTCAAGGCAATGTGCTGGAGGGTTCAAAGAAGCTGTGTCGAAGGGGTAGGCCTCAAAACTTCAGGCGGTTAAGCGCTACGTCCCACAAGCTCACCTGTCATCGCGGATCTTTCCACAAGTGTCGTCACTGGGGACGTTGAGGATGTCACAGACACGTTCCATGCCCACCTGCGGTGCATACTTGTTACGTATCTGCACACGCCAAACCAGCACGATTGCAGAGAAAATCTGAGTTAGGTGATCAGCCACTGCATTTTAAGAAACCACCCATCTTGATAGGACGTTCATCTTAGGTCCCAGGCCATGCCGCCAGAACAAGCATTTAGGCCTGCGTCGAAGGTCCACCTATCCACGCAATACTGACAGTGGTGTCATATTTTTGTAATATGACTGCACGGGGGTGGAAATTGTACAGGATATGTGGACAGTGGAATTAACATGGCCGACATCATCTCCACTACACAGTAGTAAGCACACAGCCTGGTGCAGTATAACAGTATGATATAGGGCAGTACATACCGATCGCTTCACGTAACCATCCCAGTAATGCCGAGGAAATGATCTATACGCATACAGACAGACACAGACACAGACACATACAGACACAGACACAGACACACACAGACACACACAGACACACACAGACACATACACACAAAGACACACACACACACACACACACACACACACACACACACACACACAGACACACAGACACACACACAGACACACACACACACACACACACACACACACACACACACACACACACACACACACACACACACACACACACACACACACACACACACACACACACACACACACACACACACACACACACACACACACACACACACACACACACACACACACACACACACACACACACACACACACACACACACACACACACACACACACACACACACACACACACACACACACACACACACACACACACACACACACACACACACACACACACACACACACACACACACACACACACACACACACACACACACACACACACACACACACACACACACACACACACACACACACACACACACACACACACACACACACACACACACACACACACACACACACACACACACACACACACACACACACACACACACACACACACACACACACACACACACACACACACACACACACACACACACACACACACACACACACACACACACACACACACACACACACACACACACACACACACACACACACACACACACACACACACACACACACACACACACACACATATACATGCACCCGAGCACAGACAGGTACACAAGAGGTCACGAACAAAAACAACATGGAACGTTCGCAAGATTCCACCACCGAAGCGAAAGGCCCTACAACATGGAACGTTCGCAAGATTCCACCACCGAAGCGAAAGGCCCTACAACATGGAACGTTCGCAAGATTCCACCACCGAAGCGAAAGGCCCTACGACCCCTGCTCCGTACAAGAGGACACCAAAATCGATATGCAGCTCTGAACTGGCGTACATGACTGATCTGTCTGGATTCCCTCTCTCAGACTGTACAAGTAACAACCAGTAAATAAACATGGTGACTGCTCCAGGCAACAGATTCTTACTTGCTCTGCAGCACAATAGTATCCCATCTATCCATGGAGCTGGATGTTGACGAGTCCAGTATCCACTTGCCGTTGAACTGCAGTTCCTTGATGATACGCTTCTCACGTTTGAACAGTGCTAATGGTATCTATGTAGGCAACGTTGTGTCCCCCAAACACACAAACACAGACAGACAGACAGACAGACAGATACGCATTAACAGATACAATAAGCGGATACACGTGTGTAACGAGTTTGGGTGAAAACAATAACTGTTACACGGGCATACAAACATACCGGGAAGCAACTGCACACGCATGAACACACACACACACACACACACACACACACACACACACACACACACACACACACACACACACACACACACACACACAAACACACACACACACACACACACACACACACAAACAAACAGGAGGAAAGGGAAGAAGAGAAGAGGACAGAGAAGGAGAGACGAGGAAAGAGAAGGTGAGAAGAGGAAAGAGAAGGCAATAGAGAGAAGGAGAAGGAGACAAGACAAAAAGAGAAGGAGAGAAGACAGAAAGAATAGAAAGTAAACCTTACCTTTAGCATGCCATAGCCAAGCAATGCCGAGCATGACACAAGGAAGTGTACGATGCCCAGGCAGAACATCAATGGTCCTAGTACATGCTGGTAGTGCTCCTCCACTCCAACCTCTTCCTGGCTTGCAGTGGTGTGTGACTCAGAGTCGTTGCCCAGAGTTGTAAAGGATTTGGTATGGACAACCTGGGCATTGGCATGTGGATATTGTTGTGCAACAAGACAGTGGGTTAGAATAGTATGTGTGTGTGTGTGTGTGTGTGTGTGTGTGTGTGTGTGTGTGTGTGTGTGTGTGTGTGTGCGTGTGCCAGCTAGTTCGGCTGGTAGGTACACTTATGCCTGATTGTGTTGGGTCTGTTGCCAACAGGCTCGGCTGCTTGAAGGTGTAATGTTGTACCTGCCACCTTTGTTGGTTCCAGGGTTCATATACTTTCTATTTGAAGTATACATACCTGTTAACCATGGACTGCTTCTGGCTAGATTAACTCTTGTGTAATCAATGGTGCTAGTGAAGCTTTTATCAGATCCACTCTGATTTAGCCACTCACACTAGTAGCAAATATTACCTTCACTGGGGGCAGGGGTAACTGCAGTTGGATCCCGGGACGGATACCTGATGCCGTCAATCCTTTTTCTGCACCTTGTCCTCACCCACTTACTGAGGTGTGGTGAGCCCATAAGTGGGATCATTTTCAAGTCCACCCAGAGTTTTGGGGATTTCAGGGGGTGTCGGCCGTTGGGCGGTTCAATAACCAATTGAGTCATCTTTCTAAGATTCCTTTTGAGTCTCTCTCCCCTCTCCCGGGGAGACCCACGTGACCAGTTTTGGCAGTGAGCAACAAGTACAAGTACAGTGTGTGTGTGTGAAATGCAGTGATAGCCCAATTCAATCACCCTAATCAATGATAAAAATATTTTTGCATCGTTAGGGAATTTGCCACATTCCGAATTTTGTAAGTCAATTCCCTGTCCAGCCCAAATACAGGTGTACCAACACTAAGTCACTTACTCCAGAAATGACCAAGTCATCCAAAAACCAAGGAACTACAAGTTAAGTTACACGATAAGGTCCACTAACACCACTAGTAACTAAACAAGTAGCTCATGCGGTAACATTGCACGACACTGACGCGTGACTTGGGACGCGTAGCTTGTACTTCTTTGCTCCTTTTTTTCTTTTCTATAAATTTATCTTTGGCTCTCCATCCGAGTCCATTCATCCGAAAACCAAGTAAGTTTATAGCTATTAGTCTCAACTACTGGAGTAGCAACGTGAGAAGTAGCAAGCCATCCCAGGCAACACTTCAGCCATTGCCAATACCAGAACATCATAATACTTGTATAATCATCACAATTAACAACATACCCTGAAGAAGAGCAGGAGAAAGTTGATGAAGAAAGCCAGGACCAGCGCAGTCATCTTCGTCCCAGTGAAACACCGTCCAAATAATGACTGCAAACAAGCACGCCCGCACGCATGCACACGCATGCACACACACGCACGCGTGCACACACCCATGGCGCAGTAGACGGAGCAGGAACGCACAGATTATCAGCACATAATATAATCCTATTTTGACACATTCCCTATCTAGAAGAAGGGTATACCTGCTAGCTCAACTGGTTCGTCTTTGGCCAGACCACTCACTGACCAGTCAAGCAAGCCGACTTCCCAGCCAACTCCCCACTCTTCAGTTATCCACATGATATGGCTTACCAGCGATACCACTGGTCTCTTGGATTTGAGTGACTGTACAGTATGTGGAATTGTCAGGAAACAAAAAATCGACTGCATCTGGCGCCATTTCACCGCGATCAGGTCGACCTAGAAAGACAAGTACCAGGCAGGGGATCAACACCCGGTGGAGAAATCCATGGCGGGTTACTTGTTAGATTCAAAGCGGACACAGTACTGCAAACTGAGATAGCGCATGACGGTGGGAACACAATTTCTGTGCGTTCTGTACGCCGTGGGCTGTAGAGAGCAGGCCTACGTGGGCGTGTGTGGCCCTCAAGAAGCCCTATAATGGCGCTGTGAACAAAGCCAAGCGTCTCTGCTCCTGCCAAGCTGGGAAGGCGGTTGGTAGCAGGTGTCGATGCCTGAGTGGCCGAGTGCACAGGCCAACTCTGCACCATACACATACCTACATTGGCCCAGACCCACAAACACTGGACCGGTGATGACTGGGCAACGATGCTATGGACGGATGAGTCAAAGTTTAATCTGACGGGCTCAGATGGAGCGGTGAACGTCCAAAGGAGGACAGGAAAAGCGCTGAGTGATGCGAGCACACGCAAAACTGTAAAGCAAGGCAGTGGAAATATCATTGTCTGGGTACCCATGACGACGAGTAGCGGCCTTGGACGTATTTACCAGGTGGTTGATATAGTGAATGCTGAGCGGTATCCTGGAATCCTCCATGACATGATGCTGCAAAGCATGATCCAGCTTGTGGGCAGTGTGGGTGGGGTCTTCATGCGGTAAGGCCCGGCAAGGACCCCAAACACACCACCAAGTGCACAAAGGAGTGGCCCCCAGCAAAATGCATCACCGTGCCGACATGGCCTCCACAATCTCCTGACCTAAACCCCATGGAAAACCTGTGGAGAATTTTCGGGCTGAAGCACCACGATGTTAACGATTACACCAGCGGCTGATATACACCACCACTGGCTACGTGCGCGCCTACAATAACTTTGTCGTCAACGGCAGGAGTGGTAGCGGAGGAACCTCACATGGCGGGCGGGCAGTGCAGTGAACATGGTGAATGCCCCACAGGACTCTGGGATTATCGCATCGTCTGGCCTTCCGTTTGTTTCACCTCGTCGTCACTATGGGACCAGTAATTTCAATCTATCATTATGTATGTATGTATGTGTGGCAAAGTTAATGCGAACTTCTAATGGATTGTCTGCTTCACACGCTTGTCTAAATTCCACCGCCATCTGTATGTATGTCCCAGTAGCACTGTTCATTTCGTTATCACCTTTAGAACTTTTGTCACCATCAACTTCTTTGGGTATCATCGGCCACTTTTCTATGCAGAAAAGTGCGCAATTGCGCCACCGTTACCCTATAAATATCCTTTTTCTGCTATTAATTCATTATCTACCTCCACTGAGGAGCTCTCAAGGAGTGAAACAGCTGCCTGGCGGATACGGAGCATCTATCCAAGAACGAACTTCCTCGCTATGGTATGTTGAATGTGGGCCAAGAACGCAGTGTGGAGAGGTTGACAGCTTCAAATCATTTTCAAACGGCCGAGTTAGACAGCTCTTGAGTTAGTGCTAGTGCTTCGTGTTGGAATTGGCCACATAAGGTTCGATCCACCTTGTACATATACTTGACCATTTTCAGTACCAATATCACTCTGTATCCACGTTTTTTACTTTTCTGTTTCCTTACTCTCCCAAATCTAGAGGTCCCCAGGCGCGTGCGCCGGTGCCCTTCAAGGGGGGTTTCCGGGGGACCTCCCCCGGGAAAATTTTCAAAAAATGAAGCAAAATCCTGCATTTTGAGCGAAAAAATGGGGGGTTCCGGGCACCCAGGAACCCATACGGGGCACGCGCCTGGGTCCCCGATCATAAATTAGATAACCCACAGGCAAAATTTACAGAACTTGAAACATCTGCAATGATAGACCACCACGGGTTGGCTGGAGCATTCCTATAACTATGTGCACTATGCACATGCAGCATCACCCTTTACACCGTTTCCGGCTGTCTCTCCCCTTCCCACACACCCCTTACACACATGAGTCCTACATATACTGAACACCGCAACCAGCATTCCAAATGATGCAACGTAGACTAGTTGCATGCTACGAGTCTCTGACAGAAGTTCCACTGGCTTCACGCCATTCAGGAAAAGGTTTTCAGCAGTCTCCTAATTCCCCTATCTCTGTGTTGCTAATCTTACCAGTAGGCTGCCTTGGATGAGCGCAATCTGCGGCTTGTAGAGCTCATTCACCGATCGTGCCGCGGTCATTGAGCGTTGCTTGCTAGCAGGGGCAACCGAGTCACTATCACCTCTCTTTGGTGCAGCTGCGTCGCCAGTTCCAGCACTACTTGCCCCCACTGGCGGCGTGGCGCCTGCATCACCACCAGAGGTGGCTGCCACCGATGATGCCAGTGATGAGTTTCGGCTGACGTTGCGACTAGCCGCAGTGCTCAGCGGCAGGTTCAGGGCACTTTCTCCACTGTCAGCAGCAGCAGCGGCGGTAGCGGCTTGACACTGGGCAATATCAGATGATGTACTATGACAGGTACCTGGAGAAAGCAGAGTAAGAATGCCAGACAGACGAGAGACAAATAGGGAGAGATAAATCGAGTGAGAGATAGAGCGAGAGTGAGAGTGTGTGCGTGTGTATGGAGAGTGAGAGTGTGTGCGTGTGTAGGGGGGGGGGGGTGGAGGAGAAAGAGAGAGAGAGAGAGAGAGAGAGAGAGAGAGAGAGAGAGAGAAAGAAAGAGAGAGAGAGAGAGGGGAAGAGAGAGAGAGAAAATGCAGACAAACATCCATGCAGCATGAAGTTCAGACAGACAACGATCACGTAATTCCGCTTCGTGAAAAAAATATCGTAGCTTTCGACCTAATCGTCTCGCTAAATTTCACATTCCTTTAGAAAATGAACATTTCATTTCTCTCGAATGTTGAACCAAAACGTATACATGTATAAGAGTCACACACTTGAGAGGGACGAAAAGCGTTTCTTCTGTAACTCTGAGTTTCACGGTTTTAACCGATCATCAGACAGCAACTTGACTACAATTTTCAGAAGATAAGATTGATATAGGCTGCAAGCTTGGATCATAGCGCGAATGGATGATCCGGGCTGATGGTGTAATTGTAAAAATGCGTGAGTTGGTTGATGGGGTGCAAAAATAGGCGCAAAAAAAAGAATACACTTTAGGCCTAGGCTCATGCGACCACATGTTCTTCTGAGGGAGGCAAGAAGAAGGACAATTCGGTAATTATGAGCAGCACATCACCTGCGACTGCGAGTGGTGAGAAGGTTATGTGACGGCTGATGGTGAGAATTTTGAGAGGTAGTACTTATTTTCATGCTTGCACTTGCTAACTAGCTCCGATCTTTTGTTGATGTTGACACGCTTGTCCGCCTGAAGGATCTCCAGCTTCTCTCTTAGGCACAGAGGACAGCGCTTGGTTATGTTACTGTAACCTGGAGTCTGGGCGATAACTGACCAACCAAGACTGTACTCGCTGTTTTGACGCTTCAGGTTCCAGACACACTTTGATAGTTCTGTGCTCTTCTCATGTCTCTCATGTCTGAATGATGTCAGATGATTGCCGTATCTCTTCTTGAATTCTGGCTCCGTAAGGCCGATATACTCCTTCTGTCTGTCCTCTCCGGTTATTTGGACGGTTGCCTTGTACACAATAGAGCTGATTTGGCAGTTGCCGTCCATCGGACACTGCGCTTTGTCTCTGCAGTTGCATCGTCTTTCCTTGGGCTGTCCATCGTTGTTTCCACTTTTCCGTTTAACTGAGTTGTTGTGTGACTTGACCATTGCAGACATATTCGGCATACAACTATAGCTTACTTTAACTGTATTCCGGTTGAAGATCTTGTGTAGTCTGGATCCGGCGGGGAAGTGTATTTCGATTAGTCGCAAGAATCTCTGTCCGATGTTTGTGGCCACTGTCTTGCTGAATGGCGGGTTGTACCAGATGATATTCCGCCGCCTGTTTTTCTTTTTCTTGCTTGAATCCTTGTCTCTCTCTTCCAAGTACTCTAGTCCTTCAGCATAGCCACTGTTCCTAAGCGCGCTGTTGTATAGCGGTGCGGCTTCTCTGAACACATCTTGGTTTGATGAAATATCGGTTAGCCGCCTACTAATAGCTTTCGGTATTTGCTTGATGATTGTTGGCGGATGGTTCGATTGGCTGTGGACATAGACCGGTGTATCGTTCGGTTTTCTATACGGACCATATGTTCCGTCTGCTAGGTTCAGCGTCACGTCCAGAAAATTCACAACCTTCATACCGGTGTCGATGGTTAGTCGTAGTCCGAGGTTGCTGAATATCTTGCAGACTGTCTTCCTCATTCGATCTGCTTCGCTGCCTGTCACGTCTCATAGCACTGCTAGGCCGTCATCGCGGTACAGTCCGACGTCACTGCTGTTGATCTCGTGTGCAATCTTAGACAGTGCATACGTCCCAACTAGCTCGCATACTTCGGCACCGTCGAAGCATCCCATCGTGACGTCGAATAGTCCCCTTCCGTTCTTCTTCATCCAAGTATTGTCTCCACTGAATAATAGCGACTTCCGCGAATGTAGGATGATGTCTCTGTCTTGTTTGCTAATATCGGTGTACTGTTCAGCAAACTCGATAGCAAGCAGAAGGAGATCTTCCGAAATGGATGGGTAATATTCCACAATATCGAAACAGACAAATGCACACTCCGGCTTTCTCTGGATTGCTTGGAACCAGTCAATCACTGCGGCTGTATTCTTCCAGGAGTTGAGTGATAATGCTTCCCTTACATCTCGGACAATTCCTGATAATATCCTTTTGCTGACTCTTCCGATTTCGCTTTTGGAGGGGTTAATCAGCCGGCATGGTAGGCTCTGCTGGAAATTTTCTTTGTGATCTTTCAACGTCACATATGCATCCTTCTGCGCCAATATTTCAGCTCTCTCCGCAATATGGAGGTCTTCCGCAATCTCCTTTGCTTCTCTATTGATTTCTTCGCAGGCGTGGTCCGAGGCATGCTTGTAGTGCTTCGTTACATTGTCGTTCAATAGTTTCCCATATTGGGCTAAGCTGACCTCATACATATTCCTGGTCTTGTCCGCTGAGACGAGGACGTCCTTTGAGGCTCGGATCCTGGACAGGTCGTCTTTCAGTTTGTCTTGGAGTTCGTCATTCACTCTGCGGAACTTCACGGTTTCTACCATAGACCACAGATCAGCCTCGAACTGGTTCATGTCGTCCACCCGCGATGGACACTTTCTGGTCTTGAATCCGTGGTGGTTATCTTGATCCTGTTGATGTTCTTGGTCGCCCTTCAAGAAGAAGAGAGCTTTCCAGCGCATGCGCTTGATTAGCTTCTCTGTCATCTCCACTAGTCGGAGCTTGTAAGTTCTGTCGCTTGGCAGCGGTATGTTCTTCATCGAATAGTCAATGTGAAACGGCTTCGGTTGATCCATTCTCGAATACGTGCAGCACACAAAGAGAGCTCGACCCAGGGTGGGGAGCCAGGCAAACTCGGAGGGAGTTGTGGTTGCTCGTGAGAGTGCTCAATACACCAAGGTGCAGAGCCTAGTACACACACTTGAGAGGGACGAAAAGCGTTTCTTCTGTAACTCTGAGTTTCACGGTTTTAACCGATCATCAGACAGCAACTTGACTACAATTTTCAGAAGATAAGATTGATATAGGCTGCAAGCTTGGATCATAGCGCGAATGGATGATCCGGGCTGATGGTGTAATTGTAAAAATGCGTGAGTTGGTTGATGGGGTGCAAAAATAGGCGCAAAAAAAAAGAATACACTTTAGGCCTAGGCTCATGCGACCACATGTTCTTCTGAGTGTATAAGAGTCATAAATATAACACTTTGGTCCCTCCTCTTATATATTTTATTCTCCTTACCGATATAGCTGAATGCTGTGGCAGGCATGGCGTTGCCATCGTCTGGAGCACACGAGGAGCCAAAGGAGCGGCGGAGACTGTCCGCCATGCTGCTCAGTGTTCCGCTGAGTCTCTGGCTCAGGCGACGCACTGGCGACAGGTCAGAGGTGGCATTGACTGGCGTCAGTCCGCCATCTTGCGAGGGATGTCTACAGCAAGGGTGTACAGGAATTGGTTAAAACACACGTTCATATATCACGAAAACGATAGCAATTCAATTAACAAATAATTCTCGCTTGGCATATTTATAGTCAATCCAGAAGGAAAATTCACACATGCACGCACACACGCATGCACGCACGGTTGCACACACGCACACACACACGCGCAGACAACACACACACACACACACACACACACACACACACACACACACACTAACCTGGGTAGAGGTGAAAGAGTAGCACGTGTAATTCGGCGTTGCCGCACACCAGCACCTGCACTGGCACCAGCATCACCACCAGCAACAGCAGGTCCATCAACAACATCCATGGACCCCTTGTCGACCGCAACACCACGCGGCAATGAAGAACGTTTTGAAGGTGATGAAGGCTGCTGCTGCTGCTGCTCCTGCTGTGCGTCGGCTCTGGATTGGGAGCGTCGACGATAGCGATGGAAGACATTGCCATCATGTCGCTCCAGAATTGGCTTCTTAGCTGGTGACGGCGTCTTGGAAGGTGAGCCATCGGCTCCATCTAGGAACAGGATACAGCATCATCAAAGGAAGGATAGAGGGTTTATTAGTGGTTTACACTACAGCACATGGATGGCAGTCTATCAACAGTCTTGTGTATCTTTATGGATGCCCATGCATGTGTTAGAGTCAGTGAATACAGGACCAGCAGAACCAGTTTTCCACTGGTCCGGCGGCCATGCCCGAGGCAGCTTCCCAAGTTCTGAATGACATCATGGCGGGGATGCACATGGTCTCATCACCAGTAAACACACGACGTTGGTGGCCATAACGTTGGTCCGGTGGACATAGCCTGACCAACCGGACCGGTTCTGCCGTAAACACACGTCGGTGGTCAATACGTTGGTCCGGTGGACATAGCCTGACCAACCGGACCGGTTCTGCCAGGCCTGGAATATCATCAAAGAGAACTTCACAGACCTGTTAAAGCTCTAAACTGCCACTTCAAAGGTCTTTCAGCGACAGGGTAATTAGTAACCAAATTCTAAAATCCTTTTTCAATAAGCGCGGACGCCACTGTAGCCATCCATCATAACCATGCATCCTCACCACACAATCCTCACCACGCAATCCTCACCACACAATCCTCACCACACAATCCTCACCACACAATCCTCACCACACACACAGTCTCTGGGCTACATCCGTCACTGAGTTAGGCTGGTGTAGCCTAGAGACCGCTTGAAGAGATTTGTGACGATGTATGGTTATTAAATTAAATTAAATTAAATTCTCAGTTTAGACAATGGCTGTAGGACCAGGCTGCTATCACCATACCTGTCTCGTCCTGGCTTGGTTGCTCCTGAACGGAGGGCAGGCGTTTCAGTTTCATGCGGTCTTGCTCCGCGAACGGGCGTGGTGTCAGTGGATGACCGGCATTGCTGCTGCTCTGCGGTGTTTCCGGGGTCGACGCGACACTCGATGCTAAGTTGCTCGGTGCCTGGTCGGGCTTTATGGCGCCCGTGATCAGCTTGCTGATGGCGTTTTCTGAGCGTGGACGCTGTGGTGGTGGCTCAGGTTTCTTCACGCTGCTCTTCACCCTGCATGCATGGTGTATGTAAACAGGCAGTAAGAAGTACAGCATCAACAGATTGGTAAGCGGTGAGACGGGTGGGCTGACATGCAGCTACACTGCAGCCTCACATGATACACTACTTTACCCAGGGCTGCCGGAAGCGGTTTCTGATTGCTCCGGTTATACCACAGACCGGTTTCATACTTTCACTAGTTGAGGGAAAGGAAAAGGGAAAAGGTCTGAAGAAAAAAAAACTGACTGTCACCACCAGGAATCGAACCAGGGACCTTCGCTATCGGCCAGCAATGCTCTAACCACTGGGCTATGGTGTAGCTGTCATCCAAGCAGAGACTATTCAGCACTTTCTTCAGACTTCCAAACTCATGCTTTCTGTGAAACTACACAGGCTGGTGGGACGCAGCCCGCACTGTACCCACTTTGTGTAAGATATGGCGGTCCACACTAGGCCTAGCCCAAATTTGCTCGTGGCGCCTCGATATTTTGCTGGCAAATTTTGCCCAAGCACTTTCCATATTTTGCCTGGCATTGCCTTTCGTTTCTGATATTTTGCTCCATTTTGCTCCTGCTTTGTGGCAAAAATGGCTTCGAATGAACCGTCTACTTTGGTAAAAGTGGATGGTGACTCTGATGAGGAAAGCAAAACTGAAAATGGTGTCAGTATTACGGATTTTGCAGCATGATTTCAAATTGATGTACCCCTGACAACTTGCAAGAGCTATTTCAGCACGACGTTGGCCCCAATGAAACCAAATAAATTTGAATATAATTGCCAAAACACACCTGGATCCTCTGTAAATTCGATATTTTGCTCGGAATTTGCCAGCAATTTCTTTTCGTGAGAAATTTCGATATTTTGCTGGAAGAATTGCCGGCAAATTTGGGCTAGGCCTAGTCCACACAACCCGATATGGCGGTCCACACAACCCGATATGGCGGTCCACACAACCCGATATGGCAAGTCCACACAACCCGATATGGCAGGTCTAAACAACCCGATATGGCCAGTCTAAACAACCTGATATGGCAGGTCCACACAACCCGATATGGTAGGTCCACACAACCCGATATGGTAGGTCCACACAACCCGATATGGCAGGTCTAAACAACCCGATATGGCCAGTCTAAACAACCTGATATGGTAGGTCCACACAACCCGATATGGCAGGTCCACACAACCCAATATGGTAGATCCACACAACCCGATATGGCACGTGTGCATACGTCTTTGTCTGGTCTATCTCTCACTCACCCTAGCCACTTCTTGACGTAGAAGGGAGTGTTTCGGACACTTTGCAGTAAGTCACAGCAGCGGCAAGCAACGGCTGACAGTGGAGCCTTGATTGTGTAGTACGTCCAGCTGGGATTCAGCAACAAACACAAACACACACACGCACACATGTACACAAGACATGACAAGAACGGTTATTCCTTTATGTCATGGTGATAGTCACATCGCACTGACCACATGGCAGTGGTCACATGACCATGGTAACATGACTGAGGTCACATGACCTTGAGTGGTCACATTACAGAGGTCACATGGCCGGTCACATGACAGTGGTCACATGAATTGTCGCATGACAGTGGTCACATGACTGTATTGATTAGACCAGAGATTAGTCACATGATCTTCACTGCGGCACATCACACATGTGACATCTCACTCCGGATTCTAGATCTATCCGCACCAAGGTATGTCATTATAACCTAGGAGGAGGGGCTTCTACATAGGCACAATAAGTTGCCTGATGATCGTAGTAATACGTGAAACTCAGAGTTGTAACACAGCTTCCAATCTCTCTCTTGTGTAGGCACAATAAGTAATAGTTGATGGTTTACAAACATTCAGTGCCAGGTGATGTGGTCTCCCGGACTCGTGAACATATCCATGCCACACATAAAGGGAAATACCATGTACACATGCACATGTACACATGTACACACTTCCCCACTTCCACACAAACAGACAGACAGACAGACAGACAGACACACACACACACACATACCCCCCCCCCCCGCCCCCCCCTCCACCACCACACACATATTACACAGGCACACAACAGGCCAAGACTATGCCAGGTTACCTGAGCGGCATGTTGACCAGTAGATGAGCGTTGCGCATGTGCATCTCTGCTCTTTGCACTCTCTGCGTATGCTCAGTGTTGCTCAATCTGCAGCCATGCTGCATCTGTGCATGCACAGTGCACGTGCAAAACATGCAAACACATGAGTTACAGCAACAATTTTTTCCTCACATAAATGCATGGGACGGCACGCTTTCCAACGGCCAGAGGGAGAGAGAGAGTTGGAAAGCTTGTGTCTTTGTAGGTAACTTGAACATTTGGGCTCATGCAAAACTTAACTTCGTCATTGCCGAGCCACCGTGCTCACAGCAGAAACTTCTTTGTGTGTTAGCCTTGTGAAAGTGGAGCACAAATCAAGTTAGGGTGCCAACTGGCTATGCACAGTCCACCAGAAAAAGTCCACCAGAAAATTCACGGTTCGTGCGAGACTCGGCTAGAAGCCAACTTTTCTGCATCCGTAGGAACGTCATCACCTTCAATGATCACCCAACTCACCTCGAAAATCGTGTCCTCACAGAAGTCCAAGAACGACAGCAGCTTCTCACGCTGATTGCCTCGCTCCACCGTGTGGAAGAACTCGCGTGTCGAATCACGTATGGTCGGCCTCTCCCACTCGGTCTTGGTGGACTTCTTGATGTGAAAGTAGATGCGTTCCACCTTTCTGTTCCTGCCAATGATCTCAACACAGCCCAGGTAGGGCTCGAAATGAGACAAGAAACTGGCGCCCTTGTTCAGGAAGTGAGCCAATCTGGGAACACGGAAACGAGGAAGCACACAAAGCATTGCTTGTAACTTGTAAGCGCTGCAATCAAAACAGATGTAGTCAACCTTGCAAATAACGACCCACGATCGGCCATGAGACAATTTTGGTTATTCGCTAGTTGTCGGTATTTGCGAAGTGAAAAGTATCCGGTTAAGTGGTTACTTGGTCTCAAAATCATAGTAGTGCTGTTATTCGCAAGTGTTTGTCATATCCAATGTGGTGTGGTTATTTGCAAGGTTGACTGTAGGGGTAACTGTGCGTCAATCCATGTATTACGTCTATATGCCTGCAGCACGGTAACATTCTGCACCAGGTATCAGTGAATGATACTTCAGTTCACACTCAATGGCAAGCAGGTCATGATGTTGACATGTATGGCCGACCTTGACACGTATGGCTTACCTTGGATCATTGGGAAGATGGTCGGACAGATTGGTCAACAAAACTGCAAAGCTGAAACCTATGAACAAAGAAAACACAGATGATGCACACACATACATGAGCATACCTCCCCCTCACACACGCATATGCATTCCTCAGTGATTCCCTCATCGCCTATATATTATTTCGAACTCGGGTTCTTCGCAGAAAACTGGTGTGGAGAATTAACAATCACTGGAACAAATTGCTACACTCATGCACCGAAAGATGGGCAACAACGAATGCTCTATCCGAGGGCTCACCGATATCAGACGAGTGCGTGTGGAACCGCTCAATGAACTCCATGTAGTCGAGACGTCCGTCATTGTTGGTGTCGGCACACTTCATCAGGTAGGCTATCTCCTCACTGAACACGCACACACACACACACACACACACACACACACACACACACACACACACACACACACACACACACACACACACACACACACACACACACACCTTGACCTTGACCTTACACACACACACACACACACACACACACACACACACACACACACACACACACACACACACACACACACACACACACACACACACACACACACACACACACACACACACACACACACACACACACACACACACACACACACACACACACACACACACACACACACACACACACACACACACACACACACACACACACACACACACACACACACACACACACACACACACACACACACACACACACACACACACACACACACACACACACACACACACACACACACACACACACACACACACACACACACACACACACACACACACACACACACACACACACACACACACACACACACACACACACACACACACACACACACACACACACACACACACACACACACACACACACACACACACACACACACACACACACACACACACACACACACACACACACACACACACACACACACACACACACACACACACACACACACACACACAAGAACACGCACGCACGCACGCATACACACGCATACACACACACACACGCACAGGGACAAGACTATACCTCAGGGCCTATGCCTGAGCGCAAACGCAGCAATGCCACCTTAGAAAATAGCTCAGGTTCTATGTCTGGGCAGGAAGGCTGCAATACCACCTTACTTCGATTAATCACGTCTACACCAAAGCTTAGTGGTAGAGCATCGCTGGCCATAAGCAATGGTCCCTGGTTCGAGTCCTGGTGGTGATGGTCACTTTTCTTCAGAAAGTTCCTATTTTCAACTTCCCTTAACCTTATGAATATTACTTCAATGCAGTACGGTCAAAGACAACACCACCACCCAGGTTATACAGGATCAATAAGGCTTGAAGGCGGTATGCCATAACGACAAGATCCTCTCTATATCCTGCTATTGCTTTGGCCGAAAAAAACTTCCCTGTGCTCATAGTTATGTTAGGCACTTCAGTCACGTGACAGGACCTGTCAAAATTTGCTGAGGTGAGAGTCCGTACTTGCGTGGCACCAGTCAAGTGCATGCGCTAAACTGTACAGGTACGCGCTATGCTTCGTTGTACGGGCTGATAGTTGGGCGCATCGTGTTGCTCTGACGTTCAGCTTTCAGTAGATCCCGCATACGTCATAGTGCGTACATTTTTGCGAGTTGTAGATCACGTACACAACCAGCAAAGAGTTTTTCACAAAGAACTGTTGTTTGCTCGCGTTTGAAACGTTGCTTATCGTCTTCAGCGTCGTCTTTCCATTCGGAAACAGTAGAGTTCTTGTTTACCAGGGTTTGCGCATCGCTGCGCAAGGAGACATTATGTACGTAGGCACTGAGAAGTATGCGCTTTAGGCGGAGGAGAACGACGATGCGTCGTCCTACCTGGGCGAATTCTCAAAGCGTACTGAAAGCCAAGTTTTGACACGGTTGCGCTGGAAGGCCTACTGATGTTTACGAACAATCAAAAGGCACAGTGGCTGCTGGAGAAACCCTCTGATGAGGGGATGCTTTGATATACGCATCCAGGCACGCTTCACCAAAATTTCAAAGCTCACCAGCAGGCAATTCATGACTGCTGCATGGAGCAGTTGAAGGATAGGGAGGCAGATATCACACCATGGAAAGAAGCTACCAACAGAGGTCCTGAAGAACTTCTTGCCAACTTGGAATCACTTGAAGTGGCATGACTGTGAGCACGAATATCCTGTGCAGTAATTCGCGAGCGCGGGCGCGCGCGTACATACCCTCCACATTGCGGCGTACAACGAGGAAGTTCTCTGTTGTTTTTGTGCCAGAAGAATGTCTTTATAACTCTTACGCTTTTGTACCCGCCGGAGCCTGCCAGTATGTCGTTATCAGTTCATTTCACAGCAAACTGAAGCTGTTACTATGGGTTACTATGGCGTTGCTATGGGTTGCTATGGAGTTGCTATAGTGATTGCGGTCACAATTGCCGTATTCTTGCCTATTCTGAACTTTGATCTGTATTGTTTCGATCCATACAGGGTTGTCGGTGTAAGTGAGTGATGTGTGCTTGAAAAAAACACTCTGATGTTTTGTGACTATATCCACTGATGATACTTCGGAGATGCTGTTGGTGCCACAAATAATATTGATCTCGCCTCATCCAACTGCCTATCTTCAACCCTTCATATCTGAGTGGTATCACTGTGGATTTCAATAAAATTTTCTGTGTGACCTTGTGATACCCACCACCATCGATTGCCGATGATAAACCTGGAAAAAACGCGATTTCAAAAAATGGGGTGAAGTGCCTAGTTATGTTTCTATCATCTCTCTGCTGTACTTACTAGTAATCCATTGTCCATGTTCATTTGGTTTTGCCTGTATTTCACCTGTATTTTGCCTGTATTTCACCTGTATTTCACCTGTATTTTGCCTGTATTTCACCTGTATTTCACCTGTATTTCACCTGTATTTCACCTGTATTTTGCCTGTATTTCACCTGTATTTCACCTGTATTTCACCTGTATTTCACCTGTATTTCACCTGGTGATAAGGCATGACATTATACTAAAGAACACTTTCAAAATGTTCAAGAGCCTGAAGTGTGTCCTACTTCTAAGTATAATTGTGCTCATAGAGTTCTTATTATTGTTAACTTACCGATTGTACATCTTCTGCGCGTCCATGGCCTGTAGAAAAAGAGAGGTCACGGTGCACAGGAGAAAACAGAGAGAGAGGGAGGGGAGGTCAGACATTGGATGAGAAAGCGGAAGGAAAAACCTCCATGCGCTGGCGGCACACGTATAGTCATGCTACTTTGCTATTGTACCGTGACCAAACACACAGATATATATCCAGGGCAGTGGAGAGTGATGTTCAAAGGGTCAGGGGTGCAGTCCCTTGAAACGTACAGGGGGTGCAGTCCAACAGCACACTTGGGATATCAGGGACTCCAGTACTACTGGCTATGTTTCCGACATGATATCCCACATACCTTCTCGAACTCCTTGTTGGAGATCCAGCCATCACGGTTCGTGTCATAGTCCTAAAGCACACACCGGGATACATACACACACACACATACACACACAAAGAATATATGAGCTGCCACTGTCACATAAACTTCTTCTGTAAATTGTCATGTGACATTAGCAGATAGTGTGATAGTTGCTGAGGAATAGACACCCTTAGCAAAAAACGTTATGTTGTAACGGTATAACTGTAAGGGGGAAAATACCATGATTTGGGTTCGACCTTTAGCAAGATGCACGCTATTTTTAGTACGCTGTTGCCACGAGAATAGCTTCTATTTCGCAGGGTACACCCATTTATGTCACCATATACGCGATACAAGGTGAAATGCGTACGGAATTATGCTATATTTGGCCAGAACACGTACCGTTGGTCACAACGATAAATCAGCCCCCATAACGTTTATACGCTGCAGCTTCAACGCTATCTGGGTGATCAAGGTACGAGTACCGTAAAAAATAGCGTTACCGTTGTTTGCTAAAGGTGTCTAATATCTGCTATTGAGCTGAAGGCTTCTCCTTAGCATAAAATCAGCTATTTAATGTGAGGAGAAGGAGGAGGAAGAGGAAGAGGAGGAGGAGGAGGAGGAGGAAGAGTAGGAGGAAGAGGAGGAAGAGGATGGGAGGGGAGGGGTTACCTTGAATGCTTGCGATGTTGCAAGGTCATTGAGCTTGAGGAACATGCCAAAGAACTTGAAGATCTCCTGAATATGACACACACACACACACGTGCACACACAGACACAGACAGACATACCCACACACACAAACAGACACACATTCACACACATGCACACACGTGTGCGCACACACACACACACACACACACACACACACACACACACACACACACACACACACATGCTCGCTAGCTCGAACACACACACACACACACACACACACACACACACACACGCACACACACACGTACACACACACACACACAGGCAAACACACATGCACACATGCACACACACACACACACACACACACACACACACACACGCACACGCACACGCACACACATTAGGCAAGGCCAAATAACAAAGATTCATGGCGGTACCTGCTGGCTGATAGACTGCTGTAAAAAGCAAGAGCAAAGTGCACAGCATAAGAAATCAATGAGAAGTAATCAGAACAACCATTACACTGATACTTACTTCAACATGCTCAACAGACTCCATAAGTGTTTCCACCATCTTGTCTGCTATCGTCACATTCGTCTCTGCAGATTGAATTAGGCAAAAAGTGCAGCAGAAGTGGTGTAAAGCCAAGCAAGAATACATGACTTGAAAAGCGTCCCTGTCTTGCCTTGCAGTAGTAGTCAAATATCACATAGGACAGCGTAGTGTACAGGGCAGTAGGAACCGGTCCGCTTTGTCAGCTCATCACCGGATCAACGCTTTGGTCACCAACGCATGTTTACTGCTCAGTAGGTCATACGAGTGTACATACCCGCCTTTGTCATACACAAAGCCTGTGAAAGGCTGTGTTATGGCAAGAGGGATCAACAATTGCTTCCAATGGTCCTGTGGTGCTATAAACACGAAGTTATTGGTTCAACACTTTTTCGCTCACTGTACGATGTCATACCTTCCCAAAGGGGAACAGCTGCTAATGCTTGTTTATCTTTCATACTTTTGGTTCTAGTTTAGCACCATCCTGAAGTTGACCGCATTCCAACACAGCAAAGAGCAAAATATAGGACGGTGTGTTGACGATGGACCGGAACTGCCCATTTTGTGCAAGAATAAGCATTAAAAAAAAAGGCAGAGCATTGAGAACTCTAGAGCAACTGACCTTCCAGCATAGCCAGCAGAGTGACGGACATTTCCTTCTCCAACTCTAACAGTTCACGCAGTAGCTCCAGCTGACTGGGATCCTACAGGCACAAGTCAAAGTACAAGCAAAGTGGCCGCAGTAAATACTTGCAAAAGTTGTCTGATTATCGGCCTAATAGCCATGAAACTCAAGAGTCGTTATATCCGCAGTCGTTCTTAGCCAAGTTGACTGTACTGCTATGCCAGTGAAGGTAATAGTATGCCCTTTATTCCTTGCATGTCATCTATCCATCTATGTCATCTATGTCAGCTAGTCATCTATCCATCTAGTCATCTATGTCATCTATCCATCTAGTGTCATTGCATATCATCTATCCATCTAGTCATCCGTAGGCAATCTGACCTGGGATAGTTTGATCTGCAGCTTGGCGAAGACGTGTAAAAACCCACCGACCGCATCCCACAGCCTGCTCTTGGCCAGGGAAAGCTGATTATGGACACACGGACCCTGAAAGAGAGAGAGACACAGAAAAACAGAAAGCATACCTCAAATGTATACAGCATTGCATTTGGACAGTGGTACAGAATCAATGACGTATGGTCATGCTCTGTTGGATACTGTCCTCTGTAAGTTTCCTTTGATCAGTACGGCATATGAGAGTGTGTAACAAAGCAAAAAGCATGAACTCCTACATAGCGAATCAAACAAACCAAATGTAACAGATATATACGTGCACAACCGTCTGGAAGTATCATTCCTACAGCTAACATGATCATTGTGCTACCAGTGGTTTTTTCAACTGGCATACAAACAGACACGCAGCTCAGCTGGGTAGATGTAGCTATGGGTAATGCCTACAGCTATGGGTAATGTCTACAGCTATGGGTAATGTCTACAGCTATGGATAATGTCTACAGCTATGGATAATGTCTACAGCTATGGATAATGTCTACAGCTATGGATAGTGCCTACAGCTATGGATAATGCCTACAGCTATGGATAATGCCTGCACCAGTGGATAATGCCTACAGCTATGGCTCTTAAACTTACCTGAATGTACTCAGTCAGTGTGCAGAAGACTTGTTTGGCAATACTCATTGCACGGGACAAATTGTCTCGGCCCTGACGGAGGTCATGGGCACATACACAGACACAGACATACACATACACAGACATAGACATACACAGACATACACATACACGTACACAGACATAGACACAAACACAGATATGGACACAGACACAGACACAGACACAAACATGCACACAGACACAGAACAACACAAAAAGGAATAGTACTGTACTGTCATCTGGGTTAATGTGTACTGCTAAGTCCAGGAAGCATTTCACGCATCCTTAGCAATACACACTCTGATCTGTGCAGTGAACACGATCCTGTAGTACCACCCCCCCCCCCCCTGTACCCCCCCCCCCCTACACCCTACCCCCCCCCCCCAGCCCCTGCGCCCCTGCACCCCTTGCCTTGCATCCCCACCCCCACCCTAGTCTGGCATAGGACAATAACAGCCTCACAACACCTCATACGATGCAGTAAGCAGTTCGTCGTGAACATTGCTTTATTTCCATCATGCTTACCGGTCCATCGATGGTCTGGCGTCCGACGTAGTGCCAGAAGAAATCACTGACTGATTCCTGGAGGCGATGAAGATAGTCGACCGTGTGGAAGACAATGTTGATGGTGCTTGTGTTGCCCGGCTGTGTGCGCAAGTAGTTCTGAAAGCCTGTAGAAGGTGATAGTGGCGACAGCAGCAGCAGTAGCAGCAGCAGTAGCAGCAGCAGCAACACAAATGTTCTAAGAGCGACAATCCAAACCACTCTTTACACATTTAATTTTTCTATTTTTCTATGTTTCACCATGAGGCTAGAGAATCCCTAAAAACAAGAGAGTCGGCAAAGATTTCTGGAGCAAAGATTTCTGGAACAAAGAGACCGATATCAAGTTTCACAGTGTTTGCCCTAGCGACCTGGAGAATGCGTAAACGGCAGCAATCACGTCCAAATTGTAGGGAGAAGAAACAAAACTCCTCTCCAATACTACTGTCATATTGTCTTTGCAGTGTTATGTAGCACTTACCCAGGTTATGTCCTTCACACAGCAGCTGTAGAAACCTGAACAATGCCAGCGTCATGGATGCATCGTGCAGGGCTCGATCACCTACAGCAACATTCATGAAGCAGAGGTGGTGGAAAACGGAGCACAAACACCACTATCATCAGCATATAGTCAACTTTGCGTATAACGACACTCGGCGGGGCATCAGAAAAGTGTCCTTATTCGCGAAGTGTCCTTATACCCCAAGTCTCATTATATGTGTTACAGTTAGATGGGACTTTGCTCTGGGCATGGGAATTCTGTCGTTATTCGCGAGTTGTCATTATATCCGCAGCAGTCCCTATTAGCGAAGTTGACTGTAGTTTTAACAAAGAAGGATCACGCATTGGTTTATGGATTCCACTAAGCATGCGTTAGATCGATACCGCTAGCGTGCTAGAAGAATAGTGCAATGGACTGTTTGAAGGCCCAGCCGTGGAGGTGCAGGGCAAGAGAGTGGTAGTATTGGCAGAGGTGGTCAATAAAATAATGACGAATAGGGCATGGGGGGGGGGGGGGGTAGACCTTATCACGATGGATATCCATGGATGGAAATACCCATGAACCCTCCCTTCACACATACACACACGCACATGTTCTGACAAGGTGTGCTACCCTACCATAGCCGTGGACACAGCAGTCAGCACACCAAATCACACCCGGCATACATACATACCTGCAGTACGACCCACACCAAGAGTCTCTGCTTTGTTGTGTCGTTCGTACGTATCCATATCCAGAACACTACAGGACTCTATGAGACCGGCTATGCTGGCAAAGAACTCAGAGTCCGTGCTGTCCTTCAGGAACTCCAGCATAGTCTACGCAGAACACACAACAACAACATTGAACAAGCACAGGATGACATTGCTTGCTGGGAGTTTGGCACACACGTAGAAGAGAAGTTCTAGGCTGCTGTTTTCTGATGACCGCTTAGTGCGTGAAACTCGGAGTAAAAGCATTTTCTCATCTTCTTACTCTTGCTGGAGCAATACTACTGAGCTATTCTGGTCACTGTGTGAAGTCATGTGACGCTGAGCACACCATGTGCCTCGATGCCTACAAGGGCACGTATGTGAGTACTCAATCGACCGAAACTTGGTCAACTCTCAACCAAATCCAACAATAGAAACATGAGTAAAAAGGTGATTCGAGTGCATATTAAACATAAAATTATGCAATGCATTGAAGCTTGGAACACTGAAGTGGGGTGCATGGAGGAGGGGGAGGGGAGTGCATTAGCCATTCTAGGCGCGTGCGATACACTTGGCTGGACAGCAAAGCAGTGTTGTGATGTGTGAGATGAAGCTATCCAGTGAGTGCGGCCGCTGAGGCATCACTGTGGGCGAGGCAAGCCAATGGATGACGTAATGCATGGTGTTCAATAAAGTGTGTTGTGCTGGTGCAGTACATGATGTAATCAATGATGTGATGCGTGAGATAGCACACAGTGTTGTGCTGGACCAGTGCATGATGTAATCGATGATGTGATGCATGACTCACCTTCTGCACAGTGAGATTTCCACCGGTCAGCATGGCAATGCCGAGGTTCAGTGTTTGATAGACTAGTGGTGATGGTACACCTACAGACATGCACAAACACGCACACGTGCACCAATACACATACACACACACCCACACACACACACATGCACACACACACACACACACACACACACATACACACACACACACACACACACACACACACACACACACACACACACACACACACGCATGCACACACACACACACACACACACACACACACATGTTGGCACACACGCACGCACGCACACACGTGTGCACACATGCCAGCATCAATGCACGTACAACCTCTTGCACTTTCACAGTGCAAGCCGGAAGCTGAGAACTGACAGCAGCACTGGCAATAGTACTGATCCAATGCTAGTATTGCCACTGACACAGGAATTTAGAACTTTGTTCACTAACCTTGGTCCAGACAAACATCCATACACGTAGCTAGCTTAACCTAAAGTTCAACCGTGATGCACACAGTGCAAATGCTGTACCAACCAGACCACAGATGGTTATTAATTTTTTTTTGAAGAATTTGAAAATAATCGTAACACTGGGATACTGAAAAAAGTTAATATAAATTTAGGAATTTGTTGCTTGGGTAGTGCATACGTTGATGGTCTAAAGAAATTGGGGGATCACCGATATGTTTGGGGCAGTATGTGGTGTTCTTTGGAGGGGTGTCCATACATGAGATTTTGCCATTTTCCACAAAAAAGTTGATCTGTTTCCTGTTTTTTTTTTTTTCTTCACAAAGTACTAGTACACATACCTCTGCATCCCATTAGGACGAGCACGACCATCTGTGCTGCCCCACTAGTAGACAGGTAGTCTTGCTGCTTTAGAAGACGATGATTGGACATGTCCCGGACCATCTCCTGAAGGAGCAGTCCGACAAGCAAGTCCACACACACACACACAGACACAAACACATGTGAGTTCTATGCTATACAAACACGACATGACTATTGTGGGATTGTGCTGCTAACGAAGGAGCCACGAGCGGGATTCAAACCCAGCGCCCCAATCCTTCCTGGACAGTCCCCTACCATAAAGGCTACCGGGGATCACACACAACTATGGCCCCTTCTTGCTACACATGTATGTTGCTTGAATGGTCACCATGGCAGCACACAGAGACAACACTAACAATAACAGCCCGCCAGCACACAGAGACAACAATAACAACAACAGCGCTCCATTCTTTATCCACTGACGTAGTTTAGAACAACAAAACGTCTGGTAAGGTTTCGTAAAGCCTATTTTTAAAAGCGTTCTTACTTTGTACCACTCTTTGCCCAAGAAGAAAATATATTATGTAACAGCAACCTGATTAAGTTCAATGGCACTCATGACATGACATAGTAAACAACACATCACATGACATACTAAACAACACATTACACGATCCACTTGAAAAGCAATCATATGACAAACACTACAGGACTAGTCACGTGACCACGCAGCATGTCCTACCCGTAGAGTTTGGTTTCCAACACACAGCATGGAGCAACTCTGCACAGACACACAGACAGACAGACAGACAGACAGACAGACAGACAGACACACACACACACACACTGTTATAGCACAGTAGTTAGCTGACTGAATTGAAAAGAGAACACATACTTCCTCATTACATCGGATATAAAGTATCTTTTTTGTGACCCTGCGTCTACTTTTCCTGGCATTCCGATGAATCCAACTTGGGTATACTTCCATAGTACAGATTCATATGTCCCCGTCAAGGTACGTTATACTGAAGTTTCCCTGGACTTGAATGTTTGCTGAACTTGCTCACTCCAAGAGCCTGGTAATGTGTAGGGGACTCCAGGCAGATGGAACAGATTCAGAAAGTATCTTGGACAAATGACTACCAGTAAATAGGCTATTGTACTATCCCCTGTAAATGGCGGCGCCATGCGGGTGGTCAAACTCACCGAGCTGAGGATGTTGGCGTAGGCAATGAAGAGCGGGTCTTGCATTGTGAAGCTGAAACGCACACATGCACACACGCATACACACACACACACATATACATGCAAGCATACACACATGTGCACGCACGCACACACACACACACACACACACACACACACACACACACACACACACACACACACACACACACACACACACACACACACACATGCACATACAAACCCCAGCGCACACGCAAACATCGCATCGATCAATAAAAAATCTCCAGACCCAAGAGGCACACGAAGGGAATTAATGGCGTTTTGTTGTGATTCAGGGTTTCATGAATAACAACTAATCATCAGACGACAGTGAAGGAGAAGTGAAGCAGCACAGGTATATGCAGCTAAGCAGATGAAACAAAAAGAGGACGGAAAAAGTGTTTTAACTCTGAGTTTCACGCACTAAGCCATCATCAGACAACAGCAATGATTAAATCTGGATCAGTACTGGTTTATATACCCACAAACTTGCAAAGTGTTAATGCCTGCATCATGGCGCAAATCTTAAAGGTGCGAATGACAACAGTGCACATGAGATAGGAGTGATCAATCCAGTGCAATATCCTGACCCAAGCAACTCACAACATGACCAAAACGGCGATGATAACTCAGTGGCATGGCATTGAACAACTTACAAGATCTGCTTGTTGCACTTGGCCGAGCGTGAGAAGAGCTGAATGATCTGGCACAGCGGATCGACCTCAGTACGTTTAGGAATGGTTGGCATGGCAACCGCGCTACCCGCCGATGTAACCGGGTACTTGGGGTCCATAGCACCTTCCAGAGCCAGTAGTGACATCTCACTGCTAGACACATCACGTTTGGTGTGCGATGATGACTTTTTGCGAGCTTGCATGCTTGAGGCAGTCTGGAACGACAACCCAACGAGGTACAAGATGATAAAAGATGTAGAGGAAAATTCACTTTACGGGAATGGCAGATCTTTGTCAGTGTGTGCGTGTGTGTGTGTGTGTGTATGTGTGTGTGTGTGCACGTGTCCGTGGATGGAGGGGGCTTGGCACTCATGGCAGTGGTTCAAGTGTGAGACTTATCCCCTCATCCCCACCACAATGAGCTGCATCAGCCGCTGCATTTTCCGGATGTCAGCGGCCATCGTGAGGTTCCTCGAGGATTGTGACGAAAATGTCCTATACCGTTACAACTTACACTGAGGCTGGCTTTCTGGTAGCTGGGTCTACATTGCACTCAGTAAACAACAGACAACGCTGTCAGCGGTCAGTTGTTCCACAAATGAAGAGCTGAGACGGAAAATCCGCTAAATCCATTTCATCACTTTTCCGATAATGGCCAACAAAGGATTCATTCTATCTGCGGTTGGTATCTAAATCCAAATTTGGATTCCAGTTTTGAAATGGTTCTAGTCAGATTTTGAATGTGAAATTGTGCCTGGTGGTGCTTTTCGGCCTTTTGATTACACTGAGCTGAAAGTCTCATTTTCTCAAATTGGCATTTATCGGGTTTTGCATCTCAGCCCTTCAAATGTTCTCCAGACCAGTGGCAGTGTTTGGTGAGGTAAACACTGCCTGTTTCTCACCTTGATATCCTCAATCAGGCAGAATGCCTTGGGTTCGCTGGGCACTAGCCACTCAGAGCGGTAGATGTCCAGGAAATGATTGATGGCACGGTCCCTGCAGGAATACATACACACACCCACACACATGTGTGCACACGAACGCACACATGCACGCACACACGCACGCACACCCACCCACTCACCCACCCACACACACACACACACACATGGGGTAGACCATTCAAGCAACATGCGTGAATTCCCAGTCGATGTCGTTATGCTATACAGCATGATGCTTGCGTGTGCATGTTCGTCCATCCGTCCTTCACGCACATGCACACACATGCACATGCACACACACACACATACATGTACACACATGTACACACATACAATGGACACACACACACACATGTACACATTCTGCGTACAGTCCTGAAACCTACCTAGGCAGCTTGTGCAGTGGTACCATCAGGAAGCAGTTGATGATGGTGCGCTTGCGTTCTCTTGTGATCAGCTTCCTCCAGCGCTTCACATGCTTGGCTGTTGGACTGGGATTGTCCACCTGCAACATAAGCAACATTAAGTAAAATTACATACTCACAATCAACTACTAGCCAAGTTGAGCTTTTACCTGTTTCATTGCGCTCTGTGCGAGCAACTAGTGTTCCCTGTAAGAAGACGGCAACGTCCGCAGGGACTTCACTATTAAAACAATAGAATATACTACCCCACACTTACTGTTTGCGTTATGCAGAGCTCACTGACTTGTCAGTTTGAGTACTTTGGCAAGGTACGTTCGGGCCTGGTTTAAATCTGGGTTTGGAAAATTTATTTTTCACTGCTATCAGGTTCGGCCTCATTTTCTCTGTGCTGCGCTGATGAGTCCACAATGGACGGAACAGTTCTGTCCGCAAATTGAGAATCTACTATCGCATGTACTATTACTACTACTACTACTACAGTCAGACCTCGCATAACCGCACACATGCGTTTTCCACAAAGATATCGGGATAGGCGAGGAAACCGGATAGTCGAACACACATACTGAATGTATGCATGGCATATACTGTAAATCGGTAACCAACAATTTTCTTCCGGATGGCGAGGGATCCGGATAAAAGAGGACCGGATGGCGAGGGATCCGGATAAAAGAGGACCGGATGGCGAGGGATCCGGATAAAAAAGGACCGGATAAAAGAGGACCGGATGGCGAGGGATCCGGATAAAAAAAGAGGACTGGATAAGCGGCGATGTCTGCCTGTACTAGTGCTGTACAGTACATGTTTGTGAAAGTTCATCACTGATGTTAAGGTTAGAGGTCACGAAGCGTTTTCGTGCATATTTGGAAATCAACCATGCGGTGCCGTCCTTATGACCATCACTGTACACAGTAACGTAGACTATTATGGTGGTATGTATGGTATAGACAACGTCACCCGAGTCAATACTGTTGTGTCCTGCTCAAGGCAGACCAACTCTTCGAAAGATGAGGATGAATCATCAGTGAAACGTAATGGCTTTTAAAGGGAAACTGGCTGCAAAGGCGGCTTGAAAGGTCACATGTGAATGTGTTACGCACAAGGCGCGAGAGGTCTAGCAGTGCAGGGTGCAACAGTGCATGGAAGCAGGTGCGAACAGTAGCACTAGCAGCCTAAGTGCCAAGACCCATGCAGGGAAAGGTGCTATAATATCACCACAAATACGGCTGACCGTACCACACTAAAATACCTTCCGACGCCCCTGACACGTAGATCTTACATTGTGAAGTCGATAGATGACCCGGATGAGGTTCATGATCCTCTGCAGTCGCAGGTCCAGGTCCGGCTCACTGCGTGGCTTAAACACGGGTAACATGCTGACTATCGACTGTGCCTTCTGGCCCAGTGAGAGGCGCTTCCTGAGCTTCGGCGAGGACATCTTATTCTGTAGTTAGAGCAGGGGTAATAGAAGACAACATTACAAATACATTGTAGATTATTCGACATGGGAAGATTCCATTCCTGATGATGATTATTAATAAACGTTTTGGTCATAAAAATTTTATGACCGAAACGTTGAAATACGTCTTCCTGAAAGGAGTTTGGGAAACGCAGTGATTGAGTGTGATACAGTGTTGTTCACAACCCACTTTTACTATTGAAGCTGCGTGACGCGTCCTACAGGATTGGAAATGGGAAGACGAAGCTGACAGAATGACAACAACGCAGAGAAGTAGCAAATACCATGCAAAACTGCAAGACGACTATTATTTTCTTACTACAACGTGGTCCAGCGTCCGCTTCGCTAAGCCTAACCAATGCTTAGATAAACTTCTTGTCTCGAAGTCACATGGTAATCTTTTACCTAAAATAGAACGCACCGAAAATATACGTACATGCATGCCGACTGCAATACGGAAAACTGATTTACCGAAATTGTGCACCCCGTAAAGATGAACCAGCTAAGCCGCTGTTAGAGGAACACTGGAGCAGGTGCATTGAAACTTTGAAAGCAGTCACTGTATCCTTACCTTTTTCTGGTGCTGTAGGACATTGATGACATGATCGGCCACTTCGTGTTCCTTAGCACCCTACCAGCAGAACAGGGCAAAGCAATGGCAAAGCAATGGCAAAGCAATGACAAAGCAATGACAGAATCTACACATGCATGTATAATGTTTAGCGTTTGTGACACGAGTTACGATAGTTTGTACCGTGATCTACACGCTTTGTACGGTTGTGCGTGCAGTGGAGCGAGATATCTCGTCATCCGCCGTTCAGGCACAAGTTACAGAGCGAGATATCTCGTCATTAGCACTGAAAGGGATAGCACATGCATGTACAGTGCTGCTCTATGAAATCCGATCCTGAAAGTCAAGTGTGTGCCCTGCACCAGTTCACATCCCAGTGACCGCAGGTCTAGGGCTGCATAGTGCCCTGCACCAATTCACATCCCAATGTTTACAGGTCTAGGGCTGCATAGTGCCCTGCACCAATTCACATCCCAGTGACCGCAGGTCTAGGACTGCACAGCAACCCCGGTGCGTACTTGACACACACGGTCAGATTTCAACGAACAGCTCTGTACATCACATTCATGCGACCTTGCTCACAGTAATCCCAGCCTTGGTCTTTTCACACCCCGTGAAGTCTGACCTCCAATGAGTAGAGCGACTGAAGTATGCCCTGTGGTTACCGAAATACAGGGAACTAGTTAAAGGGGAAGTTAAGGCAAAAATTAAAATTTCACCAGTTGTAGTCTTCGGGGTGCTGAGTCGAATGGTCTTGGTCCGAGAAAGCTGAGACGCTCCCTTCCTACTTGAATCCCAATCGAACTCGCGCACTTCCACCGAAACTGGGTGACTGCGCCCTACTAGATGGGGATTTGTATGCAAAATGTCACTAAAAGCGCCATTTCGTTCTTATAAAAGCATGGATGACCGCGATTGGCCCATATGTTGTAGTCTTTTGGACGCTGAGTCGACTGGTTTTGGTCCGAAAAGGCTGCGATGCAGCGTTCCTCCTTTATTCCCAATCGAACATGGTTGAACAAGCGGTCACGTGCTCCTGCGTACACCAGTCAACTGGTCACCGTGCCTGCAGGGTACAACTTACTACAGGTAGACTCCCTCTAATTCGAATACGGTTTAATTCGAACATTCCGTGTAATTCGAACTTTTTCGTCGTACTGATCTTCTGCAAGTCACTTCAAGTCAAAATCGAATGCATAATTCGAAGTGCGAAAAGTGCGCCGGTTGGATAATTCGAACCCACTCTTCGTACAGAAGAGCTGTTTACAGTACATTGACTATGTCCTTTGAACGCTTATTTCGAAGTGAGATTCAGTTGCTATCCTTGTAATTCGAAGTTCATTCTTTTCTCCTTCTCTAGCCGAGAGTAGCTCAAAAATCGATTGATGGTCCGCTGCAGGATCGACTATAGCGTTCAAGAAACCCACCTTCTCTCGAAATTTGATTCAAGCCAGTGCTAGGCAAATTGCAAAGGTTTGATTGAAGACGACTTCTTCCAGGTGGCTGACTCTCTTCGTGGATCTCGATGGCCTTTCTTGCCGCGCCAGCTCGTGCGCGGGGATGTTGGCGAACAACAACACTATTGTCGTAAAATATTGTCGATGCCTGTGCTCCACTTCCGTTCTTCAGAACGACGTGCTGCTGTTCGACGGCCTTTCATGACGCGGATTTGGCAGCGCAGTTCTTTTCCGTTGAAATTGTTTCAGGAAAGCTGCAGTGACTGACAACTTCTTCACTAGAAGATGAAGATAATGTCAAAATGATTTTGTGTCGATCCAGTGTTTTGATGATCCGTTGTACATGACCGGTACGACCACCTTTGTTTCGTTGATGCAAATAAAAATGTGCAAAAAATATTCAGCATGCGATTTCAAGCATTTTGACATACATATCAGTGCATGGGGCTGCATTTGGATAATTAGAAGTTCTGGATAATTCGAAGTTAGGGCCTGGCAATTTGAGGTTCGAATTAAAGGGAGTCTATCTGTAGCCTGTTTGACCCTTTTTGGGTGCAGTCCTGTCACTCGAGTTGAACCTTGGTGTGAAAGTTGTCGCCTGCTGGCGTGGTGACCAGGTGATTTGGGCACCCAGGAGCACGTGACCACTTGTTCAACCATGTTCGATTGGGAATAAAGGAGAAACGCTGCATCGCAGCCTTTTCGGACCAAAACCAGTCGACTCAGCGTCCGAAAGACTACAACATATGGGCCAATCGCGGTCATCCATGCTTTTATAAGAACGAAATGGCGCTTTCAGTGACATTTTGCATACAAATCCCCATCTAGTAGGGCGCAGTCACCCAGTTTCGGTGGAAGTGCGCGAGTTCGATTGGGATTCAAGTAGGAAGGGAGCGTCTCAGCTTTCTCGGACCAAGACCATTCGACTCAGCACCCCGAAGACTACAACTGGTGAAATCTTAATTTTGCCTTAACTTCCCCTTTAAGCGGATGGGAAACAATTTCAGACTTTCTCAGACAGCGATATACAGTAGGCACCACTGCGTGCCAGTTCATGCTCATGCATTGTCCACCTCATGAGAGAACACAAGTCTTTCACCACACAGGCCTGAGGAAAAAAGGCCTTTTCCGTTCCTGATCATGACATTTCAGTGCTGAATAGATTGGGTTTTTTCCCGCTTAGTGGCATAGTCAATAGCACTAGTAACAATCAGCATATCAGATTAGTGACTAATACTGGCTATACTGTAAATGAACAAAATTTATATTCGGCGCATAGTTATTTTCGGCTATTTTCGGCCTGGCCATGTGTGGCCGAAAACGTACGGCGGCCGAAATTTTGTTTTGCAAGGTTCAGTGTGACAGTGTATGCAGGCGGCAGCAGTACAGGCCAAACATTTGATGCGGCCGAAATGTGTTTTAGCCGTGGAAGGCCGGAATTTGAATGGGTCGAAAATTTGTAGACTTACAGTAGCCCCACTGTCCTGAGTAGGAAAGTGTGTCAGTGTGCACATTCTGAGTAGGAAAGTGTGCCAGACTTGTGCACATTCTGAGTAGGAAAGTGTGCCAGACTTGTGCACATTTTGAGTAGGAAAGTGTGCCAGACTTGTGCACATTCTGAGTAGGAAAGTGTGCCAGACTTGTGCACATTCTGAGTAGGAAAGTGTGCCAGACTTGTGCACATTTTGAGTAGGAAAGTGTGCCAGACTTGTGCACATTCTGAGTAGGAAAGTGTGCCAGACTTGTGCACATTTTGAGTAGGAAAGTGTGCCAGACTTGTGCACATTTTGAGTAGGAAAGTGTGCCAGACTTGTGCACATTTTGAGTAGGAAAGTGTGCCAGACTTGTGTGCACATTTTGAGTAGGAAAGTGTGCCAGACTAGTGCACATTTTGAGTAGGAAAGTGTGCCAGACTTGTGCACATTTTGAGTAGGAAAGTGTGCCAGACTTGTGCACATTTTGAGTAGGAAAGTGTGCCAGACTTGTGCACATTTTGAGTAGGAAAGTGTGCCAGACTTGTGCACATTCTGAGTAGGAAAGTGTGCCAGACTTGTGCACATTCTGAGTAGGAAAGTGTGTCAGACTTGTGCACATTCTGAGTAGGAAAGTGTGCCAGACTTGTGCACATTGAGTAGGAAACTTGGTGTGCCAGACTTGTGCACATTGAGTAGGAAAGTGTGCGAGACTTGTGCACATTGAGTAGGAAAGTGTGCCAGACTTGTGCTCATTTGCACACATCACTTACCCGTAACATGAGGGACAGTCCCTTCTGGACAAGGCTGGAGTCAAGACTAGTCAGATCCTAGATGGAAAGGACATGAACAGATTGGACAATGATGTACATGGTTACATGTGCATGGTTTTGAAAGGAGGTAGATAGAGAGAAAGATCTAGATAACTGTTAGATATAATTATAGGTAGATAGGTAGATATTGATATATAGATGAATGAATAGACAGACAGACAGACAGACAGAGAGACAGAGAGACAGAGAGACAGACAGACAGACAGACAGACAGACAGACTTAACGTACATGTAGGTAGATAGATAGCCAGGTACAGTTGACTCCTGATATAACAAACACCATTGTGCAGGAGAATTTGTTCTTTATAACCGAAGTTCGTTATAACAGACATGCACTCGCACTATACAAGCAGCAAGTCATGAGTCGGTTCGACTGATATGTGGCCCATGACAGTATGACTATGAGTGCATTTGGTGTACATGCAACCCTACAAGATTGGGTTTGTTATGAATGATAACTGTTCGCTATAAAGGGTCAATTTTGTATGGGTTCAAACAGGGACATGGACAATGGTTCGCTATAATCACGAAATTTGTTATTAGCGAGTTCGTTACAAGTGGAGTCGACTGTAGGTAGGTAGGTAGATAGGTAGGTAGTGACAGATAGAGATAGAGAGTATGTAAGAGAGAGAGAGCGAGAGAGAGAGAGAGAGAGAGAGAGAGAGAGAGAGAGAGAGAGAGAGAGAGAGAGAGAGAAAGAGAGAGAGAGAGGAGAGAAGAGAGAACGGTGGAGGTAGACAGAGTGATAGAGAAAGGTGAGTAAGTTTCAACCATCTGCCCGCACCAATGCCGAGTGCTCATTGCTAATGTCACGTTCCTCGGTAAACATATTATAACTGCTTGTGGATACAGACCCCCCCCCCCCCCCAACACACATGCATGCACACATGCACGCACGCATACACACATGCACCCACGCGCACACGCACATACACACACACACACACACACACACACACACACACACACACACACATACGCACTCACACACGCACACCCCCTCCCCCCCCCCCCCCCCCACACACACCTGTATGATGATGGTATGCAGCTTGTTGAGGCACTGAACAATGACATTCCCATGACTTCGACTACTTGCAGCAGTGGCCTTGCCTGAAGTCTGTGTGCTCTTGGGAACAAATGGCGTGGCACCCGACACTTTCTTTTCCGATGACTTGCCGGCCAAGCTGCTGTGAACTGAGAAGAGTGATGACTGTCTGCTACTTGTCTGTGCTGCTGGATTGTGGTCGAGGTTGTCGCGAGTCGAGAAGAGCGATCTCCGTTCGCTAGTTCTCTGCGCCACTGGATTGTCAGCCTGGCTGCTGTGGGCCGGGAAGAGCGATCTCCGTTGGCTGTTATTCTGCGCCACTGGATTGTCTGCTAGGCTGCTGCTAATCGTGAAGAGCGATGACCGCTTGAATATCTTACCAGCTTTATGCCCACTCTCGGGAGTGGGGGTTGGTGCGGACAGGGTGTAGCGACGCTGTCCCTTGAACCTCTGCGCAATGGCGGCAGTGCAGACCTGGAACTCACGACGGAAGTTCTGAAGCAGACGTGAAGAGCACATGGCACATGTATAGTCAATACGCAACACAGCCACTACCAAATACAATGTTTATACACACAATGTAAATTACAGTGTTCGAAAGGCTGGCACTTAAAGGGGAATTGTATATGCTTAAATCAAATTTTCGCCAGTTGTAGTCTTCGGGGTGCTGAGTCGAATGGTCTTGGTCCGAGGAAGCTGAGAAACTCCCTTACTCCTTTATTCCCAATCGAACTCGCCACCTCCACCGATACTGGGTGACTGCGCCCTACTAGATGGGGATGTGTATGCAAAATGTCACTAAAAGCGCCATGTCGTTCCTATAAAAGCACGGATGACCGCGATTGGCCAGTATGGTGTACGAGGTGAATTGCTATTTCTGGACATTGTACATTTCTGGACATTTCGAGTAAAATAATTTTTCGTCGCGTGTAGAGTCAAGTCAGTCAGGTTGATGAAGTTTTTTCTTGTTGTAGTTGACAGCTGGGCTGTTGTAGTTTCTCCTCGTATCGGTGCCTTGTTGATAGCCTTTTCTTGGGAGGCATTTCAACGAGTTTTGTGGTACTATGTCGCATGAGAATTTTGAATTTTGAGTAAAATAAGAAGTAATGGACGAATCGTTGGCTTCCCCATGTGCACTCCACTTCAGACGCTGTATAGTCTTGGACCTGTTGGCTGGAAGTGTGAAGAGGCCAACTGCAGTCCACCAATAGAAAAAATAACAAAAATGGTGCAGTATAGGATGCCTATTGACGCTATTTTACTTTCATGTCCAGAATTCAATACACTGAAATTTAGGCCAAAAATTGGCCTGTCGAAAACATCCTGCTATAAAGTCTCTGGGATCACAGCATGAGCAATTGTCACATATTTGGAAAGATGAAGGATTAGGCCATACAATAGATACAAAAAGATATGAAAAATGTAAAACACACAGCCAGTGGGCCTCTATTTTATTTTCATGTCCAGAAATTGCTATTCACCTCGTAGTCTTTTGGATCACGAGTCGACTGGTTTGGGTCCGAGAAGGCTGCGATGCAGCATTCGTCCCTTCCTCCCTATCAATCACGGTTGAGTAAGCGGTCACGTGCTCATGCGTACACCAGTCACCTGGTCACCACGCCCGCAGGCTACAGCTTACAGCCTGTTTGGCGGCGTTCCTGTCACTCGAGTTGAACCTTGGAGTTGAACCTTGGTGTGAAAGTTGTAGCCTTCACAGGCTGCAGGCATGGTGGTCAGGCGACTGGTGTACGTACAAACACGTGACCGCGTACTCAACCGTGTTTGATAGGGAATAAGGGCCGAGCAGCCTTTTCGGATCAAACCCAATCGACTCAGCATCCATAAGACTACAACTGGTGAAAATTTGATTTTAGGGTATACTTCCCCTGTTACAACATGTGTCTTGTTAGGTCTAGTAGGCATGGATTTAGATTGCATTTCACTTGGCACACCTGCACTATCTAAGTAATCCGGATGCCAAATACTGTAATTTCACAAATTTTCGGTGTACTTTTATTTTCGGTACTTTCGGTGCGTCTGTTTCATACCTAAAATTTCAATACACCGAACAAACACTAACACACATAATCCAATAGGGAACTGCTTCTCTGTACCTAAATTTTCTGTTCACCTAACCTGGCCTTTTGCCCTCATACCGAAAATATTGAGCACTGAAAATTTATGAAATTAGAGTATACACTTTGGATTGGATTCCACTTAGCTGCTGATAGCAGCGAGAGAGCATTTATGACTGTACTATGGGTCAAGTTGACCTGGCAGTACAGAGTGGTTTCACTTCTATCACATGGCCATACATGACAGCCATGTTGGTTCCAACTCCAGTCAACCCTGGTATCCATGGAACCAAGAGTACATGAAGCCCAGAGCATGTAGCAGCTCTGGGGGGTTGCTGTCACGGCAACGTTCCGGGGTTACATCACTTCAGCGATGCAGTGCGCACAAGCAGGATTCAAGCAGGTCTCTTTCTGCACAACTGCAGCTCAGTTATACGCACTACGCAATTTCCCGCTTCAGATATAGATCAGCACCAAATATGATGTAATCCCGGAATTTTGCCGTGACAGACACCCATGCAGAAAAAGCCAAAAGCTGCACACTCTTGGTTTTATTAAATTTTACTCTTGATGTCGGCCATGTTGGTTCCACTGTTCGCACCCAATGATGACATTCTGCACAGATTGGATCACATGACAAGGACATGGCATCATTCTATCCCTTACCAGTGAGAAGTGCCAGCAATGCAGCACATCAGCCAGGTACAAGAAGAAGTGCACTAGCTCCTTGGGCAGCGGAGGCTTGGACCACTTCTCCCGATGGGCGGTGACGAATGCGGTGCACAGCGTGAAGAATGCGAAAGTGTCGCGCGCCAGAATGTTGTACTCCTGGCTAATCTACAGGTGGGAATAGGCAAAGCATTACATCATCATCTAGTGGGAATACACGAAGCATTACATCATTATCAGGTGGGAATAAGCTAAGCATTACATCATCATCAGGTGGGAATAGGCAAAATCATTACATCATTATCAGGTGGGAATAAGCTAAGCATTACATCATTATCAGGTGGGAATAGGCAAAATCATTACATCATTATCAGATGGGAATACGCCAAGCATTACATGTTTGTTTGTTGTGCTTTTATTTCTAGTCGTTCAACCAAACAGGCAATGGTGCCTTCTCACAAGGAGACGTCTGTACAACATGCATATGGACCATGATGTAATGCAATGATCTAATAGAATACAGTCCACGACGGAGGAGGTTATCCGTACCTCAGCTTCTTCCTTCGGACCACAGCGCGTACGCTGGTAGTGCTGATCCCGAGAGAAGAGAGCTTGCACACGCTGGCTGAGCTTCTTGGAGATTGGTAGGAACATGGTCTTCAACAGCTCCACTGAACAGGTTCTCATGATGGGTGCCAAGTCACCTATATTGTGTAAGTAAACACACAGAGACACACACAGATAGAGACAGAGAGACAGAGAGACAGAGAGACAGACAGAGAGGCAGACAGACAGACGGATAAATACGATCACATCGAACATTATGGTACCGGTTATACACCAATTGAGCACATTTGGGGGGGGGGGGGGGTTGTCTGGGCACGATTCTAGCTTCGCATTACGGAAACAAGGTAAGACTAGTTCAAGTAATGTGTGTGTGTGTGTGTTGGGGGGGGGGGGGGGGGGAGGGGGGTCAATGGGGCTCTTTGTTGGGCAACCGTGGGTTAAAACATGTAACCTGATTTGTTTTACATTTTCACGTGGGGTGGGTGGAGGGATGTGCCCCTTTGTCGGGGTGATCCCGGATCCTCCGCAGCAGCACCAAGAGCATGCAGCATTACAGAACGCTCTGGTCACGTAAAGTGTACTTACACGCCGCCTGACAGATCCAGTCCATGCGAGGCTGTCCAAACTGGTTACTGATAATCTCCATGGCCTGTGTGAGAACCGTGTCCACCATCTTGGTGTTGATGACGGTGGGGTAGACACGCTTGCCAAACACACACATACCGTCTGCACCCTTGTCCCACCACCTATCCATGTAGGAACCTTAAAAGAGTAAGGCAGAATGAGATGTAAGTGAGAGAGTGATGCAGAGAGTTAGAAGGATAGCTAGAGATAGATACATGTAGATAGATATATTTTTCATTGCTATCAGGTTTCGCCTCATTTTCTGTGTGCTGCGCTGATGAGGCCACACAAGACAAAACAGTTCTGTCCGCAGATTGGCTAGATAGATGAGATAAATTGGTAGATAGATACAGAGACGGACAGACAGTGAGAGAGAGGGATAAGTAGTGAAAAAAGGGAGAGAGAACCTAAGCAAGCATCAAGTACTTCGAGTAGTACATTATGACAGAATGGAGATCCACAAATCCACAAACAAAGCCGTGTCTGAACAAGGCCATTGACTGACCAACAATGTACACATCTTCAAGAGATACAGTAAAAGCTGTCAGGGCGACCCGTGACTCGGATACGGCAACCACCTGTCCTAGAAGACCACTGAAACCAGGACCAAGGGATGCTATTTCCAGTCAAATGACCCTGGATAAGGAGACCACCTGGTAATAGAGACCACATTTCGAAGGTCCCTTGAGTGGTCGTCTTAGACAGGTTCCACCGTACTTTGGTTTTCTAGACTTACTGAGCATAGGCACAACCACAGTGATAGCATGGGGCACTTCTTGATTGGAATCAGACAGTATCTGATTGTTCACATCGTCATCACCTGCGTGAGATAGATAGAAATATGGATAGATAGATAGTTAGATGGGTAGAGAGAGATGGTGATGGTGCTGACGATGATGATAATGATGGTGAGAGGACTACGTGAACTGTGAACAAGACTGGAGTAATATGAGACAAGCGAAGATGGACTGTCACAAAACGTCCATACATGCTTATAATAAGAATGACACTTGCAGGGGTTTGACATCTGACACAAGAATAGCTACATGTTCACACATGCGCACAACAACACACCCGCACGCACCCGTGCACACATGCACGCGCACGTGCACGCACGCACGCACACACACACACACATTAACTTACCATCAGTAGAGTCCTGCTCGTCAACATTGTCCGTAGCAAATCCTCTCTCCTCTCGTGACACTGCCAATGCATCTTCAACCTCCACCAGCAGATTGCTCAACACAGGCATTTCACCTACAAAATGAAAAAAAATACTTGTTTCGATTGAGGAGAACTTTGTGGAAAGATCAGAGAACTAAAGGAAGTGAACTATAAGGGGACACATGGGGACGAGTTATAAGTAACTCTCTACCACTGACACTTTGATAATAAGCAGTCAGATAGTGTGATAACTTAGCAGAAAACTGACGGACTACTGAGGAGGAGTTTTATGCTTATTTTTGGCTCAGTATCCGAGTCCAACAAAATGAAAAGTGAAGTACTTAAATCAGCAGGATGTGTGGATATTAAAAGAAAGAGGATTTAACTGACCATCACTTTGATTCATGGTGGACGTTGTCTTTGAAGAGTCCACCTGCTCAGTGGATTTCTCCAGGAAAGCCATAGGCATTGCGCTGGATATCGCTGCCAGGCATTCTCCAATGACAGGTTGCAGGCTGTTGACACACGCACACACGCACACGCACACACACACACACACACACACACACACACACACACACACACACACACACACACACACACACACACACACACACAAGCGCAAAAAAATAGACAGTAAGTGATTGCACAGCACTTCCAGCTACGGGGCCCCAAGCATATAGTCGTGATCTCAGATTCAGGTTACAAGTTGGGCAGCTATACTGAACTGTCTTTTGTCTATCTTTGGCAGTATCGTGTACCTTCTTGCTGCTGGGCACCGTACTTGCCTACTAGGCATCTGGCTGCTGCCTACTATCCTTCACTTTGCGTGCTACTGCCTCCGTTGTCTATGTCTGAAAGAGAGAGAGAGAGAGAGAGAGAGAGAGAGAGAGAGAGAGAGAGAGAGGGACTTGAAGAGAGAAAGAGATAAAATCTTACCTATGGTCTAAGTCATTGAGCTCTGTACCAATGTAGTAGAGCCGTGAGATGATCTTCTCTGTCTCGAAAAGCAGGTCACCCTTGATCAGCTTGGGACCAAAGCTGTGCTCACGGATGTGTGTGAACACAAACGTCAGCAAAGGAACCAGCACTGTGAATACGTAGCCATCGCGATTGCCGCTGCAGCGACTCATGATACAGCTGGCGAGGTCATCACACGCCTGGGCGAAGAAGTTGGACATCTGCTGGCACAGCATGGGGAACTCATCCACGCTCAGCAAGGACATGTCAAACGCTTTCACAACCTGATTAATGGAAAATGGGAAGAGACAAGAAAGAAAGACGGGTTAACAAGGAAAGGGAGAAGGAGGAGGAGGAGGAGAAGGAAGGGAGAAGTACACAACAATTTACCAATTTTTCCAGGTAAACCTCGACCAAAGAGAAAATCACATATTATGTGAATGGTATTGAGCCTACATTTTGATTGGAACTAAATCTTGCCGATATTTTTAAGAATCGTGGAACGAAAGTCCAAGCCCAGCAGGTTGGTAAAATAGAAACGGTCTATATCTGTTCCACTTTATTTCCCCATGTGTATCGATCCTACTTACTCCGCCCTGCGGGAAATACGTTTCGTGTTTGTACATGCATGTTTGCTTTATAAGCTGCATGCTTTTTAAACCCGAGAAGAAACATCAACTGGGTCACTTCAGTACCATGAGTACAGTATTGTCGGGCGCCGAAGAACAGAGCGCCGAAGAACAAACAGGCTAGAATTTCATCAAGCACAGCATACCAATGTATACACGCTGATTCAACTGTGCATAGACTGTAATGCATGAAAATAAAAACGGTCTAGGCTAGGCGACTGACCCCCCAGGCTACTTCATGAAAAATGGTGCAGTTTTGAAACGGGTCAGGACAGGAATGCACTAGAAGGTGCACACAACTATGGTTTCGTTGATTAGTGCTCTTAGGACCTACAGTTTCTGCGGCAGCTACAATGTCCACCGTGTTCTGGCCAAACACACTGTCCTGCGCCTGCAGGATGAGTACCAGGTTGAAGAAGAAGTCGCCCACCTGCGCCTTCTCACCGCGCGAGCACATACCGTAGCGCTTGCGATCCGTGCCGAGCGGCATGAAGTACTGGTGATGGCACTTGAAGTAGTGCGTCGCCAGAGGCATGTAGAGAATGGCCAGGCTTCTCAAGCGAGCTTCCAGCGACTTTGAAAAGGCGTTGGTGGAGCGGCACTCCGGAGCCGTGGGAACGTAGCACGTGGAGCGCGTGGCCGGGAACTCCATCAGCTTGAGTCGACCGGCGTCTACCAGCATGGCAAGAATGTGCTCCTGGCGTCGGATGATCTTGTTGAACAGGACGTAGGAGTAACGGCGCTCTACCATGCTGGTGGCGCTGCACTGTCTTGCCATGTTGTCCAGACGTGGTGTTGCTGATCTGAGCACAGGCAAAGATGTTACGCCGCGCGCACACACACACACACACACACATACAGGTACCCAACACAGGAACCCACACAGAGTTAACCCTTTAAGAGCCACAGGAAAATTTCAAAATTCTGCATTTTTTCGTGTTCCTTGGACCATAGCTTCAGTTCTACTCACTCAATCCTCACAATCTAGGGCTTCCTGGAAAGGTCTCCGCGAGAGGAAGAGAATGAGGTTGATCATGATAGCCAGCACACCGTCTATCCAGCGCTAGATCGCAGCGACAGTACGAAAAATGCCCCAAATGCGTCCAATTGCGTCCCGCTCCAGATATTTCATTTTACTCGATCGTGGAGTTCCAATTTTTTCGCTGTGTACTCTTGACAATATCAACAGTGAAACCCGTGCAAATTCGAGTAAACCAGCGTGACGAAAAGTCTCAAAATTCTCAATACTAAAGTCGCACTGCGCGCTTTTGAAATTGCCGCGATCGCGGCTCAACTTACGAGTGATTTATCTCAGGAACCGTTGCTCGCAGCACTTCGCGGATTGTTTCTCCCGACAGGTGAGAGTTTTCTCTTCGCCCTGAACATTTCGATCACTGAATTTGAGCAAGATTGGAATGAGTTACGATCTTTTGAAGTTTTGCATTCAAGTATGGGGCGGCTCTTAACCCTTTAAGAGCCGCCCCATACTTGAATGCGTCGTAAACGACGCATTCAAATGCAAAACTTCAACAGATCGTAACTCAGTCCAATCTCGCTCAAATCCAGTGATCGAAATATCCAGGGCGAAGAGAAAACGCTCACCTGTCGGGAGAAACAATCCGCGAAGCGCTGCGAGCAACGGTTCTCGAGATAAATCACTCGTAAGTTGAGCCGCGATCGCGGCAATTTCAAAAGCGCGCAGTGCGACTTTAGTATTGAGAATTTTGAGACTTTTCGTCACGCTGGTTTACTCGGATTTGCACGGGTTTCACTGTTGATATTGTCAAGAGTACACAGCGAAAAAATTGGAACTCCACGATCGAGTAAAATGAAATATCTGGAGCGGGACGCAATTGGACGCATTTGGGGCATTTTTCGTACTGTCGCTGCGATCTAGCACTGGATAGACGGTGTGCTGGCTATCATGATCGACCTCATTCTCTTCCTCTCGCGGAGACCTTTCCAGGAAGCCCTAGATTGTGAGGATTGAGTGAGTAGAACTGAAGCGTTGATCCAAGGAACACGAAAAAATGCAGAATTTTGAAATTTTTCTGTGGCTCTTAAAGGGTTAACCCTTTAAGAGCCGCCCCATACTTGAATGCGTCGTAAACGACGCATTCAAGTGCAAAACTTCAAAAGATCGTAACTCAGTCCAATCTCGCTCAAATCCAGTGATCGAAATATCCAGGGCGAAGAGAAAACTCTCACGTGTCGGGAGAAACAATCCGCGAAGTGCTGCGAGCAACGGTTCCTGAGATAAATCACTCGTAAGTTGAGCCGCGATCGCGGCAATTTCAAAAGCGCGCAGTGCAACTTTAGTATTGAGAATTTTGAGACTTGTCGTCACGCTGGTTTACTCGAATTTGCACGGGTTTCACTGCTGATATTGTCAAGAGTACACAGCGAAAAAGTTGGAACTCCACGATCGAGTAAAATGAAATATCTGGAGCGGGACGCAATTGGACGCATTTGGGGCATTTTTCGTACTGTCGCTGCGATCTAGCGCTGGATAGACGGTGTGCTGGCTATCATGATAGACCTCATTCTCTTCCTCTCGCGGAGACCTTTCCAGGAAGCCCTAGATTGTGAGGATTGAGTGAGTAGAACTGAAGCTATGATCCAAGGAACACGAAAAAATGCAGAATTTTGAAATTTTCCTGTGGCTCTTAAAGGGTTAAAGGGTTAATGACGTCACAAAAAATGGTCAAAATCATATTCACATGGTGTACACCACCATCACAAAAGAATGAGACACGATACAGACTATTAGAAACAAGGCCGGTCGAGGCAGCTCGAAGCAGAGTGCTCAATGCACAAACGTGCAGAGCAGTATATACATTTAACTAGTGAGGCGAAAGGCTGTGCAGCTGCTAACTTCAAGTTTCACGCATTTCATTGAATGCCAAATGCCGCTGTCTGATGATCGCTGAAATGCATGACATTTAATGATACAGCTACACAGCCTTCCACATCCGTTATAATGTATGATGCAGAGTCATTATATTTCAACACAAGATGGCATCGCACCGCTAACTAACCGGTCCACTCTGTAGCCACAGAGCAAGAGAAACTTGAGTGTTTCCCGTGCCAGGATGCGAAACTCCTCCTTCTCCTTGCTGGGAAGCATGTCAAACTCCAACAGCTGGTGACGCAAAGGTTGGCCTTCAACAGAAAACAAAATGAGTTGGGGAAAATACTGTTTTAGGGATACTCATTCTGCAGACAAAACCTATTGGTGGGGGAGAGAGGGGGGATATCATGATAACGGACGCAGGCCAAAATTGGTTAGAATTGGTTGTTTACTATCAAATGTAGAGGCGGTTCAAAGGTATTTACGGCGACGATACATGGATGAGAGAAGAGCTGCCTGCAGATCTGAAGCAAGGAACGTGGCTCTCGCTACCATCAAACGGATCCCCCGCTCTGAGTGCAGGGAAACACAGAATGTTTAAAAGAAAATTCAAACCAGTCCTCCAGTAGACAAACTACCGCCGTGCTGCTCAATGACATATGATCAAACTATTGAATACCACGCTAGGCACTGTACACCCGTAGGCCTGCGGACACTGTGGGCATGGTGGACTTGCTCAGGGCGCACACTTGATTAACGCAATCGTATTTCATCGAGCAGCACCGTACACAAAATTCTGATAACAAGCAAAACAGACCATGGCCACACTCATGATAATAGACGATACACAGACACATAAGTGTTTACTGGGGAAATAGTATGTTAGAACACCCCCACACACACCCACACACACCCATACACACTGCAGAATGGAGTCCAATGGAGTTCAGTCTGTATTTTTTATCAGGTCATGCTAGTCTGTACATAGCACATACCTCCTGTACGCCGTGCGGCTGTTATCTTGGCCAGCGCCCAGGCATCATAGCGATTCTCTGCCAGGCGCTCAGCCATCGACTGCAATGGACACACGCACGCACCGGATAGTTCAAATAGTCTAGAATGAGCTTCAAGTGATGACCAGTTACTGTAATGACGTGAATGCATGAAGATGTGCATGCGCCTATATGCAGGTATACGCTCACCCTCACACATTTCCGATAAAATCAACCTTGGCTGTCATCCTCACACATGAGTGCACACTTGACCCTGTTCATTCAAAGGAAAAAAAAAAGGTTTCAGAGCAGACCCGCTCTCTTCCCATTCACTCTGCAAACTGGAACTGGAACTCGAGTTTGTGGAGTGAATGGGAAGAGAGCGGTTCTGCTCTGAAACATTTTTTCCTTTTAATAAGAGGCCTAGTAAAGCAACACCATGGCATACATACATGCACACACACACACAAACACGCACGCACGCGCGCACACGCACCCCCCCCCCCCCCACACACATGCACACACACACACATGCACACACACACACATACCATCATAGCCTTGCTGAGAGGGATGTTGCTGAGATCAAACGGCTGCGGCGTGTAGTCGGTGTGACGGTTATGCCCCCGCGGCATTGCTCGCACTCGAGACGGAATCAAATGGATGTTCACGTTGTCGTGCCTTCGCAGGCTCCAGCCCCAGGCAATCATGGCCTGGATCTCGGTCTTGCATGGATTTCTGCTCAACTCCTTGTCATTTTCTGACAGGTCCTTGTATGGACGGAGCAGAGGATGAAGTCTCTTCTCCACGTCGCGCTCAGGGCCGTAATGGTAGCCGTGCGCAAACTTGCGCATGGCCCACGTATCGTGGCAATGAGCAGAAAACACCTCAACGCATTCCTAAGAAAGTTCGTGTGCAGATTGACATATACACACACAGAAAGACACGTATTAAACAAAGCCGAAAATAGCCGAAAAATAAATATGCGCCGAATATTCGTTGAATGAGAGTAGCTAGTAGTAGCCCTGTGCAGACAACGGATACACTTTGAAGACGCATGGCACTCATGACAATACGTCACAAATGATTTTACTCTATATTCCAGGTAAACGTTTTGCTGACTCCAACTTCACCCTCTTCTGTTCATAACCTTGCTTTGCCTGAAGCTACTGTGGTGCGATGATAGTAGGGTGTATTGGAAAGCTCACAGCAACAATGGATTAATTTAAACTGAGTCTCTAGGTCTGTAACGGCCTAGAACTCAACTAGGTTGCTTGAAGAAGCCAAGCGGCTTAGAAGTATGATGGCCATTTCCTAAGCTTCAGAGTTAGGCAATCATAGCCAACCGCGTTGCCTTACACTTCTAGTAGAAGGTGGGCTATTAAAACCAACCCAGGGAAGTGTTTAGTGAGAGAAGGGTCATTAGTTAGGTTCAGTCATTCTTTGCTGAATGACTGAACTTGAAATTGCGACTGGTCTGGGCAGGAGTCGCCTATCCGTCTCGTGAAGTGCTTCGGTCACAGCAAGCAAGGAACGCTGGACTCACTAGCAAGAACAGCATGATGAGCACAGTAAGTTGTGTTTGTCTGCGGGGTTCTAAGAGGGTCTTGGGTGTAGCTGCTAAGGCACCACCCCATAACATACCTGCCGTTTTATGTGGCGGGTGACGAAACCTCCTAATCCCCAAATGTTGCCTTGGAGCACAGGTGACACAACCATTCATATGCTTTGTTTTGGCAACAAATGGAGGTAGGATACAAAATGAGAGGTACAAGTTACAACTTCTAAATTTTCTTCAGAAAGTCGTTGAAATTTACACACGGGCACAAGAGCTTAGCGAGAATGCCTGTCCATTTACCTCAAGATCATCAGTCAGTTCAACATTGGAGGTGTCAGTTGGCTGTGGCATGAACGTCTCATTGCTATCATCCACCGATTGTGCCTCCATGGACTCAAACACTATGGGATCAGTCACAGATACGGAAATACATAGCAGAACATTCACACACCAGATTTTCATTTAGTTCATCATCATTTAGTAACTGGACGCAAAGACTAGATCTACTTGAAGCTGCAGCCATACTCACCCAAACCTTAGTACGAAGAGAGGGAGAGAAAGACAGAGAGAGAGAGAGAGAACAGCAAATCAAAAAAGAAAACATTTCATTCGTTTCCATCCAAAACCCATTCATTTGTACATGTTCCTTCCGATGATTTAAAATGTTCGTCTCCGTCCAGTAAGGAATTCACAAAGACCGTTAGCAGACCAAATGGTCATCACTGCAACAAACCTGCTTCCAGTGATACAGAAGGAAATAATTATCGTCCTAAAAAACCTATCTATGTACTAAAGCTGGTTAAGGCACACTGCCCTCGGTGTATTGTCCTGTGTGCCTTACCTGAAATCGTGGGTCGTGATCTAAAGACAGGTTCTGTGTTGTCGGCTGAGCCGCTTGAAGCCGGCGGCGGAACAAAGCCAGCGTAAGTAGGCATGCCAGGCTCTGTGCTGGCCTCGGACGGCATCAGGTGTTTAGGCTGAAGGTAGTCAGGTGCCATGGCACTGCATATTGCACAGAGACACTCCAGTGCCTTGCAGTATAGACCACCATCACTGATACTCTGCACACAGGTGTCGTAAAGAGAGAGAGAAAGTGTGTGGGAGAGAGAAAAAGCAATCGGATGGCACACCCCAAGACAAGGGCCAGAGATGGTATGAGGAGAGCGTAGTGGATGCACATCCTACTGTTTGTCATTGTATCCTTTTATGTGACATGTATGCTTGAGACTGAGCAGCTGTGAAGTTGGCAGGATGCACACTCAGCGTCCATGAACTAACCATGTAGTATTCTAGCTACACCATGAGGAGAAGCATGACATCCAGACCTTACCTTGCTGCTAAGCTTGTTCAAGAGAGTCATGAAGAGTTGCATGGTCAAGTCTTTCTCCTCGTTGCTGGCTGCACCAAACGCACCCCAGCCGCTAGCCAGACCGTAGTAGCGAGCACAGTGGTCATAGTGACAGTGTAGAACCTGGCCAAGAATAAACACATCGCAGCACACACAAACACACACACACACACACACACACACACACACACACACGCACGCACACGCGCACACACACACACACACACACACACACACACACACACACACACACACACACACACACACACACACACACACACACACACGCACGCACGCGCGCACGCACTCACGCACACATGCACGCGCACGCACGCACGCACACACACACACACACACACACACGCACACACACACACACATTGAAGCTATTGCTGATGTATTTGTGTACATTGCTCTACACTCTGCTGCATTTAGCACTATTCTGTGGTGCCCTGACTACCTCTGATTGTGTGTGTTTGGATACTTATGACAAAACGTACAGAATCGGATTGGCCAGTATGTACTAAAAAGTTATTTTGACTTCAAGTATAGCTTACTTTGCAAAAATCCAAAAACCGAGTTCGTAATTTTTTTGTAAATTCCGCAAACTTTTCATGAAAGCTCTTAGGCTCGATTTTTGCTAAAAGTCGCCCATTTATTGTCGTTTCGAAGACAAGACAATACCTACAATGCCATGTTATTGTCCCTACCGTCAAAGCAACATCAGTGGTTTTCGTCAACTTGGGGATATCCTGTACGAGTTTCCTGAGCAGACGCTGCAGAATGCTTGGACGCAATTGCCTGCAACAAGAAAGGCACACAACTCCACATTCAGAACCCAGCGGTGCGTGTGTGTGTGTGTGTGTGTGTGTGTGCATGCGCGCGTGTGGTTGTGTGTGTGTATGTGTGTGTGTGTGTGTGTGTGTGTGTGTGTGTGTGTGTGTGTGTGTGTGTATGAGTGTGTGTGTGTGTGTGTGCGTGCGTGCGTGCATGCGTGTGGCTCACTCACTTGATAAGCTTGCAGAGGAAGTCGCTGATGGAGTCGCGCTGCACCAAGCTCAGCTTGCAGCTCTTGGACAATGCGTACAGCGTGTGCAGCATGGTGTCTAGAGTCACGTCGTTGTGCTCCGAGTCGCGGAACAGACGTACATAGCGTACCAGGAAGGGCATGACGGAGGAACATATGTAGCGGTTCAGCTCCAATACCGACGTACCACCATACCACTGGGCCTATACACAAGTACAGCGGCAAAGGAGAACAAACAGATTCGCGGGTTCAAAGCAAGCGTGAGTTTCGTAGTCTCAAGAAAACGTTCAGCGGTCTTTGCTTGGATGGTGACTACACCATAGGTTATCGTAAATGCATCGCTGTCTTACAGCAATGGTCGCAGGTGTGAGTCTTGGTGGTGACAGTCAATATCTGTTTCAGACCTTTTCCCTCCCCCCCCCCCCTGCCTCAGTAAAATAGAAGTTCTTACATTTCCGACAGTGGCTGCGACACGCAGGTCTGTGAGGATGGACTTCTCCACGATTGCAAACAGCGTCTTCTGATCGGGTACACCGTACACACGTTGCAGGAAGAGCATGAAAGCGGCCTTGTGCTGTGGCTGAACACCTGCAGAAGCACAGGAGATACGAGGAGACTCAGATACACAGTTGTCAGTGTTAGTACATCCATGGCACAGTGAGTCAGACTTCTTTTCCCTATCCACATCACTATTCACAAGCACAAGCACATGCACAGTGACACATCTCGCCTCTTGCCTTCACAGATTCTACTTTCCTCGTTGTGGAGTACGCCTGCCTGGACAAAGGAACTGACAGGCGAATCGTTCTGGTTGCATCGAAAATTGCAAGTGTACAACAGGATTGGCGAAGTTTTTTTATTAAAAAAAAACAACTTTCGCCATTGGTTTCAGGCAGTGAAAGGGTCTGGCTGAAAGCGATGTTGATACGTCCATGACCATCACGCGCAATGGGGCACGTCCTGAGTTGATGTCCCAAGAAGGATTCCCAGGCCCAGTTTTAGCGACGAGCTGTCGTATCCAAGAAATCAAAAAAATGTCAACAGCAAGCCATGGCCAAACAATATCTTGCAGGAAGCAATTTACGGGCCTGCTGCCTCGTCTTCGTCCTCTGCATGGCCAGATTTGGGGCGAAATGAACGCACGGGGCGCGAAGAAACATTCCAAAGACAAAGCATTCCAAAGCCAAAACATTCCAAATTTAGAAACATTCGTTTCCAAAAAAGTGCCGCATGCCTACGAGAAATCATACATGAAATCCCTAAAGGAAAACGGCAATTCGGTTCGGTATTCCATGGCAAATCGAATATACACTACCTCAATCCCCGCCGATCTCCAATATTCTCCGCCGACTCCCTCAAACTTGGCCAATTTGCAAAGAAATCCATGCCACTGCGATCGCGCATCCTCTACATACATTCAGAAATGCTCACGCAGCACTTCTTTTCATCGCAAGTGCGCGACCGACGCTTCCGCGACAACCCTGGGACAGGTGACCAATCAGAGTGACATGTCCCAGATAGGACATCTCCCCGGCTGGTAATGATTGCTTACCTTTGATGACAGGCGCCTTGTGCACCTTTTCACAGGTGGTCCCGTCATCACGGCGTACTATCTCTACCTCCTCAGACTCGATCACGACGAACGGGATCTCCAGCAGACCGAGCATGTCGGGTAGTGAGATCAAACTCTGCAGAATGGCTCTTCGGCGCTGGCTTGGCGTGCGGTGAACAGTGGGTGCGCTGGAGCTGCCCCCGTCGAGTGGGCTCTTGCCTTGGAAACCGCTCGGATTGTAGAATATGTTCTGGACAATGCCAATCTCCATGCTTGACAAGTCTAGCGACTCTACAGCACGACATCGCACACGCACACGCACGCACACATGCACACGTACACATGCACGCACACGCACGCACGCACACACATACACACACCAGACACATACACACACACACACACACACACACACACACACACACACACACACACACACACACACACACACACTCACGCACACACATGTGCACACACGCACACACACACGCACACACACAGACACACAGACACACACACACACACAGCAAACTAAGTACTGAATACCTCGCTGCCGTACAACACCACAGAAAAGAAGGGAAAAAGACTAAAGTCTGAAGAAGCATTTGAAGGGTCTCAGTGGAACATGATCAGTTTATTCTATTCACCGCTCAAAAAAATTCTCCGGGAAGATTATTCCTACTACTACTTATTTTAATGCTTTGACTCCACCTGACCTGTAGAATCAACCCTACCTGATTTGTCATTTATTTGCCTCCAAAAATATTTTCTCTAAGAAGATTATTCCTACTAGTTAAAGCTTTCACTCAACGTGTCCTGTGCAAGCAACCCCAGTGTCGTAGCTGGTCCCCCATTTAGAGGGGGGGGGGGGTGCACAGCCACATGTATGTGTAGGATGGCTGGTGCATGTAATTCATAGTCATTATGTGCATGCTGAACCCAGCTGGAAATGTGGGGGGGGGGGGGGGGTGCACGTGGCCCCGTGCCCCATACAGGCTACACGTCTGGACCCTACCTGATTCGTCCATGTCTTTCGCGTCTAGTTTCCCATTACCGTCTCCCTGCTCTCCGTCGTCGTCCAAGTCGTTAGTGCACCGCGCTAGCAGGTCCAGCAGGTTAGCGTAGTACGCCAGAACCTCGCTTGCCAGCTGAGCGTTGGTCATCTCCACTCGTGGTGGCTCACCACCACTGCCACCACCGCCAGCACCTCCACTGGTGCTTTCGCGCCACGCACTGTACTCTAGAGGTGTAGAGACGGCGACATCAGTTAGCCTGCGACTCAGCATCACACTGGTGCGTGACGGCAAAAGAGGACGCTCCTACACCAACACACCGTGATGATGAAATCACACAGGAAGAAGTGCATTTCACACACACACACACACACACACACAAACACACATCGGAAAGACTTTAAGAGGAATGCAAACGAAGTCCGCCATTCAACTTCTCTTTGCTGGGTTAAACCCCTATCTTACCCGGTGGCTGGCAAACGCTGCTGCTAACAACATTCATTTTACTTTGGCAATTCTCACTTATACTGTTCTTGTCAAAATTTCCATCAGTGGACATCCAAAAAGATGGACAAGAAATATTGAATATGCAAGGATCTGCTTACCCCAGTCGAGGATTTGGTCAGCTCGGCGGGTTTGGACGCATCGTCTCTCTCGCACGCATGCTTGCACCCGATTAGAGAGATGTCAATGTAGTAGAGATACTCGCGGATGAAAGCCAACAGACCCTGGCCTTCGCCGTCCAAACCAGGACCGAGACACTCGGGTCGGCGGATCAGCAATCTCACCACCACCGAAGCGTTCTCTTCGATCGTTTGACCTGGACAAAGGAGGACATGATCACGAGAGGGTTTCAACTTTGAGGAAATTCGGTGACAAACAGAAAATCCTGTTCCTCACATCAAGGCAATTTTGTCGCAGTTGATACCAAGGAAATTTTGTGAAGATGTGTGCTAGGTAATGTGTAGCCAGGGAATGAGGTTACACAAAATACGGACAATTGCTAGACTCTTAAAAAAAATTTGCCTAACTAAAAAAAAACTTTGGCCACAACTGTAGTTTCACTGACCGTTCACACTGACTGCTTGCCGCAAGAAGTTGAGGTATCTCTCTCCATCGTTCGGTTTCCACTCGTCCATACTGAAGCTGTCGCTGCTGGCAAACAACTCCGCTGAATTAACCATCGAGCCAAGATTATCATTCTTCTGGCCGAGTAGCTCCTGCGTAGTCAAGCCTGATGATGGACGTGAGAAAAGAAACAACAGCAAGCAAGCAAGCACCAATGGTAATGTGTAATGCAATTCGCAAATCCTCTTTAAATACTGTTGTTTTGATCTATCCTACTACTGAGCTAGCTTCATGCTCACATTTTGCACATGCACTCAACGTCCCAAAGGTGAACATTCAGAAATACTGGCGGATTGGTCCCTTTGTCGGGGTGACCCGGAACCCACCACCCCACAGAGGGAATGGTATGCCGTAGCTACTACACATACAGGTGTACCTAGTTATCGCTCAAGTCACAATATGGATATGAAAAAGAGGCTGAAAGAAGTTTTTCCTAGAGCTCTCCCATGAGACTGTAGTAATGAAAAAATTGAATTTTTCATATTCTCTGAACCCCAGCAACAGCCTTAAAAGGCACTATTGGCTGGTAGTGATGATGATGACAGGACAAAGCAAGGTTTGCAAACACAGGAGCCTGAAGTATTCATGGTTTTGCAGCATGATAATTGCCCTACCAGTAACAGATGAAGCCAGCAATAGGACAACATGATCAAGTTGCCAGTCCTTTAGGGCCAGAGACAACTCGTGATGACCACGTATGGTTGCCGCAGCAACATCCAATGGCGTACCTCCGTTGATTGTATGAGCTGTGCTGCTGACTGTAGGGAGGGATACATAGAGAGAGAAAAGAGAAAAGAGAGAGGGGGAGGGAAAGAGAGATGATGAGGGAAAGAGAATCAGAGAAATCACGATAAATGCACGTATGCACACACAAAGAACATAAGAGACATTGCAAAGACACAAGCACCTCAATGTCATCTATGCAACGGTCCGTCTCACCCAAGATCGATCTACTTTTCACATGTGTACATCTCATTATCGCGACATTACATGCTCGACATCTCCGTATGGTAACGGAATTCCTGCAAAGAAAATATCAACACCCGGAGCTCACCTATTCCGGTTCCACTGTGGTTGAGAAGATATCCCAGATGATCAAACATAGCTCTCTGGTTGTTATGGCTCGTACGGCAGAAGTACGTCAGGAAACGACAGCATGCCGCTACTGTGGCCGGAGACTGGCATGCAGCTTTCTGCACGACCATAGTAGAAAGACGACAAAGAGAACAACTGAAGAGCTGCAATGCACAATATGGTAAGTGCCAAAATGAATAATTGAGATGCGGGTACGAGCTGAAAGCACTGAGTGGGCTAATTCCGAATCGGGGGTCAACTGAAAATTGCCAATTAAGGGATTTGCACTCCAAGTCTTCAACTACACTTGTTGGATCAAGACAAGCATATGCTAGGAGCATATTCTATTATGGAAATCGATTGTTCTTACTGCGATACGTTCTAACAGTATTCAGATGAGCCTTTTGTTGGCTCTTCTGCCTGGATTTCATTGACAGATGTGTTAAGCTCATGGATCCTTCCATGAGTGACATGCGAACTGTAACTATTATAACGGAGATCGACCACATCCATTACCAGCTCTGGGGCCACGGGAGCACTAACCCTAACGTCGCACTAGGCACACATGTGATACGGACTACATTCAGCTCACTATTCACACCTTTGATAGCACACCTGAAAACAATTCTTTCTGAAATATTGAAATTTGACTTTTTTTGTTCGTAGCTTTTTTACGGTTATTATCTCCACTTCGACTAATCTGAAATTCAGGACCTTATTTACTATGAAGAGAGTTGCTAATTTATTACATCAAGTATTATTTGCATTTTCACGTAGTCGTCAATCAAATGATTGGTTATTTCGCTTAAGCTGAGTGGTAGTAAACGGAAATCAAATATGGAAGATGCTAATTTAGAGAAGTTAACATGCGTGCAGTTAGTCTTGCATGAATTACACCATTATTATCATAACCAATGTGAGGTCTGCAACACTGGCAATATTAGCAACTCAGAAAAATTATCTTTGGGTCACTATAGGAACGGGGCATCCTAGAATTACTGATCATGAGGACTGGAGATGACAGCGGAAACCGAGAGGTAAGACGGTGCGGGTGAAAGACATTCTCTGACCACGTCCACCAATGTTTGACCAGATCTCACTCCTGCTCCCAGTGTTTGTGCCTCCTCCTTCAGGCCCCCACATGTACAATGCAGTGCAAAACTTTCAAGACTGTACTGGTCAAGAAGCCAAATTTGACATGACAAAATCAAAAACAAGCACACAACCTACTCGTCAGAAGGGGAGAAGAGAACAGAATAAACAATAACAAAACAGCAGGGAGAGTAGGGGCTGCAAAGCAAGCCTGTGCTCGTGCCTTGATACAACTAAATGATACCGCAATACAACAACAACGACAGATGCATAATTTTCCGTAACGATGACCATCTTCACCTCTTTGCAATATGTTAATTTATACACAGGGAAGTCAGGAATGTCCAGTTTCATTACAGTCAGACCTCGCTTATCCGGTCCTCTTTTATCCGGATCCCTCCGCATCTGGAAGAAAATCGCTGGTAACCGATTTACAGCATATGTCATGCATATATATACAGTATGTGTGTTCGATTATCCGATTCCCTCGCCTATCTGGATAATTATGTGGAAAACGGATGTGTGCGCGCTTATGCGAGGTCTGACTGTATTAGAAGATCAATTAAACATTAGCATTACAGTATGCACAGTTCAATATTAGCATCACTTAGCAATTACTTCATCAAGTGGTTCCTGCACAACTTCGTTATGATCCATTCCAATAGCTTCAGCCCCGGATAAGCGGTGATGCTGGCGATTGCTGGGAGGTTGCAGACTGTCGGATGGGTTCTGTCCGGCGGCATGTATAGGGATAGTGGATAACATTATGCACAATAGCTTTAGTACAATTATAGTTTAGCCAATGATAATAATTATTATTATTAGCTGTGTTTCAGCTTCTTGATTGAATATCCACTGTGTGACATCGTTCGAACAACGAACACAACAATTGAGGGCTGTTTTGCCATAAAAAATACACCTATACTGGAGCTAAAAAAAGAAGAAGAAAAGAACATGCTCAGGATGAAACTCGAGTACACGCGTCCTCTCCCAGCAGGTTCCGTGGATTTTGCTCATACGTAAGATGCGCAAATTCGCATGGCAATTGGTCCAGTGGTTAGATGTAATGTCTAGCTGCAAGGGTGAAATGGTAACTCTCACAACCAGTGCCCAACAGGGGGTGAAACCTGGTTAGCATCATCCCTGTACCCCCTGGAGACTGGAGATACATGTATATAATGGAGAGAATGGTGAAAAATGCATGCAGACTCACCCCTATAGACGGCCCAGAGCCCATGGAAGCGGCCGTGCTCTGCGTGTTTTGTGCACTAGGACCACCAGAGGACATGTTGGTAGTGGTGCTAAACATTGTTGTGTCAACCTGGACGGCACATAGCACCATGATATTCAACAAGAATAGAGCATTTGGAGAATGCAGATGGAAACCTCAGAGAAGTTGGAGGGTGGAGGAAAAGGGTCTTGCGAAAAATATGACCATAATTTCAACACCATCTGATCAAACTGAAAAGAACACTCTACTATTTCCTATTTTAAGAGCCTGGTCAAATGGGTAAGGATGCACAGTCAGACCTCGCTTATCCGGTCCTCTTTTATCCGGATCTCCCGCCATCCTCAAGAAAATTGTTGGTTATCGATGTACAGCACATGCCATGCATACATACAATATGTGTGTTCGATTATCCGGTTCCCTCGCCTATGCGGATGTTTTTCTGTGGAAAACAGATGTGTGCGGTTATGCGAGGTCTGACTGTATTGCAGTTGTCCAGGATCTGTAGAGCAACACCTGGCACACGGATAACGTACTGTATACCAGGACATTTTCGGACGGAAATATTTTCGGACAAAGCCGGATTTCGACCTTTCGTACGGGATTTATTTTCGTACAGTGTTATGTTGCATGCTAGGTGCACCTGTTCGCAAGCAGTACGCATATATGAACACATTTTAGTACGGAATTAATTTTAGTACAAAAGAGGCCGCGTACGAAATCGTACGAAAATACATTCTGTCCGAAAATTTCCTGCTATACAGTACATAGTGTACATGCATGTGATCTAGTGTAGGACAAAGTCCTGCTCAACTAATTCAATCTGCTCCTCCACGAGCCACGCTCACCCGTACATCTAGTTTGATCACTGCTAACTATGAGATTTGCGCATCAATTCATACTAATCACGCATACCAAACCCTCCATGTGATGTAGATCTCACTATACTATATTATTATCTCTTATTGGCCACAGGTCATCGTGAAAATAAAGATGCCAAACTGACCTCTCCCAGAACGTTCCTCATCACAGCCAGCACAGTCTCATGCACGCCGAGTAGCCGCATCAGGTCTGGATGCTGGTAGATCATTGTGTTGTTACGCAGCTTACTGTCAACACAAAACACACACACACACACACACACACACACACACACACACACGCACGGCCATCATCCACAAGATACCAAAGCCCACAAAAGCACAGTCATACACACATACATATAGACAAACACACAAACACACACATACACGTACCCACCCACACACATACACACATACACACACGTATACACACGCTTGCACACACACACACACGAATATGAAAATAAACCATGCAGATGTGAAAGTAGAAACACCTTCGCGCAAAAGCCCACCCATACATGCTGCACCGGTAAAACTCACCTCAGCGCATCACAGAGCAGCGACTCCTCCTGTGTATCCATCTTCACCCGAAGCAGAGACCTGACATTACCGAGAGCTTCCAGTAGGTTTTGGATACGCCCAAGTCCATTGCCCTCCACAACGTACGCCTTGGCAAGGGCGGCCATCACCTAGGACATGAACAAAGAAAATGCAAAGTAAGGATGGAGGTTGCTTTGCGAATATAGGTGGCACCTTTTTAAACTAAAATTCTAGCCCAAAGAAGGGGTTGCAACTATCTAACCTGAAAGTGGGGTATGACTTATAATCAAGTGTGTCTTATCATCGGGCCAGGTTAGGGTCAAGAGTACTGATCTACTGTCGTGGACATGGAAATCCGGTCGCATGTCTAGTGGCCCCAGGGCGCTGGCCATGCAGCCGTGGATAAGCAGTACACACATGCATTCATGCGCTGCAGCGCGCTCAGCGCATCGGATCAACATGTACACTGCACTGCACGCAGCGTTCTGTGCGCGCGCTGAGGGCGCCGGCCCCGGTCAATCGACTGGATTTCCATGTCCGCGACAGTATGAGGTAATTCAAGTGAGCCCCTTAGTGACTATCTTGAATGATTCTTTAAATCTGTTGGGAAGAGTCTCCAAAATGCATATGTCCAGGGCCAAAGCAAACCAAATCTTGAAAAATAATATCATTGGTAAGGTCCATCACACCACCTTCCCTTTCAAGAATACCTCTTTCTAAACGCCCGGCACGCTGCTGCTCATTATCTATAGCGTGTAACACAGAAGTTGCACAAAGACACGCAGGTGTGCTTGCGCACACACATCCACGCACACACGCGCGTGTGCGCACACACACACACGCACACACGCGCACACAGTACCTCTTTGTAGCTGTTGTACTGCCGGTACAGCAGATCAAACACTTCACGAACCAACACGGGTGAGAGGATGCTCTGCTGTGCCCAAGATAACATGGTGGTGCAAATCAAACGCTGGAGTGAATCCGCTGTAGCAGCGAATACAGGTGATAGCAATTACACAGTTATTCAGATCTGCATTGGCATAACGTCACTGCACATCAGAACAAGAAAGTTGGGGAATGGGTGCAATGGACATATTGGGACCTGAACTAGAACCAAGGACTGCTGACATCTTGCCAGTACAGCTCTAAGCACCCAGGCAAGCTCCACAACCAATCCAAATATGCATGCATGTGTACAGGCATATACCGTGCTGCTCAATGAAATCCAGTCGCGAGAGTCGAGTTCGCGCCGTGCACCATTTCGCAGTCCAGTGTTCGCAGGTCTAGGGCTGCGCAAGGCCCGGTGGCGCATACTTGAGAAACTCGACTGGATTTCATTGAGCAGTACTATACATGGACTGGCGATACGTTGACTTGACCTTACCTTGCTGTATTGACTGCGGTTCGGGCACTTCAGAAATCGAGGACGCACGTCGACGTACCACGCCGACCAGATTCCGCAGCATGGTGCGATAGCTCTCGCTCTCGCCATCAGAGCTGCTGCACGTTGACAACGATGGTGACGACTCCACGTGCTTGCCTTGCTCTGGTATGTAGCAGCGCTCTGGACTGCAGGCTTGCAGGAGTCTCTCGTGAAACTCCATCATCTCGATTTTCAGCGGCTCTTTCAGTGCTGAGTCGCTGGTGTCCATGCAGTCACGGAAAGCTAGAAGCACTCGCATCTATAAGCACGGTAGCGAGGAAGCAACATGACATAATCAGTGTAATGTATGTGTATGTGACTATGTGTATGTGAGGGAGGGGGGCAACAATTACACTGCATGTGTATGTGAGGGGGGGGGGGCAACAATTACACTGCATGTGTATGTGAGGGGGGGGGCAACAATTACACTGCATGTGCATGTGATGCAGGTGATTTATATATGGTCATATAATTACATGCACATGAGCAATAACCTTTCCTTCACGCCATCACAACCGAAAAAGTGGTACCTGCGAACCGGGACTCGAAATTGATGAAAAGCTTAGAAAAGCGGACTTGCGAGGCACCCCACACCTTGAGCTTGACCATGGCCAAAACACACACAATTCCTTCACAACAGCAGGGGTCTTGTATGCAGGATCTACAGTGCAGGCAACTGAAATCTGACCCCTTAGCGGTGCGTCCACATTCTAGCGGTCTCTATTTCGTAGTTTTACCATCCCGTGTTGGGTCTTTGCGATGTGAGCGCACAGCTCAGGGGTCGGATTTCAGTTGCCAGCACTGTAAGTTCACACTATCATCTTTCTGTGCATTTCACTATCCACATAGAGAGCCGTCGTTAACAACAGCGAGGCTGCTAATATTATCCCTTACTTGCTCCTTCGGGCTCATTCGGAACTCTTTCGTCATTTTGGCAGTAATGGCGGCTGAGAAGCTTGGAGCATTTTTGATTCCGTCCAGCCTCAGTCCCTGATCCTGTTGAACACAAGGACATGAATAACAGTCAAACTCCCACTCTGAATCGCCTGTCTGAAAATATAAAAAACTGTGAACGGTAACATGCGGCCGTTTCTAAAAAATTAATATTAGGCGAGACCAAAATAAAATCGAGATTCCCGGGCAGGACCCATGTGAAATTGGTGCGGGCGGGCGAATTAAAAAATTTTTTTTTTTCCATGTATGTACATGAGTGCATGCCATGTTGAACTTTTTTTCCAGCATTTTCCGGTAGTTTTTATTCAATTTTTTCCAGACAGCAGGTACGCGGTTTACCCGTTCAATTTTTCTATATTTCGGCCAACGATGGCCCTGATCTGTACATCAGGGAGTCGTACAAGCTCGGGTTTGTGTGACTCCACGTCACAGATCTACTCACACGATCAGTACGAGTATGTATGAACTGTTCAAAAAAATGGCTTTGGCTCGATTTTGGTGCGGGAGGGCCCGGGAATCTCTATTTTTTTTGGTCTCGCCTAAAACTCTCCTCCTCCGTGCGCATGGAGGAGGAGAGTTTTATGTATGTCTGAAATACGTAAAGGAAAGTTCGCACATCCCCGTTATCACCGTCTATACAATGCTGTTGAGAAACATAACAAGCTCAGAAAAGTTTTGCTCATGCCAGCGGCGGGCACAACCATGCCTGAACATGTAAACTGTGGTATGGTGTACATGTTGGTCTATGTAGGATGCCTTGTCGAGGGGCGGTGTTCTACTAGTTTACAAATCTATCAACAGGCTCCCATATCACATGTGCTCCCGCACAGCAAGCTGTGATCGTCTAGTGGTTAGGACCCTACGTTGTGGCCGTAGTAACCCAGGTTCGAATCCTGGTCACAGCACACTTTTTTCTCTTTTCTTTTAGGATCTTTCCCTGTACAGGCTGTTTTATCAATGGTTTTGTAGCAGCAGAGTATCGGTAATGTCAAGAGTAGGGGTGAAACGGTTCCATGTTTTTCATGTTCGGGTACCCGAATGCCAACATTGTTTCCCACGGTTCGGGTATCGGTTCCATGCACTCTTTTCTCCAGACCGACAAAATGCGTTCGCGACAATTATTTTTTAGAAAAAAAACATTTTTACGAGCAAGGATGAGATATCGGAGAGTCCAAGTGCGAAGAAGATAATGACCATGATGACCAGAGAACTCTTTGGAAGAGTGGGGATCGTAAGGTAAGACATTTAAAATCTTGAGTAGACTTGACGTGTACATGTATTTGTACGAGAACGAGATTTTTCGAGTTTCGGTTCGAAATTTGACGGAACGGGTACCCGAATCTTTTCAGCTGGCGGTTCCAAAACCGGTTCCTTACCCGAACCGTTTCACCCCTAGTCAAGAGTAAGGCTGCAACCACACTACAGTCCATTTCAAAACTATAGACGCGTACCTAGGCAAAAACCGTTATGCCAGCATCTATACCACATAAAATCTGTGATCACTTTGTGCATAAATTTTTCCAAATTGGGCGTCTGTTATCCAATCCTTTAGAAACTATATGAGAGTAATTGTGGAGCGATCCTGAGCAATATTCCGAAAACTATTCTCAAAAAGTTCCAGCCAAATTTGAAATATTTCAAAAACCCTACGCGTCTATAGTTTTGAAATGCACTGTAGGTACAAAATCACGTACAAACGGCATTACAGTAGAAATCGTCATGCCGACGCGTGCGAAATGCAAAATGCGCTTTGTAGGTTTTCAGCAACTGGCGCACCCCTGTAGAAAGCCACGTTTGTCGTTTTCGCGCTCCATCTCCTGTGTACAACTTTGTTTTTGTACCTGGTCGTCGTACATAGCATCAGCATCAGCATCTTTTTTGAATTTCCCGGTCTTTTCCAGCGCATGGCACACGCTTTGGTACGACAACGTCACGTGCTAATCGCGTGAAAATGTCATCTATGCAGACCGAAAAGTGTAGTGTGGTTGCGTACCGACTTGCACTGAGATATGCATGAAATTTGTACTGTGATTTTTACGTAGTGTGGTTGCGGCCTAAATGAAGCCCAGTAAGTGGCGTAGTGCGTGCAACTAAGCTGCAGATGCGCAGCAGGAGATCTGCATGAATCCTGCTTGTACGCACTGCGTCACTAAAAATTAATGATGTAATCACGTAACTCCGCCGTGATAGCAACCCATCCCAGCTGCACACTCTGGGTTCCATGTACTCTTGGTAACGGAGCTCATGACTCTGCAGTGACTGCTGCCTTTATCAACATGCGTATCATACTTACCAACTGCATTCCGCTGACAAACGTGTCGGCAAATGACACAATTCCTTCCACGCGATGCCGCAGCTGCAGGTCGCACAGGTGCTGCAGAAGCCGACATACCTGTGCGGGAATGTTGGGTTAAACATTACATTCACACATACACTCACACATGCAGGCACACACACATGCCGTGCACGCACATGCATGCGGGCACACAGATGCACACGCACACACACATGCACAAACACATGTACACAAACACATGTACACACAAACACACACACACACACACACACACACACACACACACATCAATGAAGGCATGTTCAATTGCTATTGACTTGAGATTCATGCTAAAGTTCCTGAAGACAACGTTTTAACCAATACAGTACTCCCTGACACAGTACAGAATTATCCTCGACCACCATTCACTGTCTCAAGCATTTACATGCAACTATGGCGACACAGGAACGCAATGGTGCCATAGGATGGGAGCTGAATCTCCACCACCAAGACCGTACTGTGTGGAACTATATGCACAGTCAAACGTCGCTTGATGGTCCTACGTGCAACATTGAGCGAGCAATGTGGCCCGTTTTATGGTCCTTTAGCTCCTCACACCGCCATCAGTATGGAACTGTGCAGCTATATGCGGTCTGCCTAAAGTAGAGATTGACGTAACGTTTCACAGCAAAGCCGTACCTGCAACTTGACATCTTCATGCAGTGGCAAGCACACCAGACCGTCCGTGCCGTCTGCATAATAGCAAGGACAGAAAGTGACAAAGATGAAGAATTCTGACAGTTTGATGAATGTTGCACACCGTCCCCACGCGGTCTCCAAAAAGTCTACAGAATGCTCCAATTACACGCCAAATACTCTCATCACAATACAGTAAAACCTGTAACTAAAGACCACCGTGACTAGCGACCAGCCTGCTACTACAGACCACCGTGACTAGCGACCAGCCTGCTACTACAGACCATGTCGCCAGGCACGCATGGTCTCACATTCATATATTATGGTTGTGCGGTGCAAACCTCTAACTAAGGACCACCTGCCACCAAAGACCACTTTCTCTGGCCCCAAAAGGGTGGTTGTTAGTCACAGGTTTTGCTGTACATACGTAGCTCCCAGGACCGAAGAAATAAGGCTACGCTGATATCTCTATTATCTGGGCAGGCTGGAACTGGCCACTGCCCATAGCTTGGGTTTTGCAGTGCCCAGCATTATTTGCTCATGGACGTTTCTCTGACCAGCATTGCCTGCAGGTTTTCAGAAGTGTGGTTCGGCAAATCTGCTCACATGCTTTTCTTACATAGTCCATTGCTCTCCGCATGAACCTTTTCTTACATAGTCCATTGCTCTCCGCATGAACCTTTTCTTACATAGTCCATTGCTCTCCGCATGAACCTTTTCTTACATAGTCCATTGCTCTCCGCATGAACCTTTTCTTACATAGTCCATTGCTCTCCGCATGAACCTTTTCTTACATAGTCCATTGCTCTCCGCATGAACTTTTTCTGCATATGCATATGCATGTAAGTTACGAGCACACTAGATTTACTTGGTAGGCTCACCATCGACTTTTCGCTTCTTCTGATTGGCATACGTTTTGATGGAGAATGGCCATAGATCTGGAATATAATGTCACTATTTCAACAAAACTTGGCAAAGGAGTAGTAATATTTCCACTAAAACTAACCCACAGGGTGCCGGGTAGACTGAGGCACGTGTAAATTGGAGGTCCGGATATGAGAGATATGAGTGTATTGGGATATGCATTGAGTCTCTGGCGAACAGGACATTATACTAGGTGTTACATCCTTGAGTCTGGTCAGCAGTGCATCCAGTCTTTGCGCAGGTCCTCCTCCCTCTCAAAAGCACTCTTTTTTTCTCAATCCTACTTCATGATGTAGTTAAAATCATCTCTTCTTCTCTTTGTCTTTCCAAACTGGTTTGGTCATGTTTATTATTTCAGTGGATAGTTCCTGTCCTCAGTGATTCCTTACCTCCGGTTTCCTCATCTGCAAAGGATGATGGGTCAAGCAGGACCAGCAGCTGTTGAATGTTGTTGTCATCAAATAAACCTGTGTTGATACACGTACAAACCCCGACATGGTGACAAGCAATCAAGTGAGAAGATATGTGTGAAGAACTCAAAGACATACAGTCAATGCACTCATTCGTTCCAGGGACGCGTCATGATTGCTGGCACTGAGTGGCTACCGAGTAACAACCTCACGCTCACAATAATACACAAATGCTCATGCACGCACGCACAAACATTAACCACGGGAGTCTTACGAGGAATAACACAGAACTATGTGTAGAGCAGAGGAAACACACAATTGCTGCAAAAAAAACAATGGCTTACCCATGACTAGCAGTTCATCACAGCAACTCAACAGAGGACTACATCAGGTGGTGGCAGTATTAACCGTAGTGGAAGCGGTGGTGGATACGACAACAGCAGCAATACAGAAAGAACAAAGTCAGGCGAGTTAGACATTCCGAGTTTGCAGTTTCTATACTTTTGCTGCTAAGAGCTTGGTCTCTGCAAATGTATCTCTACATATTACAGGCCGGTTGGGAAACCAATGTGCTGAAGTGAAAGCTAGAAATGTTTGTGTGTGCGTGTGTGTGTGTGTGTGTGTGTGCGCGTGCGCGCGCGGGTGTACATGCGGGCGTGTGTGTGTGCTTGCTATGGTATTATAATATCTTGCAGTAACTCCGACTTACACAAGAATATCAATCTGTCGCTGTTCTGTTAGTCGGAAGTTGTCATAACTATGCTGAGCTAGTGCTTGCTTCAGTGTAGCTAGCACATGTGTCTTCAGCTGCGGTAGGTCAAAGTCCATCTGCCGATTCTGCAGACAGTGGCGAATGCTGCAGCCTGCACATGCACACACACGGACGCGTGCACACACACACACACACACAGACACATGCACACACACACACACACACACACACACACACACACATACAGACGCACGTGCACACACATACACACACACACGCACACCTGGTCCTGGTCCTGGTATACACTGCCATGTAGGTCACGTGTTTCTCGTTGAGCGAGACGGAGACGAGAGGAGACATGAGCGTTGGTGACAGGATAAGTCGTTTCGCCTTTTGAAACGCCTCCGGCAATTCTGACATTGCAATTGGAACTTGTCCCTTTCATCAGCAGTTGGGCGCCTGGTGGATCGGTTGCAGTTGTGGATAGCAAAGCCCCGGATCGACTTACAGCAGCGTTCACAAATGGGACAGTGAGCGGTACAGCACGGTTTCCGAATACATAGGCGTACAGGTGAAGAGCTTGTGGCATTGGCAACATTCGGGGCAGAATTGGACTGGACACAGCGATGGACTGCAATGCCACCCGCACTCCGAAACCATCGGTGACACTGGGAGCACTGGCGGCTGTTGGCTTGCTGCTGGACTGGTTTACGCCGTTCCATGATGCACTTGTGGCGGGCGATATCTTGCTGCCGAGCAAATGCACGCCGGCACACCTCGCAGACTATCTCCCGAGCCGGTTTCTGAGCTGGTTGTATTGCTCGATAAGCTTGCCGCCACTCAGATCGTTCCTGCGCTGTGTCAAACCATGACTCGTCGGCGATGTTTATTCGTCGCAGGTCGACCCTAATTGCGTCTCGCCATCGTTTCCGCGGGCCACACGCTGGGCGTGGTGGCAGCAATGTGCCAAACAACAACATCCGCGGCATCCGCTCCTCAGGCATGCGTACCACGTGCCCAAGCCATTCCAGTCTTCTCTGCATGAGGCGGTCGGGAATATCCAGTGGGTTTGCTGCATTCCATGTTTTCAGAATGGTGTCCTTGGCTATCTTCAAGTCCCACACATCCCGCTGTGCAACACTCATGATGGAAAGAAGCGACCGGTAGTAGAAGGTCGTGATCCGTTGCACATCACTTTGCAGCGGTACCCACGTCTCCGCACAATAGAGCAGTAAGGACAGAACACAGGCCTCGAAAACCAGACGCTTGGTGCGCAGAGAGAGATTGTGGTCATTGAAGACAGCATGACGGAGCGCTCCAAAAGCACGGGAGGCAGATGAAACACGGGTCGATACATCTTTGTGAGATCGGCCAGAATCATGGATAACAGCACCCAAGTATCGGAACTCACGCACACATTCCAATGTGCCATTCTTCACAGGAAGAGGAAGTCGGTCATCATCCGTGATACCATAGCCAACCGCCATAAATTTGGTCTTGTCCAGATTGACGGTCAGACCAAATGCAGACGAGACATCGATGAACATATCCAGAGCAAGAGCAGCAGCAGTACGGGTAGTGGCAAACAGTGCAGAGTCGTCAGCGAACTGGCAGTCGTTGATGGTAGTCTGATCGTCAGTACACTTTCTCTTGAAATAAAGCGAGCCCCCAGGATTGAATGCCAACGGGACGCCGATACCAGGCACATGCTCGACCACTCTGGACCATCTCTGGAAAACAGCCCACATGAATATGTTGAATAAGACTGGTGCCATACAACAGCCCTGCCGCAAACCACTCTTCACTGCAATGGGTTGGATGGGTGTTGACCCGATGGAGAGAGTAGCTGACATGGAGGTGTGAAACGACTTGATGATGTTTACGATGTTACTAGGGACCCCTGCCTTCGCGAGAATCAGCCACATGCATTCACGGTTTACTGAGTCGTACGCCTTACGTAAATCAACAAAGACAACGTATCCCGGGCAGCGATGTTCGTACAACTTCTCCAGGACTTGGCGAACTGCAAACACCATGTCTGTGCAAGATCGACCCTTACGAAAGCCGCACTGGGAGTCGGGTAGAATATTCTCCGCAATAATCTGTAATCTGGACTGAAGTACTCGAGCAGCAACTTTCCCAACAACATCCAGGAGTGATATGCCACGCCAATTATCACACAATGAGAGGTTACCTTTCTTTGGGATTGGCACAAGGTTGCAGTCTACCCATTCCTGCGGAACAGCCTCGTCATCCCAGACATGGTGCAACAGATCCAACAGTGCCTCCATGAAACTCTCACCACCCGCTTTGACCAACTCAGGCAGGATAGCTGAGGCGCCAGCGGCCTTGCCGTTGCTGAGTTGTCGAATAGCTCGCGCCACCTCTGCTGCATCCGGCTTGCCAGCGATGTTCTGGTTGATAGGCTGCTGGTCTATTTCGTCAATGGCACATGGATCAAATGTGCTAGGGATGTTGAGTACGCCATCGAAATGTTGGTACCATCGTCCACCTTGTTCCTCCACAGATTTGCAGATGTTGCCATTTGCATCCCTAATAGCGGTAGTAGACACAGGGCGTAATCCCTGCTTGGCAGCCTGCATATCCTTAACACATGCCCACACCCGTGAGGAACTGAACCGTGCACCATCAAGAGATTTGGCTTTGTTGGTGAACCAGGAGTTCTTGGCAGAGCGGACAGCAGCTCTTGCCTTACTCCTGGCAGCCTTGAACCTGTTCCACGTGTCATCAGACCTGCCACTTGAAATCCATTCTTGATATCGCTGATTCCTTTCATTCAACAAGGGTTCGAGGGTATCTTTGCTCTCAGTAAACCAATCTGGTTGACGACGTTTCTGAAAACCGAGGGTCTCCTCTGCAGACTCGGTGACCGCGGTGCGCAACCTCGACCATTTGCATTCAACGGTGGTATGTTCATTCGGCTGTTGCAGACTGTTTGTGAGGCATTCACGATAGACATCAGCAACTCGTGTGATGTTTCCAGATGAGTCAGTGCTGTGGACATCCTTCAAACGTGCAACATCAAACCGCTTACATTTCTTCGTTTGCACACAACGCGAGCGGCGCTGCAGACGGCCTACTACAAAACGCGCAGCCACCAGGTTGTGGTCGCTCCCACATTCCGCACTTCTTATAACTTGAGCATCAATACATTGGTGGTAGTCAGCTTGTGACGTGATGACAAAATCAATACAATGAAATCTCTTTGACCTTGGATGTTGCCAGGTCCACTTCCTATCCTCTGTCTTGCAGAACCATGTGTTACACACCATTGCCTGAATAGTTGCAAGAAAATCCAACAGCTCACGTCCTGCAGAGTTCATCTCACCCACTCCATGTGGGCCCCGTACACGTGACCACTCATCAGCGTCAGCATGCGTACGGGATCCAACTCTGGCGTTGAAGTCACCCAACAGAATAAACTTTTCTGTGCCCATCCGTGGCAAAGTCGCTTGCAAGTCCGCAAAGAACTGTTCCTTGGCAATTCGCTTGCTGGCGAACGTCGGAGCATATGCGGAGATGACAGTATACCATACCGGTGAACACCCATGAATATCAAACTTCAATCGCGCTGACACAATCCGAGAGCTGCGGGCGTCGTATTGACAACCGCCGTCACGCCACGCGCGAGCTGCATTTCCCAGCAACAGAATCGCAACACCTTCACCCCTTCGACACGACTCTCCCTCGCCAGGTGAAGGTCTTCCAGACGAAATTAGCACTGCTCCGTCGATGTTGTAAACGTTCTTATCCAGCCAGTAGGTCTCTTGAAGACAAACTATTTCCAATCCAAGACGTTTGAAAATTTGAATTATCCGATAAATTTTCTTGTCGTCAGCCACTTGATGTCGAGTGGATGCTGTTTGGACGGGTCCTTCACTTTCCAGCAACGAGCGGACATTCCACGTCCCAACGCTCAGGGTAAACTCCTTTCGTCTCCTACTGCGTGCGGTAGATGGCTCCATTCGCGGGCTTGCAAGGCCTCGCGATGGGTCCAACAGCGGAAAACAGAGTCAGAGTGACGACACCCGAAGTTCGTCCTGTAATCTGCTCTGGTGACTTTCCGCTGTGGACTTCTACTGGGAACTGTCCCAGGGACGACCCTGGAAGCCCAGAGTCGTCCCTGAGAGCTGAAAACTAACAAAAACTAATCAAACGATGAGAGCTACAAAATTCCTAACTGACTCCTGTAGAGTCACACACACACACACACACAGACGCGCACACAAGCACACACACACACACAGGTTGACGCACAGAATATATGAATGTTGGTTTCATTTAAAAGTAGATAGTGCAGTGACGTAGCTTGGTTTACATCAGGCAATGGAGTTAGCCACTACCTAAGCTTTGCATGATACTGAAACATGATGCATGGTGTCCCAACCCATACTGAAACATGATACATAGTATCAACTCATACTGAAACATGATGCTTGGCAACAATCAAAGTTGCCTAGCTCCCGGGAATGCTATGAAACAGTCAGGTTACTCTCTAAAATCCTTGTAACTGCACTGTAGGTGCTGTAGTAATGTCAGAGTCAGATAGGCTTTTCTTCATCATGTGCACCTCATAACTCCTTGTGTGCATGTGTGTATGTGTGTACGTGTATATACGTGTACGTGTGTGTGTGTGGGGGGGGGGGGGGGGGGAGGGATGGGTCATAACCCCATACATGTATGTACGTGTGTGTGTGTGTGTGGGGGGGGGTGGGGGATGGGTCATAACCCCGTACGGGTATGTAGGAAGCTCAGTTCCGGTCCACGAAAGGAGAAACTGCAGTCACAACTCGCGTGTACAAGTGCATTGAGCTCAGCGTGGCACCTGTTTGGGATGACTTCGAGCTCACTTCTATCTTCTCCCAAGACCACTTCTCCCTGGTCGATGCAATTTAGTGAGCTGCGCTTTGCGTAGAGGCATGATGCAAATGGATTCATGTTATCTGGACCCACGGAACTTACTCTGATTACTAGCTCTGGTCAAGCTGCTGCAGAGGCTCTGTTTCCCCTTAGTGCTGAGCCCTTCATCAGGCCTTCTAGCCATGCCCATACCAGGCAGGACACGGCCCATCAGTGATGAGCGGGCAACACTGAACTTCTGTATGCACATGGACACAACAAGGACATAAAGTATACTGTCATGGTATTTTTACAGCATTGGCGCTCTCCGTACTGTCTCTCCGTACTGTCTCTCCGTACTGTCTCTCCGTACTGTCTCTCCGTACTGTCTCTCCGTACTGTCTCTCCGTACTGTCTCCCTCCGTACTGTCTCCCTCCGTACTGTCTCTCTCCGTACTGTCTCTCTCCGTACTGTCTCTCTCCTTACTGTCTCTCTCCTTACTGTCTCTCTCCGTACTGTCTCTCTCCTTACTGTGTCTCTCCGTACTGTCTCTCTCCGTACTGTTTCTCTCCGTACTTTCTCCCTCCGTACTGTCTCTCCGTACTGTCTCTCCGTACTGTCTCTCCGTACTGTCTCCCTCCGTACTTTCTCCCTCCTCTGTAATACACATGTGTGCTCAACAGAAATAAATTAGTCCTTGTCTTGCCCTAGAATGAACTCAGAGTCTGCGTTGGCTTGCAGGCCAAACACAGCACAAAGGACATGGGTGACTAGAGTCACACTTGAACTTGCACACTATTCTGTCTGTTTCAGCTTACCCAGATCATAGTATCGTAAGGGAATTTCCCAATTTGCAAATAATTCAGCCTTTGGGAATTTTGTGGAGAATCACTATCACACAGATTGTACTCCCTCAAGGGGCATGTTTGTTGTTTGACTGCAGAAACTGGACATCATAGAGAGGATACCCACAACGTGATACTGACTGTGTTCGATGTAGTAGTAGTAGATTTAGTAGATTTATGATGTTTTTCCCCCATGGAAACTTGACTTACAGACTTGCTGTCACTGGCTGTGTAGAGCTTGGACGCTTTCTTGACCAGCTCCAGCGGGATGACAAACTCACTTCTTGTCAGCAATCTGAACAACAACACACAGCAACAGAATGCATTATCTCTCTATGTGTGCCAGCATGACCCAACAACACACCATTATCTCTCTATGTGTGCCAGCATGACCCAACAACTCGCATACGAGATTCTGCTTTAGGGATTGAAAGTGCTACATCACAGCCGGACCCGGAGCCATCAACAGAATGCAATCTCCCCCTGTGAGCCAGCATGATCCAACAACTCACATAGAAGATTATGATATAGGTTTTGAAATTGCTACGACACAGCCAGCCCGGAGCCATGAAAATGCTGACTTTCGAATCCAATTTTTGTATGGATCCATACATTGTTAGGGTGGCTTTCCATCACAGCCTGGTTACACATAGGCTAGAACACAGTACAACATGTGACTGAATGAACTCTACCTTGCGTTCACATGCTTCTCCAGATGTAGTGTACTCAGGAGGCGGAAGAAGGACCGGTTCAGAGGACCTGGCAGATCTACACCGGCAGAAGGGAAAACATTGCATGTAAGCAGTTGGACATACTTTTCATCAGAGTATAGCAGAGTCCGTGCGTGTGTTCTGAGATGTTTCCAGTTGGTCTTACTTCTAAACTCGCCCCTCGGTCGTTTATCACAGCCCCCCCCCCCCCACCCTCCACACACACATGCATGGCCCTGCACCCCCCCCCCCCCCCCACACACACATGCATGGACCTGCACCCCCCCCCCCCCCCCCCACACACAGTACATCATACACCTTCATCTCACCATCCATCTTGGCACACTCCATGAGCTGCTGCTTGGTGACGTGATCACAAGTGATGCGGTTAGTGATCAGTTCATTTCCCTGCATGCACAGTCCACTGTACAGGTCTAATGTCTTGGTGTGGAAGCTGCAAAACCAAAAAAACACGAAAAACGCAACACGCAACACACAACGAAATGAGGCACCAGAATTGTGAACAATTCCTTTACTGGATACCCTGCAGTGGTAAAAGGGTCAGCACAGAAAGGGTTAGCACAGATGCATTGCTTTTATTCAGGTACTTATACGCGATTCACACGACAGGCAAATCCACGCACACCGGAATTTCACCGGTGAATGAGAAAAGTGGCTGAAAAGTGCAAGCGAGCTGGGAGGCCCACTTTCACGATAATCGTGGCTTGCACGAGTACATGTACACCAAAAACGCGAAACAAGACTTTGTTTTTTACGCAGCTCTTTTTTACTCGTTCTTCGTGCCGAAAATTTGAAAATTTGAAATACCCACGGCAACTGGTGGGTGAATCATTCAAAAATGCAAACGTACCTGTCGGCGAGCGAAGCCGTGTGAATGCACGCAGTCACTTTTCTCGTGAATCACTTGCTGTGAAAAGTGCAAGTGCCTGTCGTGTGAACCGCCTGTTAGGTACTTAAAATATGGCTAGCCTTTTAGCAGTTTGGCTGCCAATCCACAGATATGCCAGGAATGGCATGTTCTCCTGTGCTCTTGCAGAGCTAATATCGTTGCAGCCTCCCGACCCCACCCCTCCCGACACCATTTTGGTCTTGTTTCAATGGCAGCAGGCCATGAGGAAGGAGTACAAACGGAAAATATTGTGTGGAAGTGCCATGTGCAATCCATTCCAAGTCAATATGCCGTGGTCAACGTTGGACGTCTTAGTCTTATATAAAAAAAACCGTAGGTCATATAGCTGCTGTGATTATCTCTATTGCAAGCTGAGAGTTTGCTTTTCCGCGTACATTATTCGATGGCAAGCATTGTTCCAGAATAGGCTGAGTTACGACGGTTGAAACATACACAATCCACCAAAAATCACCAGAGTTCTCACTGATACATACCTCATCAGCTGTGGCATTTCAACAAGCTCAGGCAAACTCCAGCTGTGCAGCTCCCGGGATATCTCCACCATAACTGACATTCCTGAATGTACAGAGGCAAAGCAATGAGAGATGTGGAAAATGGGTTAGATAAGTGCTGATGTCATGGCCGCGTGTTGGCGGGTTTGTGACTTGGCTTAGATCAGTCTAGTGGCTACCCAGGTAGACGACCAATATAGTCGCCATCCAAGTTAGCTAGCTCACACAGAACGACAGGTTTCTAATTTCACTTGAACAATGTTTATTGAACCATTGCAATGCTAGATCGAAAGATCAAGCGTGAAGAGTCAAAGACCCAAAGCAGGAGAGAGTCGCACTGACTTTCCCAGAATCGAGAGTGAATCGAAGGAGTAGTGAGCTCCCCGCCGGGGAGAGTCGAGGATGAATGGTAGCAAAACAGCTCCTTATATAAGCTACATTATGTGATCAAAAGTGTACAGCGGCAAGAATGCACGAGTATTATTCAAACAGTAGTGCAATCAGCCAAACTAGAATAAAGTACAAAGATCAATACCGGGAGCCCGCTCATCCAAATGTGAATATTACTGATCTCCAAATGCTGGCATGATCTTGGTCTGCGATCCGGTGGACTGGGATGCATTGCAGCAGGCGGGAAATCGTAGCTGCTTCCTTCTTGCAGGTTCACCCAAATGGGCTCTTCCCCCAAACATAGCTGCAGGCGGCAATGCCGTGTTCCCTCCAAAAGGGTACGGAGTCCACAGTACGCGAAGTACTGTCGACCCTTTGTGTCTTGCAACACGAGAAGAGGCGCCACTCTTGCTCAACTTACAAAGGTATCAGCTCCCTTGCAGGACTAAGCGTGGTCCCCTCAAGCTCAACAGTGTAGTGAGTACAACGCTGACGACTTGTACTGAAGGTGTTGCCGACGTACGACAACACTTTGCGGCTCTACAGTCCATTTCGAAAAAGATGGACTTCTAGCTTTTGGCCATAAATGGGTCAAACGTTGAGTTTTTTTAGAGTTTTTTCTGCAACCCCCTATGGAATCCTTTTCCAATTATGTTTCTGAAGTCTATTTCTCCAAAAAGCAAGCCATAGGAAGAATAATATTTCGGCCAGGTTTTGTCCCAAGAGCACTGAATTGGGAAAACCCATCAAAATCCAGGCTGTTTGACCCTGCCTGCAACAGTGCATTGTACGGTTCGAACCCCAGTTCAGGTACCCTTTTTGGACCCTTTTTCAAATTTCAAGTTTCACAGCACTGCACTGTGTACGATAAAATCTTGAAAATCGCCTAATACGGGAGCTCGCCAGAGCCAGGGCCCATCTTTTTGTGAATGGACTGTAGGCCACGAGTTGTAAGCCATGATTGCCAACTAACGAAAGTGCCAAATCCTTCGCAGGACTAATCATGGTTCATACAGAACTCTAGAAGATTTCGGAGCCCAGCTTTTGGCTGCTGAAGACAATGCGTGGTCGCTTTCACGACGAGTCAGATCTGGGTCATGACACTGATATCTTAGAGTCCCATTGTGCTATTTTCTAATCCTCTCTCAATGCATTCATTCCATAGTCGTGTTCGAAATAGTTTAGTTGTCTATGTACGTGACAAATCGCTGTTGATAGCAACACATTCTCGAGGCTGCAGTTTAGTAGGAACATTTCTTCTGAATCCTTCCGTTTGTTTCTGTGACAAAGGAGAAGGAAGTAGGGATTTAACCACCGTATTTCCCGAATATAACTCACACCTTTTAGCACAACAATCCAAGGGTAAAAAGGGGGTGGGACTTATAATCGAGCATGAATTACAACTGAAGTGATTATATCAAAACAATATGGCTCAAACCTGACCATGGGTGTGCGACTTATGATCGAGTGCGACTTGTAATCGGGATAATATGGTACATACTTGGCTTGTCGACGTTGACTTGCACTTCTCCGCTCTTGGACGACCGACTCTTGATTGGCGGCAAGTTGACCGGGAGCATGCGCCATTCGGCATCTTCCATTATCTCCAGCCTCAGTCGAGGCGGGACAACATAGTGCTTCTTCTTCGTACTGAGCACCGCATCGAAGAGGTTCATGCAATCCTAAATCCAAATGAACAAAAGAAACAGGGAAAAAGACCAATGACATAATTATGAGTTATTACTAACAGTCCACCAACTTCAACCCAAGGTAACGAGATGTTGTCGCACTATCTGACTGTATAATTATGTCGTTGCCTTGGTGGACTGTTAGTCATAACTTGTAACTTGTTGGTCCTTTCTCTTTACTTAATACTATTGGCTCAAGATCCGAGCTAGAACAAGAGAAACAGGGGGGAAGACACTGTGAACTCCTAGCCCTCAGACACAGCCCAGAGTCAGCAACAGTGGAGTACTCAAAGCACACAGAGTGGACCAGCAGGCCTTCAAAGGAATACCAAGAGATTTAGAAAGTGTGCTCCTCAATAGCAAGCTGTGATCGTCTAGTGGTTAGGACCCTACGTTGTGGCCGTAGTAACCCAGGTTCGAATCCTGGTCACAGCACACTTTTTTCTTCTTTTTCTTCACATCCATCATCATTCCATATGAGAAGAATGGAGAAAGTATTAGCTGGCTGGATGTTCTATGTGAATATCAAGACTGGCACCTAACTTTTTTATTTACATCTTAGTAGAGGCAATAAACTACCGTAAAGTACCGGCAGAGCGCCCCACCATCTCGTCCTTTCGTGGTCGTCTTGTGGAGGTGGTTTCCTGTCTGTAGGTCATACGACACGGACCTTGTACACACATTGCAAGTTATGCAAACAATCCGTATCCAGTTTACCTTCGAGTGGATGCGAGCTCCACATAAAAACATGCCGAGTGTGACCTTAGTACAAAAAGGTTCTCACACCCTATAAACTTAGTAGCATTCTGCCATATGATTTTCTTCCCTTGGCTGTAAAGTCAAGGTGGGGCGCTCTGGCGGTACTTTACGGTACTTGTTTTCTTTACACTGTATTGAATGACTGGTGCAATTCATCCTATTAACTTCCCCGGTGGAATTTTTGATCGGTAGTAAAGTTACATATTCGGCCAGGTTTGCACAAAGCTTGCTAATTGGTGGTTTTCAGCGAGATCCCCTTCTCTTTTCCTTCTTTTTTTTCGCGAAGTTTGTGCTCCAGGCTTTTCCTACGATATTTTCAAGTTTTAATTCGCACTACGTCTCTTCGCGTTTCTGAAAACCACGCTCTGACGGTTCGTCCAGTGATTTATCAAAGGCTGCCTTGAGTACGTCCTCAGCTACAGCGCGGGCCAGTTTCAAGTGAACGGACTGTAGTTCACCACTCCTACAGTCTACTGTACAATCAACTAGCAGCAATAGTGCTTGAGATGGACCGTAATGTGAGGGGTAACCTACATGGTGTCTTTCGACACGTGACAACTAGAAGCAGTGACAGGCAATAGGAAGCAGCTACATTATCACGGCAAAAACATGTAATCAGCAATGACTAGATTAACGGAGAACGGCAGAATGTCAATTTCAATGTAAACAGTCAGGTATGTGAACTGCCAGAAAAGTGAGAAAAAAAGCCAACCCCACCGGGACTCGAACCCAGACCTTGCTTGTCATGAACAATGCTCTAACCATCTGAGCTATGGGACCAGGCCCAACCAAAAAGGGGCTGACAATTTTTCACTCCTCAGGATGTTCCAAATGGAGAGAATGTGTTTTGAAAAAAACAAGGTCACAGGTTGGAGCCCTGGTGAGGTGGTCATTTGTTTCAGTTCTGGCAAGAACAATACCAAGAGAGAATGAGTGGCGTACCTCCTGACTAGAGAACTCAAAGTCCAGGATGTCTTCTCCCGTCGGCACAAACAACATCACCGGGTAGAGAAGACGTGGCTCCGATGGGATCTGAACACACAATCATACACACACAGCTTATAGATACAACTGACATATAAACACACACAGAAACACAAACACACACACACGCACGCGCGCACGCACGCCCCCCCCCCCCCCATCCACACATAGACACACAGAGTCACACACATACACACACACATATGCACACGCGTGGGCATAAACATACACACGTCCACTTTGCACAAAGCTAAAATGCATCGCTTCGCGCTATTCCAGAGTGGTTTCCACTTAAAAGCCACTGTTGTTGAAGACTTCACGAAGAGCAATCAACCGAACAACATACATGTAACTCATGATTGATGAGTTCCTCGCCCTGGTGACGGAATGTGATGACTCCCTCCTCGGTATCCACAACACACGTCAGCTGAAGTGGCTGGCTGTTGTCCACATCAATGTTACTGAGCAGGGTCTTGACACGAGCCACGTGCATTGACTGGCACTCCATTATCTCACTGCGAAAACAAACAACACATCAACTACTTGCATCGACTGACACTCCATTCTCTCACTGGGAAACTCAGATTACACATTGTTTTGTTTGTTTGTTTGTTTTCTTTATTTAGAGTGGGAAGTCCAAAACAGGCCCTAGCCTAATAACCATGGTCCCACTAGTGAGGGAATGCTGTGTATCTGTGCGTAAGGATCAGTGAGTGTAACAGCAACTGGTATCATCAATGCCTTTAGGCGTAAGCAAGGTCACTACTAGTATACAAATTGTGGTGCGGAAAACACTTCTCTCTCTAACAGGAGGTATACTTATGCTCTTGGGGTCAAAAGCACTAGGCGCCAAAGAACTTCCGTCTTGTGTGAAAGATAGCATTCAGGAGGCACTATGTATCAGTATGCTAGCAGGTGTATTGCGCAATATGCAAGCTACAGTTATTCATATGAAGAAAAGAGGACCAAAGAGCTACAAATTACGCTATAATATCCACTAACAACACCAGTTACTTTACAATCAGCTCATGTGATAACATTGCACGACACTGACCAACGGTACTGACACTCTACACCTAAAGGCAATCAGCTGTAGCACATCCTGGATGCGCACACCAATAGTTAGGTGTAGAACGTCAGTACCGTTGGTCAGTGTCGTGCAATGTTATCGCATGAGCTGATTGTAAAGTAACTAGTGGTGTTCTGAGTGGATATTACACTCGGACGTCTCTCATCCGGGCACCTTGGGACCGGGCACTGCCCGTATCTCAGATTTGCCCGTATCTCAGGATAACTCATCTACTTACATAGGCTTGCAGTGAAAAATAAGCACTTCCACATACAGGGAAAAAGTAAAAGAAACCAAATTCGAAGCATTTGTGCTATAGGAACTCAAGCTGAAAGTGCCCGGTAGAGAGACGTGCCCGTATCGGAGGCGTCCGGATAAGAGGCGTTTGAGTGTATAGCGGAATTTGTAGCTCTTTGGTCCTCTTTTCTTCTTATAAATTAGTCCTTGGCTCTCCACACGAGTCTAGCAGTTATTCAAAGTGTACAAACTGGGTGATCTAGGTACACAATACGCATTGATGCTGATCCCGTAATGGGCTTGTACTGGCAACTCTGTACTTTATGGCAATGGTAGCCAATTGTCAGTTCCGACCATAGGTGAAGGATGTGTTGGGCCACACCGTTTTTTATCTGTGTTTCGCGTCCCCCGCGCGCATGTATTTCACAGCCGGAGTTTTTTTTTTGGAAAATGTAACCCAAAAGGAAAAAGAACGGAACATGATTGTTACACATAACTATTATGTTGGCATCAATTAAATATTTGTTCTATTTACTAATTTTACTATTGACGCATGATTGTACTCAGCTCACACACATGGACATCATTACATGTGTGTGTGGGCCGCAAGTCACACAATCATCATGCCGCCTGTGTTTGGACCACAAGCATGGCAGAGGGGATACACTCATGTATTCATGTACATGTCAATGACTATGTACATGAACAGTGCTGCGTTGCTTCACTGTACACAAATGCAATGCACGTACACTGTTTTTTTTTGGATGGCTTTTTAATTTTTTCGCCCTCCCTCATTGATTTCATCGAATAAGGTGACGCGAAACATAGAAAAAAACGGCGTGGCCTTGGAGATCTCCTGTTTGAATGAGTACGACATAGCGGCGGCGGTGCTTATCTATATACTCTACAATTAGTTGCTCCGCCCTATCAACAACTACGAATACTCTGACCAAAGCGGAGCTGAATCACTGAGAACGTGTACTACACTTACCTTCCACAGCAGTCCTCATCCTCGCTACTGCCTTCTTCATTGCTCTCTGTACCTACAACAACAGCAGCAGCAATAGCAACAGCAGCAGCAACAGCAGCAGCAACAACAGCAGCAGCAGCAGCAACAGCAGCAGCAGCAACAGCAACAGCAGCAGCAGCAGCAACAGCAGCAGCAGCAACAGCAACAGCAGCAGCAGCAGCAGCAACAGCAGCAGCAGCAACAGCAGCAGCAGCAACACCACCAGCAGCAGCAGCAGCAGCAACAGCAGCAGCAGCAACAGAAACAACAATAGGAGCAGCCGCAGCAGCAGCAGCAACAACACCACCACCAGTAGCGGCAGTAGAAGCAGCAGCAGCAGCAACAACAACACCACCAGCAGCAGCGGCAGTTGCAGCACCAGCAGCAGCAGTAGCAACAAAAGGCAACAACATAGCTTAGAAAAGGAAATATAGCCATCATAGCCATCATAGGCATCACAGCTATACTAAACAATCAGAGCTACAGGACTACACAATACTACTAGAGAACCTAAAACACAACCATAGGATAACACATATCTATAATAGCAGCACCTTTTGACTCGGAGGCGGCATATTTGGCAGTTTCAAAACATTTCATCTAGATCGAGATGTGACAAAGAGCACCGCAGAAGAGAAGCGATAACAGCACCATTGAATTACATATGCAACATCCTTTCCAGCTTACGCACCCTCAGTTTCCTCCTTCTTCCAGCTGCCAAGGCAGACGGTGACTTTACGCGTGTCTAGTCTCTCCAGGATGCCAGGCTCTGGACGGAATTCACTGGACAACCAGCCGATGAACATCTTCATGCGACACTGCATGGTCGACAAGAAGAAAACAGCAAATCATTTTCGAGAATGTGGTGGTGGTTATTCAGACCAAACAACGCATGAACGCATGAGTGGGTTTAGCTCCAATGTGCAATATGCATGGCTTTGTTCCAATAGCACTCTGTACGTTTTACAGCTCTGCGAGCAGCAGAGCAGAGGAGTAGAGAAAGCTAGTGGATTATTCTACTTGGAGTAGGCTATTTCAGCCACACCATCTCTCTCTTTCTCTACCTCACTCTCTTTCTCTCACTATCATATAATGGGTGAGAAGTGAGCGCACACTCAGCAAGTTAACTACAGAGAAATCTGTCTAAGACGACCGCTCAAGGGACCTTCAAAACGTGGTCTCTGTTACCAGGTGGTCTCCTTATCCAGGGTCAATTTACTGGAGGTAGCATCCCTTGGTCCTGGTTGCAGTGGCCGTCTGGGACAGGTGGTTGCCTTATCCGAGTGGTCGCCTTGCCAGGTATTACTATATGTCAAGATGACGTATAACATACCTGACCGGGTGCGAGTATCACATCATAGCAGTACTTCCCCATCTCCACAGAGCCATCCAGAGGTATGCCGAGGTTGAGGCGAATGCATTCCATGCGTGGTGTGTCCGTCCCTCGTACCGTTTTGCTGGATACGCGCAGGCATGGCGGACGGTTAGGCCTAACAGGTCACATGAATACAGCACATACAAACAATCATACAGACACATCTTGTGCTGATAGGCTTGGAGTGTGCATACACATACACTCACCCATGCACACACGTGCACTACTACTACTATAGCATGACTGCCCCATAGGACCACGCCACTCCCTTGTGACAGGGAGCCAGAGTCAGGGTAAGAGAGTCGATGCTGGCGAGCCACGTGCCGGTTGAGATCTCGTGGAAGCCGAAAACCCGTGCACACACCCACACGTGTACACCCCCCCCCCCCACACACACACACACTCGCGCACGCATACACATTTTCATCTCTACAATGCACCATGGTGACAAAGTCAATACGTACATATGCACAAAATCAATGGGCAGAGAGTATCAGCAGAGGATCCGGAAGATTTACTTGTTATAAAAGACAATCACCCAGGACATGTGTAGCTAGACAGAGCGTCATTTCAACACAACTCAGGGTAGTGTAATGGTGATTCTTCTACCTTGAGAAGGCCAAACTCTACCGGAACTCACATGCACCCATCCACACATAACACAACCATGGGCTGTTCTTAGTAAGGATGTCCTGCTCTGTTACTCCACTCCCAAAATAATCACGTGCTCTCACAACTGGAGGGGAGTGAGCAGCTTCTGGATACACGGTATCATGTGGGTCTCGCTCATAGCGACAAGGTTTAACACATACACATACCCCCCCCCCCCCACACACACACCAGGAGGTGTTAGCTCCTTTAGGTGGCTGGTAACTATTACAACCACATGCAGATATACACACATATTCTGGTCATGTTTGAGGAGAGAAAACTTGCCCTTCGCTTTCTCAAAGAGTCCTAAGAATGAAAAAAAAGAAGAATCGAGGGGTGAGCCAAGTCTAGGGGCGCGTTTGGTTGGTACGAACTAGAACAGGATTCACCAGAACAGCGCGTTTGGTTGGGACTGCACCTGTTCTGGGTCGGCCAGAACATGTTCTGCTTGCTCCGGCCTCGAGGCCGGAGCAGACCGAGCAGTTTCACTTTTTCACAGTGAAACCTGGCGGGAACATCGATTTTGTTCCCAAATGATCACGTGCATACGCTTTTGGGTTGGACTCGTCGTACCGTACAAAGTGACCATGGTGATCCATACACATTTTGAAGAATGCACCAAGTTTGGCACATTTTTCCACAAAAATGTGCTCTGTTTCTGGAGTAGCGTTTGGTTGGCATGAGGCTGCTCCATGTGCACCAGCTGTTCGATCCTGTTCTAGATCGTACCAACCAAACGCACCCTAGGAGTCTGGTAATTGACTTACAAAGGTGGTTGATTGATGGACAACAGCCGTGGATGACTGGTGCCTATATCCACATACACTGGCATGTTGCAGCTTGCCCACATTGGCATGAAGTGATTGAACATGCTGGGGAAGGAAGATGACACACATGCATGCACAGGCACACACGCGCACGCACGCGCGCACATGCGCGCGCACACACACACGCGTACGTACGCACGCACGCACGCACACACACAGACACACACACAGACACACACACACACACACATAGACACATACATGTACACATACACACACATACACACACACACATATAGACACACACACACACACACATGCACACATACACACGCAGACACACACACATAGACACACACACATAGACACACACACACACACACGCACAGACACGTACACATTATAAACACATCCCATAGTACGGAATATCTACAGTACTTTACACTGAAATACTGAACTCTGTATCTAACGTGAGCAGCACTCCATACGTGAAGAGGTTTTTTTTGTTTGTTTTTTCATTTATTTATTTATTTTTACTAATAACACAGCCCTCCTGGAAAACAGTTGGAGAACAATAATAAATGAGGAAAAGGAGAAAACATAGTATTACCTGCACAGTGGTTCGTATCCTTGCTGGAGACCGTGCTGATTGAACATTTTCAGCTGGCCAAGATCCTGTCAGCAGTACACAGCATAGAAGGCAACAACAAAGGCGATCTGCTCAAGGAAGAGTTCTAACAGCAAGGGAGAACTGCCCGAGAAGTTGTGACAACCAGAGTCTCATTCCATTGCTGACCACAGTAGCACAGTGAAGGTGGGCAGTGAATTTCAAATTTCATTCTACGAGCAGCGTGCATCATTCGACACTACAACCTGGAGTGTCCAAATAGGGCATTCGAGAGCGTCACATGGTCATGTGACCTACTAAAAACTATCAGCAAGACCGTGATAGATAGAAGAAAACACTGATTGGCAATAAACCCAGATCTTGAACAAGTGGACATGTGACACAGTCAGCGAAAACCGGTAGAGGGACTTCACACCCTTGCAACCAATAGCTAAAAAGTGTGTCAAGCCTCATAGTATGTGACTTGTGGGGCAGAATGTTTTACAAACAGAATGGGGAGAAAGACGTCAACACATTACAACGGGTATTTCATCCAGTCATGTGACTGCTTCCCACATTGAGTACTTACTCGACCAAGAAGACACGTCACCCTCTGAGCCGGGCCCAAGCAGATCACAGGCAGAAACCCTACAATGATAGAGTGACGGGAATAACACGGAAGATTGGCTAAGAACCAATACATCTTCACCCAGTTTATACACAGTGCTCCATATCACAATAGCCGAAGCTTTCTTCCCGAATTTCGCTCTCTGCGATCTTCGAGGAAAGAGTTCGAATTTTTTGCTTGATGATTGCGTAGTAGGAATCAACACTTTTCTCTGCCTTCTTGTTATGCAACACATACACAACTCTAGGGAACATAGTCAACGTGATGGTGATTACGTACGTTGTCCTTCAGGAAGATTGTCAAATGCCACGTCTTGGCCAACTGCATCCACTAGAAGAGCTCCATTCAGTGTGAATGCTGTGCGCCGTAAGCAATTCACACAGTGTCATAACGAGAGAAGAAAGAACGAAAACGAGAGAAAGTGAGAGAAAGACAATAAGAGCACCACTTCCAAGCACACATCTGTGCTTTGTTCACAGGCTGACCATTCCCTTACTCAATCACACTTCATTAATGTGAATGGCAGGAAAAAGATCTGCCGTTGGTAATCACTGGCACAAGTGCTGCCTGGGAAGGCTGGTAGGGAAAGTCCCATCATAAGTTATCATGCTTGATATGCCCGTGCCTTCTTCACTCCCGGCTTAGCACTTACAAATCGTCCTCTGCTCCAAGTCCAGTAGACAGCCAATAACGTCATGCTCCTGCCATGTGCGACCAAACGTCTCTGATCCATTGTTCCATTTCCTGGCCTACAGTACATGTACATGCAATGTGTGGTGGTCGAAAGAGGTGAGTGAGACAGAGATTGATACAGGTAGACAGATAGAGAGAGATAATGAGAGAGAGAGAGAGAGAGAGAGAGAGAAAGAGCAGAAGCTTAGTTTCACTGTTGCTGACATGTGTTATTACTGGCAAGACAACAGCTGAAGCCAGTACCGGCTTGTGATACATGCCAAGAACTACCGTATTTTACCGGTTGTAAGTCGACCCCGGTTATAGGTCGACCCCCGTATCCGGAGGTCTCAATTCTGCGTTTAAAGTTTTCACCCAACGAAGCACAATCGTTATATACCAACCACTCCCTGCTACTAACACATCAACAAATCATGTAAACATTCCTTATTGGAGGGTATAACGTCCCCATCCTTGAAAAAGGCCAATAAACTGGCAAACATGTGTACACATGGTGCACTCATGCATGCAGGGCAGGTCATTTTTCGTAAGATTCTGATAGTTCCCGGTTATAAGTCGAATCCCGGTTGTAAGTCGACCCCCACCCTCTCTCCTTCTATTTTTAGTCGTAAGAGGTCGACTTACAACCGGAAAAATACGGTAAACAAAATGAAGTGCAGCAAACATATTTACATGGTCAACTTGGCACAATGGTGATTGCAACAGAAAGTATATGGCCAGTACGGACTGTGCGGTGCAGTCTTCAACTTACCAAGAATCCGTCAAAGACGAACGCATTCTGATCTGATCCTGGCATTGAGGTGACCGACAAGTCCACCGTGCACCAGCCGACACGCATAAATCCGTGCGTCTGTAGTTCAACCTCATAGTACCTGGCAAGACAGATGCCGTGGCAAACAACAAGAGTACAATGCGTGTTCACAAATGCAGGCAGAACACAACTGCACATTTGGCATATTTGTATTTGTAGTTGTATTTACGGATTCTTCACAGGCCTTAGCCTAAGTCAACAGGGTGACAGTGGGCTTCATACGATGTAGTGATCAAACTGTCAGAATGAAGAACATACAAACCCATGGTAGATATATGGCCACATTCCCGTTTTAACTCAGATGGAGAGCCAAGGATTAAAATTTAAGAGAGGACCATAAGTTTAAGTATCCTGCTTATAATCGTTAGCCAGCTAGCCAGCTAGCCAGCTTGTTGTTGTAAAGTCTGCCTTGCTTCCTTGTCTACTTCACCCCGAAGATGGTCAGAGTGACCGAAACGTTGAGAAGAAAGAAGAATCGTTCAACTTTGTGAAGAAGCAGTGCGTCTGAGTGTTGGCCAGTGTTGCCACAATACAAGTTGCTATAATCGTTAGTGTTGGACAAAACGGATAACTTGTAAACTTATGGTCCTCTCTCTATTTTTAATTTAACATTCATGTTTCTACCAACTGTCCGTACCATTTGCCCTTTCCGATGGCCTGATCGTGTTGGCCTCGGAATGTCCGACACTCCTTCCATGTTGCCTCGCTTGCCTCTCGGCGAAGAGCTAAAACAGCAGCCAAAATGAAAAAGGAACAGAACGACTAAAGACGTGATCACAATTCTTAGCATGAGACAAAAGAGAGATGTAAATAAGCGGCGAGGCGAAAAAGAAGAGAGAGTAAAAATAATTGTAATAGTTTCCTCATAACTGTTACCTATAAAAAAAGACACTCAGGAAGAGCGAGATCACATCCCGGATCACCTTGTGGTTGTCATGGCGCTTGTGAGAGTGTCCTTCATTGCAAATACTTCTATGGCACCGATATGGCATCAGAAACTGTACGTTCCCAAACCCTGGCCATCGGCATCAGTATTAGAACAGCAGGCTGCGTGTCGGGCAAACCATGATGTGAGATATCTAACCATACCCCCCCCCCCACCCCCCCCCCTCCCCCCCACCCCTCCCCCCTCCCCCCCACCCCTCCCCCCTCCCCCCCACCCTCCCGCCCTCCTCTCCCAAAAAACATGGTCTCAAACTGCACACATCAGTGCATACATCAGTGCATACATCTGCAACAGTGGCCCGATAACATAAAGGCGCATATGGAAGGAAAGCAGCAAAGGAGGAAAGGAAATGAAAAATCACAAATGGTAGCAAGTGAGCAGTTAAATGGCAAGAACACGTGATTCCGCAACCACTAGCTCAACAGAAACAGCAGGTCAGTGCATACATACATAGTGCATACATACACAGTGCATACATACACAGTGCATACATACACAGTGCATACATACACAGTGCATACATACACAGTGCATACATACACAGTGCATACATACACAGTGCATACATACACAGTGCATACATACACAGTGCATACATACACAGTGCATACATACATCAGTGCATACATACACAGTGCATACATACACAGTGCATACATACACAGTGCATACATACATCAGTGCATACATACATCAGTGCATACATACACAGTGCATACATACACAGTGCATACATACACAGTGCATACATACACAGTGCATACATACACAGTGCATACATACACAGTGCATACATACACAGTGCATACATACACAGTGCATACAGCAGGTCAGTGCATACATACACAGTGCATACATACACAGTGCATACATCAGTGCATACACAGTGCATACATACACAGTGCATACATACACAGTGCATACATACACAGTGCATACATACAGAGTGCATACATACACAGTGCATACATACACAGTGCATACACAGAAGCACCACACTCACAGTTTATATTGTTACCTTCCTCCTTGCGAGTGGGCTCTTTCAGAGTGTAACCGCACGCCAAGATAGTCTTCAATGTCTGCCTGACAGTTTTGCTGCAGTGAACAATCAAAGAGTGCAGATTGCCATCACCTTCGCATTCGCGAACTGCCACCATCACCCAGCAAGACACTGATGCACGACAAATAATTATGTGAAGAAGTATCGTGTTCAGCAGGGGAGAGGGAGGGGGAAGGAGAGAGAGAGAGAGACAGAGAGACAGAGAGACAGAGAGAGAGAGGGAGAGAGAGAATGGGTCAGAGCTCTCACCGGTTGTCATTCTTCTGTTCTTCAGACAGGCGAGGGAAGCTCAGTAGATACGGTGTACGCTTGGTTTCGTTACACTGAGACAACGACAATGCAGTTCACAGCACAGGCACAGCACAGACACAGCACAGTCAACACATGTAGAACACACATACATACATACATGTAGTATTCAAAAGTTTACCTACAGTCACATAAACGTATCAGGGGCGAATCCAGGAGGGGATCCAGGAGGGGATCCAGGAACCCTCTAAATTTCGCAAATGTAATGCAGTACTGGCAACCATACGCGTGTCCATGTACATGTATCAGATATTCAGTTTTGACAATACTGGAACCCCCCCCTTTGGAGATCGCTGGATCCGCCGCTGTGTATCGCTACAACAACTGTGTTGGGATGTCAATGCTGTTCTGTCTCCTGCCTCTCAAGCAGGGAAATGCACGCACTTCACCTTAATCCCATACCGTTGTCTGTTGCCTTGAACCAGCATCCTCTGTTGTGTAGATATTAGAATGTTGCATTGCACGCTCAATCACCATTACAGGCATGGAACTCCAAGTTACCTGACTTCAACTGTGGTGCCCCCACACCTGGACCAAAAAGTTCCAAATATGAGGTTTCCTCATACAAGAAGTGCTCCTTTCTGACTGGAGCTCCAGAATGTTGACCAAGAGGTCACACATACCAAAGTGCAAAAGAGATTTCCAACTGCCAATTTGCCTATTCCATCACTCACCTTTCCATGACCATACGACCATCCCTCGCTGATCCTCTGTGCTGCCCAGACATTGTGAGCATCCTCCGCGAGGGCCTCCACAAGTTCACCGAGCTCTTCTGGGATGTCAATATCCTCCAGGTCAAGAGGTTGTGGAATGTAGCCATTCGACTGACGATGCCTGAAAGCATACACAGGTGCGTTCTGAGTTTTTAACTAAGAAACTCGATTCCGATGTACATGTACAAGTAAGTGGAATGCCTGCACAATTGATCAGATTTTAGCCTGGGTCATCACGGGAAATTTGGTGAATATGGAGTGAATTTTACAGCACAGAGGTTGTGTTTGAGTGTTCGCGCTAAGCAAAGCATTATGTAAACGGCTGAAATGGGGTTAAGGATTCCTCCGAAACGTTAGCCACAACACCAGTCGAACGTAGCCATCAAGCCAAACAGAATTCATCCCACATGCTTACAGCTTCTTGTTCAGGTTGACGTAGCGCATGTCAAATTCATGTCTGGTTGAGTCGATACCCACGGAGTAGCCGAGAACAATCAGAGTTCTACAGAGAAACCAAACACAGGGACATTGTGCAAGACAGAAACCAAACACAGGGACATTGTGCAAGGGAGAAACCAAACACAGGGACATTGTGCAAGAGAAAAACCAAACACAGGGACATTGTGCAAAGACTAGGTTGAGCATAGACACACACGGATGACATTTCCTGGCATGATTGATTACAACTTCAACTTCCAAACAGCAGAGCTACTTGTTGTGAGTTGTAAGTACAAATCTACATAAGTTATTGATTCTCAGTATCAACATGGCTACTGCGGGTGTAGATATTACACGATTACATGATCAGTTGAAACACTTGGCATGGAATGGCAAAGCTACGGCGTAGTGAACCGGTAGTTCTGGTTAGCCGCTTCTTGCCTCTTTTTGCCACTACACACTTTGCGTTCAGAAATGGCATGACATCTTTCACAAAAATCTCTATACCACAAGAATACTTGTTCTCACTGGTTTGAGGGGAAAAAACAAACAGGAAAAGTCTCAAGAAAAAATTGACTGTCACCACCAGGATTCGAACCAGGGACCTTCGCCTGAGGCCAGCGATGCTCTAACCACTGAGCTAAGGTGTAGCCATCATCCCAACAGAGACCAGCAGATACTTGTTGCCTTATGAGTTCATGCTCGGCACACTAGAGGCACGGTAGGAGAAAGCAAGCATTGAAATCCTTCTCCCACTTCACCGCATAACATTTTACGCTGATGCTTATGGCTCACCTCATCATTTGCAGGACCATGCGACTGTCGTAGTCTTTGTCGACTGGCGTGAGCTCAGCATAGGGACAGATACACGGGTTGGTCTTGGCATCATTGTCACGTTCCTACAGCCAGCACAAACGCGACCAACACAACACCGGTAAACAAGGCTACAGGGCACAAGTTACATGCATCGTCGCTGGTTATCATGACCAGTGGCAGCTTGTACAACCTGATAGTTGAATATGATTGGCGGATGGGTGCGTATTGTTTTATGTAACGACCAGTACAATCATCACAAGGAAGCAAGTTCCCAACAACTTGGAGTCCTTACACAGGGGCGTAGCTGGTACCCTTTTCAGGGCAATGCACGGCTGCATATGTTTAGCATGGCGGGTGCATGTCATTCATGGTCATTATGTGCGTGCTGAACTTAGGACGACATGTTTAGGGGGTGCACATGCCCCCTCTCCCCCCCCCCCCCCATCCTTTCCCCATGAGGGCTATGCGCCTGTTACATGTATCGGTTTTAAAAGAGACCAGGATCAGCCTTGTTGTAATCTGAGCAATGTTGCTGTGTGTGTGTGTGTGTGTGTGTGTGTGTGTGTGTGTGTGTGTGTGTGTGTGTGTGTGTGTGTGTGCATGCATGCGTGCGCGTGTGTGTGTGTGTGTGTGTGTGTATGTGTATGTGTGTGTATGTGTGTGTGTATGTGTGCCGAATGCTTACTCCGAACGTCCAGCCATTGGTTATCTTGGTGAGTGCCCAGTTCTCATGTACATTCCTAGCCACCATATCAGCACAGTCCATCAGGTCCGATGGTAACACAACCTGCAGCAAACAACACACATCACAAACACCGCACCTGTATGCCTAGTGCGCGATGACGTCAGAAGTCATAATGACTTCTGAGCCAAATTAGATCCAATCCAATCCGAGCACAGCAAAGCATGGTATGCGGTGGGTAGGTCTTTCATGTCCAGTGCTCATGTGCGTGTGCGGGTTTGCGCAAGTGGGTGTGCATGCGGTTGTGTGTGTGTGCTTTGCATTAACAGCGAGTTCCTGGCGAGGAGGGCCCAATAGAGTCAGTTCTGCCTGATGAGTCACCCTTATATGAAGGAAAACGTCATAAACGCATGTGGGTCCATAAAGATCATTCATCTAAGTGAGCCTATGTCAGGACTTAAGCCTAGCTGTGATGCAGTAATGTCATGCCTCATTTCTGAAAAAGTAAACCAAATCGGATGACCGGTGTTACCCTCAAGCAAATGACATTCGTCTTTGCCATACATTTCCATTTGCTCCTGAGCAGAGAAGGAAATGGACTGCTGCCATTCCACAGGAGGAAAGTGAAGGAGAGGTTGCAGTCAGCGACACTACTGCTGTGCACTCTGACCAGTTCTTGCCCGAAAATAACCCATAAGGGAAAGTATTAGAAGAGCAGGGCTGGTGAAACATTCTGGAATCTGGAATTGTGGCCGAAGTATGCCAAGGCAACAAACAGCAGCTGATGATAGACGGCATCGCCCCACCTAGAGCACTACTGCACACAACCTACTTGAAGATTGTCCCTACGTCCGTCCCTATGCCGGCGGAAGCATTTGGCAGTACTCAATGCCAGGTTAAGGACTGAAAGAAGGAATTAGCAGAAATGAGCGAAATTCAGCTACACGTCTGCACTAGCCAAATTCAAAAGCAGTCTGGCAAAGATGAGCTTCTATACAGGGTCCAGTGCCTGTTGGTGAGCCTGGAATCAGACTGTAAAGGTGCCATTCTCCCACACCAGAGTGAAGCAGAAGTTGACCAGTCCAGGATGTCCGGCTTAGGCCACCACTAATGCCTTGCACATTAGTAGAGATGCAGTAATGCCTGCTGATCTCTATCACGCAACACAGCCTGCTGATCCTTGTTACGTAAGACAGCCTTAAATCAGTATGATGCTCAACCAGATGATTAACTATCTGTGCATCTGACTCGGGTCCATTCAGATATGGCCCAGAGTGGAGAGCATGCAAGAGAACCTGCCTAAGTCATTCAAGGATCTTGACCCGTCTACATTCCTTGTGATCGATGTGACCAAGGGTAAATACGAAGTATTTTCAAGCCTCCCAGCGCAAGAAGAGCTGCAAAGCTCCTCCAAGCCACACAACATTGAAGAGATTGCTGGAAATGACCCCAGACGGAGCCATGGCGTTTACTTCCCAACTGTATGGAGGCTCAATCAGCGACAGGGAGATTTTTGTGCGAAGCGGCTTTCTTGACCTGTTGAAGATCTCCAACCCTCGTCATTGTGTATTGGCTGATAAGGGATTCGACATCCAAGACCTACTGATCGATTCTACTATGAAGCTGAATATCACTCCGTTCAAGATGGCTGGTCAGGCTTTGCCGAGGCTCCAGTGTGAAGTGTACAGGAAAGAAACAAATGGACGGACAGCTCGCTGGCGTTGAAAAACGTGGCCTGCAACAATGGTGTTTGGTGAATCATCAAGCATGGTGTCTAGCAGTGTTCACCGAAGAAGGAGAACGCTCTCGCCACTACTGTCGTCCGCTTCGTCCACGTTGTGCGTTAGCTGCACTGCGCCTATTGTGTTTTAGTATTCCATGGACGCACAATAGCATTCTGAGAGATTGCGGAGCCACAACTTATCTTCACGCAGCGCTGCATTGTTCAAGAGTACAAGCGTCAGCAGTTACCCTTCGCTGTGACATCATACATGTAGATTAGGAGTATACACGCCATGCGCCAATGGACCTTGGTACGGCAGCATCAGGTCTACAAAGTGTTCAAGTGAGAAACTTCAGTTTCGATTGTTGGTGGACCAACCAATCAAGGCCTTTCCTTCAAAATAGGGCTGTGATCCTTCCTAGATCCTATCGCCATTGAATACTTGAAGTAACAGCGGGGCGGCTCTCAAAGGATTAACAGCTACAATACATCCCACCACAGGGGCGTCGGAACCGGTGCAGCAGATCCGGCCAAAGCCGCACCAATAATTTCCTCTTGTGACTTTCGAAGCAATGAAATATGGGCTATTTGGGCCAAATTTCCCTAAAATTTCCTGGGTGGGGGGGGGGGGGGGGGGGGACCCCGGACCCCACCTACTCATGCGGGCCAAACCAATGTCGAATACCTTCCGATGCCCCTGCACCAAAACAGCGGAGGATGTACCCAGTGTGCTTACAGTGCTCAACGCCATGGCGGAGGCAGAACGTAATACAGAACAACAAGGACAATCCAGGCTTCCACCAAAACAGTACTATAGGCATTGAAAACTCAATTTTGGCTGGATTTATGTTGAACACCCATTGTAACTTTCTACAAAAAGTTGCAGTTCACTAGAAACCAGCTTATTTACACATCTAGCCCTAGTACACCTGTTCTAGAAACCTGGCTGGATTTCTAATTGGAACGCCCCTCACCCTGAATTTCTATTTGCTTATCTATCGACTTTCCTGACATCAAATATGGCAAAGTAGAATTGCACTGGTCTCATAATGTACAGTTCTTTTCATTGCATCTATCACTGCGTGCACGGCACCAGAAGTTCAAGGTGCCAGATTTGATGCATTGTAATGCTACCGCCGCTGCAAGAAACAGTATTCATTGCACTCGTGCATTGCAGTCACAACTATAGCTCATTGCATACCTGATGAGGGCAATTTTGCCGAAACGTAAAAATTGATTGAGAAATGAGTTCGAGTTTGCAGAGTGACTGGGAAGAGAGCGAGTCTGCTCTGAAACCTTTTTCTAACCATAGCTCAACTATAATAATATGACAATACAACACATCAACACTACTCCATCTTACATTCTTTGTATCGACGGGGTTGGGAATAAAGGCTCCGTGGTCCGCCAGGCATGGAGGTCCCACCAGGTCGAGGTGCTTCAAATCCCCAGTTTCGACGCAGCGCTGCACGTTCAGGTCACGGCCTTCGATGATGGCCTCTTCCAGGCAGGCATAGCCCGGCGGTGGTTGATATGCCAGAGGGCCACTCTTGCCACCGAAATGGAACGCACACCTAGAGATAGCAATGCACCGGAGAGACAGCAATGAGCTCTCAAGCACAATAAAAGCCCGCATGAACAGTTTCCCGCAGAATTTGATCAGACTGGTCCGTTGCATGACAATATATCAGAAACGCAAGACGTGCCGCAAACAAAACGGTCACCGGAGGTAGATGCAAAATTGGAGAGCACCAGGTACAACAGGTTACGACTCTCCAATATCCTTATCAGTTAACAAGGCTACAGCATGCCAAGTTTCATAAGTGAAGCAAGCATTCCTTGCGGGCACTAGATGCTTCAGCAAGCAGTGGGTGCTATGAGGGAGATCAGCCACAGACCATGGCAGTAGTAGGTCGGCTCCACGACTGGTTGCAAGAGTCCATAATGATAAGCCCTAAGAGGGTGCAACTCCGGCTATTGGGTCTGCGACGGTAGAACTTCACATCACATGATACGGTTGCACACATTATTTGCACCCTGTGCGTGACAGATACATGGTTGTAATCAACCCTACTCTGGGTTCAACTCTCTTGTGGTCACTTTTCACTGTTCGCAAGCGGAACCTTTCGAACCTTGTCACGTGATGTGAAGTTCTGCCGCCGCAGCACTAGATAGAGGTTGTGCAGGCAGTTGCACACTCTCCGGGGGTAATGTACTCTTTCTGGTAGAGATGGCCAGATATTGCCCAGTGGGGGGTTTATCTGATCTTACCTGACCCCAGCGTCCATGCTGACGACGGGAAACACTGCGGAAAACTGTGGATTGAAGCCGGCGACGTGGCAGTCCAGCAGCTGATTGTTCAGAGTGAAGGTTACAGTGCCGCGATGCAGATCAATACACAGGCCGATCTTGTCACCGGGCCGGAAGTAAGTGGTGTGTAGCTCCCGGCAACGTATCTTCTCCGGAGTTTCCTTCTCCTCTGCGAATGAAACAGGAGAAACAAAAAAGTAAGCGAGAGCGAGAGTGAGAGCAACAGACCGAAACTGGGAGAGACACATACACATGCACACACATGTGCACACACGGACACACACACACACACTACTACTACTACTATCAATCAGCTACCCCTTGGGGTCACGCCGCCCTCCACTCAGAGAACTGAGCGCAAGGTGAGGGGCAGTGGCGCAAACAAAACAGGAAGTACAGCAAAATGAATTGAAGAAAAAAAAGGAAATCAAAACAAGCTGCCATATTGATGGAAAAGGACTCACAAACAGAGGAAGGAAATATCACAAACCAGATGAACAGTCTGCTGTAGGTCCACTATAAGTATAACATGCAACGACTGAAAAAGGAACAAAATTAATGTGAACATGATGTTCTGTTCAACAATAACGTCTGTACCGTACTGCTTCGGCCTTCATGCACCAGGAAAGCACAATCTTGAGCTGGAGGGTGGGCACCGAACGTCCCACAAGGGCTCCACAAGACGTACTTTCACGAAACGACGAGGAGTATGCGCAGCAAGCTAACATGACTACACCGTCGCCGCACGACGACTGGCCACTCAGGTCCAAACAACACGACACATTCACAATTCCAGCTATCACCGCGCAGGAATAAATTGTTGCGAGTGTGACCTGTATCCTTTATCATCTAGGAATCCACTTGTTTTGCCGAACGCCACTGCATTGGTACAGGCTGGGGATTGATCCGAGGGCTCGCCACGCCACTGCGGAGGATGCGGAAAGGACGCAAGAAGACGGTGACGGCAACAAATTACCCGCCCTGGTCGTCAGCTCACTGAATGTCCTTCCGCGCGAGCGAAACCGGCTGCAAGGCATGAAAAGCCTACTGCCAGTCAATACCCAGGGACGACCCTGACCAGAAGGCCAAGGCCGCCCCGTGGAGGAGGCCAACAAAGAGAAAACCAGGAGCTAACAAATCTGCTTCCTCTCCGCGAAATTTTACACACACACACACACACACACACACACACATGTGCAAGCACACACACGCGTGCACATAGAGACCTAAACAGAGTGTATGTATGTGAGCATGCTGGTTTATGTATAACAGACGACAGGCTGAAAAGGAAAGATCCGTGCATATTCATGGGAGAATTGGTGCATGAATACATAGCTGGATGGATGGAAGGATACAGGGATAAAAGATGGCCAGACGTCCCGTTGAACTCTGAATTTCTACACTTAGTGTATTGTAGTCCTCCACATCTAGTGTTGTATAGGAATTAACCAATAGTGGCAATACATTGTATCTTCCCCGTGTGAGCTACTACTCACTCAGCGTGTCGTCAATTGTCTTGAAGTGGGTGTGCGCAGAGTGTAGCGAGCCAGATCGGCCACGCACGCGCCGACCAGCCACGGTGGGCACACGACACTCCTGGCCACCGCACCAGATAGACCGGCCGTCGTAGCCCACTGAGCTGAGAGTGCCGCCGACTGCTTCCAGACCGGAGGAGCTTGCATGACCAGGCCAGCACTGCACACCTGTGCAGATGTGTAGCAGTCAGACGCATAACACACAGTAGAACAGGCATTGAACAATCAACGTGAAGGCAACAGTTAATTATAGCTATAAGAAGTATCAACGATGCAGACATCACCAAACACCATAACAAAGGATTAGTTTACACTACAATATTTTCCATACTTCGCACTACAAACTACATCCGGTGTAATGGTGTTTACTGATGTCTGCATCCTGATATTCCTTAAAGGGGAAGTTCAGGCAAAAATTAAAATTTCACCAGTTGTAGTCTTTGGGGTGCTGAGTCGAATGGTCTTGGTCCGAGAAAGCTGAGACGCTCACTTCCTACTTGAATCCCAATCGAACTCGCGCACTTCCACCGAAACTGGGTGACTGCGCCCTACTAGATGGGGATTTGTATGCAAAATGCCACTAAAAGCGCCATTTCGTTCTTATAAAAGCACGGATGACGGGGATTGGCCCATATGTTGTAGTCTTTCGGACGCTGAGTCGACTGGTTTTGGTCCGAAAAGGCTGCGATGCGGCGTTCCTCTTTTATTCCCAATCGAACATGGTTGAACAAGTGGTCACGTGCTCCTGGGTGCCCAAATCACCTGGTCACTACGCCAGCAGGCGACAACTTTCACACCAAGGTTCAACTCGAGTGACAGGACTGCACCCAAAAAAGGTCAAACAGGCTAGTAAGTAAGTACCCTGCAGGCACAGTGACCAGGTGACTGGCGTACGGAGGAGCACGTGACCGCTTGTTCAACCATGTTCGATTGGGAATAAAGGAGGAACGCTGCATCGCAGCCTTTTCGGACCAAAACCAGTCGACTCAGCGTCCAAAAAACTACAACATATGGGCCAATCGCCGTCATCCGTGCTTTTATAAGAACGAAATGGCGCTTTTAGTGAGATTTTGCATACAAATCCCCATCTAGTAGGGCGCAGTCACCCAGTTTCGGTGGAAGTGTGCGAGTTCGATTGGGATTCAAGTAGGAAGGGAGCGTCTCAGCTTCCTCGGACCACGACCATTCGACTCAGCACCCCGAAGACTACAACTGGCGAAATTTTAATTTTTGCCTTAACTTCCCCTTTAAAACTATAACAGGCATTTCTCTTTGCTTACCTGCATGAATTGTTTATCAATCGCAGTGTGCCAATGTATGTATACACCCACGTTGCCAACTCGTCAACATTGCCAATGCAATACTGGTGTGATCAGCCGATACGGTGTTTTCAAGATCTTGCTCCATACCAGAATACTATGCGACATTCCGAGACGCGCTAGACTGAAGTGTGATGAGCAATGTGGTGATCTTCCCAATTCCATCATTATCAAAACATTCATTCGCTACTTAATAGGCCACACAATGGCATAAACCCACCGTCACTAGTGGCCCAGCCAACACGCAAGTGCAGTGGATAGCTGTGATAGTTGGTCTCAATGTCGCCGTTGAAGGAGATGACGTGAACTTCACAGTACCAGCAATGGTATGCCGAGTCCTCGCGACTGCTACGTACAAACACCAGCGGGCGTACACTGCAGAAAGCACACACAACACACACAACTGCACCGTGACTGTAAGTCGGCCCATTCAAATTTCGGCCTCCCAGGGCTAAACCCCATTTAAGACGCATCAAATTTCCGGAAATCGTTAACTTTAATCGACGTTAAAATATCTGGTGTGGCTCATAAACCCAGAGATACTCTCGAAAGGCAACTAACTGTCTTGAATCATACTCAGATTTACTTCGTGGACCATTCAGAAGAATACCATCACAAGCAGAACTCTGGAAAAACAACAACTGTGCCTACGCTCCAATGAACTATATAGCAAGAGCGGCGGCCACATCTAACACCTTGCCTCTACACCAACACTTAGCACATACATGTGGATACGAAGAGCGCGTGTTGTCGAATAAGGTACTAAGTGTTAGCGTAGAAACAAGGCGCTAGACGTGGCGCGTACAGGTAATGATGTAGCAGAGCGTGGAGAGGAAAACTGTTCATCGACATTCAAAGAAGCAGAACGAGAACGAATAATACTTCAATTGAGGCTACCTCTGTAACATCTGGTCTTACAGTAATTCACAGGAGTTTTGTTTAAAAAACTACTCACCACTCAATGTGCTGGTAGTGATTGGTCTGAAGCAGCAGTCCACGTAGCGGCAGCAGCATGTTAGCAATGGTGTTCTGGTTTCGGCGCACGGCAACGTTGCCAGCACATGAGCACAGGGAGGCCAGTACCTCCAACACCTGTTCAGCATGTCAGGGAAAACACACACACACCCGCACAGTCAACATGCAGTGGCTATTACGCTCTGTATCACAAATCTGCTATTAGCATTGTGTCGACTTTGCGTAGTCCCAGCTCCTTTTCTCATTGAAGACAAGGGAATCTGCATGTAGTTCTCCCTCTGGGCATATCTGCATGTAGTTCTCCCTCTGGGCATATCTGCATGTAGTTCTCCCTCTGGGCATATCTGCACTATAAGACATTACTGATTGTATCCTGGACAGGAGACACAGTTTTCGAGATGCATTGTTTCAAATCAACATTTCAGCAGTGCCATCAGTAATTGAAAGTTTGATTTCTAGTATTATTATATTATTATTTATTATTTATTCTTCTTTTACTAGGGAATTCCCAACAGGCGTCAGCGCCTTTATATTCATTAGCTTGGGGGGGGGGGGGGGGGGGTGTAAAGGGAAGGGACAATGTCTCCGTAGAGAAATTAACTGTTACCACCAGGACTCGAACCAGGGACATTCGCTATAGCCCAGCCATACTCTATCAGATTGTATTACTCCGTATTATCCCATATTGTAAAAGTGTACAAGGAGAGCTCCAAACACAGCTGGTAAGCCAGGTGGATTCCAAATGTCATGGTAATTTGGAGATATCACCCAGGGCATGAACGATATGGCAAGGTCGAAACCCAATATCGCGCCGATGTGCTCTTGATAGGACCAGCTCGGCTAAGCCGGACCTACCATGGACAGAGTATCCCTGGAGCACAGTTCATACCTTTGGATCTCTACCCTTTGTGTCCAATAGCTTGATCAAGGCTTGAATATGCTTCTCTTTCACCTGCAGCGACAACATATCGAAGTAATAGCAAAGCAGTCTTGCTGGAGTATTGGACGGAACTCACAACAGCCACGAACATCCAGAGTAGCACAGCAATCTTGCTCAAGTATCAGCCTAGATGGATACTACTGAATGGGGTATGAGCGATATATTCTTTTCTCACTCGTTTCCCCACACGCAGAATGCATCCTGTACTACTTCCTAGCCCAAGATCACTACATCATGACGTGTAGATACGAAGGCACTAATGCTCGTAGGCCAACCATCGCCGCTCCGGTCGGTGATGGTGTGTTTATTCAGTCAGACAAATATTGCGTGGCCCTGAATCTAGGCAGCTGGTCAAGACAAGGTCTTGGCAAAGCACCTGAATCTAGGCAGCTGGTCAAGACAAGGTCTTGGCAAAGCACCTGAATCTAGGCAGCTGGTCAAGACAAGGTCTTGGCAAAGCACCTGAATCTAGGCAGCTGGTCAAGACAAGGTCTTGGCAAAGCACCTGAATCTAGGCAGCTGGTCAAGACAAGGTCTTGGCAAAGCACCTGAATCTAGGCAGCTGGTCAAGACAAGGTCTTGGCAAAGCACCTGAATCTAGGCAGCTGGTCAAGACAAGGTCTTGGCAAAGCACCTGAATCTAGGCAGCTGGTCAAGACAAGGTCTTGGCAAAGCACCTGAATCTAGGCAGCTGGTCAAGACAAGGTCTTGGCAAAGCACCTGAATCTAGGCAGCTGGTCAAGACAAGGTCTTGGCAAAGCACCTGAATCTAGGCAGCTGGTCAAGACAAGGTCTTGGCAAAGCACCTGAATCTAGGCAGCTGGTCAAGACAAGGTCTTGGCAAAGCACCTGAATCTAGGCAGCTGGTCAAGACAAGGTTTGGCAAAGCACCTGAATCTAGGCAACTGGTCAAGACAAGGTCTTGGCAAAGCACCGAATCTGGTACCTGGCTCGACTGAGTGAGCAAATAGGATAGCTACTATTGTCATGTATGCATACTGCATTGGCATACAGGTGCATGTGCAGCAAGGCTAGTGTAAAGCCATTGTCTTGCCGAATGCACACATTCACATCATACACATCTATAGCTAACAGCAGAATATCAACACAATCAACATGGATAAATACCCCCCCCCCCCCCCCCCCCCACACACACACACACACACACAAACTAATACCGGACTCATGGACACTACTCCGCATGCATGATTATGCTCACCATATTCAAAGCATCAGTGCTCTCCTGAAGCAGATAGTGCAGAACCTGAAGTACACCTACACACATACAAGCAAGCAAATGCACACCATTGACCATTGGACGCCCATCGCCAGAGGCGATGATAGCGATGCTACAGCAGAAGCCATAGCAACTTGTGCTGGGATTGCACCATTCAACAGCTTGCAAGGCTGAAGAATTGACCACCACTATTCAGCCTGGTCTACACCACACAGCTTTGAAGTGGCTTTTTTCTGGCCAGTGAATCCCTACTTTTTGGTCTTTTTTTTCTTCTTTTTTCCCGCACACACATCACACCACATACTCCGGCATGCACTGGCTGTTGGTAACCACCCAGGAGAATGAAAGAAAAGTCAGGAAGAGTCTGAGAAAGAGAAGAAAGACGCAAATGCACACACACACACACACACACACACACACACACACACACACACACACACACACACACACGCACACACACGCATACCCACACAGTCATGGATTGTGGGTCAGTTACAACTTTGGTGGCAGGCACCCTACTGTTCAGTCAATATGAACTGCATCACAAAGACCCTCGGCGGAATAGCGCGAGCTCCAGTGTTGGGAGCAAGCCCTTTCCTCACAAGGTCCCTAGTAAAAGAAAAGAAAGGTGAATCTCTACTTTTTGGTCTTTTTCCTTCTTTTTCCCCCACACACACATCACATCGCATACTCCGGCATGGATTGGTTGTTGGTAACCACCCAGGAGAATGAAAGAAACATCAGGAGACTGGGAAAGAGAAGAAAGACACACCTGCACACAAAAACAACCCCCCCCCCCCCCCCACACACACACACACATACACAATGATGTCACTACACAAATGCATACACAGAACAGACAGGCACATACTCACCATCGGCGTAGAAGTCGCGCAGGCGCTCGGCCAGCCAGTCCAGGCATTGATGCTTCTCACGTGCAAACGTTGTGCACGTCCTAGCGTTGCCACGCACAACAGTACCTGATGCAACAAACACAGTTAACTTGTCAGCAAGAGTGGACTGATATTTGCCGTTAGATTTTGCATTTTGCATTCTAAAATCGTATTATTACACATGTAGAATTTCTAGATTTCTTCACCAGTTGTGCATTGCATAATTTCATTGTGCTTGTTTTGCCTGTAAAAGAGGATTGGTACACATGGAGGGGACTGAGGGGATAGTAAATGCCTACACATTCCCATGTCATACTTACTTACTATTTCCCTCTCATGTGTTCCTTCAGCATAATTACATCACCCCTCTCACCTCGTCATGTTAAGGAGAATCCCGGTGACAAGCATCTATTTCTCCTGTGGAGAATCCTTGAAACAAAATGTCCAAAAAAACACAGCTACATGGGACACGAGGGGTCCACCCGCCACACTCTGTATTTCGCTATTGGGCAGAGTGGATCCCAAAGTTGATATTTGCCGTTAGATTTTGACTTCGAAAATCATAACTGTCAAGCCCTGTACTGTCAGAAACGCTATGGGGGACTAGCTACCCAATATGGTCAGAAAGGCCCTGGGCCAGCTACGGACCTACCCCATTGGCCATAAAGGCCCTCGGCTAGCTACGGACCACCCAATAAGGCAAAGCCCCCGGACTACCTACAGACCTACCTAATAATGTCAGAAAGGCCCTGGGCTAGCTACGGACCTACCCAATAATGTCAGAAAGGCCCTGGACTAGCTACGGACCTACCCAATAATGTCAGAAAGGCCCTGGGCTAGCTACGGACCTACCCAATAATGTCAGAAAGGCCCTGGACTAGCTACGGACCTACCCAATAATGTCAGAAAGGCCCTGGGCTAGCTACGGACCTACCCAATAATGTCAGAAAGGCCCTGGGCTAGCTACGGACCTACCCAATAATGTCAGAAAGGCCCTGGACTAGCTACGGACCTACCCAGTAAGGTCAGAAAGGCCCTGGACTAGCTACGGACCTACCCAATAAGGTCAGAAAGGCCCTGGACTAGCTACGGACCTACCCAATAAGGTCAGAAAGGCCCTGTTGACCATGACCAAGGAGAAGCCCGTCTTCCGCCCTTGTAAGGATTTCGTGCACATGTTGTTCAGATGTCGGCCGACAAGTTCAATGGTGTCGATAATGAGGTCGGCAAGACCTTGCTGCTGAAACAGGTCCTGGCGATGCTGCAACAAACGCAGCTGCTGTTGGTGGGAGTCATACGAGTCGCCTCCCGACTCTGCACCGGCACACATGGCACAAAGCAATGCAAGGAACATACATGCACATGCACATGCACACACACACACACACACACACACACACACACACGCGCGCGCATACGCGCGCACACACACGCATACGCATACGCGCGCACACACACGCACACACACATGAACACACAAACACACACATATACACACGAGAACACAAATGCATGCCCAACCACACACACACACACACACATACACACACACACACACACACACACACACACACACACACACACACACACACACACATGCACCATATATACACAAACATACGCAGACATGTATACACAAAAAAAACAGACAGACAGTCAGAGAGACAGACACACAGAGTATTAGCACTGTGGTATGGTTATCAAGTGAGGACAGAGAGGCTGTTTCTATCGATACATTCTATTCAAATCTTTACCACTATAGCATGATTCTATTCACATGTTTACCACTGTAGCATGATTCTATTCACATGTTTACCACTGTAGCATGCAAGGCCACAGAGATAGCATCAACATTGTCACAAGGGATCAGGGACATGATGACACAACGGGTATCAGAGGTTTCGGTTCACTGGGGTTTTTGCCAAGTTGGTCACGGTGATTTCAGAGTGCTGGTTCATGGGGGGGGGGGGGGGGGGGGGGGGGGTTAGGTTCAGTGATGGGAACGGTTCAAGGAGGTCTCTCTCTAATGTAGGGTTGGGTTCAGTGATGGGAACGGTTCGAGGAGTCTCTCTCTCTCTCTCTCTCTCTCTCTCTCTCTCTCTCTCTCTCTCTCTCTCTCTCTCTCTCTCTCTCTCTCTCTCTCTCTCTCTCTCTCTCTCTCTCTCACCACTTACCTCCTTTCTCCACTGGCCAGTGGAAATAGTCCATCAAATCGTCGATGATCTCCTTCAGATGTTCGCAAGTCCCAATCGTGGCATCCATGATTTGCTCCAGCTCCGGGCTGAGCTGAGGGACACCACTCTTCTGCAGAACAAAGAATGGTATCAACAATCTAGTGAAGCGGTGAACAGCTGAACATTGTGTTATAGATTGCATGCATGTTTACAGTTACGTTTGACGTCATTATTAGATCATCGTAGCTACTGTTGCTTCTTCTCTATGTATCCAATGTGTGTGTGTGTGTGTGTGCATGTGCAATGTGCTTCTCCTTGGATCCATCTTGGCTTCCTGTGCTGCCTGTCCTTTCTCTCTGGTTTTATCTTTACTTCCATGTTCCCTTTCAATGCAATGTATTTCTAAACTTCCCGATTCGTGTGTATCAGTGGAACTGTGCATGAGTAGTGTGCAGGCTGAGTGAGAAACAACAAATTGCAATAAGCACATTTGCACATTGCCAAATATGGATTGCATGAGGAATGCATGTGAGTACGCTGGGATCAGCAATGCACTGTTCAGCACCCCAGACGACCATGCCCCGGTGGCTGTGTGGGGCGTTTATGGTACAAATTACGTCGTTGCGCAATGAGCTCATAGCAATACTAGGTTCTTTTCTCGACCTTTCTCATACAATGACCTAGTTGCCCCGCGATTCTCTTACATTTCAGTTCTCCTTTAATTTTTTCCTTTCTCCCCTCTGCTATCGCCTATCGTCATGGCTGGCTATCACCCACATCACCTTTTCATTGGCTAGTGCCACGTGATTGTGAATAAAAAAGACATAAATGTCCCAAACATACCCGCTTCAAGCCTTCGCCTTCAGAGGTGACGGACGACGACGCTATGGAGAAGGAAGACTGCTGTCGGAATTGGAACATGCGCTTGCGAGACGCAGAGCGCCGTCGCAGGTATCGGCCAGCGTCTGACCCATTCTCTTCCATTGCAGATAGTATGCCCGCTGTGTTCTCTCCGGGAGAAGTCTGAAACACAGCAGTGACAGCAGGGTAAGGGCATCAATGATGTGTCATAAGACCCGTTACAGACTGAGCAGAATATGAAATGCACTTCGAAAATTTAAATAGACTACAAACAGGACAGGCATTACATGCCAGTTTCAGTGAGCTCAGGGTCAAGGTTGATGCTGTAAATGCATTAGAATTGCCCTTCCCTTAATTTCCTTTCCTGCCTACTCCTGTGTCTTCTTTACGGATGTAGCTGTATGTGGACGGAGAGTGTGTATGATCGTGTGTGTGTGTGGGGGGGGGGGGGGGGAGGGGCATGGACTTCACAGATAATCTGTGACAACTTTCAGAGTGTCAAAATTTCCCAAACGGCTATAAGAATTGACACTGGCCATTAGCAAGCATATTTCTACATACCAGTGTATATTGCGGTGCAGTTATGTACATGTATGTGTTACGACACTATGCATGCTCAACCGTACAAAGACCGGTAGGAAACTGGTTGCATGACTAACTATTCGTGCATTGAGACACCACCAGCACTGGTGTGTCTTTCATGAGGGTGCAATGGATCTCTGACAAGAGAGACAACTAGCCATGACAAAACAACAGACACGACAACACCTTGTCGTCTCTTCCGTATGTACCTGCTCACATTGCTCAGCACATCTATAGCCCCATGGTGCCCAGCCTACGTGAGAAACTCTTTATTACCATCGCATCGTTACTATTTCAGCAAGTAGCTAAACTTTTATTTCTCTTTATCCGATCCCCGTGCCCGTAATTCTTTTTCTCTTATTGGCCACAGGTCATCGTGAGAATATACGATTTCAAAAGACACCAACAACAGACCGGTATGTTCACCATGCAGGCACAAGTACAAGAATGGAGAGGAACGACTATGACATGAACAAAAGGTAAACATCTAAAACAAACCTGTCCATCGTCTGCCGGGCTACTGCTCCGGCCGCGTTTGAACTCTGGCACGCTCTGCAAACGAGTGGGGGATGGGCGTCTAGCCGGACTGTCGCGGGACGAATTCAGGCTGGACCCCAGGCCACTACTCGACGCCGACGAGCTGAGATTGCTGGTTGTGCTGGCCGAGCGATTGAGATCTGGCGGAGGGCCTCCGCTGCTCCGCGTCGATGAACTGGCACCGGTAAAGCTTTGCTTGGCGGACGACAGCATCACCTCTTGATTCTGAATGGTCCTGTTGGCATGTCGGTGTAGATCAACAACAAACCGTAGGACACAGTCACACAATCAGTGCTGAAAAGACCCGATGTTTCTTGTAAAATGATTTTGAATGCTGCAGTATTTGTTGTATTCATTATTTACTAGGACAATCCCCACGGACTGTATGTCATTATTACAGGGTACTCCAGGTAAGTTAAAAGAAGAGGAATGTGTGACCAACCTCACCCAAATGGACGTGAATCCCCAGGGTGATTTAAACCTTTGACTGCCCCAATGCAAGCAAACGTTGCAAACACTTACACTCGGAAGTGCCTCATCTCCTTGAGTGCAATGTGCATGACATCACCAGCATACAACTCAGCAGCTCCGGCACGTGTCAGCGTGAAACCCAGGTCCACGTGATGCTCCGTCGCCATCACAACCTGTAGACACCAGCATTGACATAGTCATTAAAGCAAACGGTACGGAATGGCTGAGGCAAAACAATTAGAATGCTAAATCCATATCCGAACCCAGCACATGGTAAGCCTGGCAACTTTGTAATTGCGCTATTCGTTGCCAAAATAGGATCTTACTGTTACGTACTGAAACCGGGTGTAAGAAATGGCTGGTAGGGAACTATGTGTGCCTGGATTCGGTGAACATTCTCTACGCCAGACCAACTAAAATCAAAATGACGTATCTGCAAGACTAGAGGAAACCAAGGGGACGTTAATCAATTTTTTTAGAGTTTGTCCCCGAGAAATGAAACTCGCCCGTCGACATGCATTTTTGCTAACTCCTGTCACTATTCATTAGGGGTGAAAGGGGTGATCCGGGTAACCCGGGTACCCGTCTGTTTAGCTGCTGATCCGTTAGTAAACGAGTACCCGATAGTCGTGTAGGATTGTAGGGTACAGTATTAGAAGCTTGCTTGTACAGTTGTACAGTTCAGTGCACAGTTTTGAGTGTGTTTTTCCTCGTTCAATCCTGATACATATCACGTTATCCATTGTAGCTACGACAATTTTGACTGTTAGCATGTAGCGCAGTGATTGTGCACACTGTGCTTGTCGCGGTGTAGTGTACTTGCATGACTTCGCATATCCTCCTGGCGTGAAATCCGGAAGGCTACTGTAGCAATTGTTGCCCGAAAATCGCTCTCCTATCAGAATGCCTGCAAAAGACATGTTGCGCTTACGATCCCAAGCAAATGCAACGTTTTGGAAAAAAGTATGGCGGATAAAGGGTACCCGATAACCCGCCCGTTAAGCCAGATACCCGTTTGTTACCTTAAAGGCTAAACGTTTCACCCCTACTATTCATCATGGATGGTGTACAGAATTTGCCATTTACAATGCCCATTCATTGAGGTTAGCTGGGGAAAATGGCGACACAACTCGGCAACAGCTTACCGGCTGAAAGGACTTGACCACATGCCTCTGGATTCGCTTGCGATTTTTCGTCGACTGGCAAAGGGACACAAACAGACGTTCGGACACAACTGATAGAAACTAGCTTATGACATGCATTCATCAGATCAAGGGCAGTGAAGAATCCAGTGAAACTGCCCTCCTATACCTATCAGCAATATAGCACACATTGCAATCATAGTGGGATAGCGTTTTAAGACCGCATGATTTAGAAGCACAGGCACCACATGCCTGATACCATGCAAGCACTGCCAATAGAGAACACCTGTCATTAGCAACCACTCATGAATACCAGGTTCTACATGTATGCAAAACATTCAATCTGCGGACAGAACTGTTTCGAATACCAAACATTCATTGGGCATCTGTAAAAGATCACCTGTCTTCAAGACAACCTGCATAGAAAGACAACCTATGTAGGACGAACACCTATGTGCTGTTGTGCACATTGAAATCCAGTAGAATGACTGGGGCCGGCGCCTTTAGTTCGGACACGCACTGTAGTCCACGTGCACACAGTCACCGCAACAACGGACCACAAGTGTAATATCGTCATATGAATGTGTACCGTATGCGTATCCACGGCTGCAAGACCAGCGCCTCGTGGCTGCTTGACTTCTCACCGGATTCCAATGTCCACAACAATAGAATGACCACCTGTCTTGAGAGACAACCTGTTTTGAGAGACCACCTGTTTTGAGAGACCACCTGTCCATAATGACGTGTATCTATACACTGCTGAATGCTTGCTAATGACAGGTCTTGTTGAACATTGGTCTAAAAGGCACATGTACAGGGTTACACACCTGATGACCAATCCATAGTCCGGTGTGCATATGCCGAATGTACACGACATGGTCACCAAACTTGATCTGCGGCTTTCCCATCGTCACTTCCTTCTCCTCAAACACCATCTCCGAGTCCTGAAGTTGATGACAAAACGTACCAACACACACGCACACAGAGATACGGGAGTCTGGTGACTGCTTACTTGTGTATTGTACAAGGTCTGCTGGTTCCTTATCACATTTAGTACCACACCCCTCCCCTTCAACACACACATGCACAAACATCTCCCAACACCCTGCCCCAACCACAGTCCTTAATACACACACACACACACCTCCCCATACCTTACCTCGAACCGTGTCCTACATACAGGCGCCTCGATCGACTCCTCAGCGACAATCAAATCCCGCACAGATTTACTGCGGATTGGTACACACCGGATCCCAAAAGTGCGAAGGTGACAAGAAAGGTGTGAATTTTGTAACCTTGGATAACTCGTATGGTAGGTACTTGGATGGCAGGACCCTACCACACTCCTCCTTTCCTAACTATGTAGGTATCCAGTTTGAGTGTGGTTCTCAATATGTCCCAGTCAGCGCAATACCAGTGATGGATTAAAGGAATTGATAATGCCTTCGCTTTCTTGTTATTGGGCAACTTGCCCGTTAGAATCTGCGAAGTAAAATAAACAACAACAACAACAACATAAGTTAATAGAAACCTATCGTTAAGGTCTAGATTTTCTAGTGTGAATGGATGTGCACTCACCGGTGAGCTAAGCATGCAGAAGACAGACTGCTCCAGTGTCGGCTGGGCTCTCATCTCCGCAATACTAGTGTCCGAGTCCACAACACACAGGTACTTGCCTGGAACATGAGAGGAGAATGATAGACACCAAACCGTATGTTGACAGTGACAGTGGAGGGAGGAAGAACTTCATACAGGACACCTAGATGATTAGATTGCCTTCAACATTATACATTAGGCATTCTTTTTAGAGCAAAAGCAACGGTCTGGTCATGTTCGTGATTTTCGGCCAAAAGCAAACCTACCTGTGAAATATGCAATGCTGATATAATTCAGGGATCGTGTACATACTTTGAAGTAAAAAGAAACTACAAAGGCTTTATAGAGATAGTAGTTGTAGTTAAACTTGTAAAGAAAGCAGTGAGATTAGTCAGTAAACCCATTCACTGCATCCCTTCACATCGCTCCCTTCGACATTCAAATGACAAATTAATGTGTTTGGAGACCTGCATACGCGGACAGTATGCAAATGTCAAATATGCCATAATCACCAGAGTTCTAGGCAAACTTCGTTGACTTTGATCCCCCCCCCCCCCCAAACTTACCGGAAATCATGTGACGCAATCGAAAGGGAAATCCCCAGCCTAGGAAGGCATGGCCGAATCTGAAATCAAACCGGAGGAAAAATACACCACCGGTTACATCAGACACAGGCATGCATGACCAGGAACTATTCAATGCCCACTAGAAACCAAAACAAATTTGCAATGTTCCCATACAAAATCTCATGCATACTGTCGCATTGAAGTAAAATTATTCTGAATCCCCCTACATGAATGTGATGCTAGCATCAACGAGGTATGAGCGATGTCAGCACTATAAATGCAACATTCCTTCAGTAGAGCCATCTTGCTGAGACGTCAATGAACTCCAGAACAAGAGTCAGTGCCCAAAATGGTAAAAAGAGTGTATCTGCTGGCAGTCGAGAAAAATCCCGGGTGGACCTGTGTCCAAGTAATTATTAGTTTTGCACAATTAGTTCATTTGAATGGATAGCAACAGGCGCGTAGCTCATGTGTAGTCAGTGTAGTGTAGTTCGGTCACAACACCAGCATATGGCTATCGTAAGTACCACATAGTCAAAATGGACAAAATCATGGCTGTGAGGTTGCCGGTGGTACGTGGTCACCACACCACACGCGTACTCTGATACATGGTCCCTCCCCCCCCCCCCCCCCCCCCAGATGTGCGAGCTACACCCCTGATGCTTGTACCCTATACACAGCTCTTATATACTGAAGGTTATGCTGGTGTCTCACCTCATTCGTAGTAACTCAACTCTCCACAGTGATCTGGCCTGCTGTGCCACCACACCGACCTCATACATTGGATGTCTACAGTGCCAGGCACAAACAACACAATGCATAACAATACTCACACAAATGCACACAGTGACACCCACGCACGCACACATACATGCATGCATGCACGCACATACACACACACACACTTACATGAAGGAACATAGAATAGAGCACAGTGTGTACATGGCACACAGGAGAATGCAAACTCTCATGTAAGAACACAGGAACGCACATTGCTGCATAGGGCTATACACGTAAAGCAAGCACACAGACGAGAATTCGCAGCGTTTGCTTTTCAGCACAACTCCAAGCACTGTGAGGAAAGCAGAGGCCATTGACATGTATTTCCCTGGGCACTGCAGGGCACACAGTTTATCTCACCTGTTCTGAACATCTGCGTCTTTTCGTGCCACCAAGCACTGAGACACGTGGCGATGAAAGAGACGTATAACATCGCAGCCGTTCACATGACCTGAAGACACGCACAAAATAGAGTGCCAATACAGTCATAAATCTGGTTCGTCTTGAACAGCCGTGCATGTGAATCCTTGCACACACAATTCCAGTCTCTCTCTCTCACACACATACTCCCTCAATCACTCACTCACACTCTCTATCAATCAACTGATCCTTTCCGCAATCAAAACCATATCAGAAGCATAAGCAGCGTCACTTACCGACAGCAGCTGCTCTCGCAGTGCCGACACAGACGGGTATGATTCTCCAGAAGGTTTGCTGAAATGAAGCTTGGATCAACTCCACACCTTCAGTGTTCTGAAATGACAACAGTGGACAAGCAAACCCCCGTAGGCGCATGTATTGAATTGATCCAATCTCAAAGTACAATGGTGCTATGTGATTTATGTGCAAAATGGCACATGAATATTACTCCAAGAACATGCTGATCAAAACACATTTTTTCGAAACCCTGTGCTGAAGGAGGAGTGGAATAAAAACTGTGACAGCGAAAATTTCGAAGTCTTGGCAACGTCTAAGCACCCTGCGCTGATCAAGTCTGTATATCTGTAGTCCAGGTGTTGCATGATCCGTTCATGAGGAATACCGGCATGGAGAGATGCTACTTTCTAGTTTATTTTTTGTATTTTTTATGTGCTTTGTGTACATGCCTACAAAATAATGGGGGTAAAGACAAAATACAAAGACAACAAAGGAGTAGTAGGTGCTGCAAGAGCTGTGCTGGTCAGGTGCAGTGGACTCCTCCGACCATTCCGGGGCTCGGAATCAACATGGACTACTGCTGTGATAACAACGTACAACGTACCAGGTATCTCTCTGTGCTGATGCTGACTAGTATGATGTCATCGCCGGCACGCACTTTCTCTCCTTCAGAGCGCTGCTTCGAAGCCGGGTGTATTCTCCACCATGTACTCTCGCCTAAAGCAAACACACACAGCAGAAATATGCAGACATCACTCGATGGCCACATAACCAGTCCGTACAGAACAACAAGGACAATCAAGACTTGTTTGCTGCTACTTCAAGTGTCATGCTCTTGCAATCATCAGGCAACACCAGGCATCAGGCAATCACCAGGTGTTGAACCTCTGAGTAGCAGCAAACAAGCCTTGATTGCCCTTTGTTGTTCTGTATTACGATCTGCCTCCGCAGTGTTGAGCACTGTCACCACTCTGGGCGCAGCGCCCGGTATACAGCCCCTATAAAGTTGTTATCCTGATGAATGCAGAAGTCCCGAGTGTACTCCCACCTTATTCACAGCTTCATGTATTACTTGGAAGGCAGCTACAGTCCATTTCAAAACTATAGACGCGTACCTAGGCAAAAACCGTTATGCCAGCATCTATACCACATAAAATCTGTGATCACTTTGTGCATAAATTTTTCCAAATTGGGCGTCTGTTATCCAATCCTTTAGAAACTATATGAGAGTAATTGTGGAGCGATCCTGAGCAATATTCCGAAAGCTATTCTCAAAAACTTCCAGCCAAATTTGAATTATTTCAAAAACCCTACGCGTCTATAGTTTTGAAATACACTGTAACTCTTTCATTCTGCATACGGATAATCATACTGGAACAGAGTTGTGTGTGGGGAAAAAACCGTACCAGCGTTTGGTGCGGCCAATCCGACATCGAACGCAAGCTTGTCGCCTGAAGAGGATGTGTCGAGACAGCCCAGGAACTAGACCAACACAAACAAAGAACAGCACTTCACTACGGTCTGAGAGAGAAGAGCAACAATATCAGAGTACTGACCATGTGATTCAATGCGATACAAAAAATGCAACAAAATCCTGATATAGAACTGTTCAAATCCAGACCACATGCTCGCATTATCCAACATCAATAACACCACAATGGGTGGATAGTTAGCAATGTTTGAATTCAGACGTTCTATTTAGGTCATGTTCTGATGGCCAAAACGTACAATCCATTCATAAATGATTGAGTTCTGGGCTATAACTGATTCAGGCTAATTTAGGTCCTTCCAAAACTAGAATCACAGGTGGGACGAAGGCTATGGATTAGCATGCTTGTACATGTATTGGTACTAAACTCTGCCGAAAACACCAACAACCAATATGCCATGGCGCACTAGAAAACAACCGTTACTATGGAAAGGACGTAGCGTCAAAAACACCCGGGCACAATACAATTATTACACAGCTAACACAAGTAACGGACTGCACATACTTTCTGACTTGGCAGATGCCGGAGACGGATAGCGTGGCCGTAGAGCAGCACACGACGTGCAGTCTGCAAGGAAACACACAACCAAACCAAGTATCAACTCTCTTGATAATAGCAAGCGACTCTATTTCTGTACAAGCAAATGCTTCCTGAAAGTTTTAGTCCCTCCTTTAGGTTGCAGTCTAAAAAAAAACACTAAAAAACATTTATACTCAACATTGTGCAAAACTTGCACAAGAATGGGTATGCCAAGAGCTGTACCTTTACTCCAGTACAAGTGTTCATCTCTCCTTTCAGAGGTACGCATGGCCCATCGTGGATACAAATACACCCTGACTTAGGACACCATGCATACTTCCTTCCCTTCACTGGCCAGGACACACAGAACAGAACTGCTGACAGCGACTTACACCGGCGTTGAGATCTTGTGTCATAATCAACTCCTGCAGCGCCCTCACGGACACGGCCTGCTCCAGTCGAAATGTACAGCTCCATAAGTCCGCCGGAGACTCCTAACGCCAAAAGAAAAGCAAAAACGGATGAGAAGAGGCAAAAGGCGACAAGCGAGAAATTGAGAAATTGAGAAATTAGACTTTCGTGTAACCAATATAAGGCACATGCAGAACAAATTTCCATTCAAAAATCTGACTAGGACCACTTCAAAATTGTTAACCACACATGGATTTAGATACAAACTGCAAACACAAAACTGAAAACATTTTCATGGTTCGCGTGACACTCGGCTGGAGGCCGAGTTTTCTGCATTCGCAGGAATGCCACCACCACCACCACCCTCTAGGATCAAGGCAGGAATGCCACCACCCTCTAGGATCAAGGCGCAGATGCAGCTCCTAAGCGTTTCATAATAAGAAAAACAAACAAAAAACAACAGACAAGGACGAGATCTCACCTTGTCCGAGGACGAGAACAGCTCGCAGAACTGGCTGCCAAAGACGCGCGCTCCCAGGTAGTCGCGTCGTCGATACAGCTCCGGTGACAAGTCACCGTGCATGGCCACCGCCAAGCACAGGTCATCCTCCTGCAGTGGGCAGTCAATATCAGAGTAATGCCAGGTGAGAACATTTCCAGAAAAGAAGAAAAGCCACCGAAAGACGGTACCTGACAATATACCGTATTTCCCCGAATAGAAGTGGCACCTTTCTGCATTAAACTAAATAGTAAAGAAAGGGGTGCGACTTACAATCGAGCGTGACATCCTACCTACGCAACTGTAGTGAAACAATTATTTGGCTCAAAAGCCTGATAAAGGGGGTGTGACTTATAATCGGGAAAATACGATACATGTACAAAGAAATCTGAACCACTAGGCAAAAGCAGCGCTGCGTTTTCATTTCACTTGCATCATGCACAGGTCAAAACCCATCCGAGCGCCGCTGGGGCCGCATGAGCCTTGGCGCTGCTTTCGGCTCATGGGTCGGATTTTTCACAATAATTGCACTAGATATGAAACCAATACACATTTCCACTACACTGTGATGGAGAAGTCCAACAAGCCAACAATTACAATTGCCTGCCAACAAGGATTTACACCTCCGCCCCCCCCCCCCCCCCCCCCCACACACACACAGACATCTTCTCTTTCTACACACCTTAGCATCACATGCACACATTGCACGTGCTGCTCATCCAGACACATTACGTTATGTATAGTGCACCATACGGCAGGCAGTTGCAGCTCTGAGCAATTTAGCTGTCAGCCTTAGCCGCTATTGTACCAAATACAATTGGCCTACAGTCCATTTCAAAACTATAGACGAGTACCTAGGCAAAAACCGTTATGCCAGCATCTATGCCACATAAAATCTGTGATCACTTTGTGCATAATTTTTTCCAAATTGGGCGTCTGTTATCCAATCGTTTAGAAACTATATGAGAGTAATTGTGGAGCAGTCCTGAGCAATATTCCGAAAACTATTCTGAAAAAGGTCCAGCCAAATTTGAAATATTTCAAAAACCCTACGCGTCTATAGTTTTGAAATGGACTGTAGAACCAATGAAAGTCTGTGTTGCTGATTGATCAAGTTTCCAGTGTATTGAAACATAGCTCATCAAGTTACACAAGTACATTATAGCAAAGCAGTACATGTAACTAACATGTAACTGTTACTGTTACATGTACATACATCTCCTGAAGGTTGTGTTTACAACTGTGCACCATGAAAGTGTTACATGTAAAACATGTTAGTCTCGCTGTGGGTTTGTTCGCCAACACCATGACACAATCACACTAGGACCAGTGTAGTGACTTGCATGTGAGCAGCAACACCACACTGTACCACAGGTACAGACCTGGCCTGCGCAGTTGCATGTTACACACGCTCAGCACAGCTTACTTCAACATATACATGGTTACAGTACACAGATTTCCTTGTATTATAATTATACCCATCTCTACAGCACCCATGTAGTCATTGTAGCCATTTGCAGTATGCAATGAGGTCATTGTAGTATGTAATGAGGTCATTAATTTGTACCATTGCTTTTTAGATCAGTTGATAATAGTTAATACCATGAGTTTGAATGTTTATACGCACTCGTTTGCTCAGTCCAAGTGCGTATACGCACACACACATACACAAATGCACGTGCATGCACACGCGCACACACAGACACGCGTGCGCATGCATACACACACACAGAAACGTGCACGCACATCGATTACAGTTTTGATTTCTCACGTCGGCATGACTAACTGTACAGAGCTGACCAAGACTGTGTTCTCATGTTTTCCTACAGACCTTGTTCTCCCAAACCTCAGTGCACATTCTGTTAGCTTTGTCACACTCTCATTACGCCTGCTTTACATTAACGGCTGTGCGAATTGACGTTCTGTGCTCAATCACATTATTGGCATGTGCCAATTTTCAAAGCAATGGTATGAAATGCCTAATCGGACTATGGGTGGCTTCTTGGATGACTGCATGAACTACAGACACTCGCGTACCAGTAGAATGTACAGTACAGGATGTACAGGATGTACAGTACAGGAAGCAGAAGGGAGTACTAGTATGTGTACAGGAAACTCAATCGTCTTCACAGGAAACTTGAGGAAAACAGTGGCAATCTTCGGAAGACCAACAGCATCCTGGTACATCCGGGACGGCACAATGAAAGAGCTCATCAGTAGCTGGCAGTACACATACACACATTGGTGCCGACACTCCATCAAGAAACCCTCTACTACAGTAAGTTTGAAGTGCATCCTGGAGTGAAGCTCTCCAATAACTATTTAGGCATCCTGCTGCCGTGCTGGGGGTGACTGCCTGATCACGTGATGAAAGAAATTGTCCCAAGACTTGAGAATTTCTAGCGACATACATGTACAACGTCTTGTCGATCTTGTTTCGATTGGAGGCAAGAGTTGGGAATAATGGAAATTAATTTCGCTTCCATACCTGCCTGAGGAGAGTGGACACGCTGGTGCGCAATGTCATTGTGAACAGCAGAATGTTTGATGCCCAAGGCCAAGCACTACAACGCGACTTGAGTTAACTAATGTTACTTGCACTGGCACCACGTGCAGTGTCCTTCCTATCGAGTATTTCGCACCATTCGTGCACAATCAAACGGCTCGCTAGGTTAGGATTAGAGCACAGCCGCTCAACAGGACTATGTTCACGAGTACAAGAAGTGGATCTACAAATACTTCAAATCACATTGTGCAGTGCCTGCACGAATACGACAACATCGTTACTGGCACAAACTGACAAAAAGGGATAGCAGCGACAAATCTTAATAACAGATTTTACTATAAGTTGGTGTTTGCCTAACAGGAGAGCAGTTCAAGTTGCTATGCGACTTTGGCTCGATCAAAGCATTCAAAACAAATCACCACTTCCTGGTGTCAAAATCCCATTCAGTAAAAACTAAAAATAATTGACCACTATTAATTTTCATTCAATTATTTTGGTATTGAGCAACACACCACTCGAACATCCTCGAACATACGAAACGGAGCTGCGAGGTGAAAGCGTCATCAATGGTTCCAAGCTGCGTCAGGCAACCTGGCCACATCTGTACCATACGCCAGAAACCACGTGTAGTAACTTTGACCCAGTACAACGCAGCAGCATAAACTCGATACACTGGCGTGAGGAAAGGACGGAAGGGGATCGACTTTGTCTTAGTCCGAATTGCGAACAGCCACAGACAAAAATATTTTTTTCTATTACTAGGAAAAGATCAAGTAACACGACACCAGCACAACGTCAATAGCTCAACCTTACCGTTCTTAGATATACCACATCGTCGCCATCACCTTCCCTTCGAGTGGCATTTAGAGCCGCACCCGTGCCGCCACCGCCACCTACAACGCCCGCAGTCGAACCACCACCTGCACCCGCTGAAGGCACAGCTCCACCGCCACTGGCTTGACCAGCTTTGGACTGGGCGGCCGCACTTGGGCCAGGCATCGTTGCTGATCACACGTAGACCAGTTGCTGGCCACAACTCCAAGCGAAGGTCGTGGTCAACGCATAGCGGCCAACAATGCCGAAATAGACGAAACTCGTTCGGACTGAATGGAACACGAATGTTTCGCACGGCACATTTACAAACAAGGCAACTCACGCAAGAACTCGCTAGAGAAGAGCAAATGTTGCAACGCTAGCACACAGACTATGCCTCTAGGTCTAATGCTCAGTCATCCCTCTCGCTTGCTGGTTTACCCTCTCCATGATCCAAATAATTCCTTTCCTCGAGCCGCCGTGATCGGAAATGTTCACGACATGAAATCGCCGTCATCAACAAGCCTGTGAAGTGCATGCAGCGGCACAGCAGGGACTTCAGCTCAGAGCACACGTGAAAATATGTAGTCTGTAGACTGAGAAGACTCAGGGTACATGGTGTAGGTGCTTCACATCATGTGCACAGAGCCGGATCGCGGAGAGTCCACTGCAGTACCGAGCGCTCCAGACCAGTACTCAGTAGTGGCAGTACAGTCATACTGTCGTACATCACCAGCCTTCACGTCAAAATGACCCTGGGCCTGGCACCGGCACGGCAGTGGCACTGGCAGGAGAGTGCAAAATGAAGATCTACTGCGTAGATCTACTGCCTGGCTGCCGGCCGCACTGGTCTGTAATAATCACGTGCTATGTCGCAGGCTAGTAGTAGTAGTACTGGCCGGCTAGATCAGTAGTGTAGTTTTTTTTATCATGGCGTAGGGGGGGGGGGGGGGGGGGGGTGTTCAGGAAAGGGAGCGTGCTCATTCAATCACCTCAACAACACTCTTTTGTCTTTCGATCTTGTACAGTAGATTCTACCCAGTTCTGGCAAAGTCTTTGGGCTTGTCAAGAGAGCACGTGATATTGGTGTACTCCTACTGTCCTAGATCCTGTGGCGGTGTACCATGGTGTAGATCTACATGTAGGAGTACGAGTGCAACAGTCTGTGACTGTGTAGATCAGGTAGATGTTTCGCTCTCTGTAGAAAACAGTCACTCCACAATAGTACTAGTAGTAGTACCCGGCGGTAGTAGCTGTGTTAACCTAGCTCAGCTTTCTAAGCAAACGAGAGGCTATGGAGTAGGTGTTGGCGGATAATTCTCGGTGATATGGGATATAATGCTCTCAGTAATGCTCCACAAAAGGCCATATAATGCTCCAAATAATGCTAATAATGCTCCGCCGGATGGAATATAAACATTTGAACCTTGCGGTATTGGGCTAAGAAAAACGCTCACTATTACCAATGCCTCCCCAAGGTGAGTGCTTCCATCAAATACTACGGAACAAAACCGGGCCTCTTTCAGTTCTTCCTTCAGCTGCTTCACTTCCTCCTCTAGGAGGAACGGCATATAGAGTGACAAGTGGCTCGAGTCAGTCAATCTTTCGTTTCTGTCAGACTCCAAAAGCGGTCGTAAGTAATCAACCTTTGCGAGTGGGATTCCTGCTTGCAACATAGAACGCACAATCTGGATCCACCGCAGACTCGGCTGAACTAATGGCCTCAGTAAGACCGGTGCCAGCTAGAGCCTTCCCAAGTCGTTTCTGATACGCCAAGAAGGACTCCTTGACCAGCTTCTGCCTCTGAGTTTCCCTCTCCAAACGGGACTTTCCTTGTTTGTGTCTCGCGGTAGCAATATGGGACATGATTATACTCTTCTTCCCTGACAATGTTGTATGGCATGCCAGGCACACTAACTTGCCACAGTCGCTTTTGAGCGGCTCATCTGGGAACTCCCGCACACGTGTTTCGGCACTGATGGCCACTTCAGTGCTCTGTCCATGAGCTACTCGCGTCCTTTTGGAAACATTTTCAGACTTGGTAATAGCTGTTTTATGAAAAGACCGCTTCGGAAGCCTTCCTCGCTATAGCGGCAGGATCTGCAGTTTCCAACTCGACGACGCCACTATCACCAGAGGACTCCGCCAAAAGCTCATCTGGAGAAAGCCCAGCTTCCTCCCAATCCCAAGAACGGCATTGTGGCGAGTCAGCCATCAGCGCTGGCTGCTAGTTAGCTGGTCTTACACAATGGTCAATGTCCGGTGAAAGTCCAGCGTTACTCTTCGACAAAGACATGGACTCTTGCTTCGATGAAGAATGTTTTATTGTAACATTGTGGACGGTAACCGGGTAAGGTCTGGAATGTGTGCGTGTGCGCACCTCCACCGTTCCATGCTGGCTCACATTTGTTTCGTTGGTTCGGCGTTGTTACACTGGTTACCTGGATCTTCAAAAAGTAACAGTTGCTGGCCGAAGATAGACTTCCGGGACCGGAAGTTTCTGCGATAGTTTCCACACTGTGCTGGACCACAGCAAGGTAGCAGTACTGCATGCAATACCATGGCACTGCGTGCCACGATAAAACCCTACCCTGCCCTGCCCTAAAATGTGCTGTCCAGTCCATCGGTGGATCTTCCTCTTCCTGTGAAGATGTCACTGCATGCCCGTCCTCCTCCGCGTGTGTAGGGCAGGGTCCAGCTGAGAACAGCGTGAAAGGTGGTGAAAGACCGACACGTAAACCACCGAAATTGACAAAGGATCTGTCTGCGTCGGGAAGGGTTACGCGAAGCCAAGTAAAAATACGGACTGGTGAGGACGCACGTACAACGACAACGGAAGTGACAACAACAGTCAATATTCGAAAACGTGGTAGACCGCGAAAACGAACCTCAATATCGAACACCGGACAAGTTGGAGTAAGAAGATCAATAGAAATCCGCAATGGAGGAGACGTACATGTAGCTGAAAGGACACTGGGCATCGCGCACACAACGGCTAGTGTCAGAAAACGTGGAAGGCCGCGGAAAAGCAAAGAGACGGATAGTGGTGCTACCGCGAAGAGGCGAGATGACGGGACATTGGAGGAGACTACACCCAACGGAGCTAAGAATCGCACTTCGTCCATCAAGCAACATCTGTCAGCCCGTACCAATTGTCGTGAGTTGTACAGTGATAATGTGTTCTCAATATTGTCACGTGGTAGATGTGCGTTGCATCTGGCTGTGTTAGAAGCTTTGTATATCCGTAAGTTAGATCCTGAACTTTGCGTACAGAAAGAAAATGTGTTGTCGCTACAATTGTTTGGTGTTACTCCTCGTCGAGGTGTTAACAATGTAACTTAATTTGCTCACTATGTTCTTGTCGCTATTATTATTTCCTTCGAGTTTTGTGTCGTGCTGAACTTGATACTTTTTCCACCTTGTCACGAGTGTTGTTATCTCATATCTTTACGCTATATAAGTTTTAGTCTTTCCAACTTGAGCCATTCCCTGTATAATCCTTGATGAGAAGGGACCGAAAACGTTCGGATACTTTGACAAGTGCCTTATTTTAACTGGATGTGTGTTTGCGTGGATACTTACGACCCAACACGTACCTTCGTTATTAAAATTATTTTATTTAAAATTATAATTTGTAAACTAAAGAGTATCTGACTTCCACTATCATCAGTACCAAGAGTAGATAAACAAGAGTGTGCAACTCCGGATCTCTTCTGCACAATCTGCAGATACCCCCGCCCACGGCGGAATTTTTTGTTGACGTCACCTTTTTTCAGGGAAACGCGGACTTTGCCGCAGAGCAGTGTGAGAGCACGTGCTGGGCACCGAGCTTGTAGTGCAAGCGCCGCCAAGTGCACGAAGGAAACCTCTCCGAAAGGCTCGCAGCGCGTGCGTCGTCGAAAAGATTACGTCAACAAAAAATTCCGCCGTGGGCCAACCCATCCGCGAGTTGCACACTCTTGTTTATCTACTCTTGTCAGTACTAGTGTCGTGTGTGACCAGGTCACGTGTGACCAGGTGTGGTGTGACTCGTCCGTGTGACCAGGTGTGGTGTGACCCGAGTGTATGTCTGAATCGCGAGTATACATACATAATATGTGGCGCCGGAACTAGGCCTTTCCGGATTATGTGTTTGCATATTTTTGCATTTTGGGGGTCAAATGCATTTTGTCCATTTTGACCCACTTTGGGCCAGGGAGTCGTAAAATACCGGTATTTTACGACTCCCTGCAAGCGATAGGTACTTCACGATCACCATGAATGATCACCATGGTGCCAAATGTCACGCGACTAGCTGTCGCCATTTTGTTACCATGGCAACGGCGGCATTTTTTGTGCTTTTTGGGTATTTTTTTGCATTATCTTTAGAAAAAAATTTGATTTATAGGGGTTTTCCAAAACACTTTCCATTTCCATTTTAGACCAAGAAAAAACGCATAATCCGGAAAAGCCTAGCCGGAACGTCTAGTAGTGATGTAATTATAGTTACTACATGTAGTACGGCCACCACTGCACGGCCTTGTAATGGGATAGTCTTAGGTTATAGTCATGTTGGTTCCGCGGCTCCGGGCCGAGTCCGGGGCCTAACTCCGGGTCGCCGGACTACGACACTAGCATGCATTAATTTTTGTTCTGCACATAAATTGTAGTGAGCCATTATTTTGTACATCAGTCAGCCTGTTTTGTGTGCCATGGGAAATATCTTTGTTTGGGGAAGTTGCCATACTGCTAACTAGTAACTGGAGTGTGAGCACTGAGCACGCCTCTCGCACCCGAAGTACAGCTGACTCGACTCGCAGTCTAGGATCCACACCTTGGACTGGCCAGCAGCTGAGCTTGGGCACCCCGCCTGTAAGACGTCTATAGTCGGTTAGTTTCCCAAGTAAAACAAAAACTTCATCAAAAACAACAACAACAACAACAACAACAACAACAACAACAACAACAACAACAACAACAACAACAACAACAACAACAACAACAACAACAACAACAACAACAACATCGGTAGTATTAATAGTGAAATCACTCAAGAAGAAGACACGCTTACGCCTGTACAACGCTATCGTACTGCCGACATTCCTGTACAATTGCGAGACCTGGGGATTATCGTCAACAGCAATGGCCAAGGCAGACGCATTCCACCGGCGTCAAATGCGATCACTCCTTGGAATACGATACCCAGACACAATTTCAAACGACGACCTATACCGCAGAACCAAGAGCAACCCTATATCAGACACAGTTGCATGTAGGCGACTACGAATGACCGGTCATGTGCTACGGATGGACACGGACACGCCACCGCAAGTAGCCATGAGCGGCTATTTTGACAAGGGCAACAAAGCACCTCGTGGACGGCCAAGGTTGACACTGGCCACAAGTCTGGTTGCTCAGCTGAATAAGCTGGGTGTGCCAATGAAGACCATGGAAGACCTTTCCAGGTGCCGACAGCAAGCAGCAGACAAGACAGACTGGAGGAAACTGTGCAGCTCGACACCCGGCGAGAAATCGGTATCAGCAGCTACTACACCTAGCTGATGATGCTCACAAGACAGAAGCGGAAAAAACACTG